TATGAATAAACAAGCAGCGACAACTCTTTCAAGCCGTATCCACCTACATTTTGAGAGAGCGGAGTCTAGTCGACCGCTTGACCCATTATCATCATCTGAAGATGATACTTAAACGGTAGTGACCCGTATAGGTTGTTGAAATGCCCTGAGTGTCGGTTCCCTCTTCAGTCTTTCTTATTCCATTCCGACCGTTTTCTGCAGCTTCTTGTGACGCCCGCGGCGTTGTACCCAGTTCACAATGGGTAGCTTCAATTACCTAGCAGTAGTAGCTATTACGTTCCTTCTGTGCATGATTACTCAAGCAGAAAGCTCGCCGAAGCCAACGAGACAATGTCCGCCTCTGAAGAAGGGAAGCTTCGTCATACAGCAGTACCAACTCTATCCCGAAAATGCTGACTGGGACGTCAACAACTGCATCGTCTATTTCGGGTAAGCTTCTATCAAAAATTTACATATCAACCATGGTGCTAAATTACAGACCAGATCACTGTTCAACGCAAGCGTTGTAGTTTACGATCCTTACAAGGACACCGTCCTCGACATCTTAACGTTCGACGGCATCACACACAACCCTGCCTTGCACATCGGTGGTGTGCAAGTGGACACTCGCACCAAATTAGTTTCCATCGTAGTCGACGCTGCCGCCCCCTTCAACACCGCCGGCAAAGACGTATCGGGTGATAACTTCATCATCCAGTACGACCCAGCGAAGAAGCAGGTCCTTTGGAATAAGAACATCACGGCCGTAACGAAAGGAGAATACGGCGGCTTCCAGGATATTGAGCACGACACCCACGGCAACACCTACATTGTTGGCTCGTTCCCGGGAACAATCATGAAAGTCGACCGCCAGGGCTCTGCTGTCGTCCCGTGGTACCTCCCTGCGAAAATCGACCACACGAAAATGGGCTTCTCAGGTCTCGCGGCCACCGGCAACATCCTGCTATCCAATAATAACGAGGACGCCCAGATCTACCGCTTCGACATGAAAGCGGACAAAGGCACTCCCGTGCTCGTGCCCAGGTCACCGAATACGACGCTAGCGGGCACCGATGCCATCTATCTTCCACCGAGGTACGGTGGGAAGGTGTTGCTCATTGCCGAGAATACCAAAGGCGTCACTGTTTTACGGTCAAAGGACGGGTCCTGGAAGTCTGCTGAGCACCTTGGTACGGTACCGAATAATTCCACTGATGCTCAAGGAGGGATTGTCACTGCTCCGGTGCAAATCGGCGACAGTCTGTTCATGGTTGAGGAGTTCTTTGCGGATGCTCCCGTTGCCGGCTCAACTTCTGGGAATAGGACTAGTTTCCCGATGGTAGACATCACCTCGCAGGTTGAGGATCTTCTCAAGAAGTGAGGTCATCGCGGTTTGAAATAGTAATCATAATGAATACACTTTCAGCCAATGGAGAAATTTTCAGAACTTCATCGCCATGTCGACGATGCAGAGTTTATTCGCAGATTCGATTAGGTGGTAGCTGAGACCACTCCTTGACTTTTCTTGAACTGACAAGCCGCTGGTACATTGTCTGACATGCATAAGAGTCTACAGGCATCCACACTCTCGCATCAACTGCCAAGTGCCTATTGGATATGAGATTCCATCTAGTCCACACCCCTTGCCGATGATAGGGCTACAAAATCAACCCAATAGCTCATTATCACGGCCAAAAGCTGCCGGGTTCGCGCTCAGTGCCCCTCCAACACCATGATACCTCGGTAACGTGAAATCTTCACCAATCATGCCCTCCCCGTCATCCCGGCCTCACTCCTGCGAGTGGTGTCGCAGACTCCTCGTCATCCGCGCCGAAGCCAATATCCCGCATCGGAACCGGAGCGACAGACACGACGCAAGGTGGAACAAGATCGTATTCAACACCAACCTCACAGATCTCCTTGTCGTCCAGCAGGAAACATGCGCCTTTATAGACTGGATCCTCGACGGAGAGTGCATCGCACGACCAGAATTAGGCGAATGCGTCGACAACATATCCGGCGAGGTCTATCAGATGGACCTAGAGGAGCTTGAGCAGTTTCACGGCCAGATTGACAAGGACCCGGACTACAGGCTTCCTTCCATGCGCCACGTCGTCCAGAACCATAGTGACGGGTACGTCGACTACGTCCTCGTGGCCGAGACGAATCCCCCGTTCCGCATGGGTGGCGACCACACGCCGGATGTTCTAACCATAGAATACTTTGGTCTCTGGGACCCGCGCACGAAGCTGGTTTCGTATAGGACGGTCAAAGAGCTACAGATATTTACGACGCATGATAATCCGGCAGCCAGGGAATTCTGGACGCGTCCGATACAGAATGATCCCGCGTATTGTCTGCCCATGGTCAAGTCGTGGCTGGCAGAGTGCGAGGATAAGCATGAAAAGTGTCGGGAGCTGAAGACACTGTCTGGGCCGTCAACACTCAGGCCCGTTAGGCTGATCTACATTGATCCAAGCTCTGTGGGAGTAAGCTTTTCGCTGCGGTTGCAAGATACAGCGAATCTCAATCCTTTGCCGAGATTTGCGGCGTTGAGCTATTGCTGGGGCGGCAACCAGACGGTGAAGTGCGAGACGTCTACGCTAGAAGCATTCACAAAGAACATTGTTTTTGAGAAGCTGCCTCGGACGATACAAGACGCCGTCAAGGTCTGCGCACAGCTCGGAGTCGAGTATATTTGGGTCGATGCTCTCTGCATCATCCAGAATGAAGGCAACGACGAGAAGATTTTGGAGATTGCCAAGATGCCTTACATTTACGGTCAAGCGTCGTTCACCATTATGGCATCCAGGGCCAAGACTGCGTGGGAAGGGTTTCTTCAGGACAGGGACTCAGACATCGAATCTAGCCAGGCGTTCCTTCTCTCATGGCAGTCAGAAAAGGGCGAAATTGGATCGATTACCCTGGCTGAGTTGGAGACGGGCCACGAACCCATCGACGAGCGAGGATGGACTTTCCAAGAGCGTCTCTTGTCTCTCAGGATTGTCGAGTTTGGGTCTCGGCAGACTCGATGGAGCTGTCAAGAGCCGATCCTGTCAGTGACCGGGAACGACATGCTATACGGCCTCGACGTCGGCGAGGGTGCCACCGACGGCTGGAGAAAGATTGCAGAGCCCAATGACCTGAGGCAGGATTCGTTCAGCTGGGGTCTCTGCTCCAAGACACCATCGCCGTGGGGTGCTCTGGTGGACATTTACACCAGCCGCAACCTATCCTTCAATACTGACCGTGCTGTGGCCATGTCGGGGGTTGCGGAGCGCTTCGCAGTGTTGACTGGCGGTGAGTACGCCGCCGGTCTCTGGAAAAGGAGCATGCGAGACGAGTTGCTCTGGAGAGTAGAACAGGATGAGCGACGGAATCGGCCTGTGGTCTCTCAGGGGCCTTCGTGGTCGTGGTTTGCTATTGATAGCAGTGTGAGAGCATACATGGCTTTGGGTGATGGTTGGGAAATCCCTACGTTCGAGGGCGATGTGACGGATGCAACGGAGGTCTTCCACGCTGAAGTCTTGTCTATTGCTGCCGAGCCGGTGAATCAGAAAGCACCATATGGTGATGTCCGTAGCGATTCAGGTCGGCTTAGACTTCGCGGGAGACTCGCTGCGGCTACCCTCATCAACCATCCTACAGCAGACTCGGGGAACGACCCAGAAGATGTCTTTGATATAAGTAGTCCTCAGAGCTTGCAGCACGTTATTGACTCAGGTATCCGGCTCATGAATACTAGAAACATCAGTTGTCATCTTGATTGCCTAGATGAAGTAGATGTCAAGTCTGCAAAGACGGCCGGCGACTCTGAGGGGTACATGGCTCTGGAGATCAAGAGAGTGCGTGGGTACTCTGCCGATTGGACTGTACTCGGTTTACTTCTACGGCCGGCTGAGCCCAACCGGGGACGTTCGTTGGAAGGTGTACCAGCTTACAGAAGAATTGGCACATTTGAGTTGGAGCTGGAGACCATTTTTGATGACTTGGATGATGATGAGAGTTTTCAGAGCGAGGAGCGTTGTTTCTTCGACTTCATCACATCACAAGTGATTGAGATATCTTGATAGACATGGTGAAGACACAATATGTCTCTGTTTTGGTTTGTAGAACCTCAAGTACGATGCAAAGTTCGAGGACTGCCAGGTCACAACAAGGCTCAGGTCGCCTCTTCTTACTTCCATCATGTTCCCGCCCTTTTTTTCTGAAGACTTTCTATATGTCGGAAAATATGTAGCGAATTTCCATGTACAAAGAAACGTTCGAGAAAATGAGAACAAAAGGGAATGTTCGGTATGCGGCCGTCTACTTAATTTCGTCAATTGCCCCGATATATCACTTGCTCCGTCTTTATCTCGCTTTGTAGTTGGAAATTACTCGTCATCTTCTGCATAAAGTCATAATCAGAATCGCACATCTGTCTCAAGTAAAGTCCTGCGTTGACTTGACTTGACTTGAAGAATCGTCTTGTCTCGGCAACAGACGTAAGTCTTCGGAGAGAATCCACGTTTTCCAACTCCGTGGCCTCATGCCCCCTTGTTCAACAAACTCGGGTGGCAAGGATCATGGCCACGGCGACCCAAGACAAACGTACTAGCCAATTGCTGTTCCTTCTTGTTCGCAGCAAGACTCTTCCACGGCATCCACGATTCCTCTCGAAGTTATGTCTGTTACTTCAACACCTCACTTGCCTAGACAATTGGTCGTGATTTACGACTAAGCGGTCATGCCCTTAAGCTCCAAACCTCCCACGTTCTCTTCTCTCTTATTTTTTCGTATCTCCTCTTCCTTCTTATCCCTCTCCCACCTTTCATCTTCCTATCATATTCCACCTTCTTCAAGGCAAGTCATCTAGACCGAATCAAACGCCAACAGGAATACGAAGCGATAGAGTCTTGAAGAGATCAGAGCTAACCAGCATCAGAATCTACGATACGCAACATTCCTAGTGGGGTTCGGGTCCCGAGATACTACCAGTCGTTACTCGAAGTACCTCAAGTCTTCTTCTTGTGTTCGCCATGGACAACAACGAGAGACTGAAGGCTCTCACGCGGGCCAAGATTTTCGAAAGTCTGAACCGGAATAATACGAGATCTGCGAGTGAAGATGGGGCCCAGAAGCGAGGAGATCAGATACATACACAGCTTAGGATTCTAAACCATCGGGTCGAAACATCGGTGAGAAATAGAATCCACGAGATTTGTCGAAATCCGAAAATTCTCGACAAAAATGGAGTGGACGCTGACATAACTATAGGATCAGAAAAATGGCACGATTGAGAGTGCTCCTGTCGTCGGCGTGAGCCCATTTGGCGGTGGCGGCATGGTTGCTCCTGCGAGTATTCCTGTTGCCAGAGCTCCGAGCAGCCAGGTGCCGACTCCTCCACGTCCCAGCCCGGGACCTTCATCTTCACCTTCACCTTCACAGCTCCGCTCCTGTACGTTTTTCCAATCGCAACACTCCATTGCAGGGTCGAAATCTGGCTGATCAGACATAGCGAGTCCATCTACAACTCCATCCCGCCAGACGATACCGCCATCCTTTCTACAACATTCTTTTCGTGAGTCTCATCCCATTAGTCAAAACCTTTTACCTGACGAATTTATCGCTAAATTGGTCTAGCAAAATACATTACTTCAAGTCCCGTCGGCCCAATCGGGGTCCCTCAGTCCTCGACGATGAACTTCTCTTCTCCGCAGCTCCCATCGCGTACGTCTCACCTCCGAGCTCATGACCTATTGCGTGTTTCTGCTAATCAATCTCAGCGAGTGTGTCCACATTCAGCCCCAGTGGTCGTCCGATGCAGAATCCGATGGTAGCGGCGCTTTCATCCGGACAGCGGCCTTCTTTCAAGGCGCGACTTCGTGAGATCCATCCCATCCCTACCCACCCACATCTCACTTCTCCCTTCGTCTCACTAACTACCATCTGATATAAAGAAACGGACAAGAACCGAAGAGCTAGTGTCGTCAAGGTTACTAGCCCGGAGAAGCCTTTCAACTCGAGTAGCCCCCCGATCCCGTCTGCCCTTCGAAGCGTCAACTTCCCTCCTCCGTCCCTCGAGAGCACCTCCGACGAGTCGAGCAGTGATGAGCTTATCCTTACAACCCGCGGACATCAGGGCAGCCTGCACCATACGGCTCAGAGCGAAATGCGGATGAATTTCGACCCCTCGTTCAGCTACCCGCCTCCTCCCATGTCCACAAACGAACTCTTCAACGCTTTCGCATCCATGAACACATTCTCAGTCAGCAACGCGCCTCCTTCCGTGCCCCCGAACGACCTGCTCGCAAATCCCGGCCCTGCTTGGAACTTGGACCTTCTTCAGAGCCCTCAACTCGGTCACATCATCTCACCACAAGAGGAGATCGCAGTCAGAGTCGGCAACGCGCGCACCCTCGCCCACAACGGTTACCGCGGCCCCTTTGACATCGGCCGTCTCACCTGCCTCATCGATCCGTGCAGCGGCGAGCCCAACCCCATCGCCGAGACGCGCCCCGATGCCCGCGGTAAGATGGTCACGTACGACCTGCAAACCAAGGAGGACATCCTCACTGCCGAGCCCTCCGAGACGGGTACCGCCCAGTGGGGCAGGAAGGGCGAGTTCACTGGCTTTGCAGAGTCGAGCGCCGCCTCGTGGGTGTTTGGTCCCGGATAGAGCCCGGGCATGCCCCCGCCTAGAGTTGAGGAAGTCGAGGACCGGCGGTTCATGCCTACCGGAAAGAACGCCTGGATGGGTGTTAGGCTTGGCGAGGGCCCGGAGTCTGTCATGGTTCACGATGAGTATGCCCCGGCTGCGACGCCTAGCTTGGGTCCGGCGCCATCTTGGATGAAGGAGGCCAATGCTGCTCTGGGTATTCCGAACGAGGATGACGAGGATGAAGAGGGCCTCTTTGAATATTGCGACTTGGATTTTGAGGACTGATTTGGAGTCGTCAGTAACTGGGACATTGGAGTTTTACCTGGGATATGGAGTTTGGATGAAGTTCTTTCTCGCTTGGAGAATCAGGTCTGCTTTGGGAATCAGGCCATCAAAGGTTCAGGTCTGGATAGTCCATCAAGATCGTTACGAAGTGTTTATGAGTATGAGAATGAGTACATGTGTTGATTATGAAAAGCCCCTCCCCCTGTATTACTTTATACGGTACATCTTGCTTCCAAAGCGTGAATAAACTCATCGTCCCACCCTGAAGCGACCCATCCCAAACTGATGCCTTCTATACCAGGCTTCAGTCAATCTGAGTGTGCTCAACACACATCGCCAGCCTCATCCTCAGCTCTAGAGAGCCTTCGCCTCAACAATCACCTTCCAGGAGGCGGCATAGGCTTGTTCCCGTTCTGAGGAGTGGCAGTCTCATTCGCAGGAGGCCTCCCTCCACCTCCATGGCCACCACCACCTGCACCACCACCAGGCTTATCACCCATGCCATCACCCTCCCCACGCCCACAACCGCTCATATAAAGCGTAATCTCACCACAGTTGACGCCCTGATCGTTCTTCTTGTACAGGTTATACGTCTGGTCCTCCGCCTCGCACTGGAAGTACCGCGCCTGGTCCTGGAACTTCATCCGGCCGTCGCAGCCCGCGCTCCAGCCCTTGTCGGGCTTCTGTCCCTGATCACATTGAAGCGTCTCGGTAGGGGCTGTTCGTATATGTCAGTCCACCTGCTTCGAAAGTTCGTGTTGTGACGGGGGGAAGAGGGAAGGGGGTTTAAAGACTTACGAGTCCACCACATGCCGCGCCGGCGGGTATCGACAATCTCGCCCTTTTCCATGCGGAGGATGACGGGCTCGAGGCCGATTCTCAGCTGGCCGCTGTCCAGTTGGCCGACCCAGCCCGAGACGGAGCCCTTGGCTCGCATGCGGAACGAGTTGCATTCCGTCATGCCGCCGCCGCCGCCACCACCGGGTTTGTCTCCTCCACCGCCGCCGGGCTTGTCACCGCCTGGCTTGTCGCCTCCGCCTCCGCCGCCTCCGTTGCCTTTGCATTCATCTCCTCCCTTTCCACCACCGCCACCGCCGCCTCCACCACCTCCGCCGGGCATACCAGGAGGCTTGTCACCACCACCGCCGCCGCCACCGCCGGGAGGCATACCGGGAGGCATACCGGGAGGCATACCGGGAGGCATACCAGGCGGCTGCTTGCCTCCGTGCCCGCCCTTGCAGTCATCGCCGCCCTTCCCACCACCTCCTCCACCGTGTCTGCCACCTTCACCAGGCTTACCTCCGCCCTCGCCGCCGCCTCCGTGACCTCCACCTCCACCGCCGCCGCCGCCGCCGCCGCCACCAGGCATACCGGGCATACCAGGTGGCTTATCACCACCCTTACACTCTCCACCGCCACGACCACCGCCTCCTCCACCTCCACTTCCTCCGGGGTGATGTTCCAGGTCCATGGTGTTGTTAGTCTCCCTGGGCACAAGGGCTAGAGCGAGAGAGCTCGTGGCCAGGGATACGACTGTAACTAAAGAAAGACGCATCTTCTCCTGCTTCTTCTTTTTCTGTGTCTGTGTGTGTGTGGTGTTTTTGGACTTGCTCCGCTTACGAGAGACTAGGAGTAGTAGTGGTGGTGGTGATAGTGATGACGACAAACGGTCACTCGCCAACCGTACCCAGAGCTCCGAGGTAAAGTAATAACCTCGTGACGATGGCCCGTGTTCCGGGGGGAAAAAAAAAGTATGATGTGCTGGCTAAGGTTTACACAAAAAAAGCAGAAGCCTTTTTGATCCTTCTTTTTGGTTGTTGATCCAGCGCAACTAAAAAGCGAATGCTGGGCGGGTTGGTGTTCGGATAAAAGAAGAAAAGGGGTGAAGAGGTAAGAAGACTAACTCCTCTAGCGGGAGGAAGACTTTCATATTTTTATGCTTTCTAGTAGAACCCCTCCTAAAGCTTTTTGAGTATTTGCCGAAGTTCCTCGTTCTACGAAAGGGAAAGACGAGGCGGGGTTCAAAACATCCTCCCCTTTCCCTCTCACACGAATACACACCCCATCCTCGCATACAGGAATGGCGAACACGAAATAGTCTTTTTTGGACTTGACTAGTTACCCGAGAGCAGAAAATCCGAGTAAGGAAGGCACACACCGGTGGGCGAGAAAGTGAGGGGAGGAGATCAAGAGGAGTAGGAGGAGGAGGAGGGGTGTGACGGACAGACCGGCGTGTTTGGTTTCCACGATGTTCGAATCATTAGGCGACGGGGAGAAGGTGATGTATAAGGTAAGGTAAGGCAAGTACCTACATGAGGCAAGGGCAAGGGGTGTTTGCTGTCCAGAAGAAAGCAAGAACCAAGGCAGAGAGGAACAAGAAAGAGGGCGAAAGAAACAAAAACATCGGATTACACGGTCCACGTGGGGTCGACGGACTTGCCTTCTCGTCGGAATATTTCCTCCAAAGAGATGTTGCGATGCCGTGTGTGCGTGTGGTTGTTGACTACTTCGAGTCTCGATTAAGAAAAGGGCGTTGTAAGAACTCTACATAAACCTTGCTCACGACTCATATTCTTCAGACGATCGTCGACTACACTTCTCTTTTTCCAATCGAGATGGAGGGAAGGGTGGTGGTCCCAGATAGAGCAGAGCCAAGAAGGAAAGGGACCGTTTTAACGCTAGATGAAAAGAAGGAAATCCTTTCTTTGCAAGCACAAAACTTTTGACTTTCAATTGGGAGAGAGTCAAGTCAGGTTCGCTAGTTGAGACGGGGAGAAGTTGAGGGAAACTCTCCTGCTTAGTCGTGACGAGGAACCTTACGTCGGAACTTTAAACAACGTCATCGAATCCCCGTTTTCTCCGTCGGCCGATGTCTTTTTTTTTGTGCTCAAGTTGCAAGGGTCGACGATGCGGCGAGGCAAGCGACGAAGCGAACGACAGAAGCCGAAAGAGGGAACATGAGGGGGAGGCAAAGGAACAAAGTTTTCATCGGTGAATCAAGTGTTTGTGTATTGTAACCGACTGGCGGGCAATCAGGCCATTGGGTTTTCTATCTCTAGATTCTTGTGTCTAGTTCGGTTCTTTCTGAACCGAGAGAGCCTCCTCTTTATCGTGAAGAGACTTGAGGGTATAGACAACGTCTGTCCACAGATGGCAACTTGCCATTCAAGACGGACAATGGGGGGTATCATACGGTAACATCGCTGAGCGTCACATCCCTCGAGAGATGGCGGGGGAACAACAAGCTTTGGGAAACATCCCGCGGCTGAAGCCAGTGCTGAGCTGGAGAAACAGGGAAGCGCGGAAATCCGGGATCTGCGTCCTACGGCAGAGCCGCAATCAGGTGCCGACGCTGGACAGCCTCAATGTCTGGAAACATTCAGGTTTCGTGAAACGGCTGCCCTGGGCTGGCCCGTGATTCTTCACGGCAGAAAAAAGCCTTCCGATTCCCTGGGCGTCCCCGATTGCGGAACGTGCCAGCTAAACTCGCTCTTTCGTTTTGTTTTGTTTTCCCCCCCCCGAGTCAGCCCCAACCCAAGTGGACTTCGCCGTTTCCCACCTGTGCAGGTGAGGCTGCCGAAACTTCGGCGTCGCAGCGGAAGAGATTCATCTAGCAGGTTCTCGCCTGATTTCACGTCTTCGTCTTTCTCTTCTTCGAGGCGTTGCTGGCACTGCGGAGCGATGCAGCACGGACCGAGGTGTTGTAGCTCGTCTCCGAGGCAGCGCCGTCACCACCATTTTCACTCGCAGAGTCGTCGTCTGATACTTCATCCAGCGGGATCATGTCGTCCGAGGCCTCACCTGCGTCTTCAGATGCCTCGGCCAAGGACTTATCGCCCTCAGCCTTGTCATTGTCAGACCCGAAACCTTCAAACTCCTCATCGTCCCCTTCTTCTTCGTCACTGGAGGGTCCCATTGACGTATCGGCGACGCTCTCGGCCACATCGGCAGTGTCGCGCTTCCGCTTCTGCGGCATCTCGCCAAGCCTGCCACCACGGCCCTCGATGCCCTCTGTTGTCTCCGCACCCTCCTCAACAGGCGCAGGAGTGAACCAAGGAATCTTGCCGCGCATGAAGTCGTTGAGGACCATCTTGGCAACACCGTCCAAGTCGGCCTCTCCGTGCTTCAGAAGACGACCACCCTTTCGGGCAAGCATCTCGAGGAACTCAACGTGATTGGTCCAACCCTTGAGTCCATATGTTCTCTCCATGTGATGTGTCTTCACCTTCTCGAGTACAGCAGGAATGTACTGTTCGGGATTGTGGACGTTCTCTACGCGAACCACACCTCTCAGGAGAAGATCCTGAGGGGTGTCGGTCTGCGACGGCGGTACGATACCGGGGCAATCAATCATGTCTATGTGGAATTAGTTCCATGCCCAGATATGTCGAAACGGAGCTGACGATGACTTACAGATCTTGCGGGTGAGTGTGATGTACTGCCAGACCTTGGTTTCACCGGGAATCGGTGCAACGTTGGCGACCTTCTTCTGTCTCAGAGTGTTGACAATGGAGCTCTTGCCGACGTTGGGGTAGCCGATGAGGCCAACAGAGATCTGCTTGCGGTCGCTGTGGAGCTTGGCATACTGTCTGAGCAGCTCAATCAGACTACCCTTACCGAAGGGATTCGTCAGACTAGAGTGCATCGCCAGCGTAGGCTTGTCCTTGGAGAAGTGCTTCACCCATCGGGCCTGTAGCAAGTTAGCTTCTGCATGGAAGCAAAACATTGAAGACTCAAGATCATCTTGAAAGTATGTATGCTTCACTACTAAGAAATACCACCATCGAAAGGCTCGGAAGAGCACTGGCAGACTTCAACTCATCGGAAGCAATTCTGTCTCATGATAGGAAATCCAAAACGGACCCCATCAGCCCTGATCCAAGGACCAGGACAGCGAGACAGCCCTCGATTTTCCCAGTGTTTAACGGAGAACTTCCATTGTAAGCACTCAAAAGAGTGCGGAACGCTTCCTGACAAAGACACTGGGGTATGGGATGGGGGGTGGGGGGGGGGGGGGATGAAAAAAACGATTTTGAAAAAAACTTACAGCAACACTGGTAGGCACCAAGTCCGTCTTGTTCAAGACAAAGATGAGATGCTTGTGAGGTGCCTCCTCGCGAAGGTACTTCTCGACACTGCGACATCTCGTTCCCAGAGGGTCGCGAGCGTCCAAGACGTGGATGACAACGTCAGAAGAATCCAACACACGGTACAACTCGTTCCAGATACGCTTGCTCTGACCCTTGTTGAAGATGGGCTCGATCGACAAGGTGACGTGACCCTCATCCTCGTCAGGACCACCGGATTGGCCGCTGAGCAGCTTATTCCGCTCCTGGAGCTCGTTGAACTTGTCAAGGTCCTTGTCGACCTCGCCAGCCAAATCCGCAATGGAACCGGAGCCAATCTTGACGCGCTTCCGCTGGGACTTGGGCCCGAACGTGTCTCCAAAAGAGGACGTCTCAATCGTCATCTTGGCCTGGTGCTGCTTGATACCGTTGACGTTGTCGGCACCATCCTTGATCAAGGACATGGGCAGCTTGTTGCTCTTGAGCAGGACCGAGTAAGGGTCCGCGGCCTTCTCCGCCATGGCGCTCCGGAACGCCGTCAAACTCTCCTGGGAGATGACACGAGTGTTGCCGAACCACTTGCGGTTGGGATCGATCCGGGCGTTGGGGATTTCTCGGCTCTGGAAGGAGGCGGCCTTGGTGATCTCTCCATCGGCGTTGCGCTGCGGCTTGCCATCCTTGTACATGTTCAACTGCTTCACCCGCTTGGCAGAGCTGTAGACATTGCAAAGTCAGTAAACCGTTCGCACAATACCGAGCCAACATGGCATGGATGCGGTACAGAGGATAGGACCTACCGGTAGAAATTTTCGCCCTTGACCTTGACATTGCCCATGCCATCGCCGGTCTTGCCCTGGCGAACCTTTCGGCTCGCCTCTTTCTTTCCGGTTCCCATCTTTTTTGTGTGACCGCGAACTCGCCCAGTCGTCGACCTTATTGAAAAGGAAGGGGAAGACTGGAAGAGAAGGGAGGAAGGGGGAGACTGGGCGGGAGTTGGAGTCGGTGAAGTTTTTAGAGAGGATTGAGAGAAGGAGGTTGGAGCTTCGCGCGCAGTGAAAAGGAAGTTCTTTCTCTTGCGGGTGGTGGGGTCCCTTGGGAATTTTTTAGTGGAGTTGCTGAAAATTTCTGGAGCACTTCGGGACGAACAACCGCCGTTGCACCGAGGGGCCAATGAGCGGTGCCACAGGTAAGAAGGGGTGTCCTCCACAGCTGCAGCTCCAAAATTCACACCCCAAGTGTCTGGCCGTTTTTCGCATCTTCCTCAGAGACCGGGAACTCAACTGAGCAAAGGAGAAGTTTGGAGGCGCAAAAGCTGCTACTCACCACACACCCGAGCGTGTGTCTATCCAACTCTGGGCCGCCCTCAAGAAATTCTCAGGTCCATCCATCCAAACAGCAAAGCAGCTTGCCATCTCAAGCCACGAATTGACTCCATTCCCAAACTCGCCCGCTCCTATTTACACCCAGCGACTACGGCCTGATCACCATCAGACTGGCCACAATGTCGTCACGATGCTCCTGCGCGCGGCTGACGCGCCTCCCGACGACAATCGTCCCCAGACAAGCCTCCCTCAACCTCACACGACCCTTCTCCTCCACGGCGGCTCACCTCAACGTGCCCCCCCAACACCCAGACTGGATCAAGGTCCCGACGCCGCCCCAGTCCCAAGCCTCTGAGGAGAAACCCCCCATCGTAAAGGGCACCCTCCCCACGCCCCGCGACGTCTTCCCAGCAAAGGAAAAGGACCGCAAAGTCCAAGCCTCGTACCTCCTCGAGACGGCGCCCGCACCCACCAGCGCCTCCTCCACGAAGTCTGCGCCCCCCGGCTCCCGCCTCGAGCACCGCCGCCGCATGGCCGAGTCCCGCCGCGAGAACCTCGGCATCGCCCTCCAGGGGCTCTACCAGCGCAAGCAAGAGGGCGTCGAGGCTGTCACCACCGAGAGACAGCGCCGCCTCCGCGACCACCAGCGCGCCGCCGTCGCCCCCGAGCGCGCAGACGACCGCCTCACCCGCGGCTCCGTCCTCTCCTCCCTCGTCGAGACGGCCTCCGTCGCGCCCAACAAGGACCGCTACGACCAGGCCAACGCCAGCAAAGCCAGGACGGCCAGGCTCGCCGCCAAGAAGAGCGAGGCGAGACAGGACGCCCTCATGGAGCTGTACATCAATGCCTCCAAGTTCATCGTGACCGAGGAGGAGCTCGGCAAGCACCTGGACCAGCTCTTCTCCGAGGACTTCTGGAAGCGCCAGGGCAAGTCCATGGCTCACGATGCCGACAACGCCTGGGACGTCTGGGGACAGCCGCCGACGGTGCAGACCATGTTGAACGATATGCTGAAGACGCAGCAGCGGGCCATCGACTTCCAGATGAGCGATCAGGACAGGACCGTCAAGAGGCAGAAGTCGATTGCCGAGGAGTTGACGGGCGGCAAGATGGAGTAAGCGGTTACATTTTGGAATGGCCCGCTGTTCAGCTTGAAGTCGGCGCATTCGGTGGGTTGTATCAAAAAAAAATTTCAAAAAGGTGTATTAGCCGTTGTAACATCTCACATCTGTACGTTGTGGTGGCTTTGGGTCATGTCTCTCTGCATATCACCATACCATATTCCGGTTGCAGGGCCGCTTGGGGCGCACATGTCAACTTGTACTACTATCAATTCTCTGTAGCATTATAAAGCCATCAATGTCAAACTATAAACGACATGACAATCCTCCAACGCCGTGAAGCTGCCCATATGCACATTGACAGATTATTGCCTTTCGAAAGGAAACTGCCATATGTATCTCTGTGTGGTCTCTATGAAATGACCCGAAGCTGTTGCGGCTCTTGCTACAGTGGCCGTCACGCTTGTATTCTTACAATTGTATACCAAAAAGCGCCTTGAACGTCGACTCGAGCTAGCCACGCATGGCGGTCATCTCTTCTCGACAAGAAGGAAATGCATGGCGGCATAAGCAAGAATGAGGAAGACAACTCCAAAGGTACCGAGGCTGACGACATCGGTCCAAAGGGCGTCATTGTTGAAACCAAAGGAGCTCAGGATGGCGGCTCCGGGGACGGTGATGTCCAGACCATACTTCTTATCCACCAGCGTGAGTTGCAACACCTCATTGACAATGAGCGACTCGAATCCGTAATGGAAGATTGATAGCATCTGAAGCCAAAGAGCGGCCTTGGGGATAGCGTTGTGGTTGAGCAGCAGGCCAGCGAAGAGCAAGCTGAACAACATGACCAAGCTACCAATCAGGTTGGCCACCCCGCCGTCCTTGCAGATAATGCCAATGAAGAGGCAGATCGCCGCTGCAGCGAAGTTGAACAAGACCAGAACGAGAATGAACTTGAAGAAGTGGCTGGCATCGGGAACCAAGCCAGTCATCGGGTAGATGATGGCACCCATGAGAAGCGGCGGGATGATTCGCAGCGGGATAATGTCGAATAAGATCTTGGCCGCAAAGTAGGTGATTGGTGAGTAGTAGCCGTTGGCGCGCTCTCGCACGAACAAGAGCCTCTCAGTAGCGAAGACGTTTAAGCTGGTCAGAGTGCTGAATCCGAACAAGGCCAAGAGGAAGAAGAAGAGACCCAGGCGGTTCTGGAATCCCGGAATGTCATCCGTCAATCCATAGAACAGGTAACCAGACAGAACCGCGAGGAGAATAGCAATAGCGTAGTGTGTCAGCATGAGAATCGGATTTCTGTACAGGTTCTTCCATGTGCGTTGAGACAGAATGATGAACTGGCGGGTGTAGCCAACGCGAACATAGCCCTTGCCGATGGCGCTGATGTGGATGTTAGGTCCTTCAGGGTTGTAACCGTTGGCATTCTGTCCGTTGGCGCCCTGGGCGGCACTGATGGACTGCTGGATCTCGTCGTGCGTAGCGCCTGCGATGTCAGACTCGGCGAAGGATCGAATCAAGACATTCAGGTCAGTTCCGTCATATGCAGCCGGGGGGAGGTCGTGAGGATCTTCGACATTGGCAGGCGGGACAAAGCCCGCTTGATTCTGAAGCTTGTACGATCCGACATCCTCGCCGCCGGCATCCGATGAAGCAGCCGTATCAACGGCGTTCTTACGGCGAGTGAAGAGCTCCCTTTCTTGGCGAATCTTGACGGAATCACGGCGGTGGTTCTTGGGACGCGAAGACGAAGACTCAACACCGCTGTCATCGCCAATAGAGCCACCCGAAATGCTTGCGATAGACTTAACAGCAGTCGTGCTGCTGGGACCCAGGCTAGCGGCGTCCGCGTTCAGAGCTCCGTCGTCTTCGGAAGTAGAGGCACCGGCATGCATGGTGAGGTCGACCAGGTAATCGGCAATATTGAAGCCTGGGGGGCACGAGTAGCCAATGTGGTCGAAGTAGGCCTGGCACTGAGAGAAAGGACCCGAGTATACCGCACCACCGCGAGCTAACAAGACCAGTGTGTCGAAAAGCGCCACAATGTTGGACCGCGGCTGGTGAATGGTGAAGACGACAGTACGCTTGTAGTTCTTGGCCAAAGTAACCAGGCATTCGATGACATTGAAAGCGTTGTAGGCATCCAGGCCGCTGGTGGGTTCGTCCAAAAACAGAATAGAGGGACTCGTAACGAGTTCGCAGGCAATGCCGACTCTGCGCTTCTCCCCGCCAGAAATACCTCGGCCCTTGCCTTCCTCAGAGCCGATGAGAGAGTCCCGAATGTGGTAAATGCCCAGCTGCTTCTCGACTTCGAAAACGCGTTGCTCCTTGGCAGCACGACCCATGTTACGGGGTAGCCGGAGGAGGGCACTCGTCAAAATGGTCTCGTGCACTGTCAGAGTGGGCAGCATGGTATCCTCTTGGTCGACAAATCCGATGACGTTTTTGTATTCAACGTCGGTAACCTTTTCGCCGTTGACGAAGAAATCTCCAGAGACCTGGCCTCTCTTGTTCTTCCGTGCGAGAATATCGAGGAACGTGGTTTTGCCAGCTCCCGAGGCACCCATGATGGCGGTCACCTCTCCAGGATGGGCCATGCCCTGAATGTTGTTCAGGATTCGCTTTCCGTTGAGCTCGTAGGCGACATTCTCAAAGTAGAGAGAGGCAGGCTTGTGGTCGGCCATGAGTTTCAAGCTTTCGTCGTCGGAGTCGTCCAACACGATGGCGCCATACTTGAATTGTCGGCGAGAAAGGTACCACGTGAGGAGGATGACGGCGACAACGAAAAGGGAGCATGCAGCGATAATACTCGCGATGAGCGGGGTGTTGATTTTCTTGACCGGCCTTTCGTAACCAGGGACTTCGGTGTGGTACAGACACTCCCCAGAGCGACAGCTCAGTTGGATGCTACTGTCGCCGATCAATGACAGGATCAAGTCGTCCATGGCAGGCTCTTTGAAGGCGCAGTTGTTGACGCCTCCATTCTTCTGCAAGCACTGGAACTCGGCGGGGCCCTTGATCTCCTCCACCAGGAAGTCGCCAATGTCGACGGAGCCGTTCTCGCCACAGAGCATGCGGTCGGAGATGCAGTTGCATTCGATCTTACTGCACTTGTAGTCAGTGCTGTTCTGGCTGTCGTTGATGTCGGCATTGGAGGTGCACTCGTTCAAGTGGCAGTAGAAGGATTCACGTTCGTCAACCCAGACTAGAGCAGATTAGCTTAGTGGTCGCCAAGAGTGTACGGACAAGCCTACATTGGAAATCGCAGTTGCCCTCTTCCTTCTTGCAGGTAAAGGTGACTTGGGGGCGCTTCTCGCCGAGGAGATCGGTAATCTTCTTGTTGGTAACATCACAGATCTGGTAGTTGTGGTTGATGACCTCGCCATTCTGGTAGCAAACGCCGCCCTCCTTGGTTTCCATGAGAGCGTCGCAGGCTTTGTTTTCTGTACAGACGTTGCAGTTGATGCCGGTCCAGCCGTGGTCGCATTCGCAATTGTCACCGGTTCGTCGAGGTCTATCGGTGTTGTCGCCACGGGAGAGAGATCCGCAAACTACGGGGTACGTGTCAGTGATGCGCCAAACCTGTGCGACTGTGGGGATGGGGAACGTTTGGACGTACGTGGATCGAGACAGTCATCGCCGCCGAAGCCCTCGGGACAGTTACATTTGCCCGTGTAGTCATTGCAGCCGGCAAACTGGGTGCACTTGTGGGCGGGGAGAAGACAGTTGAAGCTGCGCAAAGGATGTATGTTAGCATTGAGGAGGTTATGGCACAGGCGATGACGGCGGCTTCTCGAGATAGGGCCTCTCGACGCAAGGCACTCACCAAGGAGGACAATCGGAGGGCCGGTCGTCGAGCAGGGTAAGCTGGGCACGCAGCATATCGGCCGTGGTGGAATAGTTGCGCTGTGCCGAAGCCAGTACAGGAAGACATGCCAGAGCCCCGATGAGGAGGCTCCTCAAGGCGGGAGGAGCCATGATGGGCGGGTTGAAGTGGCGGGCTAGACACCGAGTCGGATGCGAGCAAGTTGAAGAGTGGCGGCGGGAGAGATGTCGATGTTGAAGGGAGGTGAGTGTTAGGAACAGGTCGGAGAGGGGAGAAAGAAGGTCAGATCATGGAATGGACAGGACCCAACGGAGATGGACACGGCTGCGAACAGAGCGGCGGAGGATGGATGAGAGTGGAAGCTCTTGGCCTGCGGGAGGAGGCGTGTGAAGACAGACGGCAGCGACAGACCAAGGCACCGAGCCGATAGTAAGGTACCTAGGTAGCAGTCAGTACCTATCAGTAGCACCCGCCCGATTGCGCCGGAGCCGGCCGATAATAACCCGCAGCAGCAGCACCAAGCTGAGCACCCAGCAACCAGCGACGCGGCTTTGCTGCGACCTGGCTCAGGTACGTATCCACCCAAGGAGAGGTGTCTCCAGCTCGACGGTCCAATCGTGAGGTGGCGGTGGCGTCAAAATGGATAGATGTGAGGAGTACGTACCTCGACAGGCTGGGGACCCCACTGTGCCAGTCGGAAACACGCACCAGCGTCCCGTGGGGTGGCTGAACCCAACCCAAGGGCCTGGCAGCCTCTTGTGCCTGAGTCTTCAGGTTAACCTCTTTGAGCACGCAGGTAATAGGTAACGTGCCTACTACCTAGGTACTCCGTATCCGTAAGGTACGTAGATATCCAAGTACGTATCCGTAGATGACACCTCCAGTTCCTCTAGCATCCTGTAGCTCAATCTGTCAGACTTCTTCTCTTGTCACTCAAACCCCCGCCGTTTGCTCAGTCAACCGCTTCTTTGGGATGGGACGAGACAAGCCGCTAAGAATAGTTCCTCTTTGTCCCCCTCTCTCGAGTTCTTGGTACCTACTTGGTGCAGAGACCTCAACAGCTTAGCTCATGCCCTGCCCAATGCGGACAAACATACAGGGAAGACGCCTGCCAACTGCGAGATCCATGAGCATTACACTCTGCAACCTTGCACTCACTACCGACGACGTCGCCATTGAAACACATCGATACAATGCGATTGCAGATCTAAGCGTAAAGTCAAGCACTAGGCATGTCCATATCCCACTCATCCGACGCTTACTGTGTAGGTAGGCGGAGCTGCCAGTTGTGATGTACGCAGTCCATCCTCCCAACCATGCAAAGTACAAACAGCCACGATCCGACAGGTCGGAGGAACTGCCTGAGGTCTGAGGTACATTCTCACATGCTGTACATGGAACAATCCATGGCACAATTCAACCGGTTGCAGACGCCGGCTCACAGCAGGGACTTTAATCAGTGGCCTCTTAAGTAACGTCGAGCCTGATCACTGAGACCAGGTACAGCTACAGGTCGTCCCTTCAACACAACAGATCATCACCTTCGGCTGGGCCGAGCAGAATAGCTCCAAGGAATCTTGTACATGTCAGGAGTCTCAGGACTACTACTTTGGACCGAGGAACTGACACTGGCAGTGACACTGACACAATACGACTCTATACTTGGTACATAAGATTCTGGGGCACAAGTCAGAACCAAGAGCTATCTAGTCCACCCTCGTTCCACCTCGCTCTTGGAAATGGTTCTTCTCGTTCCTCTCCGAAGCTAGCAGCTCCAGCCACGGCTCAATGGGACTAAACTCAGCTCAAGTCCAATCAATCTCGTTGCTCTATCCGTACCTTTGGTCTTGCTCCCCGCATTGAATGGAACCACATTCAGGTACCCAACATCCGCGGCATTTTACTTTTCTCCAACACCACAATCCCGTACATCTGTGCCCGCGGATAGTCTTCCTAGTGGCAGACGGTTCTCCCATGCGCACCCTGTTGACGGGCCATTGACATGCGTTAGGCCCGGGACGCCGCCGTGTGCTCAAAGTGTCCAATGTTCTCTGAACAGTCCGAAGACGCATCCAGTCCGTGCTGATACGCGGGATTTCCATTAGTCGCCTTATGAACGAGGTCGAAGCAACTGTGCGAGAGTGTGTGTTTGTGTGTGTGTGTGTATAAGCAAAAGTGACCATGACTCTTGTTTGAGATCTCAGTTTCCCATGATCCCGCCAGCCTTGGCATTGTATCAATTCAACCCGGCGCAAATCGCAAAAGCCTCGCTCCTCCACGTTTCTCCCGCTCTCTCACTCCCACACTATTGCTGCCCACTAATCTTCTTCTCCTCGGCTCACCTGTCATCATCCTAATTCACCCCTTCTACGCATCCCACATTGCCCCCTCCCCCAACAATGGTCCGGATATCGGCCTTCGATGTGGAGCAATGGATGGACGAGTACGAGACCACCCCAGGCTGTCTCAACATCGCCGAGACCTGCGCCGCCTCCGTCTCCGTAAATGACCTAGTCGCCCTCTCCGAGGACAAGCACGCGCCCGGCCCCGTCGACCTCTCCACAAAGCTAGTCTATGGCCCCATCCGCGGCTCCGCCCGGCTCCGTCAGAGGGTCGCGGCGCTATGCGGCGGGGCCGGGCCAGGCTCGGACGACTCAACCCCCGGCGTGCTCTGTGAAGACGACGTGCTCATCACCCAGGGCGCCATCGGTGCCAACTTCCTGCTGCTGTACACCTTGGTGAACCCCGGCGACCACGTAATCTGCGTGTATCCCACGTACCAGCAGCTCTACAGCGTCCCTGAGAGTCTTGGCGCAGATGTCTCCCTATGGAAGCTGAAGGAGGAGAACGGTTTCGTGCCTGACGTGACAGAACTCGAGGCCCTCGTCAAGCCCAACACGAAGGTATGTTCTCTCACTTCACTACCTTCTTCGGAACTAACTCGTAACACCAGATGATCATCATCAACAACCCAAACAACCCAACCGGCATCCCCATCCCAACCCCAGTCCTCGCCTCCCTCGTCACCTTCGCCAAAGCCCGCGACATCATCCTCTTCTCAGACGAAGTCTACCGGCCCCTCTTCCACAACCTCTTCTCCCCCGGCGCGGACGCGGACGCGGACGCGGACGTGCCGCCCCCGCCCCCGCCCCCGCCCCTCACAACCTTCAACTACCCCAAAGTCATCGTCACAGGCTCCATGTCCAAATCTTACGCCCTAGCTGGCATCCGTATCGGCTGGATCGCCTCGCCGGACAAAGCCATTATCCAAGCCGTCGCCTCGGCGCGCGACTACACCACCATCAGCGTCTCGCAAATCGACGACCAGATCGCGTCCTACGCCTTATCGAAACCCGTCTGGGCGCCTCTTCTGCGGCGGAATGTCGGGCTTGCGGTTGAGAACAAGGCTTTACTTGAGGCGTTTGTGGAGAGGCATAGGGGTGTGTGTTCGTGGGTTAGGCCGTTGGCTGGGACGACTGCGTTTATACGTTTCACGCATAGGGGTGGCGAGGCTATTGATGATGTGAGGTTTTGTTTGGATGTACTTGAGAAGACGAATGTGTTTTTCGTGCCGGGGTCGAGGTGTTTTGGTCATGGGAGGGATTTTAAGGGGTATGTGAGGATTGGGTATGTTTGTCATACTGAGGTGCTTGTGGAGGCTTTGGAGAAGCTTGAGGCGTATATGCGTGTAGCGTTTCCGGAGTAAAAGATTTCTTTTTGGAGCTTTCATGATGTCTGCGAAGAACCAAGTATCTACGCTACTTCAGAAACCTCTTTACGATGCAATAACACTTGCCCGATGTGAATCGCGTGTCTTGTGCACGATGTCCAGACAGATCTGTATGCTCTAGAAGGCAATGGTAGATCTGCTAACCAATGTCAGCGATCCTTCATCTAAGAATCATTAAAGTGACACTACCATCTCTCGCTTGGCGTTGCTCAAGATCCGAGCCGACGGCCTCCCAACGAAAGCAGACATTGTCGAGATGTATTAGTTCTCCTTGCAAGTAAACACCAAATGCAATGTCATGTCTTCCCTCCCCGCGCAGTTCCCATAACATGGCAACAATCCAGATGAATGCTGACCGTCTTTGCGAAGCAGTTAACATGATGCAAAGAGACCTCGAGGCTCTCTACGGCATTCGTGTTGATGTTACGATCTCAAACATGCCCAGAAAAAAATTTGAGCTGTCTGTGGCATTATGTAGGACCACCAAATTCGAACTCGCAAACTTTGCAGGACCCATTTATGCGTTAATACTTCCTCCACTAGGTCATGGACACTTCAGACGGTGCTCATGCCTTTGATCCAAGGATTTTTACCTAATAGGCCTAGGAGCGGAATGGCCGTGGTTTATTCGTGAGTGTTTATTCCAGTCCTGACTATGAGGGAAGCACCTTTTCAATCGAAACGAGCTCGTTGCTCCTCGAGTGGGGGCGTAGAGCCACACGTAAAGTTGTTCCCTTCCAGCGCAATAACATCATTCACTTTAATATTTGCACATTCGTCACAGTGAGGCAATGTTAGATCAAAGAAACATGTGCTTTTGGGTAATATGGTAGGTATCAAAGGCGCGACTACCGCCGCGTCGACTGCCACATCCAGTCCTCATGAGTTTAGCCTCTCATGAAAAAAAAAAAAAAAAAAGAGTCTCCATCCAATAATATCACACCACCTCCTTACAGTCTGCGGAGGATATCCTCAATGACCTCAGTGGTCTTGGCGGTACCGCCCAAGTCGGGGCTGAGAAGCTTGCCCTCCTCGAGGTTGGCGTCAACAGCGGCGTAGATCTTGGCGGCAGCAGTCTCCTCGTTGAGGAACTCGAGCATGAGGGCAGCGGAGCGGATGGTGGCAATAGGGTTGGCAATGTTCTGGAACTGGATGTCCGGGGCACTACCGTGGCAGGGCTCACCGATGGCGAAGCCCTCGCCGACGTTGGCGCTGGGCACGAGACCAAGGGAGCCGACGAGGGCGGCGGCGCCGTCGGACAGGATGTCGCCGTACAGGTTGGGGGCGACGATGACATCGTAGTCCTCGGGCTGGCGGAAGAGCTTGTAGACCATGGAGTCGACAATCTGCTCCTCGACGGAGACCTTGCCGGCGAAGCGGGGGTCGGCGAGGGCGGCCTTGGCGGTGGCGCGGAAGAGGCCGTCGGTCTGGGAGAGGACGTTGGACTTGTGGGTGATTGTGACGAGGGGACGGCCGTGGATGCTGGCGGCGCCGGCGTCGCGGATCTTTTGGCGGCGGAGGGCGATCTCGCCGGCCATGGCGGCGATGCGGTGCGAGGCGTTTTCCGAGATGCGCTTGATGGCCTCGGCGACCTTGCCGTTGGGGCCGTCGTACGTCTTCTCCTCCTTGACGTAGAGGTCCTCGGTGTTCTCGCGGACAATGACCATGTCGATGGGCTTGGCGGCGGTCAGGACGGTCTTGACGGGGCGGACGTTGGCGTAGAGGTCGAGCTTCTTGCGCAGGGCGACAATGGGGGAGGAGTAGCCCTTGACGGGGGTGGTCGGGGAGGAGACGGCGCCGAACAGGGCGCCATCGCACTCCTTCTTGAGGATCTCGACCGTCTTGTCGGGGAGGGCGGCGCCCGTCTGCTCAAAGGTCTCGAAGCCGGCCTTGAGGTCGGTGAACTCGAACTTGAGGCCCAGGTAGGAGGGGAGGGCCTCGAGGACGCGGCGGCCGGCGGGGATGACCTCCTTGCCGATGCCGTCACCGGGGATGAGGCCTGCGGGTTGGAGTGTTAGTTGAGCACGGGACGAAGAACAAGTCAATTGACTCGTTCAAGGGCAGTCTTACCGATTCTAAGAGTTCTGACAGACATGATGGGCGTCAATTGGCGTCCAAAGTGCTGATTTGGAGGATGGGTGAGGGATTGCTCGGACAGAAGCTCTGGGAGAATGAGTCGCAAAAGTAAAAAATAGCCCACCTGCACGGTCGATATCGGAGGTACGGGCCATGCACACCGAGGGCCGATCCGGCGAGCGACCAATTGGTGGTCGGCACTGACAAGATCCCCCAGGGTCCTCACTGGCTTACCTTAGCCGCGGTACGTATTTTGCGGGTGTGCATCGGAGCTCCTAAACACGGTTGATTCCGCACTATTGCGTCAAGTCACGGTTACATTGGTAAATCTGGGATGCACAGTAGTACCGGAAGCGCGTCTTGGGACTCTGTCTGATTCGCTTTCGTGTCAATGGACCGAGTCGTGGCTTTGAAGTCTTACTTGGAACTTGACTTTGGCAGGCTTGGGTCGTTATGCGCTGTCAGCCTCGATGCTGTCGGCATCCACCTTGTCCTCAACACTTGGCATGTTCGATGCCGCAAACTTGCTGTCTACTGCGGGCTATAAGACAACGCGAGAACCATCCTCTGAGACGGAACCTACGGAGTGCAAGGTAGTATCTGCATGTTCGCCGCCGACTTTCGGCCATGGGACGGATTACACGCTGGAAACCGGTCAGTCGGCATATGAGAGAGCTCACGGAAGAGGGAGAAGTGGCCCAAAGGCAGAGCAAGGGCCGAGAGAAATTTCCTCCCCACATTCTATACTTCTTAGCGTGTTGGAGAGGAACGGCCCCCCAAGGAATCGTCGAGTCGAAGAGCGGGAAAAGGGCCCCCAAACCCGGTTCTTCCCTGTTGCTGCGAGCTTCCAGAAGACGGGAGGTTCGCCTCGCGCCGGGAGCGGTATGACCACCCCCAGAAGCTGGAGTCCTTGAGTCCTTGCCTCCCCTCCAGGCTCCGTGTCTCCGTCCCGAGATGGGAGATGATGTTCACTTGCCACTGCTAGTGGACACGACTAGACACATATCGGAGGCGGGATCGAGACTGTAATGATTGACGACTGGGTAGAAAGAAGAGGGGTTCCAGGTTCCAGTGTTCCAGATACACAACTTCTCCTCACTACGGATATTGAATCTTGATGCACACGAGGCGACGAACACGATGGGAGTTTTGGGGTTATTGATTGATAATGGAGATGGGGCTTTGTTTGCAGTTGCTGGAGCAGCCGGATATATTAGCAATGATGAGACGGTTTTTCAATGTCAACAATGCTAACTTTTTTTTTCTCTCCTTCCGCTTCTTGTACGGATACCTGCGCGTCTTTTTGTCTTCCTTTGTCCCCGCGTGTCTGAGGGGCCCGAGGAGGACCCCCTTTCTTTGAACGAATAATGCATTATGTTCCTGAATAACGGGCCAGAGCTAAGGTACGTTAGACGACAAAAGGCGGTAAGCCAAACCACATGCAGCTACTAGATACGCGATGGGCTCTGCAGATACGCACTAATGCACAAAACGGATAGGAAGTTGGAGAGGTTAACTGAAACGGGAGACCGTGCATAAGTATCTCGATACGTACCGGTAGCTTTCCATTTGAGAGGGGAAAGAGAGCAAGAAGGAAGAGTTGTTATACAATGAAGCTGTTCAGGAGACGATACAGACAAAGGAGAAGAGAAAAGACACCGAGGGGACGTTTGGCATTCGAAATCAACGACCAAAACCCGTCACGCCAACCTACGTACGGAGTAGTCAGGTACGAACAGAGTCATTGCTCTCCGGCTAGCTGATCCCGAAGTCTGCCATCTTGTTCAGTTTGCCCGTGCCCCCCGAACACTAGCAGATGGCTCCTCTCACTGAGGCTTTTTGGCACGGCCGTCGTTGACACAATCTCCCGACCAGCTCAGAACGCCAATTTCAGGTGGGAGGGGGCATCATTGGGGGCCAGTTGGCCTCTCTTCTCTCTTCCTGACTCTTGGACTCTTGAGTCTTGAGGCCCAAAAGATGGATAATCACGAGTACCCAAGCTAAGAAAAAGGGGGCCATCGATGAGATCCCAGGGCCCATCACCAGTGACCACCCACCACTCAAAACGATGAAACCAAAGAGTCACTGTCATTCACCCAGTCGTCTTCGTCGTGTCTGGAGAAGCTGCATTTCGATACCAGAGCAGTGGCCCGGAGGAAATGAGCTGCCTTCCAGAACCATGTTCTCTGGTAAATTGACCCCAGCTGGGCCAATGGATTTCCCACTCGGGGTCCCTGCAGTCGAATTCGAGAAGCGAGAGAGGATGGTCCAGGGCCAGTGACACGAGGTGGGTTGCTGCACTGCTGCAGGCGTCCTGCATAGAGGAGGCCCATGTCCGGACCGGTGCTGTGTAGATGCATAAGTACTTATGGATACACTGTACTTGAGGTATCTCGAGGATGGATATCTCGGCTCCACTTGAGCTTCAAGTACCTTCTACTTCGTACAGCACAACGTACCTTAGCTCCTGTGTGAGTGCGGATACATGCGTCTTACATAACATCCCACCGCCTTGTGAAGGTGTCAGGAGTGCAACTTGCATCTGGCAGGCTGGCAAGCGCGTCGGGACGGTTTGGTAGCGTGGTAGCAGAGCGAGCATGTGCGTTCATGGGAACCCCTGAATACCAGTCCAGTCCCTCAAGCACCCCTCGAACTAATGCCCCCTATGGTGAAGTGTCTGTACAGATGAATGACTGGTCCTGGATAGTTCAGCATAGACAGACAGCGAGGTTGGAGAGCGATTAACAGTAGTGGTGGTGGGCTCCTTTGGCTCGTTTGGATCGACCCAGTCACGCCCATTGCCCAAATATCCACGTCGGCCGTCCCTTTTCCGCCTCTGATTATGATTATGGGGTGTCCGTAATTTAAATGCCAGCCCTGAAGGACAGCAACCTCACTTCCCTGGGTCTTCCCCTTCTCGAACCACCCACCTTTCGACTCTCGTCTTTTTCTCCCCCATACATCACCGGGACTATCACTCTGATCCCAACGGCACGGACACGCAAACGCGCGACTGCGACTGACCACCTTACAAGTTACAACCCTACCGAGGCCTGGAGACGAACGAGACTTTGGCTGAGACATCCGAACAACACATCACCCAACACAAACTGCATACAACACCACCCACCGCAACAACCGCTTGCCAGCAGCCATACTTCCCGCTACCGTCTTCTGTTTGACAGCTTCAACAACCAAAATCCCCCGACCTACTGTTGATCATGCATCTCCAGCTGTCATAGCAACTCGCTATTCCTCTACCATATCTTGCCCAACACTCAAAAACCTTCAGCCGTTGGGCAGTGTCTGCCTCACTGCACTGACACCGCCGCGACGAACCCCCTCCGCCCCCCTGCGCCGTCCTGCCTCGACCCACGAGAGCTGCGTCGCGACATTGTGTGCTGCTTTCCCTCCGATCCCGACTTGAGCCCCGACTCCTCCGTAAACACGAGGACAGACCCGGGTATGCGCCTTCCCTCCGGCAACATCCAACGTCCGAGTCCACCATTGTAACCCACCACGCCTGGCGCACGCGATTCTTGCCTCTAGACTTCTTGTCTCAAAAACGATCCACCCGTCGCAACTTCCACGTATCCCTCATAGCTTCCCCCAACACCTTGGTTGAAAGGAGTCGCTCGTCAGCGACCCAATACAGCCGCCATGTCAGGCGTTAAGAACCTCCGGGCCATGTTCGAGCAAAAAGCCGACTCGAGCCCCCCGGATCGGGGAAGGTCCCCTGGCCTCTCCTCCAGTAAGTCTCCCCCCGCCGTTCTTAGCTCCATGGCAATAGACGCAGCTTCTCTCGGGGAATTCACCTGGTCGATCTCTTCCTGAAGCAGAGGACTACCCAGCTTTGCTCTCCAGACACCGTCTATCCATCGTGTACGCATTTCAACTAACCTAATACCTATGCAGACGGCACCGAAACTCCCCCTCCATCATTCACCCGCCCACTCTCCAAGATTCGAACGAGCTTTGTTGCTGTCGAAAAGGACGGAAAAGTAGGGCTCCGCCGAGATCCCAGTAACGAGTCGAGTGTGTCCCAGCGAAGGCTCAGCAGCCATACCGAGGGAGAGGCATCCGTGTCTGGCCTCTCTGATAAGACAATGGCCACCGAGGACACTTCTGGGGGCTACAAAACAAATATCGTCGGCAGCCCCATCCCCGAGTCTCCTCGCCGCCCCGACGCGGACAAGCCCACAAATGGAGCCTCGCCTCGTAACTTGGGGGCCCTGAACAAACACCCGAGCCACAACCCCGACAAACACGTAGACATCGAAACGCCTACACCAGAGCTGCTCCCAGGCGACCCGACGCAGACGTCGCCCGACCACAGCAATTCCAATGGCACCGCTGCTACAAAGACCGCCGGGGCCGCGGCTCCCAAGAACTTGGCGAAGACCACCGCTAAACCTCCTGCCAAACTGGCACCTCCCGCGACCATCACGAGAGCAAAGACGCCGCTTAGGTCCCCAGTCACGGCCAAAGCCCCTACCACGGGAGCTGCAGGCTCCAAGCCGAGCGCCCCCAAGGCTCCGCACGATACCTCAAAGAAGCCGGCCGAGAAGATGGCGACTTCGACACCCAAGTCAGGCGCGAAATCGGCAGGCACCAAGAAACCTACCCCCGTGCAGGTTTCTCCCTCCAGCGGCGTTGGCTTTGTCAAGCCCAAGGTCAAGTCACCCACCAAGCCCGTGAAGCTGCCTGCTTCGCTGATGGCCCCGACTGCCGCCTCCGTCCAGAGAGTCAAGGAAGCTCCCCGCGAAAGCCTCTCGCGTGCCTCTGGCAACCAGGGTCGCCCGGCTAGCAGAGCGAGCGCGCCCGGTGCTGCGGCACCACCCAAGACCCTAAAGCGCCAGAACTCAGTTATCAACCGGCCCCGGCCCAGCATTGGCCCACCGCCAAAGAAGCCCCTCGAGGACCACCCCATCACCAAGAAGGAGAAGGAGGTTGACGAGGGCTTCCTGGCTCGCATGATGCGACCCACGGCGAGCTCGACCTCGAAGTTGTCGGAGAAGGCTCCCGTTACCCCTCCTAGAAGCAGGAGTGCAAAGCCCAGCAGTGCCAAGAAGGCTTCCGCTTCAAGGAGCCCCAAGAGAGCGCTCTCTAGGCCGGCAGCGGTGCGAGCGGGAAGCCGCACAGGCAGCCCTTTCGCCAACAAGAAGGAGGCTCCCGTCAAGAAGGTCGTTGAGACCGCAGAGGCCGAGGCCATCGCCGAGGCACCGAGAACCCCAGAGGCAAAGGCACCGGCCACACCAGAGCCCATTATCGAGGAGACGGAGACCGCGGCGCCTGAGCTGGGGGCCGTCACGGAAGAGCGTGTTGAGGAGGCTGAGCTCGACGACATCACGCAGCAGACTGCCACGCTCGACCTCAAGGAGGAAGAGGCCGAGGACCAAGAGCTTAAGAGCCCGGATGAGTTCGAGGAGCTGCTAGCGGATGAGAAGGAGGCGGCGGAGGACCAGACGGAGTCAGCTCCGGTCCCTGTTGAGGCGACCACAGAAGTCAAGACTGAGACTGCATGAAAAAAGAAAAAAAAAACTGTGTCGAAGGGCGGCGGAGGTGATTGTATAGTTTTAGAAACCATTGGGGTGTACCATGATACCTGACCGACAAAAAGGCGTAAATTACTTCGTGAGAGATTTCAAAGTTCCGGAGCATGGAGAAGTTGGTGTCTGGAGCCCGAAATCAGTTATAGAGAATGAATACCACTCGCACAGAATTATATTGTTTCCTTGGATATGAGGATGGTTCCATGGTGATTATGAAACGTGAATGATTTTCTACGCTGTCCTGCATCCTGGTGATCAGTATCCGTAGAGTAGCTGAACGACAGCTCGACCTAGGTGCTCCTCAAGGAGAGGCCTTGCTGCAAGCTCGTTACGAGACGAAAAAGCTTCAAAAAATGGTGTGTTCGTGTCTTCTCTAGAATACAACTTTTGTACAGTATATGGAGGACATGGCTCCTACAGAGCTGCCGCGGGTTAACCTCGAGGCCTGCCCTGTGGTGCCTTCTTTTTCCCAAGACTCCTCTTTTCCGAGGCCCAGTCACTCTCTCCTCGTAGGGAGTGGCCATCAAAATCGACCCTTTCTCTACAGGCCATCTTCCTTTCCCTCCTTGCCTACAACGAGACTTTCTTGTTCTTCTTCCTTATCTCGCCCGGCACAGCACCATACCGCCAACTTTCCTCGCCAACGCCTCCCTGGCCTCCAAAATACCCCTATCCGTAGAAATAAACAGGCACTCCCCCATTGCAAGCCCCTTGACGAGCCCGTTCTTGGTCGGGAACCCGCGCACGACGAGCTCGAGGTCCTCAATGTGGACGTTGATGGGCCTTGTGGGCTTGGTGACCATGTTCAGGCCGCGGAGGACGGGCTCGTTGTTCCAGTACTTGAGGCCGAGCCAGAGGCGGCGCGTGGCGACGTTGGACGAGGTGACGGGTTCCGGGTCGCGGAGGAGGTCTTCGGGGGCGGGCGGCGACGGGCCGCCGCGGTAGAGGGAGGAGACGAAGCCGGAGCGGTGGAGGGCGAGGGCGAGGTTGAGGTTTTGCTTTGTGTTTGTGACGGAGGTCATTCCTAGGCGGGCGCGGGATGCGTTTTGGAGGTGGGAGCACATGTTGATTACGTTTGTTAGGCCGCCCATTTTTGGATTTTGAGGTGGGGAGCAAAGGCTCGCCGGGTGTGTGTGGGTGTGTTTGGTTCGAGGGAGGGTTTGGGGGGGTCGGGTGTGGTCGTTGAAGTCGTTCGCGATGCTGGAGGACGGTTGTTGGTGATTTGTCTTGACGTGCTCAATTGGCGGGCGGAAGCTTACTGTGCTGATATTCAATTGACGATCGATTCGACGGTGTACAGGTCTCGAGGTTCGAAAGGAGTGTGCGTTGCGCGTCGACTGGCTCCAATGGTACCGCGAAGTATGATCCGTCACCACGCAATCAAGCCACAGGGAAGCTATCGCCAAAAATTTGGACACGCCCAGCCCGACGGACGTCGAATGATGACTAAGGCAGAAGTACATCGGTACCTCGGTCACCACACCTTCTTCCACCGAGTCACCTCACCTCACCTTGGCTTGAGGTACCTTACCTCACCTTAGAAAAAACGGCCAAGCCGAAACAGATCCGTGCTCCACGGCGCTCACGTCGGACTCCACTCCCCGACGACGGTAGTTTCCCGTGCCACGGCTGCTCACCAGTGACCAACCCCCGGCCAGAGCTCCTGATTGGCTGTTCCCGACGTCCTGTAAGCGCCGAGTTGACCACTCGATGCGACCAGCTGCAGCTCACCACCCATGTATTTCACAACGGACGCAACGCAAGCAGGGCCTGGCACGCGCATGGTCTAAGGTAGCTTGGAGCTTCTGGCACCTGCAAGAGTATGGCGGGGGGGGGGGGGTTGGGCTGGGTTGATGGGCGTTTGCGAAGTCGCAAGACCCCAAGGTAAGGTAGTCACGTAGTGTGATTCTTCCTTTTTGTCACTTGCGAATTGTTTTTTTTTTGCTCATGCCACTGGAGTCTGGAAGGGGGGCTCTCGAGGCGGTCTGGCTACCGAGTGGTACCAAGATAAAGAGAGAAGAGGGCTAGAGGGGTCATTGGGTGATTGATCGCACGAGAGAGACAGAGAAAGAGAACTTTGGATCGTCGAGACTGGTCTGCTCTGGTAGTAAGCAAGCTACACAAAACCTCGACAGTCGACACCACCCTCGGCGCAAAACAGTCCATCTTTTCCCACCTCCCCTTCATACGAAACTCTTGTCCCCTTTTTACCTCTCTCTCTCTCTCTCTCATCTTGTTCCTGAAATAAACCAGGTGCCACACACACACACACACACACACTCATCTTCTTTCCAATTTCGCCCGCAACAGAGAGCTCTGTTGGTTCTCTATTCGTACCTGCTGCCGCCCTTGGCTACATAACCTTTTTCACCTTGGGTGACCTGACCGAGGCGGGGTAATAATTTTACCAACGCGCCCCAACATCCCAAGAAAGTTGCGCGCCTCTCTGGTGCTTGTTCAATCGGATCATCGGCCCAGGGAGTGGTCCCGAACCCTTGGACAGAGACAGACTGAGCAAGGAAGCTATTCTTGGAGCTTCCTTTGTTGGTCATTGTTGGAAGTTGGGGCAAGCGTAAGGTTAGGTGTTTGGAGGGGCTGCTCGCAGCAATCCCACAATAGAGAATGGCGACCCGGCCGGGAGAGGAAAATGTTGCTACTCTGTGAGTTATCTTGTTGGTTTTCTCTCTCTTTTCGAACAGGTGGTAGAGAAGCGTAGGAGCTCGTGTTGTCTCTTCCAACTACACCCTCTTCCTCGGGTCTTTCTCCCTCTCTTCCTCAGTCTCTCACCATCCACACCCGGCACGGACGTGGGATTTTGCGTTCTGCGACCCGTACACATATAGAGGCGCGCGCGCATACACAAGAAAATGGCGGCTGCTGACTGGCCTCAAACGCTCAACAGCTTCGGGGACGTCCATTACTTTTACGGCCCGCCGACGAGTAACCCGCCGCACCACCGCTTCGACAAGGGATCCTACGTCTACCTCTTTGAGAACGCAAACGACCGCCGCGCGCGCATTGAGATTGCCAACCAGCCCGGCAGCGAAGATCAAGATGCCTTTGACGGATGTGCGTAGAAATCCCATGTCTCTCGTTCTTGGAGCTCCATCATATCTAGAGCTCGAGACTTAAAGCTCAAGCATGAGCTAGAGCTATCCTGCACGCCGCAGAAAGAGCTTCGCTAACCTCCCGCCCCCATCTCGTAGTCCTCGACAAGACGCACGTCCGATACTCGTACAACCACCAGTGCATGGTAACCCTCATCGTAGGCGAGACGACGGACCAGATGGAATGGCACTTGCCCACCTACGACCCCCAGAACCAGAACAAGTACCACTACAAGCTCCACTCTCTCGACATTTACTTCTGGAAGGCCGACGACGCCCTCCAGTTCGTCAACGGCATCCGCTTCGTCCTCCCGCCCGCGCAGGTCGAGATCCTCGACGAACCCCAGCAGCAGCAGCAACATATCCAGCAGCACACGCAAAACCAACCCGTGAGCTCCGTAGTCCAACAACTCGAACAGGTCGCGATATCAGACCCAAACTACGGTTCCCCAAGGGGCGCTTCTGCACAGCAGCAGCAGAACGGCTCAGCCTTTGCCGGGCCACCTACCTCGGCCGTAGCCGCCGCCGCACCGCAAGCCCAGCAACAACAACAAGAGCAGCCGGCGAGCTTCGTCCCAATGGCATACAACCCCGCCGCCCCCGCCGCCCCAGAAACGATCCGCCACAGAGAAAAGACCCCGCCCCCCGAAGACGGCGTCGCCGACCCGCTAGCCGCGGCCGTCGCCTACGACGCGCAGGCCCCGTTCTCGCCGGGCTTTGTGCCCCCTCCCGGGTTCCAGAGCGCACACGGTCAGGGACACGGGGCCATCGGCCTCCCCCCGCCTCCTCCGCCGCCGCAATTCGGTGGTCCCCCAGGCCAACCCGTCCTCCAGCGCGCGGTAACGATGCCAGCGCAAGCCATACACGGCGGCCTCGCGTCACCGGGTCTAGCAAACCCGTACGGAAGCCCGTTCCCTTCGTCCCCTGGCTTCGCGCCGCCCCCTCCGCCGCCGGCTTCTCAACCGCCTCAACTGCAACAGCCGCAACCGCAGACGCAGACGCAGACGCAGACGCAGCAGGGAACCCCGCAACCGCAAGCCGCTGCCGTTCACGACCCTCCGACACCGCCTTCAACGACTTCCGCCGCATCCGCGCCGCCTGCGGCTGGAGCACCGATGTCGCCTCCGCCTGGCGGGTTCTCGCAGTACTCGTATAGCAGCAGCAACGGACAGCAGCAGCAGCAGTCGGGGGCGTTTGATTATTCCATCCATCAGCAGGCGTATCGGCCTACGGAGATGGAGGCGAGCAAGCATAAGGGGTATACGGGGAAGCAGGACCCGTCGGGGAGGCTGGAGGCGAATGTTGGGAGGTTGGAGAAGGGCGTTACGGGGATGTTTAGGAAGTTTGAGAAGAAGTTTGGGTAAATGGAGGATGAGGATGTTGTGGGATTTGGTGTTGTGGGTTGGGATGAGGGAAGAGGGGAGGGGGGATATAATTTTTGATGAATTTTCCTTGTTCTTTAATTCCATGATTGAATATGTAGGTGAGCAATCCTGGGTAGTTGACCTTGAAGCAAATACTTCTTTAGAGACTTCTTTTTCAACCGATATTTCTGGGATTGCGTGCCTCGTCAACCAGTTGGACTTTTGCCTGGGTGTATACTACTTGATCAGTGAAGTTGCCTCCAGCAAATTAGCTCGTGAGGTACAATACCGTCAATGTCATGGCCCCCGGTAGTCGAGGCAGCCTCATCCAAATCTCGTCACAGAAGCCAAGTAGTCATCGCCTTGAGACCTGTATACACACTCGTTCTTCCCCTCCTCTAGTTCCCTCTCTTCGACCGAGAGAAAGGGGAGACATGTAGCGATTTCACAGTGTAGGTTCCCGACGACGATGAGAGGCCACGGGCCACTGTTATTATTCAATCTATCCCAACCTATTCAACTAGGGGTTTTCCGTCTTCCAGGGAGGTCTTCTCATGATGTTGAACGAAGATTGCGTTTGCAATTGAACTTCCCCATCAGCCCAAAGTCCAAAGTACCTAGATCAAAGCACATGCTGGGAGAGAACTACAAGCACCCCAGGACAAAAGACTCGAATGCTTGCTTCCTTAATAGGGTGAATTGCTGATGTTAGAGGTTGCGGATTCCAAATGAATGTCCCCTGCGAATTTAGTTCATAGACAAGAAGAGACGGAAACCTCTATCCGTTCCTCAGAAGTAAGTCCTTTATTTTCACCACAAGTCTTAGGTGAGGTAACAATAACCCTCGGGCCTTTCTTGCAAAAACTTAACCAATGCAGCATTTCTTAACCCAGCGGTAGCTTCAAAAGAGGCAGTGGTGTCACTTTCCATGCGTTGTGAGTGTCAGTATAATCTCGATGCAGACGGTCGCAATCTCCATCTCCGAGCCGATATCAATCAGTCGCTCACATGGGCAGGGCAGGCAGCAAGCAGAAGCACACCAATCCCACAGTAATCGTGTCGATCGGCACTTGTACGTCATGCACGGATGCGATTAACAACGTGGTGGCCTAGCAAGCCCGGGGAAGGATTCGCGACATTTTGGGGGCCGGAATACCGCTCCGTCAGATCGAGCTTCTCACAGGTGGCAAAGTGTTGAGGCTTTGTTGGTCTCCGGCATGTGGTGGCGGGCTCGGCTGGCAGGATTCATGATACAGAAACGCAATGCGTGGTGATGAATCCTGCGAGCGCGAGCTGCAGCTGACAGTGGATAAGTCTCCGTGAGACAGCGGGATGGGCTCGCCGGGTGCGATAGCGCTCTGCCTTTATGACATGATTAGGGTCTCTGATATTTGGACCGCAGCTCTCCTTTGCATAGTCTTTGGCCAACCAGAATATCAAAAGTAGGTACGGATACTCCTTGGATGAGTTGACAGGAATCGGGACCAAGCCTCAGCTCGTATAAGTCAAGATTGTGGCACCTTGAGAGAGCCGATTCAACGTTGCGTCGCCTTATATTAGATGCGGAATGATTCCAGATTTCGCGCGGGGGTTGCGCTGGACGGCGCCTTCGAATGGGCTGACACAATGGGCCTAACTACTAGGTCGTCCGACCCGAGGCACGGCCGGCTGCCCTAGAGGCAATGGCTGCTGTGCGAGATGGCTGGTCGTCCCTCTCTCTCTTCTTGAGTCCTGTCAGCGCTACTCGCGAAGGTGGACGAATGAGAGGGTGCGGCTAGGCGATTGGGTGGTTTAAGACGGCGTGCAGAAATGTCTTAGACAAGAAGTGCATCTGTCTTAGACTTGCATAGTAGCTGGGCTTTCGTTCCTGAATAGCGTTGCGCCTTGGAGGAAGTCTTGATGGCCGTGTGTCAGTCTCTGTTCTGTTGCGAAAGTCTTGATCTCGCAACCCATGTGTCTGATCTAGAGAAACGGCATTCGAGATATGTCTTCGGGAAGGGCTGCGGCAGCTTTCGAAGAATGATGAGGCACCTGCCTGGGCTGACTTGACTTGCATTTACAGCGAAAAGCTTGGAGTAAGCCCATGCAGGCGGCAGCCCCTCCGTCCCCAGCCACATGGTCATCATGATGCAGATGAGGCGGTGCTGAAGACCGCGGGGCATCCCTGCCATTCCTTGAATGGCTCGCGAGCTGCCAGGCAGCCCAGTGTTGGCGGTTAATCTTCTCACAAGTCATAACTTACCCACGCCATCTCACCTATCCCGGGGAAGCCTACCATGTCTGTGGGCTGTGGCAGAGCAGCAGATGGGCTCGCATACTGAGAGGGCAGCAGTCGGTGGCTGGTGAGAGGTGCTCTAGCCTCTAGAGACTGATGCGTTGACATTGCTTGGTTTTCGTTGCACTGTTGCTGGGCCATGATGCTTGTTGCTGAAAATAGTATACCGTTACCGGGCAAAACTGGAGACTATGCTGGGCATACGGCGCTCGAGTTCTTCTTGGCTAAGTGGGTTCAATTCAATCGAGAAGCCCAAGCCGGATGGCGGCATGGCATGGCGACGGCGTTCCTGAGGAGGCCCCTGCTAATGCTTAAATTCGTGACACGGCAAGCGACGGAAGCGAAATCACTGCCCTAGGGCATGGAATCGAATGAAGGGCCGGCAGCAACAGCGTCTTGTCAAGGACAGATTAATGCTGTCGTCGACTCGTCAGGCGTGAGAGATCGTTTGGTCTGATGTCACTCGTGGACCCGAATCAAGACAGGAAACGGGGAAGTCGATGGAGCAAAAGTGATGAGGTTTCGACGTTTCGTGGACCAGAAGTTTTAGGGCCGAATGACACCGTTGCAACAAGCCGCAAGCCACACGTCAAGCCTCAAGGACAGGCTGCCGGCGCGATGGGATCGCCAGTGACGATGATAGCGCCAGCGCTGTATGATGTCTCCGTAGCCTGTGCTACCGTGCAGAGCGGGTTCACCACTGACAAGACTGGCGCCAACCCCAACACCGCCCTATCCAGGGCACCGCCTCACGCCCCGATAGTCTGGGTTGGGCTGACTGAAAGTTGGGCCCCCCTGGGAGGTGTCTGACGCAGCGACCATCGTCTCGCTCGAATGTTGACTGCAGATGTGTGGTCCTGATTTGGCACTCGTACTTGGGAGGATGATGGTGATGTGGATGGAACCTCCAGTTGCTCAGTGAACCCCGGAGAACGACAATTCGATTCGATCGAATGCCCTGTACGTGAAGGGTTTGATTGAAGAAACAATGCTAGTTGTTTGCTCTGCGAGTGAAGTTTGATAGACGCAGCGGACAGGCCTATTTCCTTCATGTTTCGCCCAGCCCGTGTTTGCAGATAGTCTTCCTGGTAGGAGTAAGGAGTAGGTATGGTCATGCCATGTAATCTTGTACACGGATACGTACTTCGTACTTGGAAACCGCCGAGAATGATTCGACGAAGAGTGTTTGCTGATTTGGGTTAAACTCAAATAGTTGATGGTTCGGTCGGCCTGCCGTCCTATGTCTACCCGGAGCGGCATTGAGTATGGACGGGACGGGATTGTCTTGTCTGATATCATTGACAGCGAAGGCCGTTGCCATTGACTCGAAGCCGTTCCGCGGGGTCCAGTGCAGCTGCGTGCGTAAGACAGCAGAGACTCATACTGTAGCTAGAGAACCAGAGAGAGGGAGGACGCGACGACTTGCATCGTTCTCGAGCAAAGTTGTAACGGGATGAGCGGCGCGCACAGCAACGTGGAACCTGGACAAGGTTAGCCCGCCCAGAGATTCTTCCCGCCGCCGGCACCCACTAAGGAACATACACGAGCGACGCTAACGAGGTAAGCTACAAGGCGGCCCACCTCGAAGGAGGGGAGGGGAGGTTTGTTGTGCGAGGTACCTCGATGCTCACGTTGGAGTTGGTGGCTGGTGAAGTACCTTTGAAACACGGTCAGAGAGAATGAAAGAAAGACGGGGGGAGAAAGAGAGAGAGAGAGAGAGAGAGAGAGAGAGAGAGAGAGAGAGAGAGAGAGAGAGAGAGAAAGAGAGAGAGAGAGAGTCTCGGGGTCCAGCAATGGATGGCAACCGCCGACCCGACTGCGATTGCAACAGCAGCTGCAGGCCCGGCCGTGGGCAGCTGTAACAATCCACTTTTGCCTGCTCTGCTCCTGCCTCCTTCTCGTGCGGTCGTGCCTGCCTCAGTTGTGCCTGCCTCCTGCCTTCCGTTGAAGCTCGACGAATACACAGCAGTACGTACCCAAGGTACCTAAGGTAAGTACTCCTGCGCTGCGCTGAGGCATCCGCATCCGCATCCTCATCCTCATCTTCATCCGCAACCTCGACCGCGACATCAACCTCGATTCCGTCCTTTCTTTTCAGGTCGTCTTTCCCCTCTCACCTCCCGTCCTGCCATACTTCTTCACCAAACATCTTTCCGCCATCCTCCAATTCATACCAATCCAATATATACAACTTCCTCCACTGGTCACAATACACCGCGGCCCGGTCATCCTGACGGCCACGTCCAACATCCAACACGCTTACGGATACCCGCCTTGGATACCTACCTTACTCAGACAACCCCAGAGACATTCGACAGCGGTGATCCGATCCAGCAACGCTGCTGCCTCTCCTTCATCCGCATCGCCTCCGCCTCCCTCCTGCATCCCGACCAAGACCCAAGACCAAGCACCCATACTCCGTACTTCAAGGGCAAGGCACCGACCTGCTGCTCCGTGCCTCCCAGCCTCACAGGCTCACACCCTTCCCGGATCCATCCAACCCACTCACCCACCCGAAAGGACCCTTCGTCGCTCACCACCGACCGAGTCCCACTGCGGCCTGCCTTGCACACTGCACAGCACTGCGCACAGAGAAAGAGGTACAACTACTGACCAGGGCAGTCTACGGGCACGTATACGTACCTCGCCGCCAGCATCTGGACCTGGACCCGGACCTTTGAGGTTGACCCTGTGCCACTACCACCGAGGCACCGCTAATACTACCAACCTGCACCTTGCCTGGACCTGGTCCCGTCAGTCCTCGCCTCACCTCACCTCATCTCACCTCCAACCGCCAAGTCAACCGACTGCTGTTGCTTCCCTCCTTCTTTTCCTCCCACATCACCTTTCGCCTACTCCCACGTTCACGAAACTTTTGATCGTCACCTGCATCGCCGTCCCCTCGTCTCCGATCCAACGCGTCCCCATAAGCGTTCCTGCAATTACCGAGTCTCAATGTCCCAGTCCTGACGCTTATTATTCGCTTTGCGCAGCTGGGACGCCCCGCCTTAAACCGCCTTGCCGTTAACTCTCCAGCGCCTCTCGACCTTAAACCGCCGACCCTTCCGTTCCGGTACTCAATCGAATTCCAGTCGCTCGTTACACACAATGTATCTCAATATGCGAATACCACTCGATCCGTCCATCGGTTCCCAAAGTAGCTCTCCTGCGACGCTGCAACGCCGTGAAGAAATCGACGGCAGAAAAATTACCACAATTGTAAGTGACAAGACATGTGAAGGGCTGTTCCGCGTCCTCCACCACCTTTGACTAAGCCGCTAACGCCAATCGCCACTAGGTCATCCTCGCTGTACTGGTTCTCCTCATATTTATCGCCTTTGTCGTCTTTTCCTTGCGCGCATCTCGTCGCTCTACCCGCGGCAACAGCAACAAACCTCGCAGTGGCGGCGGCGGCGGCGGCGGCGGTTTTTTCAAGTCAATATTGAAAACCGGAGGCCGAAACAGATACCGACAAGCTCAGGATGAAGACTCCACCTCTACGGAGCGACTGACTGATCGCCGTCGCTCCCGCCCAACTTCTGTCGCATTCGATGCCTCGGCCGATCAGTCGCAGGCTGACTCCCGCTCCCCCAACAGCGCTGTCAACCGCAATACCTCGATTCGCTCGATTATGACTCTGCCTGCTTACCGACCTGATCCGAACGAAACTGAGCAAGTCCTGGGTCGTGAAGGCGAACGCGGTGGCGTCGATGTTGTTATCGAATATCCCACGGAAGAAACAGAGGAGGATCTGCGTGATCAGGAGATGGAGGCCCTTTATCAGATCCGCTTGGCCCGCCGCCAGGAGCTTGCCGAGCGAGAGGAGCGGAGAGTGGAGCGTCGGGAAGCCCGGGAACGTGGTGACTTCGTAGCTCTGGACAACATCCGGTCCAGAGCTCGGGCTGCCAGCAATAACAGCGTTGTCGCTGTCCTCCGCGAAGAACATGATCGCCTGAAGAATGAACGTCAGAGAGCTGTTTCCAGTGTCTCCTATGCCGACCTCGGTGTTGCTCGTCACGACGGCACACGACTTCGCGCCAACAGCAACGAAAGCGAGAGGATGGGACTGCTTTCGGATTCCGCCAGTATTGCCGCCACCTCAATCCGATCCGGAGCCGAATCAGCTATGAATCACAGGAGGGGAAGCTCTGTAATGAGCATCGAAAGCGATCTTCCTTCGCCAGGATTTACTTCAAGATCGCGGGCGAATTCGAGACCAGACACACCCCGCCTAGATACCCGGGCAGGGTCCAGTCCGGATGTCGAAGCTGACGTTGGAGACGCTGGCATGCCCATTTACTCTCCACCTGGATACGACGAAGTCTCGCTTGATGACGAGCGATCCAGGAGTAATACTCCCCAACCTGGCACCGAGCCCCCGCCGACGTACCCCGGCCCTGCCCAGCAACGGGCAGAGAGCATTGCCTCAAACATGGCCGATATGGCAGCGGATGAGCAGACTGCGAACGGCTCTGCAGACTCACGCCGCAGCTCAAGAGTACCACGACTACCTAGCTTACGATTGCAGCAAGTGCCGCAAATCGTGATAGAACCTTCCAGCGCCAGACCTCACGATGATAGGTGACGACGGCCTGGGCTGGGATCGCGCGAACCATATTCAATCTCATGATTACGGCTGGAAGTAATGAGCCTGTTGCAAACGAATGAACGCCTGGAGACTATTTTGTTAGTACATACCTTGAAGGGCGAAAACACATACATGTTGGATGGGGGCACTTGCCCTCCCCAGGCAAGATCTTGAATCTCGTTTGTATAATAGTCTTCCGGCACACCGGATATCGGCGTTTGGCGAATCTCGTTCCGGATTGAACGAGTGCAAAGGATACCACAGCGAGTTAGAGAAGTTGCTGTGCCATGTACAGCTGGAGCCTACGCGCTCAGCGTAGCAATGGCTTGTCATTTTTCCGTCCACAAGAGAACACACAACCTTGACTGATGATCTTGCGGTAGTGCTTGACTTGGTTACGGCTAGAGCAGTGAAATGGTTCATATGTTGATATGTCTATTTAGCGTAGATACGTTCACCGCTGCAGTCAGATGACTGAATCCTGACGGCCTCCGCTCACTTTCGGAATCAGAACCATGACGCCTTATCAATTACTCGAAAGCGAACTTGGCTCTGGGTAGCTCTGCATAGACCTTGGACCGGTGGCATTGAACATGGTATTGAAGAGTCTGCTGGATATCGTTGGGCGGGCGACATAAAGTTGGGGGAGATTGGTGGCATACATGCATGTCGAATAAGCTTCTGTAGATACGTGAATAAAAGTATCATGGCATTTTAAGTAGAATGGCTTCAACGACAATGTTGACCTCTGTATCTACGCCGTTCTCTACGTCTCATGGATCTTGACATTGAGGGTTATAACTTCTTCAGATCCAACTTGGGTATAAGACTCTCAAGGTACGTTCTGTGAGTACATACATGCCCGACGTACAAGCCAGAACGGTATACTCAAATGGATAGAGCCCTTTGTCAAATCTGATTCCACAGGGAACCATGCATCGGCTTGAATGAACTTGTCGTAAACGCTGGAAATGGGATGAAATACCTTGCGTGGATGTCAAGTGAATGTGGGAGGGAAGGTGCGGCTTCCCCCTTATCCTGCCCGTAGAATGAAGAACTAGGTAGTGCCTTCTCATGATCTGGCAGATAATCGCATTTCCTCCGCTGGCAATCATCCGTCTACTTAATTAAGATGCTCGAGACAACAGACCCATCACGTACCATCCTAGAAACCCTAAGCCATCTCAAATCATTCCGCCGAAAAGCACCATGTCCTCCACGAGTATCCCATCTCCAGCAAGCACCAGAAGCAAATCAACCAGCCTCCGCACCCTCTGGTCCGGCACCCAATCCACCCTCAAACGCATCTTCTCCTCCCCCCGGCGCACGACAGCATCCTTGTTCTCACGAACAGCCTCGCGATCCGAAGGCGGCAGCATCGTCCGCTACATCATCACCTTACCCCCCACACCCTCGCCCCCGACGAGCACGACGCCACGATGCTTCTCCCTGTGCCTGTGTCTTCGATGCCGTCGCCTCGATAGGGATACCGTTGTCGCGATCGCGTGTCCGCCTGTGGCTGTGTACCGCGGGGCGGCGGGGGGAAAGGTTGATGGGAGGGTTGGGGTTGCGGTTGTGTTGACTTTTGTGGGATGGGTTCCGGGTGTGATTTGTGAGGATACCACAAGAAACACAACCAAGACCCGAGAATCAGGGGAGTTAGAGAAGGGTAAAGAGTTTGCTGACGATGTGGATGTAGATGCGCTCTCGAGTACCCCTGAAAAGCCAACGTCGCCTTATTACTGGCATACGAGCGAGAGGTCTAGCTCGGCTGTGATGAAGCGTCCGAGGAGACGGCGGTCGACTTTGCCGTCCAAGAGGCAGGTTAAACGGGTTGTCTGAGACGGGGGTATGCGGCCTGGGACTGGCAGACACAGACGGAAGCTCTAGTATATACGGGTAGTAGGGACGGGGGACGGGGGACCAATCCGGTCGTAATCATGGGAGAGAAGACGAGGCTTGTATTGTTCAAAGTCTAGTTCTATCATGAATCGCGTTTACCCCTATACACCCTGTCTTTTTTCTTCTTCTTACAAGGTCCTACAGAAGGGTGGGATTTTTTTTCTCCTTTTACGTCTAGGCTTTTCTACAAAGAGGTTCCTGACGTGACATTAGATATACATGTTTACATACGCCCGCCCAAGTGGGCGACGTATGAGCTCCCCCTTGGGTCCTATCTTGTGCGCTTTGCTCAAGGATTCGTGGATGGGGAAGGGGGAGCTTCGATGTTGATACACGGGGGCACTGGAGTGCCATGGTTTGTCACCACATTTCCGGATGCAAAGATTCTCCCCCAAAGAAAGCGGGAGGGGGGGGAAGATCTTCATCAGTGGCTTATTTGGTGCGCTTGGCCTCCAACTCCTTTTGGTAGTTGGCGCAGAGCTCCTTTCTGTAGGGGGGGAGGGGGGGTTGTTAGTTATCTATGACCAAAGCAGTGGTAATTGGGTGTCAACGTACTGAAGGTGAGGAGGAGCGGCGGCGTAGTGGCTAAACTCCATGCCGAACTCGCCCTTGCCCTGGGTAGCGGCGCGGAGTTGGGAACTGAAGCCGAACATGGCGTTGAGACTGCAGTCGGCAATCAGCGTAAAGTCCTCGGTGCCGACCTCGGTGTCGTGGATGGTGGCGTTGCGCTTGTTCATGAGCATGATGATGTTACCCTGGAACTCGTTGGGCGCGGTGATGGTGGTCTTCATGAGGGGCTCGAGGACCTGGCCGCCGGCGTCGTCAAAGGCCTTGCGGAAGGCCATTTGCGTGGCGAGGTTGAACGCAAAGTCGGAGGAATCCGTGACGTGGGTGGAGCCGTCGTTGACAATCATCTTTGTGCCAATGACCTTGTGGCCCAGCAGGGGGCCCTTGTTGGCGGCTTCTTCGAAGCCCTTGCCGCAGGCGGTGATGTACTTGTCCGGGATGGTGCCGCCGACGACCTGGGTCTCGAAGAAGTTGGCCTCCGGGTCGTCGTTGGGCTCGATCCAGCCGGCGACGCGGGCGTAGTCGCCGGGGCCGCCGGATTGTCTGCGGAGGAGGAAGTCGTATTCGGTGCGGCGGGAGACGGTCTCGCGGTAGGCGACGCGGGGTTTGCCGGTTTCGCAGTCGACCTTGTACTCGCGGCGGAGGCGCTCGACGTAGATTTCGAGGTGGAGCTCGCCCATGCCGGAGATGATTGTCTCCTCGGACTCCTCGTCGACGTGCAGGCGGAAGGTGGGGTCCTCGCGCTGGAAGCGGTTCATGGCTTTGGAAAAGTTGTCGGCGTCGCTGGTGCGCTTGGGCTTGATGGAGAGGGACATGACGGCGTCGGGGACGAACATGGAGGACATTGTGTAGGGGAGGCCACCGTCGGTGAAGGTGTCGCCCGAGGCGCAGTCGACGCCGAAGACGGCGCAGATCTCGCCGGCGCCGACCTCGGCGACGTCCTCCATCTCGTTGGAGTGCATGCGGACGATGCGGGGGATGCGGACCTTCTTGTCGGTGCGGGAGTTGAAGAGGTAGGTGCCCTTGCGGAGCTTGCCCTGGTAGACGCGGATGTAGGTGAGCTGGCCGTAGTTGTTCTCCTCGAGCTTGAAGGCGAGGCCGACAAAGGGGAGCGAGTTGTAGGGGACGAGCTTGACGGTGGCCTCGTCGCGCTTCTTGTCGAGGGCCTTGTTCTCGACCTCGGACGGGTTGGGCAGGTAGTCGCAGACGGCGTCGAGGACGGTCTGGATGCCCTTGTCGGCGAGGGCGGAACCCATCATGACGGGGGAGAACTTGAGGGCGATGGTGGAGCGGCGGATGGCGGCCTTGATCTGGGCGTTGGTGGGCGTCTGTTCCTCGAGGTAGAGCTCCGTCATTTCGTCGTCGACGTCGGCGAGCTTCTCGATGAGTTCCTGGCGCTTCTCCTCGACGAGGTCCTTGTAGCCTCCCGGGAGGACGTCGGTGGTGCGGACGACGGTGCCACGGGGGCCCTCAAAGTAGTGTGCCTTTCGCTCAATCAGGTCGATGACGCCCTCGAACTCGTTCTCGGCGCCAATGGGGATCTGGATGGCGGCTGCGGGGATCTTGAGCTTGGAGTTGATCTGTTCGACGGCCTTCCACGGGTTGGCACCCATGCGGTCCATCTTGTTCACGAAACTGATGCGGGGGACGTTGTAGCGCTTCATCTGACGGTCGACGGTGATGGTCTGGGACTGGACACCGCTGACGGCGCAGAGGATCATGACGGCGCCGTCGAGGACGCGGAGTGCGCGCTCCACCTCGATGGTGAAGTCAATATGGCCGGGTGTATCGATGATGTTGATGTGGTAGGTCTCCTCTTTTCCTTCTTCCGTCTTCTTCCAGTCGGCGAAGGTGGCGGCCGACTGGATAGTGATGCCCTTTTCTCTCTCGAGATCCATAGAGTCCATCTTGGCGCCGACCGAGTCCTTGCCGCGGACCTCGTGGATGGCCTTGATGCGGCCCGAGTAGAAGAGCACGCGCTCGGTGACGGTCGTCTTTCCGCTGTCAATGTGGGCGGCGATACCAATGTTGCGCACGCGCGACAGGCGCTTGGCCTCGTCGGGGCTCATCTTGGCGGCGACGAGCTCGGGGGTGAGGGCGGAGGCGTTGTCCTGGGCCAGCTTGAGGGCCTCGGCGGCGGCGTCCCTGACCATCGGGGTCGTCGAGAAGGCGCGCACGGAGTTCTTCTTCCATGTCGTCGTTGCGGCGTTGGTTGTCGAGGACTGCTTCTTTGCGCAGGCGGCGAAGCTGCTAAAGTGTCGTGCATCCGTTTGAGGCTTTACGCCTGCAAACAGACCGCCATTCGGCACTCTGACGGCTCGTGGAGCCCTCATTGTGACCAATGTGTGTGCGGATAAAAGAAGGGGAAGTGAAGGGAATGGGAATATGCAATGGGGGAAAGATATTACAGGAAAAGGGAGCCGGGATCCATTCGGGACAAATGGTCTGATACGGGGCTCATCGTTAATTATTTTTTTTATTTTTATTTTATTTTAAATTTGGCCTTGCTGTCTTCCAATTGCCCAGGCAAAACTTTTTTTCATGGGGGAACGGGAGTGACAGGGATTCCCATTTCGCGCCGTCGCGGAGGCACGTGTTTTCGTGGAGGGGGTGGGGCCTTGGTCCGACAGTCGACGAATCGCGGGAGCGGGATTACGCCGGCCGGTTCAACGGGTATTTCGCCGGGAGCGGAGACCGGAGCATGCCCGTTACTATTGAAGGTAGTGACATGATTCCTTTGAGATGGATGGATTTGAGGTTTCAGACTGAATCAGATACCCGTCAAGGCTCATGGACATGAACGAGTACAAGTCTTTCCATGATGATGCAGACCCGGTCGTCAGAGCTTCAAGGTCAGGCAAACGTGGGGACACTGCATTTGGGTTCAAATCGGAGCATCAGACGAGATAGGCTCATGAACATATTCTTCCCAACGATGAGCCCGAAGCTTCCTCATGTTGTTTTCCCCCCAACTAAGAAACGCTATCTTTGCCCTGGAGTACCTATCTTTTATGAAAACGCTGGAAACTTTCCCAAATCAACCATCCCTCTAACTGATCAAACGCCATTCACCCTCACACAATTACTCAAATCCAGTGGTCTTCCAAAGCCCGGTTCTTGTCGAGATAGTCGTACACCTGCTTATAGTCCTTGCACACGTGCTTCGCATCCCACCCATCACTACCCGTGAACCCAGGCGGGAACGTCGTCTGCGTGCCCTCCAGCGCCACATCACCGGCACACATGATGGCCTATTATCCAACCAAGATTAGTTCCCATCCACCAGACAGCTGTCAGAAAGAAAGAAAATGGACATCACTCACCTGCCGCAGATACTCAAAGCAATGCTGCAAATGCCACGGCCCCTCCGCGCCCTCTGTACCCTCGGGGATATGCGAATGCATATCGACGTTGGCGCTACCGTTGACGGCCATGCCCGCGTAGCTCTCGAGGATGGCGTACAGGCAGTGCAGCTGGTGCGTCATCGAGGTCGTGAAGACGGTGCGCGGGGCGAACTCGGGTAACGGGACGGGGAGGTTGTCGTGGGCTTTCGGGTCCTTGACCTCGAGGTAGCCTAGGCCCTTGGGCACGATGGAGAGCCACTGCTCCTGGAGGGTGGCGTTTGTGAAGAGGGTTTTTGGGTCGTCGGGGACGAAGTCTGTTGTTGGGTGGAAGGTTGTTATTTGCTGGGAGACTGTGGCATGATGTTAGTTTTGGTCTGTGGTTGTCGTGAGAGGCTCTGGCGTACATTTGGGTGCGAATCCTGTTAGGTCGCCGACGGGCTCAAGACGTTTATCTGGTGTGCTAGTTGTTTGTAGCCCTCTTCGCTCGAGGAGCAGGCCAACGATGACGACCAGGAGAAAGGTATCAAGCAGCCAGCGCCAGCGTCGGAAGAGGTTCCGGGTCTTTGCACATCGACTCGCTCGTGATGATGCGCATCTTCCGTCTTCAATGTCTGCCCGCTTCCACTGCTTGCCCTCGTCGCTGAGGAGCGATACGCTGACGTCGGTCATGGCATCGTCGGTGATGTCTGCCTCTCGACGGGCGTCGGAGTAGGGTGTGTCACTGGATTTCATAGCGCCAGCTCTGGTTCCCGGGCGAAGGGGGGGGGGATGTGATGAGAAAGAGGATCACGGGTATTGTTCCAACGAGTAGATGAGGGTAGGTATTTATTTTGGGTGTTCAACTATCAAGTGGTTTGCAGTGTCAAAAAACTCTAGAATCCGATCTGCAAAATGTCACGTCTACGAGTGCCTCAGCCGAGCTATGGGAAGGGGGCGACTGTGCGACCTCACCCGCCGCCCTTGCATTCTACGTTTTGAAACACCACCATCTAGGGCCCTTTGCTGATGTCGAGGACGGCGGCGCATGCCTGGTTGCGCGGCGCGTTGGATGATTTGAAAGGAGCTCCGACACTTTGTGTATGAGGTGAGCGGAGGATGTTTGGGTCCGTGGACCGTGCAGGCTGCTTCAATCATCATTGGGTTGGTCAGGGTCGTCGGGGGAATTTCCGAGAGATGGGGGGCTCTGATGGTGGTTGTTTGCATGACGCATTCATCATCTTGCGTCGTTTTGTTATCTTGAGGTTATATAGAATTCGAGATCTGGGCGTGCAAGTGGGATGCCGCCAAGGTTTCGACGAATTGACCACTCTTGACCCTTTTTGGTGAGAGTTTCTGTCAACAACAGCAAACCTTTTTGTCAGCCAAGATCGCACGACTGATTGCCTTGAAAGTCTCTCCCACCGGCGAGTCGAGTTTGAACTACCCGAGAGACGTTCAAGTAGAGACTAAAAGAACTGCTTCAAGTCCAAGGGAAGGAAGCAAGCTCATCTGCAGTGTTTTGTGAGAATGCAGTTGTGGGACCTGTGAACAGCGGCTTTTCCAGGAGGTCAATTGAACGGGTGAATCTAGAAACAAAACAACTCGAAGACACTCGAAATAAATGCAAAAAAAGGCAACAAGAGAGCAAAAGGTAGTACCATCTCCTAAGATGGAACGGCAAAAATGATAACTGTGAGATTCGAACTCACGCCTCTTGCGAGACCAGAATGCTCATCCGTTGAACGTGATGAAGCTTTTGAAAGCTTGAGTCTGGCGCCTTAGACCGCTCGGCCAAGTTACCTGGTGATGTTTCAGCGGGCCAAAAGATAACTCAAGTACCTAGCGGGCCAACTGCGGCCGCTTTTCTGTAGTAAGCCCACCTTTGGACAGTGGCACTGGGCGTCAAGGCTAAGCCGCTAAGCCGCTAAGCCGCTAAGCCGCTAAGCACCGCTCGCAGAAATAAGCTCTTGTTTGACTTTCGGGATCGACAAACTCTCATCCATGCTAACAACACCATTACCGACTTTATTCCTACAATGGTCCCATCGTCAAAAACCCGTCCTCTATTGACTGTCAGTGTCACAATATGCATCCCCAAGCCGCTGTTCATCAGAGATACCTGGCGCTGACCGCCGTTATCTCGGATCCAAAATCCATCCATGGATCCATCTCTTGGAGTGGACCCCCGGCCTCGGCGATCGCGCAAGCGCCGAGATGGATCAAGAAAATGTCTGACTCTTGAAGCTGTCAGCAATCGGGCCGCTATCGTCGGTCGACCACAATCATTCCACTTTGCTCTTGGTATCGTCGACCCGTGGAGTACAGAGCACCCGGTGGGAATCAAAACAGCGGAGACGGCGCCAGAGCGGGAGTTGATGTCGGCAATCTCTACATCTCTTGCTGTTGCCCATTTCTCGATGTTTATACTTGTAAATGTCGGTTCGGGGTTGATGTTCAGCAGGTTTGGTTGAACATGCGGCTTCTCACATCTGTATCACCACCATTCACCAGATGTACACCCGTCAAGCGACGGGTCTATAACATCTCCGAACATCAACACCACGCACAACCACCGCATATGTAGACTCCAAGAACCTTACCGGCTTCAACAACACAGCAACGCTTGATGAGCTGTTCCATCGCAAGCGCCCTGCCGCCAACTAGCAGTCTAGTGTGTTGGCCGGGCTCGTCCGTTCGGCACCACGCTCCGATTCCACCCACGACTTCCCGCGTGCCGCCCTATCGGGACCCCAGTGGCGGACGGAGCACCAAGGATGGTGTACGAAAGAGTGGACCTTGGGTGGTGCAATGAGCGGTCTCCATTTTCATTCAGCCTCTTGCGAAGCCAAGTTTATATCCGGTCAAGGGGTGTCTGGTCTAGTCCACTGTCCGCCACGCAGCTCTTTCGCATTCACTCTTTTCCTCTTTTGCCGTCACTGCTACCCGATGGATTTTTAATCCATACCGCCTGTTTTCTTCCTTCTTCTTGTTGCTTGTTCTATATTTGAGTTTTCTCGACTTGGAACGACAATACGGCCATACTCGGCGGTTCCCATCATTCATGAACGTTTGATGCAGGGCTTACACACATACTTAATGTCTAATCTATCCTGAGAGACGCCCTCCTTCACATTCGTGTCGCAATAGCGAGCTATAACTTGCAGACCAAAGATCGCCACCCAACGTTGCAACAACGAGTCGATCCGCCAAGGCGTGCTTCCCTTGGCAAGCTCTCTCTCACCGAAGCGAAGAATATCCACCAAGAACACCCGTCTGAATAGCTTCAGCCAGATCAAACAGACACAGGCAGAACACACACATTCCGCTCTCACAATGGCCATCCGAGACGCCGACACCACAACCGAAAAGTCCGGCTCCGGCCTGGTCCTTCGCTCAACAACCCCCTCCGAAACAACCCTCACACCGGCCCCCGCCGACCCGGAACCCCAAGCAACCCCCGCAGCCGGCGCCGAACCCATCACAACATCCACCCCGGGCCCGGTCCCCGACGGCGGCCTCGAAGCCTGGATCCAAGTCCTCGGCTCCTGGGTCATCCTCGCCGACACCTGGGGCCTCGTAAACACCTTTGGCGTCTACCAGACCTACTACGAACGCACCCTCCCCGGCGTCACCCCCTCCGCCATCTCCTGGATCGGATCCCTCCAGGGCGCCCTCCTCATGATGGTCGGCCCCATCTCCGGCCCCCTCTACGACGCAGGCTACTTCCGCGAGCTCCTCTGGGCCGGCATATCCCTCATCATCCTCGGCATGTTCATGACCTCCCTCTGCACAACCTACTGGCAGGTCCTCCTCGCGCAGGGGGTCTGCATCGGCCTAGGCTGCGGCCTCGTCTTCCTCCCCTCCACCGCGATCCTAAGCCAATACTTCCACCGCCGCCGCGCCCTCGTCATCGGCTTCGCGGCCACGGGGTCCCCGATCGCGGGCATGTGCTTCCCCATCCTCTTCGGCCACCTCGAGCCCCGCATCGGCTTCGGCTGGGCCACGCGCATCATGGCCTTCATCCTGCTGGGGTTGTCCGTCATACCCGCCGTGAGCATGCATACCCGCCTCCCGCCGTCGGGCCACAAGCGCTCCCTCGTCGACCGCACCGCGCTGCGCGACCCGGCGTTCATGCTCGTCATGGCGGGGTCGTTTGTCGGGTTCCTGGCCATGTATGTGCCGTATTTCTATATCCAGCTCTTTGCCGTCAGTCACGAGATTGGTCCGGCCAACTTTTCGTCGTACTTTGTCACGCTGCTGAGCGCGGGGAGTATCCCCGGCCGCGTGATTCCGAATTACCTCGCGGATAAAGTCGGCGCGCTGTACATGCAAATCTCTGTTGCCGCGGGCTCGGCGGTGCTCATGTTTGCGTGGCTCGGGATCCGTAACATGGCGGGTCTCGTCGTCTTTGCGATTTTGTATGGGTTGTTCTCGGGAGGCATGGTGAGTATTTCGCCGACGGTGATTGTGAGCTTGTCGCCTGATCTCGGGCGCGTGGGTACGCGGATGGGCATGATTAATTTCGTGGCGGGTATTGCCATCTTGATTGGTACACCGATTGCTGGTGCCATTTTGCGTGATTATAGTGGTGTTGCATGGCAGTCCATGATCGGGTACGGAGCGGCGGCGTTGACGGTTGGGTCGATGGTGCTTACTCTGGCAAAGATCTTTCAGTTGAAGGGGGAGAGGGATGTGAAGGGTTGAGGGTCCGATGGCCGACCAGGTGTAGATGGATAGATTTCTTGCAGTTAGACTATATACCCCCCTCCACCTTGCGGATAGATATTTGTTTGTTTGACTTCTTGAGCCTCACCTCGTCCACCACCACCCACCACCAACAACAACCGCAAACCCAGCCAACACCACAACCCACCTCACCAACCCCTTGACAATCTGCTCCTTTGCAAACGCATCAATCGCATCCCCATCATTCACCCTCGGAAACGGCACCCCAGGCACCGGCCTCCCCAACGCCTCACACAACGGACCCCACCCCTCCTTGACATCATAAAACACCAACCTCTCCGCGCCCACAACCCTCCTCACCCAAGCCTGATGCGAATCCCACACCTCGCGCGTAGGCAGCACCCCCTCCCCCTCCCGCGCGGGGAACAACTCCCCCCACCGACCGTTGGGAATCGCGTCGATATACCGCGGGAACCACCGCATCGTAGGCAGCAAGAACAGCGCAAACGATATAAAGATAGCTAGGCTTCGCTGGCCTGTTTGTCGGATACTCCGCACCCACGCCTCCGGGTCGCGGATGGTGCAGATGACGAGGGCGGATGGGTGGAGCGCTGCGAGTTCTTCGGTGAAGAGCATCCCGGGGACGTCGACGACGGCGGCGTAGCCGTCGGAGAAGTGGTGGCGGAGGGTGTCGAGGACGATTTTCTCGTCAAGGGGGCCGCGGATGGGCGTGTGGGAGAGGCAGGTTATCCAGGAGCGGATTTCGGATTCCGGGCCGCGGGTGATTTGGGTGCCGCCGTGGTGGACGGGGGCGCCGCGACCGGGACCGGGACCGGGCCCGGCTCCGTCGCTGCTGCTGTCGTCGTCGTCGTCGTCGTCGAGGAGGATCTCGAGGGCTTTGGCGAGGGAGGCGGTGCCGGTGCGGGGGAGGCCTGCGCCGATTACTTGGAGGCGGGTGCCGGGTTTTGGTTTGGAGGCTTCTTGGCCCATTGTTGTTGGCCTTGGGGATATCTTGGTTTGTTGGAAATCTGGTGTAATGGTGTAACGTGCCGGTAGTAGGCTATTATTGACTTCAAAATAGGAATGAGAAGAAAAAGAAAGTCATCCGGTTCACTTGAACCCATTCTTTGAAGAGGATAAAGAATGAGCTGGATTGCGTGCAGATTTCTCTGCTGATGTCAGACCTGTCGTTGACAGGATTGTGGCCGAAAGAGGAAATATCAAGTATCGACCTGTCAGCCCGTTGGCGGCGATCGCCAAACACTAGTTTGTCGAAGAAAGCGATGGATTTCTTGGTAAACGACTTGGCGTGAGCAGAAGAGCTGCAGGTAAAGCCAATCAGGACGGAAAAGGCACGTAAACTTGCTGATTGCTTCACTGTAATGTCGGCCATTTCTCGTCAAGTCGTAGATTCCCGGGGAGAGGGGAGTCTGTCAATGCCAGAGGAGTTGACAAGTTTCTCTAGGGATACCGGGGGAAGGGAGAGATCGAAAAGACGTTGAGATGTGATATCAGGAGGGGGGCTCTCCGAAGAAAGGGAAGGAGGGATGGCTTCCATGATGAATTGTCATGTGCTCGTGTAGATTGATTCTGGAAATCTTTCCTGCTCTTCCGAGAGCGTTCTCTTCAGCCGGGGCAGACGCATGGAAAAGTAGAGTAGGCCAAAATTCGGCCTGTTTCTAAATAACAATAGGAATAGAAAGGAAAAAGATAAAGTAAAGGAATGAAGGAGATCTATACGGAAAAGCCAACAGCAATGGAAGATATCTTACCCGCCATGAACGTCACGGACAAACTTCGTTCTCGCACTGCCGGGGCTGATCCTCTTCTCTCATCAAGTCATGCCCCGAGAACGAGAACGATAGAGCTGATCCCAATTGCCCGGTAAGATCACCAAGACATGCGGATGACAAACTGCTCAGCGCCAAGTCCAACTTCCAAGCAGATTCCCAACGGTCTTCAGACTCTTCTTGCCTTGCTCTTCCAAAGAAAATGATTCATGATAGAGCTCCAGCTTCCAGCGTCGGAGGTTCGTCCTGCAGGTAGGTAGATGGAGCTCTTTTGCTGGCGGGGGCCGCAGTAGGGCGTAGGATATGCAGCCGCCAGCCAGTAAGGTATCTGGTATGCAGCAGGGGAGAGCTCCGCCCCATCAAGGCAGCGGAGACGGTCTTGTAGCCCCGTATATTGCTGTGTGGTGCTGATTCAGCCTTGGATCATGGCTTTGGTGGCAGCTTAGCAACGCTTACTTCGCTCACTCTGAGCTGCTAACTCCCGCGCGCGAACAAGATATCAAAGAGCGAGTACTGGCAGCTGCCAGATATTGTTAGTATCTGCAGCCAGCTCCGATCCTCGATGCAGCAGTCTGTCGGCTCCGTCGTCCGTAGCCGTAGCCGTAGCCGTAGCCGTAGCCGTAGCCGTGGCCGTACCTGTCAGCTTCGTGGGGGACGGCGGTGGTTCATTTGTCAGGTACTACTAATCCCGTCCTCTCACGTCCTAGGGGCTCCTTGCGCATGTACGTACACATCTGTACTACACATCGGGTGATGAGGTTGAGATGAGCCTAGTGTCTCCTTCACCGTCTCTATGCCACTTTGTATCGCCTGCCTTATCCAAGGCTTGCTTGAGTTGGGCATCTCGTAGTCACGGCGCGGAACAATACAACGAGATTACGGACTTCATGAGCCGCATGGATCGTCTCCTCTCTGTCAGGATCCAGCGAGCGAGCGCGCGCGAGTTGGTCGTCATCATCATCGGCGGCAGGCCCTGGATCCGAGGCTCCTCCGCTCTTTAATCCGTGATCCGAGAATCTCTAAATCCATCTAGACTCTACAGCTCTCCCCGAAGACCAGGATCTAGAAGCGTAAACTAGCAAACAAGTGCCGTTCAGTCATGGCGTAACGACTTTTTGGTTCTCCATACTCTATCGAGGGCGTGGGAAGGGATTGCCCGTGTAGTGTATTTGGTAAGGCTTATGATAGCCTGGGCTGGGGTTGTTAAGCACTTATTCAGCACCCACACACCAACACTTCTTCGAGTGCTTCTTCCCCGGCCCGCCCTGACCGTTTGCGAACTGCTGGCCGGCAGTCACTACCTTACGTAGGTGGTATTGGATGCTGTGCAGATGAAGCAAAGACAAGCAGGTGGGGTAGGAGGTAGCTTGACAGGGCTCGGATGGGATAACGTACGTACGTTCCTCACCTTTGGGCAACCGAACAGAGGGATGGGTGTTCTTCGGGATAGCTCGTTGCGTCCCATCACTCCCAACGCCAAAACAAACCATGATCTTGAAGAGCCCGTCGCATTCCATCTCGCCCGCACCCGTTTGATGCTTAATCGGTCCTTCCGTCCGTTGAACGAACCTACGATGCCGTCGCCAAACTCGCGAACCGGAACTACATTTCCAAGGTACTTGGACATAAATCTGAGAGAATACTAATGAGGTACTTCTAGTCTCTCACTACCCAAGATACGGGCAATGGAAGGAGATGACCCCTCCCCCTGCCCCTCAGTGGAGCACAGACCTGCAGAGAGGGGCACACAGACAAGACACCAGCGAGTGGTACGTACATTTCCAGCTCCCCACCACCTCATGCAAGAGCTCCAGGTACCTCACCACCTCACCACCTCACCACCTCACCTCGTCCAACTGCGTCCGTCGTCTGCTTACTTCCCCTTACATGAGCAACCATGGCAGCATATCTCGTGCAGCCTCGATGGTCTACTGTAACTAATCCCACTAGGCCGATGAACCTGATGAAACCGCATGGCCGCCATCCAGTGCCTCCAAGGGTACTTGACTGGACCAGCCCCATTCGACATTCCTCCTCTCTTCCGAGTCTTTTCGAGTGGCTTGCCCAGCCTAGCGTGCCATTGATGATGCAAGCACGCCCGTCTCAGTCCCCTCTCTTTCCATCTTGCTCGTCTCGTATGCCCAGCGGGGGAGGGGGTTTGCGCGCGCCATGGCCCAAAGTTCACGTTGATATAAGACCTCGACCTCCCCCTCGTGGTGTCAATTCATCTACACTGAGCACCTCTTTATCGAGCACCGATTTACCCTTCTCTTACCTTATCTCCATACAAGACATCAATCCGTCACAATGGCTCCCAAGATTGCCATCGTCTACGTAAGTCCCACCATACAATCCAGCACTTCTTTCCTAATCGGGTAATTTCCTGTCACTTGCCCCTCCCCCGCCCCACCTCACTTTACTTCACTCTCCCACCATACACCGCAGTCTAAGCCATTGAAGGCTCCAATGTCCCTGGAAACCTGCAAATTATCATCTCAAGAGGACGCAATAAAGATGATTATTCACGTTTACCCAACTCTCCCGTACGGTTGCGTGGCCTCGTCTGCCGAAGCTCTCAATGACACCATGATGCGGCGGTTTGCCCGCACGAGAGCGCCCTGAACCCCACCTCGCACCTCACACCTCACACTGATCGCTTCCCAACCCCAACTCCCGAAGAATAGCCCCTGTCATTATGACCGTCCTGCTAACACCACGATCTCTCTAGTACTCCATGTACGGCCATATCCGCCAATTGGCCGAGGCCGAGAAGAAGGGCATCGAGAAGGCCGGCGGCACCGCCGACCTCTTCCAGTACGTCTCTCACAACCACATCTCCTCCCATACCTCCTACCACGATGAATACACATACCAACATGACGATGGAAACTAACACCACAACAGAGTCGCAGAGACCCTCCCCGAAGAAGTCCTCACCAAAATGGGCGCCCCCCCAAAAGCAACAGACGTCCCCGTCCTAGACGACCCCGCCACCCTCGAATCCTACGACGCCTTCCTCCTCGGCATCCCAACCCGCTACGGCAACTTCCCCGCCCAGTGGAAGGCCTTCTGGGACAAGTCCGGAAAGCAGTGGTCCACCGGCGGATACTGGGGCAAGCTCGCCGGCCTCTTCATCTCCACCGCCTCCCTCGGCGGCGGCCAGGAGTCCACCGCCATCGCCGCCATGTCGACTTTCGCCCACCACGGCATCATCTACGTCCCCTTTGGCTACGCAAAGGCCTTCCCGCTCATGGCGGATCTGTCCGAGGTCCACGGTGGTGGCCCCTGGGGCGCGGGTACCTTTGCCGGTGCGGATGGATCTCGTCAGCCTTCGGCGCGGGAGCTCGAGATTGCTACGATCCAGGGCGAGGCGTTTTACCAGACTGTTGCCAAGCACGTTGATTGACTGCATGGCAGCAGCAGCGAGAGCAGCGGTGGTGATGTCGCGAACGGGGTGAACGGGTCCGAGAAGCCGGCGGCTGCCCCCGCTGTTCCGGCAAAGGAGCCGGCCCCGGCCCCGGCAGCGGAGACCCGAAAGGCCCCTCAGGAATTGGACGACAAGGATGTCAAGGCCGGCCCGTGTGGTTTGCCGAGCAAATGTTCCGTGCAATGAGTGATTGCATTATACCGTTGAAACCCTACCTGAAAAAAAAAAAAGATAATAATGATATCTCACTTGCTATTGATATCTCTCAATTCTTTTGCAATCAAACAGTGATTGTCACGACTAAGGCATTTTTCTTACACTAATTCTTGGAAGTGATAGGAGAGCTGGTTTCCTGACTACTAGCTTACCTCCATCTGTAGACAACATCGGGGAGCTCCCCCATATGAACAAAATTGACTTCAGATCAGAACCTTCAACAGTGCCATAGAAAACGGCACGGGAAAAGGCCTGAGCTCAAGACCTGAACCATCATATGAACCACCCTCACTCACACAGACACACACCATACTACGCAGTGAGGGTGTGAAGATGCCCAACTGGCAACTGACAAGCTGCAGCAGTACACTCTCGGAAAATGAGACGTTCTTGATAAGATTCGACCAGACCCCTGAAAAAGCATACACGATGATGACTGCTCTGTGATTCGCTGGCTACACCTGGAATACGGGTATTGCCAAGCCAACTACTCCGTGCACGGCTGCCGACGGATTGAGTTCGTCAATTCGGCGAACCAGTGTGTCTTGGCATCCCTGTCAGCAGTTGACAGATTATTGGCAGATCGCCTGTGCCATCACCAATCGTCCAGCTCGATTCTGATTCGCAGAACCATTGCCAAAGGCCTCACACATGCTCATTGACACAACAAACACCCAGATTTCATCTAGTAATCGAAACGCGATTCCCATGTTGACCGATCTACTGTAAATAACGCCAGTGACGATGCACATTTTCGCCCCGTGCAGTACGCTCCTTAACAAGCCATCAATAACACAAAGTCATGTTTACGCAGCCCATTTAATGTCTGCCACCAAAGACAACGTTCTTACTGTCGTGAACGTTGATCATGGTGTACTCGGCAAGGAGCGGGTCCTTGTTGCCCAAGTTGAGAGTGACGGCAAGCAGGTTGGGCTCGGTCCAGGTAGGGCGGAGACCACGGGACTCAAGACGCTCCCACCAGTCGAGGAAGCCAGAAGCAGTCATGCCGGCGAAGAAGTGAATCTCAATCATGAGTTGACCAATGGGGAGCTCTTCGCCTGCGCGCATGGGGAAGTCCTCGTTGAAACCGTCCATGGCCTCGAACTCGGCGAACTCGATGTCCATCTTCAAGATATCACTGGTGCAGTGTTAGTGGACGACTATTGTCAATTGGGCACAAAGGGCACATACATGTATTCGTGGCCATTCATCTTCATCAGGTCGGCGATGCTGTAGAAGGGGGGCGTCTTGGTCTTATCCGTCTTGCCAGCGATACCAGCCTGGAGGAAGTGGGCTCTGTGGCGGTTGCCGGGCTCGAGTTGCTCGCCAAAGTCGACGACGGAGAAATCGTAGGCCCAGACGACACAGTTGGTGCGGCTCAGCATCTCGTTCTCTGCAGGTCCATTATCAGCAAATGATCATCTACAGAGGAAGACAGCATGTGTGGGATTGCATGCACGGAAAACTGACCAAAGCTAGACTCATCACGGACACCAAAGGAGTAGATGACACACTCGCGGCCTTTGGGGAAGTTGACATATCTCGACATGCCGCACACCCACTTGCCGCCGTCTCCCATACGTCCGACGCGCTCCATTTCGTGCGGGCAGCTGTACGAGGCCGGAGCAAAGTCCCAGACGGAGTAGGGGTGCTTTCCGTAGGCCGCGGGGTCGGTGGCAGGGAACCTGATGTGGAACATTAATTAGCCAGGGAATCTAGGGAGTTATCGGCGTCCAACCCATCTAGAGAATGCGGGGAGTGACGGCGGTAGTGAAATGGAGATGGCTTACAAGGGCATCAGCGAGGCATCACCGTAGTCCTCAGCAATCATGTCATGACGCTGCTTAACGGTCTTGGCCCAGATGGACTCGGCAGTGGTCATGAACTCGCGCATGGAGCTGCGGCCGCCATCGTTGTTCATAAGGTTGCCAACCTTGTTGGTGGCCCATTCCTTGGCCTTGTCAGGGCTACCAAGAGAGTGCAGAAGAGCGAGGGTGAAGAGCAGGCCGGCAGCGAGCCAGAGCATCTGCACGATGCGCTTGGAGTTTGCAGCGATGGCCATGGTTGCTGTCGAGGGATTGGACTCTTTGGCTGGTGTTTCTCAAGGATCCTTGAAAATCCGAGTGTAAGTCGATTCGCGGGGGTTCAGCTGTCACTCTCGCGGAAGAGGACAGAATCGACACGTAATCGAGGGAAACAGTATCGATGAAAAATCAACGACAGGCGTCACGGAGAAAATGAGTGAGAAGAATAAGAACCGCAATCAGCGCTGGTCAGCAGCCGGGCGCGGGGAGAAGGGCAAGCCACGGACGGACGGAGTGGACTCGCGCAGATCTCTCACGTAGTGCCAAGAGAGCGACTGGAAGAGCAAGAGTGAGGAGGCTAAGGGGATAAGGGGAAAGGAGACGAGTCACGTCAAGGTTGGACGAAAGCGTCGGGAGGATGACGGGACAGGAGAGAGGAAAAGAGGAAGCTTGTAGACAGACGACTACTTAAAGTCTCGTCGACTGAGCAGATGGGCTCTGGTCGGCCCGGTCAGTTCAGTGGGAAAGAGGGACTGGAGCATTGTGAATGGAAGGGGAGGGGTGGCGGCCAGGTTCCTCCCTCCAGACCTGTGCGGATCTCGAGTTCAAAGGTGGAAGGAGGGCGAGACTGAGGTAAGGCAGGTACGAGACTGCACTGCATGATTGCGAAGGTACGATTGCCGTGAGTTCCTTCCCATGAAGTTCCAGCATTGGACTCTGAGTGGCATTCTCGAGGCAGGAACGGGCAGGGAGCCAAGGTGTGTGTGTGTCTCTGCCACCCTCCCTTGCGAGGGGTTTGGTGACTTGGCTCATACCTGGGAGAGGGAAGGAGCTACACTGTTCGTTCCTTTCTTGGGTGCCATTGGAAGGAACTCTGAGTTGTGGAAGAGAACTTGGGAAGGTACCTCAGGAACAGCCTAGAAAGATGGCAAGTGCCACAGATGTGCGCCTCCCACCTCAAGGATCCAATGTGCATCTTTGGTGGGTGGATTGTACCTTTCCTAACCTTTTCCTAGCAGATAGGTGTCCGAATTAGATTTAGTACTGCACCGAAACATGTCGTGTTTGGCGTCGAGAGTGGGGATACCCAGCCAAGCCCAGAGTCTACAGCTGATTGACTAGCCTCAAAACGGACGATGCACTTGGGAAGGAGACAACTTATTCTTGGCTACTACTAGGTATTTGAATGGAGAAGGGCAGGTGCCGACTGGCAGCTGCATGGATGGGCAAGTGCCGTCGTGTTGGGTGCACGTGACGAAGTTCGGTCACTTGGCAGATTCCGACTGCATTTAGAGTTCATAACGGGAAGGCACGAAGGGCAGCATGGAGTACGGAGTACCTAGTGGAGGTTGATGTGCGGGATACCGGGGAAGAGGAGAGAGGGTGGGCGATCAATGTCATCCAATACCAAAAGTCAATCATCAGGCACTCCCGTCTCTTTCCCCTCTGTAAGTATGTCTACCTCTCGGGTACCCTCTATGCCTCAAGGTGTCCTCTTTACCAGTCGTAAATTACCAATCGTAAAGCTGGCAAGTCGAGAAAAATGCACTTTTATTCTCCTGCATTAGAATGGCATTTTGGTTCGACCGTGGCGTCCAATAAAGCCTCGTCGTTGCTCGTGACACAATCATGTCAGCCTTGACAGTCTTGGTACACAAGTTTACCCCTAATTCTAAGGGAAGCTAACGCTGGCTAACGAGCAACAGCTGAACAATGTCCAGCCGCGCTAACTTGATAACCTTCATTCCCGCATTCCCGCCCTCTCGCGCCGTCTGTCCCACACTTCAACTCCTCACTCCTCACCATGTGGCGCTCCTCTCCTGGGTATCATTGCTTTTTCTCCTTCTTCTCCACCTTTGCCTCCTTTTCAATCACCACCAGCAGCCGGCAGCCCTAGCTATTCGCAGCTAGGTATTCGGAGCTCGGCCATCTTGTCCGGGCTGGTCTCGAGCATCGACAGCGCCGATGGCGGACATTCTCTCTACTTGAGATGCTTGCAGCCACGCGTGTTGCCTCTTCCGTCTTCACTGATTAGACCCTTGGCTCGGCTCTGCCTTCTCAATTGACCGCGGACGATATCACCAGATGAGGTCCACTTCTGGGTTGTGTCTTCATTTCCCTTTCCCTTTCCCTTACCGACTTCAAACCCCCCTCTTGAAGAGGTTTGTCTGCGAGCCGAAAAACGGATTGGGCTGGTACGACGACCGGTAGTTGCCCATCTCTGTACTGTCGCCCATCTTCCCGTCCGAAAAGTCGCAGGGCGCAACCTTGATATCGCCGCGCATTATCTCCACCATGGATACAATGGGGAAGAGCAGCACGAGGAGCGACAGCAGCTGACCGAAGCCCCAACCTCTCTCGCCCTGGTCGCTCAGCTCGTACGAGGGACCATTGCCAAAGGCATCGGAAGCAATGATGCATCGAACCGCGGCGCCAACCGCCGACGCTGCCATGAGAAGGATGCCGATGACTTTGATAATGTTGATGAACTTTTGCGTCCGCAGGTGAAGATACCAGCTTGCCAGAGCAAAGACGAGAGCATTGGCGACGATGACGACAACAGTGCCGACGTAGCTCAGCCCTTGTTGGTTTCCTGTTCCCTCGTCACCGACTACCCAGATGCAGGCGACGGGCAGCTTGGATTCCTGCATGCCCTTCGATACGCCTTGCAGGATGAAGACGCCGTACACGACGTTGAGCGTGAGATTGACAAACATGAGGAATTGGCGGAGCCATCGCAAAACCCAATCTCGGCGGAAGTCGTGGACCAGAGCGAGAAGTGTCGCGTTGTGGACGGCCATGGAGAGATTCGAGAGCATCCAAATGATGAAGAAGTGATAGGGAACCATAACGTTAATCCTGGCGAGCCCGACACATGCGATACCGATACCCTGGAGAATCTGCTGATCCGAATAACTGTTGAGAAGTTTTCGACGAATGTTTGACGGGTTTCCCTTCATCTCTTGGAAGATGATGGAGGAACTGATGATGAGAGCGAGGCCGGCGGTGATGATGAAGGAGAGGAGCACGCCTCGGCCGGCCACGCCGGCATCGCTGGCGACCGGGGCATTATCCGCGACGGTGCAATTGGGGCTGTCAAAGACGGACATTTTGGCGGTGGGATCGAAGAACTTCGTCGTGAGTAGTCGTCTATTTCGAGAAGAGGTGTGAGAACGGGTACGGCTTTTAAGGGGGGGGACTGGAGGGTAGTCTCGAGGGATAAGGCTGAACGAGTGAAGCCGCCACGCGAGTCTGTTGCGTGCTGAGTATCGGCTGTGCTCAGTATCGACTGGCCGGTCCGTCAAGATGGCGATTAATCTGCTTCGACAATTGGACTCGAACCAAGTTCAAATTGCAGATCAGATCCTGATGGGAGTTCTGACTGCATATATGCGCAGGATGAGCAGGAACTTCGCCCTCCTTTTCTCTCTCTCTCTCCCCAATGGAAATGACGTACGACTAAGCGCTGCCCCTGTCGTCTGAAACGGCCATCCGCTGGGGAAGACCCTTGGAGCCGATGGACAAGTGGCTCTCAGCGTCCGCCGCCATCGTCTGGGCGGCGTTGGTCGCTGTGGCTGTGCCCCACCCTTCAACCCCCGGCCCCGGGAAAGAGGGCGCCAACGCCCTGCAGATCGCCCCGCGATCCTCGGCTGCTATCCGCTGCATGTCCCGTGAAGGTGAGCCCGCTCACTACTAGTAGTTAACAACCGTAGACTCTTCGACTCATTAGTTTTTGTGCTTCTTGCAAACATGGACAATTAAGTGAGTATGTAGTTTGAAGCTTATAACCGGGTCCTGTACTCCATACGCCGTAGTTGCATATCTCTCTGACTGTCGACCTGGAGAAAACGGCCTTCCACTAAGCCACCAGCCGTGATGAAGACCATGTGCTTATTGGCCACGAATCCCTGATAAGTGGAGATATATCCTGGATCATAAAACTCGTCTGCTAAGACGGAAGCTAAGGAACTTCAAGCACTAACTCGATTGTCTACAATACATCCCAAAGAAGTCAACTGCTTCTCCCATCATCATCATGCTCGCCGCACACATCAAAAAACCACAAGCTTCCCAATGTACCGAGCCATTGTCAACTCCTTTGGCCCCGCAAAAGATGTAGTCCAAATCGAGGACTACGAACCCTCCCCGCCGGGCCCAGGACAAGTCCGCGTCCGCATGCTCCTCGCGAGCATCAACCCCTCGGACCTGGTCACCATCTCAGGCGCCTATCCTTTGAGAACGACTCTCCCCCACGTCCCAGGCTTCGAGGGCGTCGGCGTTGTAGAATCTCTCGGCGAGGGCGTGGCTGATTTGACGTTGGGCCAACGCGTGTTGCCGCTTGGGGGCGCGGGGGTGGCAGACGATGAGGATCGTTGAGGAAAAGTGGTGTTTTGCTGTGCCGGGGGATTTGGGGGATGAGGAGGTTGCGATGGCGTATATTAATCCTCTTACGGCGTTGAGGATGGTGAGGGAGTATGCGCCGTCGCCGGGGGGGGGGGGGGGGGGGGGGGCCACAGACGGGGTGGTTTTGGTGATTGCTGCGTTGTCTGCTATCGGGCGGATGATTATCCGGTTGTTGAATGCCAGGAAGATAAACCTATCGCCCTCGTTAGGCGACTCGAGTCGAGAGAGCAGTTGTTGCGTCTGGCGGAGCTGGATGTGTCTGCTGTAGTATGCTCGTCTGAAGACGGCTCACGAGAGAAGCTACTCGATCTCACTGGTGGAGGGGGATCACCGTGGCGTATGATGCCGTGGGCGGATCCGAGGGCGATGAAATTGTACAAGCTCTCGCGCCGGAGGGGACGATCGCTCATTATGGGTTGTTGTCTGGACGGCCTTTGTCGTTTCGGTTACGGGAGGAGTGTCCTGGGGCTAGGATCGTGATGTACCGGCTACGAGATTGGGTTTATGCTGTTGAGCGGGAGGAAGTGCGGAATGCGCTGGAGGAGGGTTTTCAACTTATTCGGGAGGGGGTTTTGAGGTCGAGGGTTACGGCGAGGTTTGCGGCGAGGTTTGGGCTTTTGGAGATAAGGAGGGCTTTGGAGGTTGAGGCGACGACGGGGAGGGAGGGGAAGGTGTTGATTAGGATATCAGATGATGAGCCCTTGGTAAGATAATAGGCGACTCCCATCTTTAGTTCCTTTAAATTATAGAAAGTTGGGTACCCAGACGTACCACTAGAATATGTCAATTAGGTCTGACTTGATAGAAATTTTAATCAAAAACAACTTGTCACTCATTTGCGCTTTGCAAAGCTGTGGCCATCCCAGTAAGTCTCGAGGGACTCCTTGTCGTCTGCAACAATGCGAATGGTCCTCACCCGATGATTCGTCAGTGACTTCCAGTCGGCGGCATGCCTCCGACTGATTGGACGTCGATGTTCCCAACGAAGATTCGCCGTAGACCAATAATATCTCTAGGAACTTGGACTCGCGGTAAGCAGATCATGAATCAAAATGGTGTCGATCACAGTTTGCGACTATCAAAGCGCATCCGAAGACCGGTTAGATCACGGCATCACAGTACTTTACACCAATAGACGCTGTCAAATGCCGGCTCTCACGGACAACATGCGTCGAGCTTGCGCCGATCCTGCTTTCAAACCACAACCGCTAATGGTGTCTTTCTGGTGTCTTCGGACAGATTCATACATCTCTCTCTCTCTCTCCTGAGGTAAGCCATGTTTAAGTATATCAAATCTTCTCTGTTCTCGAGTTTCTTTCCCAGGCTCATGCGCTGGGTCTAGACAATCTACGTCTTGGTATCTTGATTCTCGCACTCTCACAAAAGCACACTTTACAAAAGGAAATAAAAGGCTCCCAAATCACTGAGCACTCGTGCCGACATCCTCACCGTCATCCCCCATCACATGCGCCCCCTTACCCTCCAACGGCGGAAGTCTCACCATGAGAAGCAGCCCCAGCGCAGCGATGCAGAAACAAGCGACGCCCAGGTACGGCAGCCCGATCCACGCGCCCCCCAGCTTCATCCCCGCACTAAACAGCCCCGCGAGCATGGGCTGCGTATACGTCTGGCCCGCCGTCTCCACGAGCGAGATGATGGAGTACAGCCGCGTGCGGTGCGCGGCATCAACGTAGACGGCGCAAAGACTCCGCACATAGCTGGCCCACCCGGAGCCGAGGGACAGGATCGCCAACCCGCCTATGAAGGCGCCGATGGTGGGGGACGCGGACATGGTCAGCGCACCGAGCAGGAGGGCGACGGAGGAGAGGCGGCCCAGGAAGAGGTCGCGTTCGTGGTCGTCTGTGTAGCATAAGGGTTTCGGGGCCTTGGGGGAGGCGATGAGCTTGGAAAAGGCGGGGAGGATGGCGACGATGGTGAGGAAGACGCCGAGGCCGTAGAGGGAGGAGAGGTAGCCCGTCTGCGAGAGGGAGACGTGGTACCGTTTCGAGGCGAAGATTGTCATGAATTGGTAGGTTGACATGACGACCGGGTAGGAGCTCAGGGTGGCGACCATGAGGATTACGAGGGAGGGGTTCTTGAGGAGGGCCATGGACTCCTTGAGGCGGTGGAAGGTGTGTTGGATTGTGCCGATGACGGGGGATTCGGCTTCGGGGGAGTCGGCGATGGGGTCGGGCGAGATTTTGGCGGCGGGGGGTTTGGTTTCCGGGACGAGGTGGATTGTGAAGAGGAGGGAGGCGAAGCCGGCGTAGGCGAGCCACATTACGGGCCAGGGACCGGTTCGTTCCATCATCCAGCCTGCGACGGCGGGGGCGCAGAGGTTTCCTATCATGGAGGCCAGGTGGACGGCCATGAACTTCTTGGCCCTGTTGAGCGTGTTAGTGAGGGAGGGAGGGAGGCCGCACACACAAATCATCACGAGAGTGTAGAAAGAGTACGAACCTATTTTCCGAAGTCGTCACGTCAGAGAGCATCGAGAAGACGACGGCAGACAACACGGCGTTGCCTCCGCCAACGAGCAACATCGACGGGCCGACCCACAAAGCCTTGAGCGGAATCACCTTGGGGAACGCACACACGACGAGAAACCACGCTTGATCCAGCATCTGACCCAACACCGCCAACGAAAAAACCTGCTTCCTCCCCAGCCGATCCGCTACAATGCCCCAGGGAAACGCGGAAACGGCACCAATGGACGCCTGCAGCGCGCTGTACACGGCGAAGATCATGGCCACCTCGCTCTGGATCTCGTCTTCCTTGCACTTGGACTCGTCGATGGCGTCTCGGGTGTAGAGGACGCCGTAGTACTGCCGGCAGACGATGTCTTCTACCTTGCGGGTGGTGGGGATGGTCCAGAGGCCGCCGAAGCCGGCGCCGAGGATGATGATGGTGACAAAGGTTGCGACGATGGCGTCTGCGTTGTGGAGTTTGGGGACGTGGAGCTGGGTTGCTGCGTTGAGGAGGGAGTCTGTTCTGCTGCGGTTTTGGGAGGGCGTAGTGGTGCTCTTGCTTGGTGTTGAGGAGGTTGCGAAGAGAGGGGTTGATTCTGTTGATGAGTCTGTGGAGGATCTTGGGGAGCCGGCGTCGTCTACGACGGTGTCTTCGTCCGAGTTGTCGGCTCGGGAATGCATTTTGGCTGTCTGTGGTGGTCCTTGTGGGTTGGTTCCGTTGGTGGGCATGCGTTCGAGGCTGATTGTGGAGGTTGTGTGACGATGAGGTCTGGCTGGTCTTATATGCGAGATGAAGGCGCACAAGATACCCGGGATACTGTAGCTGGTGCGCTCAACGTATAAGACACATAAAGCAATGGCGCGAAATACCGAGGTGTGGGTAGTCAAGAGATAAGTAAGAAAGGGAAGATAAGGAAGAGACTCCAAGATGGAATATGTAGCTGCAGAGTACAATCTTATCCCTGGGGATGAGATGCCAGTTGATTGCCGATGCGAAATGGGGGTTGAACGGGGTCTGGACTGGGCTCTCAGACACACGCAAAGTTCTGAAACGGGGGCCCTCCCTGCGATAGTAGCAAACGGGTTCTGACTGTAAGACGGACAGAATATAATGCGACTTTTGATTATGCTGGCTGCGTTGTTGCTGCTGCCGGGTGCGGTCTTGCGTCTGACGTGACGACGTGCCTTTGTTGGGCGGAGGGAAGAGTGCAGCTATCCCCCCTTTTCTTGCCTCTTTAGGAGATTGGGATTCGTAGGGCGATAGGGGTTGGGAATTTGGGAAGAGGCTGTTGTCGATAATAGGCGGGATGACGTGCTTACGACATGGGCAGGAAAACCCCCAAAAAAATTTAAACAATGAAGGAAACAGAACAATTGGTAAAGAACCAATGGAAAGGAAACGCGGCGGATCGACTCTTCAAGGGTTGCGTGTGTGTGTGTGTGTGTGTGTGTGTGTGTGTGTGTGTGTGTGTGCTAGTCGTTATCTCTCGTGATGGCGTGGACATTGAGCTCCGGAAGGGAAGGGGAGTAAGAAAGATAGAAAGGAAGAGAGGGAGAAGAGAACACGCGCCACGCAGCTGTGCCGTCATCAAACGCAAAAAAAATAAAAAAATAAATAAAAAAAAAGATTAAATTGCAAAAGACTGCGGATTGCGGCTCGCTGCAAGGTCAGCAATGTCGCATGTTACGATATCATAGGTTCAACAAGGAACGTGCGCCCCCGGACAGTTGGGCTGGCGACAACAAAAAGGAAAACCACGTCACTTGCTAGAATATGTCTAGAGGATCAATTACGCGTTTTGTCTCTTTTTTCTTTTTTCTTTTTTCTTTCACAGATGCAAAAGGTCCTCTCGGAGATGCGATCCGTAAGACGGGGAAGTTGACAGTTGACATTTGGTGTTCCAGAAAATAAGCACGGAGCTTCCATCAGGCCGGTTTTCTATTACCCAGCTTCTTATTTAGGAATCGGCGCTTTCTTTTGGCTGTGGGCAGTCAAATTTCCTAAACAGGACAACTGGTGCGCTGTTAGTTGCCGCCCAAGTAAGAGACTCACAAACGGTGCTGTTAGATACCTAATACGAAGAGAGGAACTATTGAAAAGGAGCGGGTGAACCGGCACGGTAGAGCTCACTTGAACGTCCATCTCATTTACGAAGCTGAAGCTTCACCGAGCTTGGTGTTGCGCCCTCCCGCCGGGAAGCTAGCTAAGTTGCGTCTTGACTCGCAAGACACCAAAGTTTAAACACTGGGACGGACGCCGCGGCTCAGGAACGAACGAGGAGCTTGGGACACCGAATGGTTTGGTTTGACCCTCAATCAACGTGCTCGCCTCTGCTTCGAGTTCTCGTCCGCTATTCTGCGGCAATAGCATCCGGCGCAACCAGCTAAGTTGGATAGAGCGCATTGCCGATGAGTGAGCGGCTGAAGAAGTTGACAGCTTCACGGAGAGCCTACATCACTTCCACGAATCATCAATTCCGTTTTTGCCTTTTTCAACTTCCCAGTTATCGCATGATTGCTCCCTGAAATGAGGGGGTTTCCGAGGTGCTCGTCCTTTCTAGTGCTACGCATCTGACAAATCGATGCTTGGTAACAAGCCTTTCCTTCAACTCAAATTCCATCTCTCCTCTCTGGTTCCTGATTGATCCCCGAGTCTTGCAACACAGACGCGCGTTCACAGTGGGCAGAAACTCTTTTTCCACTTCTCCATCCTCAACAACGCGAATCCGACGAAGCCGATGGCGCGTATCGTTCCCTTTGTCGTATCCAGCAGCAGCAGTAGCAGTAGCAACGACCAGGAACTGGGACCCAACCATCTGTCACGGCACGTGTTTCTTAACACTCTCACACGCCCCAACACTTGGTCCGTTCAACGGACTGCCCAGACGTGTTTCTCTTCTACTATTTCCGTTCGCACTCTTGGGGAGAGAGGCGGGGAGCCGGTAGAAGACCCGAGAGATGACTTGCTCCTTGCCGGAAGTGCCGGACCGGCCCTAGGTGTGCTGCATCCGAGACCAACTACGGGTAGATGCCGTGCCGCTAGTGGTGGAAACCCGGGTTGAACGAGCTAGCTGCCGCCGCGCCGCGCCGCCGGTGGCCCGGGATGGCCCGGCTGTGTCCTACATACCTCCAAAAGGCACGGAGCACTAGCTTTACACTGCCGTCGATTTCGGCTTCTTCGGCTTCTTCGGCATGCGCAACAATTTCCCCGGTGCAGTTTGGCGAGCCAAACTCCGGCCCCGGGGTCGATGCACCATCCTATTAAACTGTGAGAGTTACTGCCTTCGTATGACGATCCTCTCTCTTTTGAACTTTGCGACGAAGTCATCTACGGTTTCAAAACCGTTGAACCTGTTTATGGGGACGTTCCCTTGACGTACACCTCTAGATTCCTCAACTATCCAGCAACACACAGACGACCGTCCCTCTGAGTTGCCTTGCGGTCAGGGTTGTGTACTCTATTAAAAACCGAGTGGTCATCGGGCACGCCAGCATCTGGGGCGAGTCCGATCTTACTCATCATTTGTCTTCTTCTGGCAAGTTGCTCGAGGTCCGCTACAGCCCAGCTAGACACCGTCTACACAGACTCCCTCTCAAGTGTCCAGCACCCCATCTATCATACTCACACAGACCATACTTGCAGCTATTTGAGTCTCTCGAGGCCGATGAGTTCCAAGCCGAGTCCTGCCAGTTTCGGAACGATCTGTGCGGGCGACATGATGCAGCCATGTTGATCTTAACCACCGCCGCATGGGCTGTTGGGGGGCTGCTGAGCGCTTAAAACGGTATGCCGAATCCGAGCTTGTCCCCCCGTTGCTGTTGTTTTGGGCTGAAGAGCGGTAAATGAACAAATGGAAGGGGAGAGAGACGTGTCACAAAGGCACAGCGGCCCGTCCAACAGCAACAGCCCAACCGTGGCCCGACCAACACGACGTCCAACGAAGACTGATACGCGCCAAATGTGAGGTGTGAGGTGTGAGGAGGTGGTTGATATCTGATTCTCTCGGCAATGCCTTATCCCGGCGGGAGATGATAGATCGGCCATGCTCATGTGACACCTCAATAATGCCCAGTTTGGCATTTGTCCCCCAAAGCATAATACATCTTGGTAAGTAAAGAAATTGGTTCGTTGTCGATCGTCCTTCGTCCCCGACTTTGACTGGCAAGAGTAGCTGGAAATGTTACATCGGGACGGATCGACATCAAAGCCTCCGCCGTCCATGATCTAGATCAGGCCCGGCCGCGCATTTCTCACACGCGGCCCTCGCGCCGAGTCGCGCCGAGTCGCGCCGCGGGGAGAGATGGTCTTGTGACTAAAATGAGCTGCGGCTTGCCGTAAGGAAATGCAGGAGTAACAAGGTGCTTCCCATCTCGTATACCACTATCCGCAAACCACAGAAATGCATCTCCACATAAGAAGCAACCAATGCTGACACACTTTCACTCAGTCATCCCCATGTACGGAGTACGGATCGTCTCCTCTCCCCTTCCGCCCTCGCCCTCTTTTCTTCTCCAGCCCTTTAGGCTACTGAATCCTTCCTTTCTCTCCCCTCACATACCCTTGTCAATAAAACAATCTCCACACATCTGAATTAATGCAACGGGAACATCCTAGCGAGCTTACGTTGTGCGGAATAGCGGACGAACTCGAGATCGGGAAAGAGAGGGCCCAGAGGGGGAGCCGGGGACGGGGTTCAGGCCTGAAGGGGAAACTCGGCCCGCGCCCGCTCATCGGCCCGCTGAACGGGGCGCATCTAAACCATCACACCTCATCTGCGAAGACGAAGAGAGATGGGGCGATTGCACTAAATCTTTATTCTTCTTCTACTTGAGCCCCCCCCCCCCCCCCCCCCCCCCGCCGCCAGCTGAAGTTAGACGAGAAGCAAGATGAACCAAGATGCAGTAATAACTTTGATCAAAGCCTTGCACACATGCACACAGCCCTCATCCTCTTGACATATATCCAGACACTGCTCACAGCCCATGTACTCCGTAGTGTAAGTACCTAACCCAAACCGATGAGGTATTCGCCAACGGCAAAGCGAGGAATACCGCGTCAAGGAGCAATCAACTCAAGGATCACGGAGCGTAGTCCGCGGGCGATGGTTCGGCTCAGGTGGCCAAATTCGTCAACGGTCGAGACCGCAGCGCCCGTACGGTCTCTGGGCATGGGGTGGGAAGGGGAAGCAAACAAATACAAGTCGAGCTGAATCATGCTATCATGCTATCGGTTGTAAGAGGATATAGTACTTGGGGAAACACGGACCAAGGGAGAAGAGGAGGAGGAGGAGCGAGCGAGCCAGATGGCCACCAACATCCCCAGATCGGAGCTTGCAGGCATCTTCCGGGTTATCGGATGTACATGACGCTGGAAGGGCGATGGGATGGGGGTGAGGTGAGGGTTGCACAACGTCCCTGAGACTACTCAATCTCTCCGAGGAAGAGGGAAACACACATCCAGAGAGAGGAAGGAAGGTAGTCTTTTTTGGCAAGGTTGTCGACAAGCTTGCGGTTCAATCGTTCCTCCCAAGCCCCCAGTAGCAGCGTATTGTCATCGGGGAGGCGGGCTCTGGAACCGAGGAGGGGAGCACCCAACCATATCTCGCCAGGAACGAGAGACAGCCCTCCTCTGGGTTCTCGTGGGTGTCGAGTTCGACTCTTTGAGGACGCGAGGTGGGGTAGTCGAGAGTCAAAGACTCAAAACCACATTTGTTGCCCAAGATCCAGGAGTTGCACGGTTGGCATCGGTTCCAACCAAATCCCTGTCCTGGTAGCAAGAAGAGACCGGGGTGGTGTTGAATCGATGCCTGCCCAGGCGTAGGCAAAGACCCGCATCGCCAACGTCGTTGCCGTTTGTTTGTTTGTTTGTTTGCTTGCGACTTTGCGCCAGCGCCAACAAGGGGAGCGAGGGTCGTGAGGAGAAACCAGAAAGAGAGAGAGAGAGAGAGAGAGAGAGAGAGAGAGAGAGAGAGAGAGAGAGAGACTCCGAGAGGACAGAAGGACCTCGACCCGCGGCCGCATGATTTGAATAAATTCCAGCAAGCCGGCACCGACACGCTAGGTCGTCACACTTATCACACCAGATGCTACGTCGTGTAATCTCCCTTCTTCCGTTCTTGTATGCATTCTGCTCTGGGCGCGCCGTCAGCGATTCGAGCGGTTGACCATAATCGGAGACCGTAGTGGAGCGGGAAGCTTTCGTCCTCTGCTTCTGCCTCTTTTATTTTCGATATACCAGTATGTCCTAGCTCCTATGACGAAGGGGGAGCAGTGGTTGAAGGATGTGATGCGCGACTTACAAACGGTTGTGCAGGTTGCATATCACCATCCGCGATTCCGCCCTCACGATTCGTGGCGTTGGGCTGGCTTGTCGATGAGTGACTCGCGAGACCCGTCAGGCATCACTCGCCTCCCCCTCCCCCTGACACCATCAACGACATTATTTACCTATTTAGGAAGCCATGTCTTTGATGCAGAGGAGCGTAGTGTTCCAGATCCGCCTCCGAAACCTCTGTAGGCGTGCTGGACGATCTTGTCTCGGAAAGATCGCGCCCTCGATCCCTTTGGAAAGAAGTAGCTGCAGATTCAACTTAAACACAAGTTGTTCTGAGCAAGCGAGAATTAGACATTGTCTAGACCAAGCCGACGGAGAGTGTCCGCTTTGAAGTGGGCCTATGTCAGTGCAAGAGCATATCACCGGTGAGCGGGAGGTTGATGGTATGACATGACCAGCCCTCTTGTGCAATTTGGACTAGACTGGGCACGCCCACACCTCCCCCCATCGTCTCGCCATGCCGTGTTCAAATCAAACTTCCAGGAAGTTGAGAACCGCCAACAGAGATGCGGTCCCAGAACCCGGGCAGCTAGGAGCTCCAGAACCTGGTCGAACACTCCCCTTGCAAGGTGCAACACACTTATTGGTGCAAGGCCTTACCACGGTTTCCCACGGTCTACGAGAAACCTCGAACGTACGTCCGTCCATCTTTGCTTTTTCCTCATGCCAGTTGACAAGTGAAGGCCCCCCTCTCCACTTCTTCCCTCTCTGGCATGACGCCATTGCAGGGCAAATATTCACCCAAGTCTGGCTCCTCTTCTCCTCCTTCTCCTCCTCCTCTTCCACCCACCCATCCATCCCCTGCGTGTGGTTTGGTGCTTGGTATGGTGGTGTCAAAACCTCAGTCTGCATATGGCGTCTAACTAGTCTAGCTGCCTCTTTCGATCTGCAACTGCAGGGAAACCCTGGCCCGGCCGGTGAAGGTATCAGACCTTGAGGCAATGTCCCCTCGTCTAGTTGACCAACAAGAATCGAGATTACTAGGAGGCGCGGATGTCACCGTGCTGTTCCGGCAGCCATGTTTGTGTGCAGATTCTTGTTCCCAACGGGACAACCGTGATGTCAAGAGCGATGACGGACGATGATGAGATGTTTGACAGTCCTGAGATGACCGATGGTTGGGACATAGGAGGCAGCAGAAAGGCACGAGAAGGAAGGACCCGAATGAGATGAGGTTCGAGACTGGCGACTTTTGTCGTTGGTGATAGGTTACTACGGTAAGTCTTGACGAACTAAAGAGGTAAGTGAATCGCACACTTCTCACTTTGAAATGCATTATCTGCAAGTTGCAAGACTTACACCCCCTTTCCCTTGTCAGGTGTGTAGCCGCTGCTGCGCGTGCTTGTTCGTCTCCTCCTCTTGTTGGAGGTGCAGGGTACGCTTGTTAGCCCTTGCTTGGCTCCTCCTCCTCCTCTTTCCTCCTTGCTTCGTCGTGACGCTTGTTCAGATGGCCCGGCATCCCGTCCTTCATGCAAAACCAATATCCAAGCACCTGGATCTATCTCCCAGACAGTGTATAAGAACTGGACGGCAGGAGGTGCACCTCGAAATCCTTCCGATCTGCCATATGAATCTTCATCCCATCGAATACGGCATCCTGTTGATCTATTGCTCGCTCTCAACCATCCCGTCGACGCCTCACCGTGTGTTTACCTGCTTCGTTATACGAGAGGCATCTTGTAGCTAATACTTGCCAGAGCATCTACTTGAGAAGAAGAAGCGATCACACCAAGAGAGACAACATCGTCCAGGAATCTAGATACCTGCAACATGGCACTCTCAGCCGCCGAACACCAAGCTAGACGACGACGCTCGACAGCCGCTCCAAGGCGTCGCATAGCCTCAGACCCATCCATCACACCTATCCCAAGACGCCCGAGGCTTCTCAGCAACCTCCCGAGTCAGCGCAGAACGTCTACACCCCCGATAAGAAGCCAGACATCCAGCCCCATCCAATCATCTACAACCGAATCCAGTCCGCCCACGCCAACCGTCGCCTTCTCTACCTTTCCAAGACCAGCTCTTCCCAGACCGTACCATGACTTTTCCCACTTCTTCCAAGCCATGTGTCCTGCCCTGCGAAACCGGATACTCGGACAAGTCGACTGGGACTCCCTACATGGAGGACGGCACTGGCGCAGTCAGGGCTACCAGCCATGGTACGCATCCGACTCCTGCAAGACGGCCTTTATCATCCACGTCGAAGGAAATTTCCCCAAGGTCTGCGGGTGGCCGGAGAAGGAAGAGAGCAAAGGGAGGAGAGAGAGCAGGAAGAACTCAGCAACAACAATGGAAAAGTCCCAGGAGGCCGGTACTACTACAGCTTCGCCCAAGGGGTACGGATGCTACCGCTGCCACACGATCAAGCCCGAAGCCGCCTTTGAGAAGCTGCCCGACTACTTTGTCGTGTCATCTGCCGGGTGTATCGTCGGGCGGTACGCAGGCAAGGCCGACGGCGACAAGGAGCAGTCGACGCTCCCGACGCTGCGGAGCGGGGAGGGCCTCCTGCGGCGCTTCTGTATTGAGTGCGGCGTGAGGGACGGGCTGTATGAGAAGAGGAAGCTCATTACGTCGTTGACGGAGGAGAGGTGGTCTGTCTGCGACTGTCGGCGTCTGCACTGGGTGCCGTCGAATGAGTCGTACATTGAGTGTGAGCACTGTCTCGTCAAGAGTGCTTTCAGACCGCCGGTGTGATGCTTAGGCAGAGATGTGCTTGCTAAGATGTTGCTGAGAGCTGAGGATGCTTGTCTGACTAGCTTGGGGCTTGTACTACAGAGTGGCTATTTGCGATTATTTGAAAGGGCGGTTTTTTCTTCATTGGTGTTATGGGCTCAGCCCAGATGGCGGCGGCTTCTTTGTCTGTACTTCCGTTTGTGGGAAGCGCATCTCATGCACTTGGCCGGAGCATGTCAGGCCACGGGGAGCTGGGAAAGCCGGCCGGGCCTTTTGTTGTTATTCTTATTGCGCATGTAGGGTGAGTGGTCGATGTCTCTTCACACTTTGACCGAAGGAAGCGCTTTCAACCTGGAGGAAAACAGGACTCCAGAGGGGTAGGGATAAGTGCGTTGTTAGATTGGGAAGGCGGCGCTTGATGTTTGGAATAAGTCTTGATTCAATCGAAACTTCTACTGATACTGATTTTCCCTTGCCTGCATTGTTGAAATCAGCTTTTTGATTCTGCGTGAGGGTTGCCCCCTCTTGATTTTTTAACGTGTCCTCCTCTCTAATGTCTATCCCGTCAACCGGTTCTTGTCTAGTCTATGTTCGTTCTTCTTGCTGATTTTGTTTAACTGTAGGAGAAAGAATGGTAGCGTTGAGCGAATGCTGGGCTCAGTTATATCCGGATCTGCCTTTCGGTGAAACGCCGTGGCCATGTTCGCGGGTCCGGTTGTAGCCGCTACGGCCCTGGGGGACTTCGCGTGACCGGTCACTACTTGAGGTTTTGACGTGGTGTGAGCCCTCGTTGAGTCTCCCGCTGGCGTCTCGGTGCCTTGACTGCTGGCTGGAACCTGGGCGGCTCGATCTACTTGAGCTTCTGTAGTCCATTGTGATGAGATCTGTTGGATGATATGAGTATTTTGCTCTGCTGACGCAACTCGTGTTCTGTATTTACCTGAAGGAGATCTTGCTTGATGTGAAGATGATGATTCCGAGTAGAACGAGGTGGAAAATTGGCTGGGTGATGAGCTATCAATGTGTCTGATGATTGAAACTGCAAGAATGTGATGAAGCAACTGCAGACAAGTGAGAAGACAGGCTCATTCTTATGTGTCGACTGTACGTGAAGGCGAGTAATTGATAACAGTGGACTGATTCAATCATGGGATGGTAGATAACGAAAGCTCGTCCTTTCGAAAGAGACGGGGACGTCCATGGCTTGTATATCTCCCCGGCGGGCTACACCCTGAGGGAAAGTTCTGCGGCATGGCATGGCATCCCATCGGGCCGTATGACGAAATGCCGAAGCGAGGACGATTCCTGGCTGCATGAGGGAACGCAACGAGAGCAAAGTGTAGAGCGAAAAAAGAGAGGCTCGCGCATTGCATTAGACAAGCTACTTGACATGTGCCTGCTGCGCATGTGGGCTTTACTCTTGTTGAGACTCGGCCGAGGACGTGATCCTCCGTCTGGAGTAGGGTCACCGCGGCATGGGTTCCTGGCGAGACCCGGTCGTTCTAGCTGCGTTCGATGATCGGACGTGGAAGCCTGGCGGGTCAAGACTATCCAAGGGGGTGGGAGAGGCAAAGCAACTGGTGGTTATGATACACCCTTCCGGGCACAAGACGGGCAAAGGAACCCATATGTAAATTGACGAGGGTAACACATGGAAAGCTGGGCAGTGAGTTCAAACAAGTTGCAACGATAAACGATGGATTGAGCTTGAACATCGGACCCGGAACCCTTCCTAGAGGGCAGAAGAAACATTGAACTTTGCTGCGTCTTTACCCAGTCGCCCAGTCACGGAACGAGGCGTGAGCTTTGGGCATGGCTGACCATGCCAACGGGTCTCCCGGCACGCGGGGCCGGACGGAGGAGAAGCTTTCTTTGCAACTCTGAGGCTCGGATAGACTCTCCATCGAATGGAGACCAGCACAGTTTCTTGTCGTTTCTGTTTTCCAAGAGTTCAACCCTGCCCCCGGTGCAAGTAATTCGCTCGTCTGTGGGCTCCCCGAAGTGTCAGTGCCGAGAAACAACTTTTCTCCCTCTCTCTCTCTCTCTGAACTCAAGGGCTAAACGGCCGATAGGGCGTCTCATCGAGTTTAGGAAATGCAGTGCGAAGGAACAAGAGGCGACTCCTGACGAAGAGCTTGAAAAGTGGGCATGGAAGGGTCCGAGTCGAACAGAACCCGCCGGTCTACCGGCTCCGGACATCGCGTGGGAAGTTCCATTCCTTCGGTGCGATCCTACCGATGTGGTACGTACATTTGTCAGCCACTGCTACCCTTTCAGCTTCCTGTTGTGGCTAATTCCATCGCTCTCGCTGACACCTCATGCTCCCTCTCGCGTACCCACGAACTTGACGGGATCTTCATGGATGCTCCTAGGCATAGCCATGGGTGCTCATCAGCCCTATCCCTATCATATTAAGCAAGGCTAAGCTCGACAGGATGAGCAACGTTTCTCATCAGACGTCGCTTTGCTTCTACGCATACTTCACCCCCCCCCCCCCCTGGACCGCGCGCTTTGCCTGCGATTTGTTTGAAACGGGGAGCAACGCCCGGTTTGTTGAGGGCGCTGCTCAAATCTGCGACGTACGCCTGGGCCCAAGTACCTTGTTATCAAAGAAAAGATTTCATGTGAGTCATAAGTACGAGAATACAGTTCTAATAAAACAGTGTAGTACCCACCTAGCACTTGAATCACAGAACACTTGCATTTAGCAGCATTGTCGCAATCGGCTCCGTCTTCCGGTTCCGGGTCTGCGTTGTAACACATGCAGAGCATAGCGGCGGCCGGTGCTGGCTTTTCTTCTTCTCACCTTCATCACCAGTTAGGTTTGCATTGTTTCATTTGGCAAGAACTACCTAAAGTGACGGCGAAGAGAAGCAAATAAATGGGCAACTTAGAAATCTACACTCAACGCGAAACTTTTCTTCTCCATCACTAGTCTGCTTTGCATTGTTGGCGTTAGCAAGAACTACTAAGAGTGACTGTAAGAGAAGCAAATAAATGGGCAACTCAGGGCAGGGTTTACATTCAGTGCGAAACTTCTCAGCTCCATCACCAATCCGCCTAGCGTTTTACGATGGAGGCCATCAACTTCACAAACTTCCCTCTCAAAATGATTCGCCCGCAGAGACAAGGTATGGCCCGCGATGACTTCTATCTCGACGTCCAAGTCCGGGCAAAACTTTGCATTAAGACATATAGCCTCAATGCTCTTTTAGACGTTAAAGCTGAGATTGTCAATAATATCCTCAGCCTGACCGAAACACTCGAGGTAAGTGCGACCTGAGACTGAGGAAGGACCAGGCTGACAGCTATTACACATAGAGAACCAAGGCCGAGTTTCTTGAGTTCCAAGCATTCATTAATACAATTCTTCCCCCTCTTCCTTACTCCCAGGTAACTTGGAAAACTGTCTACATCGCGCAAGGCATCGTGGTCGATGGCGATGTGGACGACGATGATGAGGAGGATGACGAAGACTTCGAGATTGAGGACGGCTACTACCCCGAGTGGCTGACGAGCTCAAGTGCTAGCAGCGTGACGTCTGAGGAGCCTATCAGCGGCTTCAGCAACATCGAAGCTCCGATCATTCTTCAGCCTGCTGAATTGCCACTCCTTACAACTTACAAGAACGCTTACGGCACCAAGGAGCACTTGTCGATCTTCTCGAATGAGTTCTTTGAGATTCGCAGATCCCCTACGGCTGGCTGGGGTGCATTTGCCGCCAAGAGGCTTCGTCAAGGCGACCAAATCCTCGTCGAAAAGGCGCTCTATCACGCCATCTACATGGACGTGACCAAGTCTGCTAGATCTTTGCCGGAGAAGGAGCGCCTGGTAGCCAACGACATGTTCGGCCATAACGGCCGGGAAGGAGAGACCCACGAGGAGGCGGTTTGGAACACGAACGCGTAAGTGAACCAACCGTACCGCTTTACCATCGACTTGCTAACCCTGAATAATGACAGCTTCGCGGCGTATGTCCCCGTCAAGTCCGGTACTAAGAGGAACTTGCCTGGTCTCTTTGCTATCGCAGGCCGATTCAACCACTCCTGCTCGCCCAAGGTTGATTACAAGTTCCGCACCAGCCACGAGGCATTGGTATTCACTGTCAGAGACTGGGTGATCGAAGAGGGCGAGGAGTTGACCATCTCGTACGGTCAAGATCCGTCGGTGCTCTACTACAAGTACGGCTTCATCTGCGAGTGCGGACACTGCAGCAAGTTCGACCCGCGCAAGTCTGAATGGTCCTGAGGCGACATCAGATCTTGGTCTTTGGCTACATCTTTGGCTACACTAATTTTTGCATCGAAGGAGCATTTGGACATCATGGTATACAGCGGAGGAGCTTCGATGCAAAGACGGGAGCTTTTTGGCAATAGATGGTGCGATTTGGTTCAGCGAGGAAAGTTGCGCAACTTCATCCATAGAGAGATGAATTATACCCTGCGCGCGAGACATAGACGCCCTTATTAGACGGAAAGGTTTTAAATTTTTTCCAATTTTGATTTTTTCCAATTTTGATTTTAAGAGAACGGATTCATCTTGACAATATGATTTGCCCAGAGTCTGGTGACTGCATACTTAAGATGTCCGCGTTGCTGAGCATGTACGCGAATGTACGTCCACGTTCGGCATTTACCCTCCAATGCGATGCGTTCCTTTGCAGAAGACTAGTTCCTGACCCCTAACATTGGATAAGTATGTAAGAACGAAGGCAGCTCCACTCTTACTCTTTATGAAACTCAACACAGCACACGGTTGAACACGTTCAACACCGGTATAGCGAGACACGGATATCCAGGGCACATCCACTTCGCCGTGATTCTCCACCGAAGACCGAGATCGACATACCACGGCGCGCCAACTTAAAATCCAAACATCCTTGGCCGGGTGTGAGTGCAGCGTACTTTGGAGAGGGGACTTGGAGAATCTAGGGGTTCATGTACCCCAAGTGCGAACGTTGCATCGTGCGGGGGAGAACCACATCGCCCGGCTGTGTGGCCGTTGTCGGTGCTTCGAGTTGACGTGGAGAAGCAGAGATGTGAGACTGGAACAACTCACATCGTAGGAATGATGAAACCCGAGTTCATGCGCCAGCAAGATGAAAACCATACAGTTTTTTTTGGTGATAGAGGCTTGCCTACCGAGTACCATATATCAAGTATTATGTCAAAAGTCCATCCATCTACACATCCCAAGCAACGAAAACATACATCAAGTCATCAGGTCATCAATCTTCTTCATACATTACTCCCACTTCAAACAGCACACTCCGCCAACTCCCCCTCCCTCAACGCATCAAGCAGCACTCTCGCCGTATCCCGATCCCCACGATCCTCACCGGACCCCGGCGCAGCAGAGTGCTGCGTAAGCTCGTTCCACGCCGTCTCGATCCACCCCCCGGGTCCATCGTGCCCCGGCATACCGTCAAAGTACATGCCGTCAAAGTCGCCAGCCACACTCGCAGACTGATCGTCCAGGGGAAAGGCGGCAAGGACCTCGGCCGCGAGACCATCGATCCCTTCTGATGGCGGGCGGTCTGCCATGTTGACGTCGCAGCTGCTTTGGTATTCGCCCCCGGTGCGCGGTGAAGTATCGTCCGTGACGCTGTCCTGGCTATGGCTTCCGGCCGATGTGGGCGATGTCGAGTCGTCATCTGATGGGATGGCCGCTACAGTTCCCGCCGGCTGCATTCGGAACAAGTTGACACGCATCGCCGCGGCGTCAAAGTCCGTCATACGGTCCTCGGCGTGTTCAGCAGCCTCGGAGAACCCCCCGCTCGCATCCCGGCTTGCGTCCCTACTCTCGATTCGCTTACGCTCGAGGAGCGCCTTGAGAGGATTGAACCCCCCCGTGAAGAGGCCCCGGAGACTGACTGGGAAGTCACCGTCCTCGGGAAGCCGACCTTTGCTGAGGGAGAGGTCCATCGTCAGGGCTAGGCGGAGGTAAGAGGAGGGTTGAGAGGCGAGTATGTCGGTCCAATCTGCGATGACTGCGCCGCCGGGGGTGGCGTTCGCAGATTCCCCTGGTGCTGGCGATTCGATCTGCGCCAAATTGACAATGTGCCGAATCGTCTCGCTGACCCAGTCGACGCCATCGTACTGCGGTTGGTAGGTCTTCATTGCCTCTATCAGGATGTTCAAGCGATGTTGCTTGAGCGCTGATTGTGTGTTGGGGTCGAAGGATCGTGAGGAGGCCGATAATTTGACGTCGAGGATGTGCAGGACCAACGGCAAAGCGGTGCAGGCCACAGCGCTGATGGGTAACCATCGTGCGAGTCGAAGATGAATTAGTTCCTTGAGACACTCTGTTACCCCGGAAGCCGCATCCTGAAGCTCGTGTCGGTTCTCTCCAATGATGATGAGATCGGAGGTCGGGATGGCGTTGAACGATGGCGCCGCGGCGGTGATGGCGAGGTGAAGGACTTCGTGGTGACTGAGAACAACTCGAGAGGAACTGAGCAGAGGTTAGTGACCGTTAGTAAGGTTGGATCCAAGGAGCAGCTTACTGATAGTACATGTACATCAAATTGGTGTATAATATCACTGAGTCGTGTTGGAATTCGTTTCCAGGAGCCTTCATCCTCGCGACAGAACCGCCACCAAACATGGGGAACCTCATCGTCACGCCCTTGTACCATCTCTGTAGCGCAACTTTACACACTCGTACCTTGTCCTGTTCTTCGGCTCGCATTTCTCTGCCCCATCCCGGCCTATCGTCGAGCGGAAACACCAGGATGAGGATGTCGGTCAGCACGACACAGAGCTCGACTAGTTGCTCCAAAATCTCAGCCAAGCACCGTTTCGTGCCTGGGTTGTACACTCTGCTCCTCTCAGTCTCACCCGCCAAGTCCGAATACCCAAGACTTTCATTAGCGTCAAAAGTGAAATGACTCCGCGTGATCTGCAGACTGCGGCGGAGGCCTAGACCGACAATTCGATCGCGAATGATACAGCACCACCAGAGCCGCTTGAGAAGGTTGCGCTTCTTGGGAGATGCTGTGCGGGTGGCGTAATGATGGGCTTCGACCATTTTCGCATTTTGAATCGCGATGGAGAGCCACGCTGTATTAGATTTGCGGAAAGCCGGGGACGTAGGCGAAGACCAGAAAGAGAGGAGGAGTGAGGCCTGTGAGATTGCGAGGGGAGACGATTCGGATTCGAGGTCGTAAAGAAGCTTGGCCCGTCTGTAGAAAGCGGCGCGACAGGCTCGTACTGTGGGAAAGCCGAGAGTCTTGATAGTCTGGCGGGAGACAAACTATTTGATGTCAGAATTGCGTACTGCGAAGCTGTAAGATTGACTGGAATGACGTACGTTGCAACACGCGAACAGCATTGCCTGGAAGACGAGCAGTGAGAGCTTTTCGCCAGCCACGTAACTGGTAGGATTCACACAGTAGAAATCCCAAAAGTCGCCCTCATTGATCATTGGCAGCAATGGGTGCACATGCAAGAAATACTGCTGAACAAACTCGTCCAGAATGGCGCGCGTTGGCACCCTGAGACATCCCTGGAGCTCCAGATAGTTCACGTCCTGTGGTGGTATTCCGTGAAGATTACCCAGTGCTAGGAACGGGTAAAAGGAGTATGTCACGTCTATCCCCATTGTGTTCTGTTGTCCGGCGGTATATGGCGTCGTGAAGGGTTGATTGTTCAACGGTAAGGAATTGGAAGGAAAAGCTTCGTACGTGCTTGTCGACGCGACCGAAGGGCGGGCGTGGTGACCACTTGGCTTGGGATGCTCATGCTGAACATTGCTGTTACTGACCACCGGGCTCTTTGGTCGATCGGTGGCTGCTGGTATTGTGATGTCGTCGCCGTGTGAATGATTGCAGGTTTGTGGCTGGGCGTCTGATTCGTTTGAGGGAATAGGCCGAGAATCGTCGCTCGTTGCTGTGATGGGATCTACGACAAGAAGTTGCTCGCCGGCCTCTGCGTCGTACTGCGGATATGCGCCTTCCGCATTGTCGACGCCATCTCTTTGTTGTGCTCTTCTACTGTTCGCCGGGTTAGTATTACCAACGAGGCAGGATAAGATTACAGTTCACTCACAACCGTGACGCCCGCCCAGTGACAACACAGTTCTCACTGTCGAGGTAGCAGTTCATACATGGGCGACCTCGCTGAGACACGTCGCATCTGACTTTGCGAGCGCGACATGATAGACAGGCTTTTGGTGCGCGCTTGCGGACCTTGGTTTGCGACTTGGGCTTGGAAGCTTCGGGAGGTGTGGTCTCAGATGCCATTATCTAGACGTTGGATCGCGCAAGGAGGGTTCTTCACTGGGGATCCGCAAGATAAGGAATTGGAGCAAGGGGAAGGTCGTCTACAGAGACCGGGTACGGGACCAGATGACGCGAAAAGAGTTGAAAAAGTTGAGATTCCCAGACCTGGGCTCAGCGACTTGACCAAAGACGGAAGACAGGAACACTTTGCGGGGTGTGGGGAAGAGGGGAAAGGCTTGCAAGGCAACTCTGGAGTCGAAATTCTGGGGTCTGGAGCCGTCGACGATCCTTTGACGCTAGATGTCTGGGGGACGGCGTGGTGGTGGACACGACGACACGGAGTTCGAGCCTGAGTTGGCATCCTGCAGAGCCGGGAGCTGTGACCAGGGGAAGCTATCATCCAAGCCTGTGCCGGGTCTGTGTCGGAATGATCGGAATCGGCCTTCTCTCTTTCAATCTCCTACTCCGACTCGTCTCTTCCGTCGACTTGGCACAAACACTAATGATCTGTAATCCGCTCACCCTCACAGAGTCACAGGGAACTGCATGCCGAACGGGTAGTGCTTTACCTTGGACATGGGGCTAGAACTTGGGGCCGAAGACTGCGAAACTGCGAAGTGGAGGGTTGAATTTGACATAGCAAATGAGAGTCAGTCAATTCGAGGACATCTCTTTGCCGACCGCCTCTGCCGAGTCGCCGCGGCGACTTACGGTCACTCAACATAGAACTCCACAAGAGCTCGGCGATGCAGACCAATCAAACATGATGAACCTATTCCCCGACTGACGGCTGGGGTCGAGTCATTAGCGTCATCATGGACGATGAGCCCCGAGCTTTCGGAGTTCTTCCGCCCAGCCATGCCAGGGACCACAGAACGCGGAATTAAAGAGAGACACACACCTCGCAGGCTCACACTTCTTTACGTCAATGGCCCTTGTTCGGTGGAGGAGCTCTTAGGATGAAATGATGTATCGTATCAATGCGTACCACCGCCAATTCTGACTTCTGACTAGGACCGCCACGATGCTTCTCAGTCAGAATCCAGAATCAGATTCGGACGACGATGAAGAAGACGACTCCTCGCTTTCGATTGGCTTGAACACCCAGTCGCCATCATCTTCCCTCAATAAGCACACCTTCACATCACCGACAGCTTCATCCAGTCCGTTGGGCACATCCATGCCATCGCCGACCTTTGCGAGAATCGAGGCATCGATCCGACAAAAGAGCATCGGCAACGAATCGCTTTTCCACACCGATATGCCGTCGCGAGCGCCTCTGATGATGGTGTGAAAGAGGTGGTAGATGCTGATGATGATGAGGCCTGTCGGGAACAACATCCACATCCAGTCTACGACAATGACCTGAACCTCCACATACGCACGTCCGGTATATCGATGTCGGTCCTTGCCCCGAACTTCGCCGTGGAGTCGTACCTCATTCGTCAGACTGATGCTAAATCGGTCAATCCATTCCGGCAGTTTTTCTCTCGCGTTGTAGATCCCTTCGGCCCAAACTGACGAAAAGTTGATGGTCGTGTTCTGCTTCTCGTACGTTGTCTCGACAAGCGGGTCTACGAACCTCCGCAGCGCAACCAATGCTTTTTTGGAGACGCTGTATCTTGATTCTGGTGCAGTGTGCATGGGTTTTGGGATATCGACAAATACGTATTCGTCCCCGTGCGCGCTGTTGCTCAGTTCAAACCGCGTCGTGGGCCAACGACAGGTGATATTTTGCTTAAGGTGGCCCTCGGTGATATTGAAGTCGAAGCTCTTCATGCAGAACCACAGGGCGCATTCCTGAGCAACACTTTTCGTCTCTCGCTTGCTTTTCCTGACCCACAGGACGTCGAAAACGGATATGTATGTTTGTGTCGTTGAATTGAATCGGTGGATAATGCCCTCCGATGCGGCCGTCTTGAATCGCTCAGTGGTCGGGGCATTTCGGCTGATCTCCACCGACGTGCCTTTGGGCAAGCTGTACCGGCACGTCTGCGACTTGTCGGTACATATAGTCCTCATTTCAAGAGGATTGCATTCGCCACAGACTGCCACAGTTGGTATGATGGGCCACGTACAGTTGATACCAAAGCAATCGAGATCAAGGGTTTTGACATCCACGGAGAGGATCCCGCTGTATACAGCGGCTTTGGTGGTCACGTTGAGGACCGGTACTGCTACGCGTTAGCGAGTACTATACGTGTCAAGCGATGCACCGCCACCTACGTGGATCAAGGCCGCGGGAGACAGTGTAGTCCTACAAATCGCTTCTCTCGGGTGCCGCGACTTCGGGTTGGTCGATTTTTTGTGACTTGCCCTCATACCGGTAAAGCTGCTGGGAGGATGCCTCGAGTCCGTGAACAAGGATAACAATCAAGGCGCCGATACAAGCAAGATGTCTGGCACGCTGTCAGTCAGCATGATACCCGGGGCAAGGAGAACAGGCGTTCCACGGCTCTACCTTCCTCTCAATCGCCACAAGAGATACAGGCTGCCCCAAAGTCCGCGCGACGCCTCGTCGTATATCTTGAAGTCTTCCAACCTGGCTCGGCTGTCGTTGGTGCGACGTTGCCGGGCTTCAGATACCCATATCCAGGCAGACTGGCTGATGGAGGTTTCGACAATTCCACTCATGGCGACGCGAACGCAGGTGAACATGGCTACAATGATGACATCGAAGTCGAGATTGCCATTCATCAGTTGGGGGATCGGCTCGTTGTTGTAGGTCTTGAAGATGATTCCTAGGACGATGGCTCCGATAACGCAGACTGCGACTAGGCGGTATTCGTCATTCCACCATTTGTATAGGGACTTGTAGTCGCTCTTGGGAAGTGGCCGCGGGGGTCCTTCTTCCGTGTTATCGTCATCGTCGACTGCGCCATCGTGCTCACTTTGCTGGAACTTTACTCGCTTCCGAAGGGTCTTACATGGGCGGGAGCTCGTGGCTGTGGGTCGAGAGGATGATATGTCGTTCGACATGGAGAAGGATAGAGGTGTATTCCAAATCTATAGTATACTTAAAAAACAGGGTGGTCAAGAGGATCCTGGTCAGAGATGACCTGGCAATAGAGGAAAGATGGAATGCGACGAGAGTGACTGATGCCTGATGCAAAGGTTGACGGTCGAGGGCATGGTAGATGGATGATGTTGGCGGGAGGTTCGAGTCGCATCATCCGCCTCAGGCTCCATGCCCTCCAGTAAGTTGCCTCATGTACCTTAGAGATGTTCCATTTTGAGAATGACCATCATCACCCCAGCCGTTCTTTCCCTTCGAAATCGACGTCTTTTAATGGGAAGGAAGAGCGGTTCTGGGGAATCAAGCCACACCTCCACTTACACGAACATGTGGCTGGTGCCGAGCTCATTGAGGGGTCGCGATAAGGCACAGGGGGAGGTGGCCAATGAGACGATGACGTTGACATGCCTCTGTTCAAACGGCAAGCAATGCATTTGTTCCTTTAAGAAAACAAGAATTATCTCAATCCTTCTGTTTGAAAGCCAATTTACAATAAGTCAAAAATTTGAAGAAACTGCCTTTCTTGATTAAAGATGTACACTTTGTCATTGCTTCGTGTTTCCCTCCTCCTCCTTCACATCCAGGGCGGGGCTAGTTGGAAGGTCCCCCACCAAGCATTTGACAACCTCCAGTCACCTCATGGTCATCAAGTGCCATTGGGCATGGATAACAATGATGATATAAATATCTACGGCGCTACGTCATTTGCCGGTCTGAGAACCTTTGCCAACTTGCCCTTTGTAGACTGCTTCTCTGATGAGCATGCAGAGAGTCATAAGTATGACATTGCGGTCTTTGGCGCGTCACACGACACAGTAACTATACTTCTATCATCTATAATTCACAAAACCATCGTCTGACTATCGGGGCAGACTACCACTGGCCGTCCGGGAGCTCGGTTTGGTCCGCCTGCCATTCGAAGCGGGAGTCAGAGAAAGTCGCCGGGGGAATGGAGCGTGTACACGGGTAAATCTTCTGCATGGGCTTCTTATCAATAAATTTCTTCATCTGACAAGATATGGTCACTAGGAAGAAACCCTTTGCAAGACTGGGCGACCGTCGTAGACTGTGGCGATGCCCGTCTGACCTGGCTGGATAACACGGCTTCTCTGAAGCTTCTAGACAAAGCCCACACCGTTGAGTCATGTCCTACAGCGTAATCTCGAAAGTAGGAGCTAAATACAGGAGTGAAGGTCATTTCGGGCAGACCGGCAGCGAACTCATCGGTGTCAACCACGCCGAGGATACTCACGCTCGGAGGAGACCACACGACGACGCTGTCTGCCTTACGGTCGACCTACCAGAGATGGGGCCCCGTGTCTGTCATTCACTTTGATAGTCACATCGGTCAGTACTTCTGATAGAAGATCATCGTACCTAGCTTACCATTTACAAAGACACCTGGGATCCCTTAGTCTTGGGTAAGTCGTCACCTGCTAAGCTCTGATGCCCTGGAAGTTGACGTGGACCGCCTTTTCGCGCTTCAGGTGGTGGGATATCCGACTACGCGTAAGTGGAGGCATGCACTCATACCCACCGGCGCATTCTGACCGACAGTAGTGGTCTTAACCATGGGACGTTCCTTCATATTGCCCACGAAGAGGTACTTTTGGTTGCGCCAGTCGAGATTTCCCTCACAAGAAGCTGACAAGCCCAGCATCTGATCTTGAATACCTCAATCCACGCGGGGATCAGAGCCTCGTTGATCCGACGAAAGGGTGATCTGCGCAACGACGTCCGATGTGGTTTCGAGATTATCACCGCACGCGACTTGGATAAGCTCGGGGCCCATGGTGTCATCTCGAAGCTCAAAGAGCGAGTCGGAGACTCTCGAGTCTATATCAGTGTTGATATAGACGTACTTGATCCGGCCTTTGCGCCCGGTGAGTCGATTGGACGTGATTATTCAATGGAAGTTGACCTTTCATAGCAACTGGTACTGCTGAGCCGGGTGGCTGGTCTACAAGAGAGCTTCTTACCATCCTCGATGGCCTCGAGGGCCTCTCTGTTGTGGGTGCCGACGTAGTCGAAGTCGCACCTGCCTACGATAATAACGGGGAGACGACTGTGCTCGCCGCGGCCGAGATTGCGTATTCGTTGATCGATCTCATGGTCCTAAAGCCTGTCCAGTAAATTCTAGTTGCTGGTAGAAACAGCTTTGGAAAAGTGAGACGAGGTACTCAGTTTGATGCAAAATACTGGTCTGAGTCTGGCGGCCAGCTCAGGGAAGGCACGATGGGGAGGAAACTGAAAAGGGAAGTCGCGTCGTATGCGGGCCAAAGTGACCGATCAAGATGATATCTCTCACTATGTAAGGGGCTTCGAATAGCCAAGCTTTTACTGTGTATATGCTGCGTTCATTGTGAGAAGGACTCGATGACTTGGGAACAATCAGACAATGGTGGGAAACAATGCCTTTGAAGGAGTTCTGCAGCTTGTGTTGAATCTTTACCGCCGGTGAAAAGAAAATGGGCCTTTGTTTCCATTGACCGAGGTGAAGAAACAACCCGGGGACCCTTTGAAGAATATGTTTGGAAACCCTGAACAAGTGGGCGCCTGGTAAGGCCGGGTGGTGAGGCGCCTTCTTCAAAAACCCTCTTGGTCGAGTCCTTTCTCCCGTCTGTCGGCGCTCTCGTAACTTTCTCAACTCAACCACCCACCCGCGCAAATCCACGCTCACACACACCCGCACTCACACAGCAACCGCCCCAAACTCAGATTTCACATCGCCCTTTTCCCTACTTTCCATCTTCTCCAAATCATCTCATTCACAATCATACTCATCCTGCCTACATCATGAAGGTAGCAGCATATCTCGTGTCTGGAGCCAATATGGCGCCGAGCTCCTCCCCGGAAACTGGTTTTTCGGGAGGAAGGACCGCCCTCGCTGGCCCAACTGGAGAGAATATTGGTCAATATCAGATCCAGCCCTCCCGAAGCCCAAGCACGGAGTATGATCCGACCGCAGATGGGATTGAGGAATATTCACCTTCAGAGGACGAAGAGGAGGGAGACGACATCGCCTCCCCATTTCCATCCAGGGCCACATCCCCTGCTGAGAGCACATCTCCAACTCAAAGCACACCCCCAACTGAGTACGCCGCTTCGGCCAAGTTCACAACACCAGTCAAGAAGACTCTCGCCAAGAGCACTCCGCCCAGCACGCCTCCTACCAAAATGAAGCTCACGCCCATGAGAACGCCCCCAGCCAAAGCCGAACGCAAGCGATACCTCGCGGCGTCACCCCATAAGTACCCCCTGATGAAGTCATCAAAGCCGATCCTGGTAGACTTCCACCCTCGCAACTCCAGCCTCGAGCAGATCCAAGCCCTACGAGCGCGCCTCGACATGGGCGAGGAGCTCGTCTACAAGACCCAGGTAAATCTCATCCGCTGGCAAGACACCATCTCAGCCCAACTCAAGGTTCTGAAAACGGAAGTTCGCAAAACTAACACCAAAACCAAGAAGCGCCAGGACAAGCTTGAAGACCAGCAGGACAAGCTCGAGGAGAAACAGGAGGTCACCGACTCCCGCGGCGCCAGGAACGAGCGCCGCATCGCAGAGGTCGAGGTCACCATCGAGGATGTCATTGGCAAGCCACCTAACCTGCCCGGCCTCTTCCCGCCTGGTCACTCGTCGTACTTTAGTGGACCGACGAGTCCCAGCCGTCTCCCCGGCGCATGGGGTCCCAGAAGCAGTCGCAGCTCGCGGACCTCGCGGACGGGCTCGGCAGCTCCCCTTCCCAGCATCGAGATGAGCGACGCAGTCAAGAGTATCGCACCAACCTTGGGTGGTCGCTCTATCAGCTCCTCGACCAGAGCTACCCCTAACGCGTCATCTTTGGCTGGTTCCAAGAGAAAGTCTGAGGAAGTAGAGTCTGACGACAAGGATTGCGAAAAGAGAGACCCGAAGAAGCAGGAGAAGACGGAGAGAAAGGCGCTCGTCAAAAAGCAAGTTAAACCGAAGAAGGACGACACAGAGGCGAAGAAGAATCCCGCTGAATCTACCAATACTACGCTCAAGAAGACGACTGCGTCGTCAGCACTGAAGCGCAAGGCGGAGGAGGATCCCGAAGAGGACCACGAAGAGATGAAGAAGCAGAGCCAAGATGATGAAAACGCTCAACCCTCTCGCAAGAGACCCGCAAAGAAGGCCGGAACAACGAAGAAGTCCGAAGCCACGCTTAAGAAGCCTGTTGCCGTCCCCAAGAAGACGACTACAGCGCCCAAGGGCCAGAAGCGCAAGGCAGAAGAGGAGATCGAAGAGGACGGCAAAGATGAGGGAAAGATGAGCCAAGATGATGAGTCTAGCAAGAGACCCATCAAGAAGGCCAGAACGGTCAAGGGATCCAACACTACGAACAAAAAACCTGCTACCACATCCAAAAAGACGACTACAGAGCCCAAGGGCCAGAAACACAAGGCAGAGGAGCAGCTCGAAAAGAACGATGAAGAGACGGAGAAGAAGAATGACAGGGAGGACGTCAAGGAGGACGTCAAGGAGGAAGAGGCTAAGCCCGACGCAGAGGAGAAGCCTGTCAAGCCGGCGGTGCCAGCGGTGCCAGGAACCAGAACTGGCCTTCGAAGTCAGAAGTAGGCTGCTCCCGCCTAGGGAAGTGCCTGCTTCGATCTTCTAGGAGTAATCTTTTGTTGATAGACGTGGAGAACTTCCATATTTGAGGAAAAGAGGTAAATTATGAAAGAATGTGCCGTCTTCGTGATGTGTTGCTTTTTGACTAGCGCCTTCTTCCTGTCTCTCTTCTCGACGTCTTCGTTGTCGTCGTCCGTAATGATGGTCTGCTTCGTTCCCATTGCCTTGGACTTCTTTTGAATCTGTAGTAGGATTCCTGACCGTGGTGTCGGACTTCTTGACGGGTCTCTTGCGAGAAGCCCTTAGATTTCCTCTTCTGGGAACTGCCACAAAAGCATAAAAGTGCCCGCGTCTCTCTCTGTTGCAGCCTTGTGGTATTCGCCCTCCGCAGGGGATAGCTTCAGGGGCCGATGTGGCTATCGCTACCATGATTTTACCCTCATCTGGCTAATGAAACCTGGGTTGGATATACCTACACTGGTCATTGAGGACCTTAATCTCATGGGTATTCTAGACTGAACATAGGGCGGCCCATCATTGAGGGTCACGAGCGGCCTTCAAGATTTTTTTCTGATCAAGCAGAAGTAGGTTCGATTCAACCATATCAGTGATAGAGAGCAAAATATCATGGAAATTTCGGGACTGAGGGGAAGGTGGCATGATGACCTCTCAGGTTACCAACGGAACGGTGCATGTGTTCTTAAATAATCATGGAGCGCAGTCTTTGATGTATCTGTAATTCCAAACTCGCTTCCAGATTGAACAACTTAATCCACCTCATCTTGTCCTTCACGCCTAGAGAAGCCAAGGATCCCCCCAAGATATCTCAACATGACGCTCCAAGCCCCTCCGTCAGCACCAGACCCCAAGAACCCCTGAGTGTCTTCACATCTATCACTCAACAACCCCCAAAGGCCCTTCACATGCGCCGTCCCCCTCACATATGCCATCGCAAACACGACCCGGGAATGCCCTCTCCCCTCCACGTAGGACAACCCCCACAACCCCCCCTTTCCCCCTCCCTCCCCCGATCCCGTCGTCGAAATCCCCATCCTCATCACTAGCAAATCGAAAACAATCTTCGGCTTCGGCGGCTCAATCAACGGAACCGCCCTCGTCCTCCTCTTGCCACCATACCCAACAACACGCCTCCACGCGTCCCTCCTCCCCTTCCGCGCACCTCCCTTCGCCATTCCCATCCCCTGAGCCGCCCTCCTCGACGACGTTATAAACCTCTGCTCCTCCCACCGTGCCCCCTCAACAACACAATAACTCCCGCTCTCCATCTCCCCCTCATCCCACCCCTCAACCGTCTCCTCACCCCATCTAGACCTCGTCCCCGGCGACGCCACCGCAGTCATCGACGACCTCCCCTCCCCGTCCCATCGCCTCACAGTCCTCGGACGTCTAGGATAAGGCGGCCTCCTCCGCCTCCGGACGTCCAACCACCCGTCTCCCGTCCCGTCGCTGGCACCCCTCTCCCCGCTGCCGAGGCCGTCTCTGCGGGTGCGTTCGTGCGTGGTGGTGTATGTCGTCGCGCAGGTTGACGAGGTATACGTCGACATCCAGGATGGGGAGTTGGTGTATACTGCTGCAAACGTCGGACCTCCAGGGACGGTGAGCGTGCTCTTCTGCGTTGTTGTGTCTGGGGCGTCGTCTGGTTGTTGGAGGGTGACTTCTGGGATTGCGTCCTGCGCCGTGGTAGAGGTAGAGAAATTTAGTGGTGAGGGGTGAGGGGGATGTGATGGATGTGATGGATTTGAAGAAGAGGATGAGTACGAGGAGGAGGAGCGATCTGGAAAGCATGCGATTTCGAGAGACGATCTTCGCCTCCTCCGAGGATGAGGGTGTGGATTTGACTGGTGTTGAAGTTGAAGCTGGCGCTGGCGGTCCCTGCAGCGTTTACATGAGGAGCGTCTCTTGCGTCTACATCTGTCGCAGGGGACCTTGATGTCTGACGAACAGGCGTTGTCGTTGGTTTCCTCTTCGCTCTCCGTGTCCTCCGTGTCTTCTGTGTCGGGGAAGATATCCCAATAGACTGAATCCATACTCTCTTGCCTTCTAGCTCTGAAATGATTCTCAGAAGTGAGTGACCGTGTCAACCCCGAGCTGAGATTCGGAAAAGATTGAATTGAATTGGATCGGTAGTCAACATCATCCCATCACGGAAGTTGAGGAACAGGACTATGTGATATCTGGAATTCCCTCCCCCTCCGTCACCGTACGATGTTACGAGATCATCCCCCTCCCAAAGCAGTGAGACACGCATACAGGTACATAACGTTGGGGTACCAAGGCCGCATCGGAACGCGGCCGGCCGCGTCTGACACACATTAAACGTAGTCCGATTCCGGTACATCCCCCCAAAATGCCTCTCCCGTGCCTCTCTCTCCCCTGAATTAGCGGGGAAACTCATCGGAAAAGCGTGCGTCGCGCGTGCAGACGAGTTCTAGCAAGTTGAGCCGGTCAAAAGGCGCGCGCTAATTAAAATGCCTCTCCCGTGCGTGGTGGTCCAGTGGGCTAGACATTGCGGCTGGTATTTGGCTAAATTTAACCCCGGTTTCCTTGAGCTGAGATGGGTTAATGTCTCGATAGGTAGTCCGCCTTGAAGTCAGGCGGAAGCAGCGACGCCAGCATATTACGAAGAAAACATACCCTTGGATAGTCAACATCATCTAATGGTCAAACTCACATGATTGTGAAATGTTCAAGTCTAGAGATAAAAATTTGAAAATAGCAAGATGAAGAAGAAGAGAAAAGGGGGAACAGAAAAAGTACTCCGTACTGAGTCAAAAGGAAAAAGGAAAGGAAAGGGGAACATACGATGGAACTCACGTCCCTGCCCGGACTCGGACAGCGCGCCCCTCAGTCAACCCGCACTCTGACTTCATAGGAGTATTTTATTTTATTTTAACCTTTTAACCAACTCGACCACCTCGCACACAGCTTGACTTGACCCGCAGACCTAGACGGACGCTGCTGTGCTGGTGAGAGGGATGGGATTGAGGAGGGGTATACACCTTTGGGTGCCTGGGGGAGGTAGGTCATGGAAGGAGCAAGTGCTCTGCCTCATCAGTCATGCCATGCTTGTCGATTGGGACAACTTCCCTGAATGTAAACGATATTTGACCCAAGACCATACGGATCAGATCCAAGTCACCAAGATGGCTGTTTTGAAGAGACAACTGACGGGCGATATCATTTTGATCCCCTTCCCAACGCCGAGCAATGCCTACCATACAATACAAAACACGCGGGCAGCATCTTCATCTTCAGAAGCAGAAGAAGAAGAAGAAGAACCCTAATCCCAATACCGAATATCCCCCTCCGCCCCCGCCGAGACAAACTTACTCGTCTCCTGCGGATGCCACGCAACACACGTAACAGCCTCATCACCCGCCTTCAACTTATGATACATCTTACACGTCTTCCAGTCCCAGAAGCACACAAAACCCTGCGTATCACCACTCGCCAAAAACTGTCCGTCGGGACTCACGCTCACATCAATCGCCGTGCCGGCGTTGTTGTGCCCGCGGTACGACTTCTTGCGGTTCTGCCGGAACTTGTCGTTGGCGCCGTAGACGACGATCTGGTTGTCCGACGACTGGAAGGCGACGTATTTCCCGCTCGGGTGCGGCGCCGCGCGCGTCATGGGGTACATGTAGGGCTCGGCGATGTACTTGATGGGCACCGGGATGTTGTAGTCCCAGGCGCGGAGGGATTTGTCGTCCGAGGTCGTCATGAAGCGGCGGCCTTCGTCGACGAATGTGATTGTGTTGATGGCGGCGAGATGGTGATCTTGTGTAGTGTTAGTATCTTCGTTATTTTACTCTCTTCAAGTCTTTGAAGGGAGGAAAAGGGAAAAAACAAAAGGGGGCAACATACCATATTCTTGCACAATCTCGTTGCCGGCGCGCGTATCCCACTGCACAATCTTCTTATCTGACATGCCCGCCACAAACTCGTGAGCGTGCTCCGCCGACGGATTAAACCGCACCACATGCGGCGTCTTGCCCGTCGAGAACCGGCTCAGACACGTGCCCGTCTCCGTATCCCACAGCTTAATCTGCCGATCGAAACTCGCCGACAAGAACCGCGTACCGTCATTATTAAACGTCGCGTCCGACACCGCCTTGGTATGCCCGGAAAACGTCCGCAGCAGCGCCCGCTCGTGATAGACATCCCAAATCTTGACCGTGCTGTCCGCCGACGCAGAGAGCAACAAGTGCCCGGACCCAGGGAAGAAGCGCAGCGCCGTGACGGCCTTGGAGTGATCCTTCCACGCGTGGATCTGCTTCTTGGGAATGTAGTTCGTCACGCTGCCCGGCTCCTTGCGCAGGTCGACGTCGAGGTCCTGCGGGACGTGCATGTACGTCCGGCCCTGGTAATCCGTTTCCTCGACGCCGTGGAACGTAGTCGTCTCCTCGCCCATGGCCTCGACCTCCTTCCTCCGCGCCAGTGCCGCCTCGGGCGCGCGCAGCACCGTTCCGCTCTCCACCACGTCGTCGTCCTCGTCCGTCACCTCTTCGTACTCCTCGTCGCTGGCCAGCGCCTCCCCCTCGCCGACGACCTCGTACTCCTCGCGGCGGTACCGAGCCCAGGGACCCAAGTACGCCCCGTCGCCCTCCACGATAGTCGCATCGCCTTTACCCTCGCGACCGGACCGTATCCGCGCGTTCTCTTCCTTGACGGCCGCGCCTGTCTGGTACTCCCTCTCCGGCCCGCCTTTCCGCTCGACGGCGCGGTGTTTGCTGCGGAATGTGTGTTCTGAAATGTATGTCTCCTCCGCTCTGCCCGTGAGCACGTTCTTGCGCTTCAGCGTCAGGGCCGATTCGTCTTTAAAGGGGTTCGCGGGGCCGACGCGCGGTCGGGCGAGGTCTTCGCCGGTGTAGGGGACGACTGCGTGATCGGGCTCGGCTTCTTGTCGCACGATGAGCGCGTCCTGGGGCGCCATGTTTGGCGGGTAGTCTCCAAAGCCCGACATCGTGAGTGCTGTCGTCTTGTCGTAGGATAATTGGCAGTGGAGGTGGCTGTGTCGCCGAGTCGCAATGTTTGGTCGCAAATGGTGCTGGTTTGCTGGTCGCGGCAGCAAAAAGTTGGTGTCACGTGATCTGATGTCAGGATTGGGGAGCTACCCTTGGGATCTGCGGTTTCCAACCTCGAAGCTCGGGTTCAAGGCGCAAACAAGCGCACGGAAAAGCTTGGGTAGCTTTGGCACCACAGCACATTCACTCTCAAGGATATCTGGAAGTAACAGTTGTGTTGGAAAAGTTTAGTTCTGGACAGCAAGTCAAAAAGGTGCAAAGAAATGGTCAAGTAGACATTCAGAAGATCTGTCATTACTCAATTATCGCAACCCGCCGCTCCCAGGACCAGCCGGCCTGGCAGCAACATAAAGTAAGCAGCTAGGTATTTGGTCTTTCGCATCGTAACCCGTCTTCCCGCCCAGTTCGTTCCTTCGTTCCCCCTTCCACCGTGTGTGTGTTTGTGTGTGTGTGTGTGTGTGTGATATTCCGTTTTCTCTTTCCCATTCATCATCATCAGAATCCAAACAGAGACACCAATCTCTGCCCGTAATTCCGGGACACCATATCTCTCAGTTGTCATTTCTCCTTTTGACACCTCGCATTGCTGGTATCATGACTGCCCCTCCATGTCTAGCGGTTGCCCGCCCGATGCCTCTCCCCCTCCCCCTTGGATAGTAGCTCCGTGTGGTGCATCGTTTAGAGGATGGCAGCGCATCGGCGTGTACTTTTGGTCCGTTATTGTCCACGTGGCATGGTATCTATATACTGGAATCCGTCCTGTGTGTTGTGCGCAGGGTTGGGTTCCACCGTTTAAGAGGACTCATCGCGGATGAGGGCGACAATCATGCTGTAGAGGTAGAAGAAGAACATGATCAGGTGGAAGCCGAGCTTCACAAATGATTCCTGCGCAAGGTTGTCAGACACGGCCAGCTAGCGTTGAAGTGGATTCTGGTTGTCACCTTCTTATGAACGTTCAGCTTGCGGAAGATCTCGGTAGCATCCAGCAAGTGGGTGTTGTCGACAATCCTAGAGCCAAGTCAGCTTTCTCGAGTTCTACCACCACCGGGCGAGTCTTGGAGGGGAACGCACTTCTTGACATTGTAGGCTACGAGCGGTAGGTTCAGGATCAAAGGTACCCAGTATCCGTTGATCAGGAACATAAAGGTCAGGAATCCATGGACGGCAGCTTCGGGGATGATGTAGGTGTTGAGGCGGTTGCAGAGGTCAATGGGGTTGATGTAGTCGCTGTAGAGATTGTCATGTTAGCATCCAATTGTAGAGATCATGGGACGACAGTTTCATCGCGTCCGCCCGCTCGGCAGCATGCAGCACGGCCTAGCCTCGAGCTCGTCCGAGCACGGAAAGAAGCTGGCGGGCGCCGTGCCGTATGCAGCCAGAGCAGCAGCAGCATGGAGACAGAGTGGCCCAACAGGAAGTGGAAGGATAAGACGAGGGACAACGTACCATTCCAGATCGCTGTACATGATGGTGAAGAAGACTTGGAGGAACAGGTTGACGGCATTTATCAGCACCGCGAAGAGGTATAACCACGCTTCGCCGGACATCTTGACGGAGGTTGGCAACGAGCTGCGCGAGTTTGAAATTTAGAGGTTAGATGGAAGGGAGGATAGAGTTGCGACAACGGCAGCAGTTCGAGTGCAGTTGCGGTTCGTGGTTTTTGGCCGGCGTTGGACCTTGGTTTGGCTCGCGAGGCTGCTTGGAGGTTGTATGCGTGCGGGCAGGTGGAATGCTTCGACGTCACTGGGGTGATGTAGGAGGAGGGATGGATGCAGATGGAGCTCTGCCTCTGTGTCTGCGTATGCGGCGACGGATAATCTGTAGGTAGGTGGCAAGCAGACGTGTTCTGTATGTCTGTCTGTTGGTCAGGCAGCTGTGAGAGTTGTGTGGTTGAAAGAGGTGGAGGAAGTACAACACGTGGTTGAGAGAGACAGAGTTGGGAGAGCGAGGTGAAGTGGTGAAGAGAGTTCCGTTGGTCGATGGTTCTTTGGTTTGCCCGTTGGGGTAGCGTTGCGTAGCGAGGGACGGGGGAGCCACTAGTCGGGTCGTGGAAAATCGGGAGGGTGGGTTACGGGGCTTGGGAAACCTCTTCCTCCAGGGCCCGTCTGATGATGATGAAAGAGGTTCGCCAGTCGCCGCTCCATGCCCTGCTACGCGATTCTTTCACCTGCGGGCACTGTCCACTGCCAGCCAGTTCAGGTCTCCAACAGCGCCGTGGGCCACAGGGACTGGACCCTCCAGGGCTCCTCCCCTCTCACCTCTCTCCCCGCCAGCCCATCCAAAGCCCAGCCCAGCCCACTACATTCACCTTAGTCAGTGCTGCTGTTCAGTGCTGGGGGCTCAGATAGCCCCCCCAGAAACCCCTGAAGGGCTTAGCGCCGCTCCACTTTCACCCAACTGAGGTGCACCTCACAGGTGCCAGTTGCGTCAGCAAGATACGTACCGATTGACATTGACATCTCGCAGGCCCAGGATGGCAAGATCAACTTTCCTTGTGAAGGAGGGCAGCAAGATTTTTATCGCGATCCGACCGGCGAATCCCATCCCTCCATACTACAGAGAGCTATGATGAAATCACAGATCCCGTTCTGCTATCTTATCTACCATTACTTATCGCTCAAGCAACCCCTCGTTCGGTGATGCTTGCCCGGCGGGTGAAGTGCGAAAGCGGCGGCGGGGTGGAAAGCCATCGCATTATCTCCACCGGGTGGCTGGGAAGGTCCAGGTTCAACTTCCAACTCCCCTCCATCTGCGCCTTTCTAGGTCACGGGCAAATTGGGCAGTGCTATAGTCCAAGCATATGTATCACGTGAAAGTCTGCTTCTGCAAGAAACAATGCGGGCTTTCCGTGCTTGCTGGCTTGAACAGAGCCGATGCCGGGCCCTTGATGATCGTGGGGTTGACAAAACGAACTCTCGTCAACATGACGGCGATTCAGGATATCCCCGGCTCATCCCTCTGCCCTTGACAGCTGTCGTCTCCGGTTACATGGGACAGGGTACTCTCGGACCGACAATGCGCCTCTGTTGTGGCAGACGGTTGTGGCAGACCTGCCACACTTCACGTGGTATCCTCTCAGCGTAGTCAACTTTTGATCGTTTTTGATATTCGACGCCCCTTGACCCCCGTCGCGCCAATTGCTTTTGTTTTCGTGGCATCATCCCCATAAACACCGTCTATGCCAGAGCAATGCCTGCTCACATTCCATGCTACCATCCCGGCGTCCGCTCGCCACGTATTCCGCCCTCATCAGTTCTCCCCCAACGCCTCTCGTACTCTACACTGTACTCGCTTATGCTCGTCATTCTAATGATGTCAATTATGCGGTGGTCTCCTTCTCTTCGCCGTTCGTTCCAGGCATCGGTATCTTGCCGCCGGGCGAGGTGGCCGTTCTAGCTGTGAGAACCTCGACTCCGTCCTCAGTCACCAGAAGAGTGTGCTCTGTCCATTTGCATTAGCTTCTTTTCCCTTGGAATCGTGAACCACGTGCAAAACATCACTCACCAAACTGCGCAGTCTTCTTGCCGTCAATCGTCGTGCTCGTCCAGTTGTCGGGCCAGGTGACGTCGCGGTACTTGCCCAGCGCAATCATCGGCTCAATAGTAAAAGTCATGCCGGGCTTGCACTCGCCCACCGTCTTGTTCTTGGCGTAGTGGGGGACGTTGGGCGGGCAGTGGAACAGCGAGTTGATGCCGTGGCCGCAGTACGTGCGGATGACGCTGCAGTTCCTCTCCTTTGCGATCTTTTCGATAATGTTGCCAAACTCGCGGATCAGCGTGCCGGGCTTGACGGCGGCGATGGCGGCGTCGAGGCAGTCGCGGGAGGCTTCGACGACGCGGACCGCATCGGGGTCCGCCTTGGCGCGGTCGCCGACGTAGTACGTCTCGTTGAGGTCGCCGTGGTAGCCCTCGAAGAAGAGGGTGACGTCGATGTTGAGAATGTCGCCGTCGAGGAGCACGCGCTGGTCGGGGATGCCGTGGCAGATGACCTCGTTGAGCGATGTGCATACGGACTTGGGGAAGTGGTTGTAGTTCAGGGGCGACGGGTAGGCCTGTTGGTTCACATCTTGTCAGCTCTTTGATCCTTCTCGTCGGCGCATATCATTCACGCCTAGCAAGTGCGCCCGAGGTGAAACCTACGTTGCGCTCTATGCAGGCATTGTGGACAATCTCGTCAATGTAGTCCGTGGTGATGCCGGGCTTGACGGCGGCGGCGGCAATGTCCAGAACCTCACGCGCCAGACGGCAGACCTTGCGCATGCCGGCGATTCCCTTGGCGTCCAGGATATCGACCTTGTTCCTGTTGAGGATGCTTCTCGGGTACTTGGGGATACCATCCTTCCACCAGTCGGGGTGGGGGATGTGCTTGGGGACGGTACGGCGTTCGGACAGAGGGTAGACGGGTCGGAGGGGTCCGGTGAAGGGGTACGTCGGGAACGGGTTGAATACACCTGTCTCTGGATCTGGTTTAGAGACGACCTTTGGCGGGAGGACATGGTGAAGTATACTCTGTTCAGACTTGTGCATGGACTTGTGATTTCCCTGCGATTGGAGGTCAGCCGGGGCGGTGGCTTGACATGTAGCTATGAGCAATGGCAGCTGTGTTAGAGCGACATACCCAGTTCTTCTTGAAGCAGTCTTGCGAGCAGAAGAAGCTTCCCTTGATTCCGAGCTTCAGGCAGGTCGGGCACTGGAGGGTGCCGGCCTCGTTGGGGCAGTCGACGCCCAAACACATCTTCTTCGCGGGAGGTTCAGTCATGGTGGGCGGTCGTGGAGGGGTACAAAGTATGCGACAAGGTAAGGTCGAGTACAGAAAGTATTCCCTGGTAACTCGGGAAAAAAGAAGCTAAAGATTGCTCGACGATGATCGACGAGTGGAGGAGTGAAAGAATGAGGACCCTGGATTTGGAGCAGGGTTCGGGCAGACGAGGCGGCGGCGCAGTTTCTCAAACACACGCCCTAAATTTGACGATTCGGCTACGAACAAACAAAAAAGTGACCTGACAAAAGAAATATTATGTTCCACACCGTGTGATAGGCGCTTGGGCGCGGCTCCCCGCAGCCAACAGCCACCACGCTGCGCTGCAATCCAATCTGCACAGGGCAGCTGTAAGTGCTCGGCGGCACTTGTTTTTTCTTAGTGGGCGGTTCAATCTCGGGAACTCATAGCAGCGATTGTCTTATCGATAACAGAGTCAACGTTTCTATCGATAACGATAAGACAGCGTTCAAACAATTGAGTTTGTAAGCCACTTCCATTCAAATGCGCCACGGCAAGGGTCCAAAGAACAACCGAATTGCAAGAAACCTGAAATAAAGAAAAAGTCTCCGATCGGAGCTTCCCTTGTCGGAGCTTCCGGGGAATACCCGCGAGCCGAAGACCACCGAGCAGCGACCGAATCCGACTTGCGCCGCTCTGCGCTCTATGCGCAAGGCATCGGGGGTTGGGAACAGAGAGAAGAACCTTTAGTAAAAAAGTTAAAAATAAAAAAAAGTCGTTGACGCCTGTTCCCCCTTCAATCCTCTCATCCGGCCGGCTTGACCCGCCAAAGGGTCGAATCATCATGCGAGTTGTCTGAGTTCTCTTAGTTCCCTCTCACGCCACTGTTACATGTGAATCCTTCTTCAAGTTACCTCTCCCAATTCTTCAAGCTGGAGAGAGAGAGAAGACACCAGTAAACCAGTAAACTTCTCATCCAAGCAAACATGGCCAAGAACCAAAAGGTCGTTGTGGTCGGCGCCGGCCCCGTCGGCTCGTTGGCTGCGCTCTACGCAGCCCAGCGCGGGTACGAGGTTGAGATCTACGAGTTGAGAGCCGGTAAGTTTGCTTGTCGCTTTTCTTTTTCCAAATCTCTTGTTCCCGCCCGGCTCAGCGCGCCGTTGAAGATCATGGATCCTCCCCCTCGTCCTGCCCCACCAATTGCCGCATTCAATAGTCTTGTTTGCCATGATGTCCCGTTGGTGGATGCGATGCAGATAGTGTTTGTTTGATGTTCTGCCTTATCTGAGGAGCCTGATCTCGGCAACTCTGTGGATTGAAGCCGTTATCAATCGTCAGTAGCAACACAACAACACAACTACCTACCACTAGTTAATATGAGTCTGAACACGGACTAACAGTAACAAACATGCAGACCTTAGAGAACCCACAACAACGCTTTTAAACTTCACCCGGTCCATCAACCTGGCGCTTTCCGAGCGCGGCATCAACGCCATGCGCAATGCTGGCCAACCAAAGTTACTGGAACATGTCTTTGGCGCCACCATTCCCATGCGGGGACGCATGATCCACGGCAGGACCCCGAAAGGTGATCTGTACGAGGCTTCGCAGGACTACGATGTCCACGGCAGAGTGAGTCAACTGAGCACAGCCTCGCCCCTGATGCCAGCCATTATAACATCATGCTAATCGTTGTACAAGGCCATTTACGCCGTGGACCGCGCCGGCTTGAACAAGCGCATGCTCGACATCCTCGAGGAGATGCCGAATGTCAAGTTCTTCTTCAGCCACAAGCTCACCGGCGCAGACTTCAAGAAGTGCAAGGCGTGGTTCGAGGACATGACGTCCGGGTCGGCTACCGGCCGCGCCAAAGAGATTGAGATTGGCTTTGATTTCATGATTGGCGCCGATGGCGCACACTCCGCCGTCAGATTTCACCTGATGAAGTTTGCTCAGATGAACTACCAGCAGGAGTACATCGACACCCTCTGGTGCGAGTTCCAGATCAAGCCTGCCAAAGCTTCCTCGCCGGACAGCAAGCCGCAATTCAGAATCTCACCAAATCACCTGCATATCTGGCCCGGCAAGGAGTTCATGTTCATCGCCATACCCAGCGATGTAAGTTTCTCAAGACATTGCTCCAGTGAAGCCAACTAACAAAACATCAGGACGGCTCCTTTACCTGCACGCTATTCCTACCCAACAACCAAACAGAGGCTCTTGAACAAGACCCGTCGAGTCTACCAGCCTTCTTCGACAAGCACTTCCCCGGAGTAACAGACCTGATCCCATCCGCAGACCTCATCGAATCCTTCAAGCAGAACCCCCACCTGCCCCTGATTAGCATCAAGTGCAGCCCCCACCACTACGACGCCTCCGCCGTCCTCGTCGGCGACGCCGCGCACGCCATGGTTCCCTTCTACGGCCAGGGCATGAACGCAGGCCTAGAAGACGTCCGCATCCTCTTCTCCATCCTCGACAAGCACCGCCGGCTGGCGGAAGCCGAAGCCAACGACCCGACAGGAGACCAAGCGGACGTGGATACCTACGCGGCCGTCGCATACCACCGCGGCGCGGCGCTGGCCGAGTACACGGCGAACCGTGTGCCCGACGCGCACTCCATCAACGACCTGGCGCTGCAGAACTACGTCGAGATGCGCGCGTCGGTGCTGTCGCCGCGGTACCGCCTGCGCAAGTGGCTCGAGGAGAAGATGTCGGTGTACGCGCCGGGTCTGGGATGGCAGACAAAGTACTCGCGCGTCAGCTTCGGGAACGAGCGGTACTCTGAGGTCGTGGCCAAGAGCGATCACCAGGGCCAGGTGCTGATGAAGACTTTCGAGGCGCTCGTGTGTAGTCCGCTGCTTGTGGGAGCCGTCTTTTTGTGGTGGAAGAGGCCGAGGGTCGTTGTTAGTGCTGTGCAGGGGGTTTTGCGATATTTGCTCCGGGCTACGGAGGCATGAGGTTTGATGTGATGTGACGTGAAGGTGTCTGCTTAGATTTCTGTACTACCAACGTGAAGACTCTAAATACAATATACCCGCCGTAGGGCTGAACCGCTTTTACTAGCGAAACCACAGAGATTCCAACTCGTTCTTGGTGAAATCTAAAGGTGATTGTCAATTTGTTGATCTCTCAAGAGGCCAAACATTACATATCTGGACTCTGGCTTCCTGATTTGCCACATTGTGAGCAGTTAAAAGCTAGTGCGCTCATCGATACACCACCCTCACTATCAAGACTGCAATCTTTGACTGTTCTCCAGGACTCCTCCTTTCCGAGCATCGAAGCACTTTGAGCTTGGGCAATCAGATATACAATAGATCATCATTCAGAACCACTGGTCCTTGGTCTGGTAAACACTGAGGGGACATCATACCGCGCGCTGCCAAATCTTCGATGAACATAAGCCTACAGCTTGCGACGAATTCAGCCCGTACTTGGTGCCAACACCTAAACCCAGTGGCTTCATCGGTAGTGTCCAAAGATCCTTACTGTTTTTGAATTTACAACACTGACCCTCTCCCTGGGTCCAGTATCTATCTATTTGCTAAAGACTGCCCACACCCATGATCCCAATTGCCAAACAGACACCACCCAGTACTGAACTCCATCAAGCCCCTTGTACAACTGCCACCTATACTCCTGAGACGGCACATTAAACCTCGCCTTCAGGTCCATCTTTGCAATCTTATCCATATCCTCCCCGTCCAGCAGGAAATCCGACTCGAGGTTCTCCTTGCTCTGCCACTCGATCGCACTCTTGGGAATCACGGACCGGCCGCTGTTGACGCCCCACGCGAGGGCAACCTGCACGGGCGTTTTGCCGTGCTTCTTCGCGATCTCGGCGAGCGTCGGGTGGTCGATGACGCGGGCCATGTGCGAGGCTTCCTTGGACCACGAGACTTCGCGGTAGAAGGAGTTCTGGTTGCCTAGGGGGGAGAAGTACGTCATGTGGATGCCGTTTGCGCGCTGTCAGTCGACGAGGGATTGTTGTTGGAGGTAGGGGTGGAGTTCCATCTGATGGACGGCGGGAACCTGGTTTTTTGTTCTCGTTAGCTTCGCGCTCTTATGCCCCTTTCCATTCTCTCTTCCCCTCTTGAGACTGAGTGAGACTTACCACCGATCCCTTGTCAATAAGCGTCTGGACTTCATCCTTGCTAAAGTTGCTGACGCCAATGGCCTTCGCCTTGCCCGTCTTGAGCAGCGCCTCCATCGCCTTCCAGGTATCGACAAACGTCGTCTTGCCCATAATCATCTTGCCGTCCTTTCCCTTGGGGAATCGGTCCTCGCCCTGCTGGAACGTGCAAGGGTAGTGCATCAGGAACAGGTCCACGTAAGGGGTGTCGAGGTCCTTGAGGGAGGCATCGAGGGCGGCCTCGACATCGTCTGGGTGATGCGAGTTGCACCACAGCTTGGTGCCCAGGAAGATATCCTCGCGCGGGACGCCACTGGCTTTGATGCCCTTGCCGACTTGGATCTCAGTGTCGTAGCTAACACACAGGCATTAGCTTGCCTGATGTTGGGTGATGAGGTCAGAGTGGAAGGGATGCACTTACACTCTCGCGGTATCAATGTGGCGGAATCCGACTTTCAGCGCCGTCTTCACGGCCTCCTCCTGGGCATCAGCGTCTTGGAACGTTCCGAAGCCAATGGCGGGGTTCTTTGCGCCAGTGTTGAGCTCCCATTGCACCGAACGAGTTGAGACGTTTCTGAGTTGTTGCTTGGGCAGCGCAGCCTGCACCGCCGGCAACAGGCGGGATCTGATCAAGTTGGCGTTCATTTTGTGACTTGTGATCTCTTTGTCTTTTGTGTATATAGGAGTCAGAACGACAAGAGAGTGGCGAGTCTAGCTGACGAAAAGAAACCAGTTCAATCTTTGCGTCGACTTCTTATTACATGCTCAGAGACCCCGACCGCAGATGGCAAGCAGGGGTAGCTCTTTAGCTCAGGGATCCGAAAGTCGAGCTAGCACTTTGCCACCAGTTCAAGCATTGATTCGTGTGCTGCGATTTGGCATCCGGCCGACTCGAGGGCCCCCTTCTGACACGGAAGCGTACCGAGAAACTAGCACAATTAGGTTGCTGTATGCTCGACTCGCTACCCAAGACCAGAAAAAGAAAGCCCTCTCTAATAGCCGGAGGGATGTCCATCACGACGGGGGGCGTTTGGTGGTGGAGATTCCCCCGCATCCCGCACTCCGACCTGCTCGTCTCGAGGGCAATAGCTCCAGATTTCCCCGCGATTGTGGAGAACACGAACTCTCCGAACCAGGCGGGGATGAGACGATCAAGTCGTCTCGAGGGACGACAACGACGGAGGGTAGCTAAACAGAAACCTCAAACTTTGCTGCAATGTGACGGATGCCATGATACACACCTGCATGGGGGGATTGGGGGTGTGGAACCGGCAGAGCGTGTTCGGAGATCCAGGAAACCATGTAGCTTTAGCTTTTAAAGCAGATGAATCCCTGGGGTTTGGCATGTCACTGTTGAATTTGCGTGTAGCATCGACCGAGACAGATACCAACAGAAGCCAATTCGCGCCTCCTTGTTGTGTTGATCCAGAAGTTCAAGTCATACCAGATACTTTCTAAGCATTCACCATGGCACCTTCAGCAGTTGAGACAGGGGCACCAGCCGTTGACCCCAAGGCCGCCACCGTCCAGCCCATCCTGACACTATCCGGAAAGATCATTGCAGGTAAGCCATCATCATAGCGTCTTCATTGCAAACATCATACCAAGACTTCTTTCTCCCTTTACTCACAAATCTTCTCGCTAGTAACCGGCGCAAACCGCGGCATCGGCCTCGGCGTCGCAGAATGCTGCCTCCTCAACAACGCAGCAAAGGTCTACTCCATCGACCTCGCGGAGCCCGGCGACGAGTTCGCCGCGGCGTCCAACCAGTTCCCCGGCCGTCTCTTCTCCATCTCGGCGAACGTCACCGACGAGGCGAGCATCACGGCCGCCATTGACAAGATTGTCGAGGAGGCGGGCGCGATCCACGGCGTTGTCTGCAATGCTGGCCGGACGAACCACAAGGCTGCGCTTGATTTCACAAAGGAGGAGATTGAGTCGCTGTTTGGTGTCAACGTATGTTTATGACATGTTTTTGGGAGGAGGTGGTTAGGTGCTAACTGCTTGTTAGTTGTTTGGTGCCTTTTACACTGCCAGAGCGGCGGCGAGAGCTTTCATCAAGTTGAACATTAAGGGTTCAGTGGTGTTTACTGCTTCTATGGCCTCTTACCGCCCCAACAAGGTATGCTGCAATTCCTGGACGCCGATATAACCACCTCAGCCCGAGGAGTAAGAGACGAGCACATACTGACCTGCGCGCAGCGCGTCCCTTCGGCACCGTACGGCGCATCCAAAGCCGGCGTCCGCAACATGGCCCATACGCTCGCCATGGAGTGGGCAAAGTACGGCATCCGCGTCAACAGCGTCTCGCCGGGTCTCGTCAACACGGCCATGACCTACTGGGTACCGCAGCAGCCGGACTGGGAGCAGCAGCTCAAGTACTACGGCGGCATGCCCCGCTTGGCAGAGGTCCAGGAGCTCGGTGGCGCGTATGTGTACCTTTTGAGCGATGCGGCGAGTTATACGACGTCGATTGATATCCCCGTGAACGGTGTTGTTGGAAGTAAGTCAAGCCCTTGCGCGTTGTGTGCTCGAAATGTTTGCTGACGATGATTCTAGTCTGCTAAATGACGATGAATGGCTATGATGTCGAAGTAAGAGCAAGGTATACAAAGAAACCCGTCACAAATCGTGTTAGAATAGCAATTCGGCATTCCAGAATAGAACGTGTCATGAGCTTCAATCAATCAACATCCTCGCAATGGATCTCAATTGAGCATGAAAACCTCTTGTTTTGTGACCTTTGAGATCTTCAAATCACCCCTTGCTTGAATGGTACCCCATGGACCGGGTTCAATATCGCGTCACTGACCCTGAATAACGTGCTTTTCACATGATTGCGGCTCAAGGCGTTCGATAGTAGGGCAAAGCAATTATCCGCACTCAACTTCCTTTCCGAGCTCTTGTGCTGCCCAAGATGTGGCCAAGCTTTCGCTATCTCCAGGGGTCAGAAATGAGTTGTGATCTCAGACCTTCCTTAAACGTCACACAGCCAAGCCCTACGAGACCTTGAAGATGGCTGCGAGGATGAGCACGGATTTCTGTCGATCTGGGCGTGGGGGTCTTCTATCGCTCGCGTGAGTCGCGTCGGGAGTCGGCTCGGGTGAGCGCTCATTGGAATTAGTACAAGACCCGTTCCAATGCGACTGTGTCATTCAGATCAAGAAAGCCTCATCTTAATTGATCCTCAAGTCCATAGTCAAGACTCAACCACCCGTGGCTAGAGACTTGAGCACGTGGGACTTTAGAACGTCGAAATTTTGTAGAGCCGCAATGTGCGCACCGGAAACTGTTTTCCGTCAGCGTTCCATTTGGTACTTGGCTGTCTTACTCGCGGTGATTGACCGTTTGGCGAGGGAGGTAGTAGTTTGGCTATGCGTCAGAGGCAGCGCGAGTTACGTGATGATCCCCCTTTGAACATTCTCCGCGAAAACGAGACTAATTAGTAGTTCTCGGCGCCCCGTCGAGTTTTCTCTCTCTTAGTATTGAGAAATGTTCACTTATCCAACAGTGCCTTGGCATCAGCATCAGCCACGGCACATGCGAATGTTCGTACGGATACATCCAGCATCAAAAACCTAATTCCTCAGGTGGGACCTCGTCTGAAGAACAACCGCGCGCGAGACTCCATACTTGGGCTATGGAATCATTGGAGAGCCCACAAATCACTAGGAAGAGCAAGTTCGCGCAAAGCTGGAGGACTCCGGAGCCCCAATGACGAAGGCGGATTTTCTCCTAAAGACCCGTTAAACCCCCCGGGGAATAATAACTCAAACCGTTAAGCCCAACTCAGGGATTTTCACTAGGGGGAAGCAATCTGCATCCGCGCCAAGCTCTGAATCGACAAGAGATCCTTCACTCTATTTCGACAGCGGCCCACTTCTTCTCCTAGAGCCGAGAACCTAATTTCATCTCTTTGGGACTTGGGAGTTGCGACCAGGGCCTCTCGTTTTCCTGTTCGTCCAAACTCTGCTCAAAAAGTCCGACAAAACATCCCAAAAGCATATCCACAATGGCGGAGTTTCCGTTACATTGGGACAGAAACCGCGCATAAAGCAAGCCAGTGCCAAAGAAGAAACACAACCGACAGGCGCATGCAAGCGAGCAATGTCGTCGATACTGAATACCCGCTGGACATGGAGTCTTGGTCCGAGCCAAGACTTCGGAGGACCGGATCCGACTACGATCAACCTGCTTTCTCGGGCAGGTCTTTTGACAGGTCTCGGCGTGTGCAATTTTGGTTATCTGTGAGGAATTCTCGTTTCCCATGGTATAGACTCTTCCCTCAGCACGGTGCTTCTCACCTCTCCAAGACGGGATGATCCTTAGCAGACCGCCTCGCGGAGAATTCTGTCTCTAGGAGGTGATTCTCATAAACTAAAGGCCGATGCGCCGGTGATCCGACGATGGTGGATAGGATATCCATGAGAGGGTCAAAAGTATCGCCAAAACCATCCCGTTTAGGCAAGTCGAGACCTTCGCGTGAGGCTCGGTTGCCCTTGGGACCCAGAACGTCCACAATTAGTCAGGATGACTGACGATGGCCCCCCACGGAGAAGGGGTGCCTCAGCCAAGGAATCCAGACAGTTGGGATCCGTCGAGTTGATTAGATTAGATCGTGTCCAACCAGTGGGCGGGCTTCCTTCGTCTCCTCTCGACTCGTGCAGCAAGGGAGGCCCTAGTGGAAAAACTTGGCGGTTGACTCGGATCAAGAGTCAAGACCCGACATGTTTGTTTTTCCAAGACATGAGATGAACCAGTACTGTTTGGTTCCTAAAGCCCATGCGGCACAACCCTGAGGCCGCCGGGGATAGAATGACCCGACAAGGTCAGCGGTGTAAGTAGGATGGAGATCATCGTGATAGGGGGGAGGGGGGTATGTTGGCGGATACTGAGCGGAAGGGCAACATATAGGTTCTTTGGGATCGCCGTGCTTTCTTCAGGAGAATTTCTACACTGCTTGGCAAGAATCGTCACTCACTTCAATCCATTCGCTCTTTTCCCACGTTCTTTACAAGCATACCGCACAAGATGAAGTCCTTCCTCGTCGCAACGCAGCTCCTGGCCGTCGCCATGGCCGGCGAGCCCTGGATGAACGAGGTCGACACCGGCTTCGAGACCTACCTCGACAGCACAAACTACACCAAGGGCTCCCTCCCCCTCCTCAAGGACATCCGCGCCATCCCCGACTTCGACTGGGCCGCCCGCCAGCACCTCGACAACCAAAAGTACTCCTTCTACCGCACCGGCACCGCCGGCGAGTACAGCTACCGCCACAACCTCGACGTCTGGCAAAAGGTCCAGCTCCGCTCCAAGCACCTGAGCGACGTTACCAAGCTCAACGAGACCATGGCCACCACCATACTCGGCTATAACTTCAGCGCCCCGCTCTTCATCGCACCCGCCGCCCGCGCCGTCTACGGAGACCCGGATGCCGAGCTGAACCTCGTCCGCGCCGCCGGTAACGAGAACATCCTGTACATCCCGTCCATGTACGCCTCCAAGTCCATCGAGGAGATCGCCACCGGCAAGAGCAACGATACCCTCAACGGGCCCCAGGTCATCTTCCAGCAGATCTACACCAATGCCAACCTCTCCGTCACCTGGGAGAACATCCGCCGTGCCGAACGCACCGGCGCCAAGGCTATTGTCTGGACCATTGATGCCCCTGGCGACTCCGTCCGCCACCGCGCTGCCCGCTACGACACCACCAACGCCAACTCCGTCTCCTCTGCGCTGACCTGGGACATCTACGACCAGATGAAGAACCAGACCTCCCTGCCCATTATCCTCAAGGGCATCACCACCGCCGAGGAGGCCCTCCTGGCTATCGAGAAGGGTGCCAAGGCCATCTACATCTCCAACCACGGCGGTCGCCAGCTCGACCACACCCCTGGCCCTCTCGAGATCGCTTACGAGATCTACCGCAACGCCCCCGAGGTCTTCCAGAAGGTCGACGTCATAGCCGACAGCGGTGTTCGCTACGGTAACGACGTGCTCAAGCTTCTTGCCCTTGGCGTCAAGGCCGTTGGTATGGGACGTCCCTTCATGTACGCCAACTGCTACGGTCTCGAGGGTGTCACCAAGGCTATCAACATCATGAAGACTGAGATTGTCCGTGATGGAGCTCAGATGGGCGCGACTGATGTTCACAACATCAGCACCAGCTTCGTAAGTCGAGTGAAAGCCAAACCGAGAAGAAAACGACTAACTAGTTGCAGCTCAACCTTCGCCAGCTGGAGCAGAACGTTTTCCTCTTCGACAAGCAGTAAAGACTGTGCGTTGAGCGTATCACAAAGCCAGGGTTGTTGAATTGGGAGGTGGATTGCATGCAGCGTTGCTGCGGATAGAAAAGGCGTTCTCACTCGGATTGGGATCAAACATATTCCGTTGCGACTCGTATCAGGGGTCAAATTTTCATGTCCATATTTGATCAAACACATTTACATAGCATTAAAAGCGTCATGATTATGTCTTGTCAACTTTGATCTCGCCACTCTCAATCAAGTAAGGATCGTGTAAACGAGAAAGGTATTTCTGAGAGAATGTCTAGCTTATTCCATGCAAGAACTCAGGGGGGGGGGGGGAGGAGGGGGGGCATCAATGTCAAACATTGGCGGCCGAACTGCATTGAGCCCCGTGGCGGCGGCCCCGCATCGGGCTTCGGCCCCACCTCTTGCTGTCCGGCTATCCCGGGCCCTTTTCTTTCATCCAGGCGAGGGGCAGTGTCCGTTCTCGCACCTTTGACTGCACTCATACAGGGCCAAAGTATTCACCACTATGTCGGGAAGCTACCCTTCTCAGGCCCAAAATACCCTCTCTCAGGAATCGGGAGAATTCCGATCTGAGATCCATCAACTCCTGCACCGCTCACCGTATTACCCCACCATTTCAGTGAAATCGGGTTGTATCCAACGGCGAAGAACATGACCAGCGCCGAAACGGCGACCCCGGCAGTCAAGGCAGCCGACAGGACATAGTTGTACTTTTCCCACCAAGCCAGACGATGCCTTGGAAGCCAGTACATGAAGATGTATCCGAGAATGAAGCCAGGTGTTTTGTACGAGAGGTTTGACGGTGCCCAATGCTGGATGCCCTGAATGACAAGGACCGGGTTCAGCCACAGTAGGGAGGCTACAAAGGGGAAGAGAGTCTTGTCCAGACGAGCAAATGTCTTTGGGCTCAGCTTGAGGCGTAGCTTTTCTCGAACACCAGGTAGGTACTTTGGGCCGTAGCCTTGGCCGACCAGGAAGACAATGGCGATGACAGTTCCAAAGAGGAAGCACCCTGCCCAACTATCAGTATATGCACTCCAAACTACGACTACGCTAATATGGATTTGAGACTCACATTTCAGGATCGGATAGAAAGACACAAACATGCGCTCCGAGCCAAGAAGACCCCACATCAAACTGTTCGTGTAAAGGGGAGCACCATCATTGGCGCAAGTGAACCGACTGGGCTGCGTCGGGGTACACAGCCCCTTGACATTTTCCAAGATGAAGTTCTGCGTAGCCACAGCTACGAAGCAAGTAATGATAATCGTCCCAATCTGGCTTCGGAACACGGCGCGGGGAGCAATCTTGGCATAGTGCGCCATCTTCTGATCCTGGACGTAATTGTCGCCGTAGCCCGCAAGCGCCCACGACCCAAGCGTCTGGGAGAAGAGGAAGGCGTTGGTGTTGCCGGGGAGGAGGTAGCCGGTGATGACCTGGATGAGGGCGCCGAGGCCGAGGTTCGTGCCTGTCGTCGCGGAGAGGAAAGAGAGGGGCACGGCGAAGACGAGGTTGATTGCGATCATGAGGAAGACGATCCAGACGGGGGTGCCGAGGGGGTAGATGTTGAGGAAGATGACGGAGACGACAATGGCGGCGACGAGGATGATGAGGAACCACCAGTCTGGGACCTCGGGGTACTTTGCGAGGAGTCTGCTGTGGATGTCCATTGCGCCCTCGTAGTTGCCCTTTCCGTGACGGAGGCCTTTGTAGAAGTCGATGTATGCTTGGGAGATTGTCTTCCATTGGTTGCTGTGATCCATGTTAGCCATTGAGTATGGGTTGGGGTGTTTCGCAATACGAACCCCATGATGTACAAGAAGTAAACCGGGTAGAAGCAGTAGTTGGCTCCCACTGTGAGGAGATAGCCAGCCGAGTAGAACGGCGGAGAGTATTCCTGATACGCAGTCTCGTTGAGTTGGTTATTGAAAACCACATTCTGCACCACGTACGGGGTGCCGTCGTTGGCAAACGCTGACGACGAGTTAATCGGGAGGTACGCTGTGTTGTACATGTTGGTGTAATAGATGCCAATGATGATGACGCCGCCCAGAATGGCACTGATGTACATTGTACACGTCGCAAAGAACGGCTGAGCCAAAGCAGCATACGACGATGTGGCAATGTTCCAGTCAAAAGTGGTGATGGGGTTGAACAAGCCGAGACCAAGAGAGGATCCTGTGATGATGGCCAGAGTTACATTCTCAGGCGAGATCCACGTCATCCAGTTGAACGTCGCGAGAGCTGTGAAGATGTAGCCTGGAAACCAGTAGTAGACAAACATGCAGATGGTGCAGACGTAGAAGAATTTGTATCTCGAAATGGTCCACCCGTTGATGTTCTCTCTGGGCTCCGGCCTGGTGAGCGCCCTGTTCATGGCGATGGTCGGCAGAATGGTCGGCCATAGGGCCTTGACGGGGTACACGCTGAACCGTCGGAGGTATCCAGCGAAACCCATTCCCATGAGTTGCACGAAGAGAGTGAGCATCAGCTGGTACCCAAAGTTGACGAAGTCGAGACCGTAGTAGACTGGCGACTTTTGCACCAGGATCATGCCGTAACTGTTGGTGGTGTAGATGGCAATGTTGTACGTGATCGTCGCAAACATTTGCTCCTTGAAGTTCCAAGGTCCCGGGTTCAGGGAGTGCCGCGTGCCGCGGACGGTGATGCCCCAGTCGGGAAGAACGAACTCGAGGACCTTGGCGCATGGGAACAGCAGGATCTGGATGACCTGACCACTCAAGCCTGCACAAACTCGGCTTTAGCACAATTTTTGAGAAGGACCTTTGAGGCGATTGACGAAATATGGTACTCACCGATGGCGGGGAACCTTGAGTTGAAGAAAGTCGAGATGAAAGTTCCGATGATGGCCCAGCCTATACCCAAGAAATAGGCGCGGAACGTCTCAATTGGCACGCTCTGGTCGTCCAGAATCTCGGCCACGGCGCGAACTCCAGGGTAGGGCGAGGAGAAGCGGATCATGACGGCATCGATCCTCAAGTCTCGGTCGTAGTCCTCTCCATACTTCTTCGGCCCCTCGAGAAGCTTCTTCATCCTCTCTCTCATATCAGAGGGGAAGTTCCAGTCGTCCTTGAAGAACTCGACCGATTCTTCAATAATCTCGAGGGCATCTTCCTCCGTCATCTCGTTGATCTTTTCCAAGATGTACTCTCCTTCTCCATTGGGTGCCAGCTCCTCGAGCTTCTCGTGGGATATCTGATCCGAGATCTTTTGCTCCGGGTTGTCCACCCGTGCGGGGATCTTTTCGATATCCTCCTCCCGGGCCGGGGTCAGCTCCGTTCCGACGGTCTCCACCTTTCCGGACATTGTTACCCGTGGAATCGACGCCGTGTACTGCCGGGTCCGTTGAAAGCTTTACTCGTCAAAAGACTGAAAAGACGCTTGTGAAGTGAAAACATCATGCGTGATGATCACTCCGGGGAAGTCACCGAGGCTATATATCTCTGCAATCGTCGTCCAACTTAGAGTTGTGTGGCGGGCGGAAGGCGGGGGAGTCAGGTCTCGGCCCAGCTATCGGGCGAGATAGGTCGTCCAACATGGGGGAAACACATCTCCAAACGGAACGAGTGCGCGCACCTATCTCCTCATCCCAACCGGGCTGCACTGCATTGTCCATCCAACAACGTTGCATTCTCCCAGATCAACGTTGCACTATCACGCCGTCTAACAGAAGGGATCGATCGTCCCATACAAGACTTATCCGGTATCACCCCCGCATGCTCTTCCGGCTCGGAGCTCCCCCCCCCCCCCCCCCCCCCCCCACAAGATAACCTGACCTGCCAGACGTGGCCTGCGGGGTGCATGCGTTCGCGAGGATCAGCGCCCCTGTACTTGCGCTATCGACGGCAGTTGGCCATTCGCCACGGTGGAATGCGACGCCGGACGATAAAAAGAGAGCCAAGATAGAGAGGGGTTGGACCGGCGGATGGTTGCGGGATTGAGAATAGACGTCAGATTCGAAAGCTTGCGGACAAGTTCCGATATCTTAACGTCCTGATAAAAGGTGCGAATTCCTATGCTGACGGAAAGGGAAGGGATATCGACTTTGGACGGGCTAGTCTTGATGCATCTCACTGATTGACATTATCCAAAGTTAATTGTGCCGATAGTTGTTCAACTAGCAATTTGACTGCCACATGAGGGGTTCATTGCGTCTTGCCGGGGTAGCACATCATTGAAATATCACCTGATGAGATCCCATAAGTAAAGCACAACTCAGGCCGAACGCACGGTAAGTTCCAAATCCGCCATCAAATGGTAAAGGTGTTGCTTCGTAGACTTTGATTGGTACCTTTATTCAAGGTCGACGCTCTTATATGCAACCCATCCTCATCTGGCGGACTTCCGACGATGCACGCCACAAGACGTCGTTCCCGATCCGGCTCCCATTTTCAGGTGACTGACCGCGATGCAGCCACAGCAGCTTACACCAGAACACCAACCCATCAAAAGTCCTAGACCCCCAGAAGCGCACCCTTGACCGACTTGCTCAACTGTGCTCTCCAAAGACGATGCTCGTTGAGTATGAAGAGCTCGCCCTCGCGTCCGAAGCAAAAGTTGGCGGCACCCCCGTCGACGAGGATACGACCGAGTAGGACACCGCCTGGAGACCAGACGTTGATGCCATCCCCGCATCCGCTGTAGACGTTGCCGTTCATATCGCACTTGATTCCGTCTGGTATACCGACATCGGCGAATGCAAATAATCTTCGATTCAGCAACACGGGCTGTCTGTGGCGTTGTTCAACGTCAAAGGCATATCTGATAGGGTTGTTAGTCCGCGCGCCTATAACAGGAAGCGTTTTCAGTGTGCGTATGGTCGAAGAAGCTTACATAGTGGAAGCGCGATTGCCGTCTATTGAGCCATCGCCGTGCACAATTTCGGTGTCTGTTACATAGACAGTGGTTTCGTCAGGCGAGAAGCAAATCCCGTTTGGTCTGCCAAGCCCGTCCGCCATGGCCCGGATCGAGGATGTCGCCGGATCAAAGCGATATACCTGGCTAGGTAGGGTCGCGGGAGGGCGGTAACCCTGCTCATGACCGTAAGGTGGATCAGTGAACCATATGCTTCCATCTTTGCTGATGACAACATCGTTCACGGAGTTGAAGGGCCGAGAATGGAAGGTAGTTACGACTGACTCAGTCGTATACGGAGGCGTTCTTGACATCTTGAACAGACCGCTAGGCTGCGTCACCGAGCCTTGAGCACAGAAGAGAATGTCATCGCCGTAGTTGACGCCGCCGTTGCCCATCTCAATTTCCGGACATGAGATCTCTTCATGCTTTATAGGCTTTCCACCGACGGACAATGTTACTTTGGAAGTCTGGACCTTCTTAGAGCCATCTTTGTCCGCGAACTGATTGCTGGTGATGAATAGTTTACCAGCTGATGGGATGGATACGCCGGCTTCGTGAGCGAAGGGATACGAGTCGATTTGCAGTATTAGGTCCAGCGATGGGCTCGGACCAATGATTTCGTGAAATGTCTCGTCATGAACGCGCCATGAATCGACGGTTTTTGTGTTGGCCGACATTGTGAGCCGTGCGTGGTGGTGGTAGTGGTGAGTGGTGGGTGGTGGTGCTCTTTGCGGAAAAGGCAATGAACGGCTTACCTTTACTTCAATCAGCCGAGGTTTGACTCCTGACCAAGACTTGTATGGACTCGTATGAGAGCCTGCTTACTGAAAGATCTGATTACTGGAAAGTTCGAGCTGAAAAGTCCCAGAACCCACCAGCCCACCTCCGGAGTCCACCCCGCGAAACTAAGATCGTCCAGTCCGCCTCCAGATCAGATCGTGCCGGGGGCCAGGGTCCAGACTTTCCCTCGAGACGACGTTGACCCCACTGATTATCGGGAGCGCGCCTATGACCTGCATCTGCAAACACATTACGCATCATCGCCATGTTCATCAGCCCGTCAAGATAATTGAAATACACAGCATACTGTCAGCGTCTAGTCTGAGACTTTGTAATCGTTCCAAAAAGACAGACACATTGAGCGAGTTTTGAAGAAAGCATCTGTTGCAAAAATGACTGTGCCGGCAAACTGGAAAGATGAGAACAGGACGATTCAGATCCTGACAAAAGCCGAAAAGGGCCGATACGGTGTGATCGCAGCCATTGCATATAACCTCGAGCAGATTCACGGGCTCGTCACCGCAGCCGAAGAAGCCCGTTCGCCTCTCATCATCCAATTCTTCCCCTGGGCCGTCACTTACGCCGACGGCTTGCTCGTCCGAACCGCCAAAGAAGCAGTGTCTCGAGTATCCGTTCCGATTTCGATCCACCTCGATCACGCGCAGGACGAGAAGATTATCCAGTATGCAGCCGACAACCTGCCGTTCGACAGCATCATGGTCGACATGTCCCACTACGAAAAGGCGGAGAACCTAGAAAAAACGGCGAAATGGGTCAAGTACTGCCACGAACGCAGGATTGCCACCGAGGCTGAGCCCGGGAGGATAGAAGGTGCCGAGGACGGCGTCATGGACACGGCCGGCTGGAGGCTAGCAAGACTACGGCCGAGGAAGTTGACGAGTTCATCGCCACGGGCGTGGACTCCCTCGCTCCGGCGTTTGGCAACGTACACGGCGAATACGGAAAGCTGGGTCCGCAATTGGACTTTGAACGGTACGTAACGGCCCGGAGTGCAGCAATGTTTCTTGATAAAGTGCCCCGTCGACAGGGATACTGATAATGCTTTTGCAGCTTCGAGAAGATACGCACCCAGATTGCCGGCAGAGTCAGGGTGGCTCTGCACGGCACCAACGAATTCCCACCAGATTTGATGAAGCAGTGCATCGCTGCGGGGGCGACAAAGATAAACGTCAGCAGGCTTGTTCTGGACGACTATTACACCCATCTCCGGTCCCAGGTCACGCGGCTGCCGCATACTACGCTTATCGAGGAGGGTACAAGCAATGTCATCCGGCAGACAAAGGAGTGGATGGAGATTTGTGGATCAGCTGGACAGTCATGAATGGAAGTTGGTTCTGGGTATTATTAGGCGTCGGAAGCTTCCCATCAGAGCTTCAGCTCCTCGCCGAGTGGCTTCACAGGCCAGCCTGATCGATTGTGACAGGCCTCTAGCAGATCGAGAACGCACTTCCGTTCTCGGCTATTCTCAAGCGGTATGCCGGCTTTATTGGATTAGAGTTGGTTTCCTGCAACGGAAGGGTAGACGTACCGATAAATAGACACTGAGAGCACAAAACGCTTGACGGATAGTCTGACAGTGTCATGCCGATACCGCAAACCTTTTTGACGCATTCCATCAGACGCTTCCGCTGCTGGGTGTACTGCTCAAGGCCGCCCAGAACAGGCACGTTCATAAGAAGCAGGATATGGGAACAGTAGTAGATCTGGAAAGCTACCGCTGTGGATGGTCATTAGGATTTCCCGTGAGATCTGAAGAAGGCCAGCTTACCAAACGCCGGAGGATTGATCCAGATCGGCTCAAAGATGTCATCAGGAGAACTTGGGAATGGGAGTGGTTGGAACTCGGCCGTCAGGTGCCGCCTCCAATTTTCCAGCATTTCTCTTAATGCGTCGGCCGCCGCGATTCTCGCGTGAGGGTCATTTTTTCCCGCTTCGGTCTCTTCATGCGAGCAGAATGCGATCACCTGAGCGAAGAAGTAGACTGACCGCGCAGCCAACTCAGACGGGCCCAGATCGTCTAATGCTTTCAGTGGACGCCAGAATGTGAAAGGACGACGCTTCTCGCGAAAGGCGGCCCAGACATCCTGACATAACCATGCCCACCAAACAGCTTGCTTCAAGCCCATGGAATCGCCATGTATGACTTGTGAGCGTTGGATCCAGAACACTCCTTTTAAATGTCTCTCCCAGTCTTGTCTGGAGCCATCAAGCATCTCGTATGCTGATACAGTGACGCTGGTCGCGAGAAGTTCGAGGCTCGTTTTGTATGTATCGTATTGCATAGCCTCTTGGATGTAGTGAAGGGTCTTGTAGTAGTATCGTAGGGCATCGTTTGGGTCTCGAGTCTGTGTGCCGGCTGGGTATGTGCTTAGAGAGAGGTGACGTGAAGATAGGGCGAGGACGGCATTGAGTAGCCCAACATTGTGCATCTGGACGGGTGTGATAGAAGCTCGTCAGCATTGTGATCCCGACCTTTACTCAAAGCAGATGACGTATGCATGACTTACTGCGAGTTGAGGAACAAGCGTGCCAAAAGGCCGTCTAGGCTCAAATAGGTCCATCTAACGCCAGCAGGGATTGTTACTCCTTTGAGCGAGTTTCGAATGGATGCATCTGCAAGCTTACCCATCTACTAATGTGTTGCACAAAGTTTTGGAAGATGACATGTTCCTGCGACTGGATTGGCAGAGGTGTTGCTGACCGCCAAGCCTGTTTCTCGAGGCACTGGTATTCGTCGAGCGTCGGAGATCTCTCATGCAAGTAGGGATGGGACGCGCATGGCGTAGGACTGAGGCCTTCTCCACTGGCCTTTGGTAGACCCCGCCCCACGGCAGGCGATTGTACGACCGAGCTTGCAAAGAGATCGACGCCTTCTTCAAAGTTGACATTGGTGAAATCGATTTCTTGCATGGCCGCATCTTGAAGAAGCAGGTCGACCCAAATGGCCGTGGCGTTCTCCAGGTTTGTCCCGAACGAACTGGAGGTTTGTGCTGTGCCTCGTGGTATGATGCCTGTGCATAACGCATCGACTTGTTCCGGAGAATCTTGCTCGAAAGCTGGTCTATCGCCAGTACTGATATCATGTGAAGTATCTATGCCTTCGTCATTGGATGGTGCTATAGTGGTAGCGCTTGCTGTGCTTGGTGGATGTGTCTCTCCAAGTGTGACTGCTGGTAGAGGAGCCGGCTCATCATCGCAGATGACAGGCGGACTGGGAGATCGAGGTGATTGAGGCTCTCGCGGAGTCGTGGACTTCGGGGTACCACTGTTCGGGGTGACTGAGACGACAGGGCCGGATCGTTTCCTGTTTGGTGGTCGCCTTGGTGTGTAGAGACAATTGTGCTTGGTTCTTTCACATCCACCACAGATAGGTTTTCTCTCGTCACATTTGACATGACGTCGGCGGCATGTTGCACTGCGAAAAGCAATTGTTAGATTCGAGAAATGTTACAAGGTGCTTTGTCCAGATCCAGGGATACTCACCAGCCGGTGCTATTTCTGAGGCCGTGACCACGACTGAGGCGACCCCGGGTGAAGTAGCGTTGAGTTTCCTCATCATCAGCGCCCATCTTGATGATATTTATGCCATTGAAGCTTGAAAAGTATTGTGTAGATGTGAAATGGATTTGGTGTGTGGCCACTATCAGAGGATTTTGGGCCACGACAGGTGGTGTCGTGTCGTATCGTGCTATGAGGAAGGTGGAAGCGACAGGGAACACTTGGAGTTGCGAAGAGTCGCGACTGGTTGGAGAATTGCGCACGGGGCATGATCCCGTGCGGGGTAACCTGGAAATGCTCCACTAAAACTTGGAGACGGCTCCGGCTCGGAGTACCCGGTCGTGCCGTTGTGGGGGCGCCGGTCTCCGACTGGGGCCGGTGGGATGGACACTAGCCTTGTGCCTGGCACGCTTGGGAAGGGTCGGGGTTTGGCAATACTTGCGGCTGTTTATTTTTATTTTATTGTACATTGTGCTCTCCTAGAATGTGCCAAATTGAGGTTCTGTACCGAAAAGTATGTCTAAATTCTACTGCAAGTGAGCGTACATACCGCCATCCACCAACATCTGGGATCCCGTCATGAATCCACTCAGTTGCTCACAACCCAAGAAAACCGCCGGTCCAGCCAAGTCATGAGGCTTGCCCACGCCCATTGGAATACGTTGTTCAAGGTAATTGCGCTTCGTCTCGTTTTGCATGTCTTCCTCCGCCAATTGTGTATGGATAGTGCCCGGGAGCAGAGCGTTGCATCTGATGCGGTGCTTTGCAAGCGCTACTGCCATTGATTGGATCATTGACAGAACGGCTGCCTTTGTCGGCGTGTAGTGAGTCTGTAGACCACCGCCTTGAAGAGCGCTGATTGATGAGATACCAATGATTGATCCTCCGCGACCTTGTTTGACCATCTGGTTTGCCGCAGCCTGGCACGAGTAGAATGCGCCATTGACGTTGACATGTAGCGTTTTATCGAAGACTTCCTTTTCGAGTCTGCATATGAATTCGTCAGCTTTCTCTCTGGAGATTTTAGAGGCGCGTGTCGCAATCAATCATACGTGAGAAACTCAGCTGGCTTGAAAATCCCGGCGTTCGCGATGAAGACATCCAGTCCACCCCATTTCTTGACTGCTGCAGCAACGAGACCCTTTCCCGTATTCGGATCTGTCACATCGCCTGCAAGCTCAATCAACTCGCCTGTCGGTGAATCTTTGGGACCATCTTTTCTGATCTTTTCCGCTTCTTCGATGAGGCTGAGTCTGTGTTTTTCGTCGCTGGGAAGGCCGAGGTGGTTGACTACCACATTGGCGCCGTGTCTCAAGTATTCGAGTGTTATCGCACGGCCAATTCCAGTTGTGCCTCCCGTGATGCACGCCGTTTTGCCTTTCAGCAATCGCCAACTTGATGAAGCCATGTCGAGTTGATACGTGACTATGTTGATATTGTGTCTCAATGGTCAATGGCGTGTCAAGCAGTCCATGGAAATAATCTTAGCTAAATCATACAGGCCGGGATTCTATCCGTTGGAGTGTCATCTTGTTGACTTTGTCGATCCTCCTCGCTTAGCTTCCGCCTCAGCGCTTTGACTTGCTCCGGACCGGACTGGAATATTCACATTGACACAGCAGTCTTACCCCGCACCCTCGTCTCGAGGGAATGAAGGCTGCATGAGAGTGGATCTGAATGAGACTCGAGCCGAAAAGAGCATTGCGTATGTTTTCAGTTCGAACTACCTTACTCGAGTACGAAGTCTAGAAGACAGAGCTGACAACTGAATTTAGCTAGTATTGGTCGCATGTCATGTGGCTTGTCGAACAACTTGTTTTAGCTTGATTTGCTTGTTTAGGTCACCTTGGCACCTGCAGGAATTAAGGACCAATTTCGGGAACTCCAAGCTAATGGGCCGCAGAACTGTCAGATGAACCAAGGCTCATTTGTTCTAACTTCGGAGGCTACATGCAATGCAGAAGTTATCGTGCAACAGGTCCATTGCGTTGCCACTGCATTGAGTTTGTGTCACGGGAACTGGCGGATCGCTGACTCTTCGAGTGCTCATAGTTCGTATCCGGAGGAACAAGTTAGACCCCAGTGGAGGGCAAGTACTGAGAGGTAAAATTGTTCATTGTTTGTAAGTGATCAGCTATCCTGGGAGACGTTTTCTCTCCTCTGTCGACAAAATATGGGATGCAGGTAGATTCGATGCAATGATGCGTGTTGGTGCTAAAGTTATGTACTATGAAAGCCATCCTTCGAACACCCCTGCAAGACTATTCCTTTTGCCTTTCTACGGAGGGCACCCCATGTATGGACGTGCTGGAATTGGAACGATTTCGACTGCAGAGTATGATGCCTGAATCACTGAATTTCCGAGCCAGAAGACTTCTTCACATGGGTGCTGGAGTTCTCTCCCTTTCCCTCCAGGTCACCCTCAACAGCTGCTCGAACGGCACCAACACGACTTTCGTGCTCGGCTTTGAGCTCTTTGAACTTCTTTTTTGCATCCCAGGTCCAAGGCGAGTCTGTTGCGAAGAGTAAGTCAATCTCCTCTAGGGTTCGCTGATTCGACTCCGGGTACAAAGCCCACACTGCAAATAGTTAGAAGACGAAAAGAGACACCTGAAGTGTGGAGCTTACCAATGGGGATACTGATAACGTTGATGGCAGCGAAGATGTACATTGCACTTTCGTTGATGGCCCCAATGATGTATGGAAGAACTAATGTCAAAGTACTGAGTTATTGCACAATTAGCAACATTCCTGGAATCACACTATGCAGAAAATTGGGGCGCCTTACCCATTGCCAATACTCCATCCAACAACACCCCAGGCATTGCCCCTCGCTCGGACCTGCAAGGGGAAAATCTCCGCCGGGTACAGCCAAGGCACGGTGAGCCAAGTTGCGCCGAACACAAACGTGCTTCGGAAATATTAGTGATATCCAGAATAAAGAAAATGCGTTTATGGTCACTTACTATAGGAAGACCATTGTAGCGGCTGCGGCTCCCCAGGAGTTGGCAACATTGTCATTTCCAGCGGCTCTAGCATTGAGACCGCCACGAGATAGGCCACCGACGAGGAACATGGCAATGGCTTGGGCCACTGAGCCCCAATACAGTGTCCAACGTCTTCCTATTCTGTCGATTGTGAAGACACAGATGAGTGTGGCGAACATGTAGAAGATGTTGTTCAATCCCGAGATCCAGAGGGCCTTGGAGGGACCGAAACCGGCAATGTGGAAGATGGCTGTTTAAGGTTCTGGTTAGCTGTCGGGCTTCAACTTTTCAAAACTGGTTGTAATGGATCATTGACTTATTCGGGCCGTACATAGTAATACCGGCGATGCCCGTCCAGCACTGAATCATTTGCAGCCAAATAACCAATTGCACTCTTCGACCCGTGTGAAGCTTTTCTGACTTAAGACCAAAGAGCATGTGGTGGTACTTGGGTCCCTCAGCCGACTGTTCAAGCCGGACCACATCCTTGATGTCCGCAAGTTCGGCCTCGGCGATACCGTCTTGAGTGCCTCGGAGTCGTTGCAGGATGTAGAGAGATTCGTCGTCTCGGCCAACCTTGCAAAGCCAGCGAGGCGATTCGGGGAACAAGAAGCATCCAAAGAGCAAGAACAGCAGCGGAATGATCTGGAAGGCAATAGGGAAGCGCCATCGGAAAGCCGACTCGCCAATTATCGATGAAACTGACAGCATATCTGTGCCACACAAGTTGATTAGTCGAGGCTTTCCAAACCTTCTTCCATCAGTTGCAACTCACCCAAGCCAATAGGCAACGACAACTCCAAAGATGTTCAAAGTAAACTCCATGGCAATGAAAGCACCTCGAGAAGTATAGTCTGCGAGTTCCGATGCCCAGATCGGCACGATGTCGTTCAAGGTGCCGGTGCCAATACCATTGAGAAGGTGAGCGCAGATCATCCAGTTCGAGTTCATGGCGGTACACTGCAGAGAAGCGCCGAAGATCCCCCACAGAGCACCAATCGCAATAGTCTTGATCCTGCCAAATCGATCGCCGATGGATCCTCCGACCATGCAGCCGATGAGCGTGCCGAGATAGAAAACGGACATGATGCCGCCTTCAAGGAGAGTGTCGGTCACCACTGGAGTGCCACCAGCGTCGACATATCCGAATTTCATAAGATCGATGTAGTGTTTGGCATTGTTTACGCCGCCCATCATTCCTTGATCATAACCGGGACGTCGGTTTTGTCAGTATTTTCGTCGCATTGAGCACATATTTTCGACGACTGGACTGTTAGTTGAAGCAGTCAGACGTACCAAAGAAGAAAATTGACATTCCGGCAAGGCCATTGACGGCGATGAGAAGAGCTCGCTTCTCGAACTTTGCCGTCACCATCCATCTGTGACGTTGATCCATAGTAGCGATTTTGAAACAGAATGATGCAGATATTATCGTCGAGTCCTACTCTGAGTCGAATAGCAACATAGTTTATGTTACAAGTCAGAGGTCTGAGAGTCTTTTTCTAGCTATACAAGATATTACACTTTCACCAATATCGGTATTCGCGTCTAATCGCTTCGGACTTATCTAATCCATCTAAAGTGACGTAGTCCGACCCAAGACCCGAGGTCCTTGGACTAACGCGGGGAAACCCCATGGGGGACGTAAAATGGGTTGGTATCACGCAGCAGATCATGTCATTCAATCTCTCAAACGTCCTAGCTCGGGACGACCGGGGGGAGGCCCGGCAGTGCCCATGTCTTCCCTCGAGACGAGCCCTCGGTTGCTGGGCGGCGCTGCTATGGTTGTCGAGCTCTCGGAAGCAGGGACATCGATAGCGTGGAATCGTAGGGCCATAATCATGACCCGTATTCGTCTCGACACAGCCTGCTGTCAACAGATGGGGAGCTTTGTGTTGAGCCACTTCAAAGTCCGAAAAGAGCATTTGTTCTCATCACGAGATGATACCTCTTACATGGCTTCGAAGCCTTTGATAGAGGTTTTCGGTATATAAGTCCAGTTCCAAGATGATGAACTTAGACGTGAATGCAATACGAGCCAAGCAATCTAGCAACAGCTGAAGTCCACCCAACGAAACCAGCCTCTCAAGATGCCTCTCTATCAACCCGAGAACTTGTACGCTCCAATTCTTTCGCAGTTCTCCCTCAAAGGGAAGATTGCAGTGGTGACTGGAGGGTCAAGGGGTATCGGTGCAGAAGTCGTTCGCGGGCTGGCAGAAGCTGGCGCAGACGTCGCATTCATCTACAAGACGAACGCCAAAGCCGACGAAACAGCTGCCCGGATCGCAAAGGAGACGGGTGTTCGCGTCCAGGCATATCGATCCGATGTCACATCCCGAGACCCCATTGCGAAAACCATCAACCAGATCGCTAGCGAGTTCGGCGGAGGCCGCATAGACATAGCAGTGGCCAACGCGGGCGTCTGTGCAAACGTGAAGCCGCTCGAGTATACGGAAAGGACATGGCAGGATATGAACAGCGTCAATTACGACGGCGTCATGTGGACTGCGCAGGCCGTGGGAAACATCTTCAAGAAGCAAGGGAGAAGAAACCTGGTCGTCACCGCTTCCGTGAGCGCTATTCTGGTCAACGTGCCCCAGGAGCAGGCTGCGTACAATGCTTCCAAGGCGGCGGTCGTGCAGCTTGCCAAAAGTCTGTCCGTCGAATGGGCCGATTTTGCGCGCGTCAATTGTGTATCGCCTGGATACATCCTCACCGAGAGTCAGTTGTGGTTTCTTCCCCGAGTCCTATATTTGGCACCAAACCCACGTGCAGTGTTGCTTACAATGTTCCTTGCAGTGTTGACAAAGCAGCCGAGAGAGCTGATGGAGCATTGGCTATCAATGATCCCAGGTGGCCGGGTTTGTCATCCTGCCGAGCTAAGAGGAGTGAGTGCCCAACCCCCGGCCCGCATTGCATGACACATGAACAGCCCTAACTGATGTCCTTCTGGATCAATAGCTCTATGTCTTCCTTGCCAGTGATGCATGTTGCTACATGACAGGCTCGAACGTAGTGATCGATGGCGGGTACACATTGCCGTAGCCTATAACCAGGCTGGTGGAAGTCCGACAGACTGGATGTGATCTGCATCATGACGGAGCCTGTAGATAGCCGGGATACCCGCAGGGAATCCATGACCCCGATCTGGACGCTAAACCAAGGAAGCAAACGACAGCATGCCATGTTTCCTCGTCCGGGTACAGTTTCCCGCGGACTAGTTGGTTGGATTCTGGATATTTCCCGGAAGAGGTTGTATTTTGTTCCTCTTCCCTATGAAGTCCGTCGGAGGTTTCTTCAATCGATTGAGATGAGCGCAATTCCAGATGAAGCCCCCCCACATCCACTGAACGTCGCTTACTGTGATGGGTTGAATACTCACTCATGAGTCTCCGCAAGTGAATCCTTCAAGACCTAAGTCGGTCCTTGAATAGCATCAGGCTTGACTAGCTTGATGATGTCTCTGAACTATTATTTCGAGAATTGACAGGTCCGTATCAAGTCAATCAAAATGAGCCTGCATACATGCCACAATAGGTAATCAGCACAGTGTCTTTCTTTTCGTCATACCTGAACAGCGGGAAGCAATGAGACACTTCCTCTCTTTGACGGAGGAAACAAGACCCTTTCATTCAAATTCCGCTATTTTCAGCACTTTTGAAAGGCCGCTTGGCTGGGGTAGCGGGGAGAACCAAGTACATCTAGCCTGGAAAGTGGGAATGACCCAAGTCAGGTTTTTTTTCTTCCGTTCGGATGGCCCGCTCATGGCCCAGCAAATTCCAAATTCAGGCGCGCGCCATCGTCGCTTATCTCTTTTCTGATTCACCACACCACGATGATTCGTCACAACCCACCATCCTTCTTCACGTGCCTTAGTAAAGTTTACGAAGCACCATCGTAGTGAATCGCGACCGCGATGTTTCGAGAAATAACGGAGGGCGAAAGATGAAGAATCTCAACCCTTGGCGAGGTTCAATATCAATACAGTGAATGGAGGGACAAAGAGAAAAGAGTGATAAAGGAGACCTACCTGTTCACACGATGTTTGCGTTTCACACAATATCGGCACCTGAACAACTCTCGAAAGCACAAAGACGACGAAATACAATATCAAAACGATGTCTTCAGTCAAAAACAAGCAAGCGATGACGCCTGACCAGGGCAGTTCGGTACTAAACGACCTCGACATCATGGAAACAGCACCGGAGCAGGAATCTCATGGATTCTCTTTGGCCGAACAGAAGAGAATCATGAGGCGGGTTGATATTCGCCTTGTAGCGACTGTTGGTCTGCTGTACTGCTTCTCTGTTATTGACCGGTCAAACCTTCCATCTGCCGCTGTTGCCGGTATGCGAGAAGATTTAGACCTGACTGGCAACCGATACGTAAGTTTGAACTCCTATTAAAACTTATCTGCTTGGATATAATGTGCGATTGAATGAACTAACACTCACTTATTAAAGTCTGTCGTGAGCTTGGCATTCTTCACGACCTATATCACTTTCCAGCCAATCTCTGTCATTCTTGCCCGAACTTTGGGTCCGCGGGCTTACTTCACGGCTATTACAATGATTTGCGGAGGCATCGTAATTGGAATGGGATTTCTGACGCACTGGGGCCAGCTTGTAGCTCTGAGAGTGATCCTTGGTGCACTTGACTCTGGATTTTTCCCTAGCTGTGTTTACCTTTTGAGCACTTGGTACACTCGTTGTAAGTCATCTTCGTTTGAACTAGGAGTACCAAAAGTGTTACTTTTACTAACGGCTTCCAGACGAAGTTGGAAAACGGTACTCGGTATTCTACATGATTGTCTGCTTTGCTTCTGCATTTGCGGGAATCTTGGCATTCGGAGTAAGCGCATTCCCAGCTTGGCAATAGTCTTTGGACATTTGCGCCTTGAACCCGGTGAAGCAAGTGTCTGACTACTTTCTACTCGTAGCTTACTCAACTTGATGGGACTGCAAACCTCAAAGGCTGGTCGTGGATCTTCATCATGGAGGGTGTTATCACCTGCGCTATCGGCATTATTGGCTATTTTCTCCTCGTCGGATTCCCCGATGCTCAGAAGAGCACTTGGAGGTTTCTTTCACAGGAAGAAACTGCTTGGGTAATTTCCAGAGTTCAAGCCGATAGGGGAGATGCAGAATTGCCGCCTTTCAGCGTCGGGAAGTTTCTCAGAGGCGGGGCTGACATCAAAGTCTGGGCTTTGTCCATCATCTACTTCAACAATGCTCTTGTCATATTCTGTAAGTTTCTGCTACAATCCTTCTGAGGCTCTTTACTGACCACTGTGCGAAGCTCTGTCTTTCTTCCTGCCAATCATCCTCAAAGACAACATGGGCTTCGACACGGGAAAGGCTCAGATCTTGACGGCGCCACCGTACGTGTTTGCCTCCATCATCACTTACACTACGGGCTGGCTGGGAGATCGATACATGCTTCGAGGCCCCATCATTTTTGGCGACATGGTGTTGTCAATCGCCGGGACCTGTCTTATGGGCTTCCATAGTGATGTTGCCGTTCGATACTTGGGCGTTTTCCTCCTCGTCGCAGGGAGTGTCAGCGCCGTGCCGGCGACGATGGCGTACCAGGCGAATAACATCAGAGGACAGTGGAAGCGCGCATTTTGCAGTGCCATGGTAGTTGGCGTTAGCGGAATTGGTGGTATCGCCGGCTCTCTTGTTTTCAGGTATGTCACACGTGTGTTGTAGACCTAGGCCGCATACTGTGTGTGCGCCACAGCCAGGATCCTCCTGGAAAACGAACAAATTCTTCCTCGAAGAGCCGAGAGACTTACTAAACTATGAGCAGAAGCCAAGACAAGCCTCACTACTTGCCTGGGCTGAGCACTTGTTTGGGATGCGCCGTTCTGAATGTCATAGTTGTCATTGCCTTGAGCTTCTACTTTCGCCATTGGAACGCGAAGGCCGAGCGCGGTAAGGTTGAGCTTGAAGCGTCGGATGTAAGTTGTCTCCAACCCCACTATTTGGAAAGGATCTGAGATATATAGAGCAAACAATGTTTTAGAAGGCTTTACTAATGCGTTGATCACTCCAGGAAACTCAGGCATCGGACTTCCGCTACACCTACTAAAGGCCCATCATGGGTTTGGACTTACACAAAGCATTGATGGAAACTTATTAAGGCCTTGGCGGCAATTTTGTATCTGAACATGGGCATTAAGCAACAAAACGGCGTTTCAGGCGTATTTGCGGTAGATCACAGACACTAGAGAGCTTATGACCATATACATTCGTTTCATACTAGTAGCGATCCTGCACTTGAGCTCGAAAATTCCAAGCCCTGAATTCTGGGTGCGAGCTCTATCGCTTCATTAAGAAGGCCTTCTCATGAGGCTTGGATATTCCGAACTCCGTGACATATGTTTTAACGCTGTCCACGAGTTCAAACCCAAGCTTCTCGTACATAGGCTGCGCAGTCTTAGTCGCCATGACCCAGACTTTCATTCCGACTGCATCAGCTTGCTCTATACCATTTCTGACCAGAACAGAAGCTATTTTCTTCCGCCTATGATCTGGATGCACCGCGAGATAGTCTAGAACTGCTGCATGTTAGCTGATATGAGGGTGTTTATTGATCACGGTGTTCAAACCTAGAAATGGGCCCTCCTGTGATCGCATTGCGGCAACCTCGGCCTCCTCAAGCGGCAGTCCCAGAGCAGCTTGTAGTTTTCCGTCCATACCTTTGATTGAACCGCCCTCGGTGTTGGCCTGGAAGGCTGTTTGGAACTTATCAGCTTCCTCTTGCGAGGGTTCGCGAACAGCTGCTTCGGACCAAGAGATGCGATTATCATCATCGGGCAGGATCCACCGTGAGTAGCCCACGATTTCACTACTATCGGCGTCAACGGCTTTCTGGTGCCGTTTCTTTTCCCTGCCGCCGACGAGGCTATGGGGCATGCGAGCAGTGGCACCTTCGATGATCTCATCCAAAGGCGTCGACTTCCAGAGTGCACGCCAATGAGTATCGGTGTGGTAGAAGGCCGTCATGTTGTTCTTTGAAACTCCAGCAGCATCATCGTATGTGACGGCTGAGATAGTGAATGACATGCTTAAGATTTGCAAGAGTTACGCAGAAGTTCCAACTGCTTCGTCTAACGATCACCGTATTCACACCGGGACTAAAGAACTGGAAGGTGCACGTTATTCTAGGAGAAGTCTTGGTTTCACTGATTTAGTCCCTGCTGTGCCAATTTATACGCGCAGGGCAGTGGCATTTTGCAGAGTCTAGAAGTCCATGGTGTAAATCTGTCCTTCTTGGTGGAGATAAGGAAGTTGTGGTAAATGAGGCGTAACGTCCGTCACCCACTTCCAGGCCCCCCCCACTTCCGGGCCCCCCCAAAATGACTCACCGCCATTTTCATCCCCCAACAACAAACTTGAATATCTTCATCATTTCCTTATCAGTCCCTTTGAACTTTTATTATATACTATTTTTTAGTTGATGAAGCAATATACAGAAGTTGACGTTAGCCAAGCCCTTGAGGCTATGGCTAACGGACAAAGCCTTAAGAAGGCATCCCTTGAATCGGGTATACCAAGGTCAACACTTCAACGCCGAATCCGAGGAGCTCAGTCAAGAGATACTGCCTTTTCCAACCAGCAGAGGCTCTCTCCTACCCAGGAAAGCAATCTAGCTGAATGGGTTCGAATTCAGGCTGCCCTGGGCCTGCCTCCAACCCATCAACAACTCAAGAATTTTGCTGAGCGTATCCTACAGATCCATGGAGACCCCCAGCCTCTTGGGAAGAACTGGGTTCAGTCTTTTATCAAGAGTAATCCATCTGTAAGGGCCCAGAGAAGCAGAGCAATCGATTCCCAGCGGATCAATGGAGCCTCAACTAATGTCATCAGGCAATGGTTTAAGCACCTCGCCATCCCTGAGATCATGGCCATCAAAGCCTCCAATCGATACAACATGGATGAAACTGGTATTCTAGAAGGCAGAGGATCAAACGGTCTTGTTCTTGGATCATCAGAAACTCGTTCTATCCGCAAGAAACAGCCTGGATCGCGTGCTTGGACATCTCTGATCGAGTGTATCTCTGCAACTGGCAAGGCACTGCCTCCACTTGTTATATATAAGGGCAAGAATGTCCAGCAGCAGTGGTTCCCTCTAGATCTAAAGCCATACGAACCCTGGAGGTTCATAGCAACAGAAAACGGCTGGACTTCAGACTCTACAGCTGTCAAGTGGTTAACAGAGGTCTTTATCCCTTCAACCCAGCCAGCGGACCCCTCAGAGGTCAGATTATTGATCCTGGATGGTCATGGAAGCCATGAGACAACGGATTTCATGTATATTTGCTTCAAGAACAAGATGCACTTGCTCTTCTTGCCAGCACATACGTCACACGTCCTTCAGCCTCTAGATCAGTCCATTTTTGGCCCCCTTAAGGCAGCATACAAGAAGGAGCTTGGATTACGTGCCGAGTGGAATGCTAGCACAGTTGTAGGCAAGAGAAACTTCATTATATGCTACAGCAAGGCACGCAAGGCAGCCCTGACAAGCAAAAACATCATCAGTGGCTGGAAATGGACTGGATTGTGGCCTGTCAGTATGGCTAGACCCCTCATGAGCCCCCTGCTGCTTGAGAACACGTCAACCCCTGCCAAACAGGCTGTTCAGGTCTGCAAAGGGCTTTCTGATGGCAAGGCAAGCGAAAAATGGGCGGCAGAAACATCAGCAGTCCCTTGGTCGACCCCCAAGAAGAGGGGTGAGCTCCAAGATCAGTTCAGCCTATTCAGCAAGCTGGATAACGATGAACACACGCAGCGCCTGCTTTTTCGGAAAGTTCAGAAGGGCTTTGATGAGAAGGATTACGAACTGGCAGTAGCCCAGCGAAAGATTGAGGCACTACAGGCAGAGGTTGATGCCGGTAGGGCTAGGAAGCGCAAGAAGGTCAAAATGAGCCCAAATTCGAAGTTTGCTGACATTGAAGCTATTCGGAGGGCTCAGATCGAGGCGGGCGAACTTGAAAATAGCACAGATGAATCCAGCGAGTCTGAAAAGCCCAGTGATAGCGAAAGTTGCATCGTCGTAGCATCATAATAGATACAAAAGTTAGTTAAAGCTGGTGGGTAGAAATGTAGGAATATGAAATTTTGGGGGCCCGGAAGTGGGTGACGGACGTTAATTGCTGGCCGGCAATTACGGATTCGTTTTTGTACGACAGAAGTCGAGTATGCTTACATACCTAATTTCTCACCTTACGTCTAGGCAGTAGGGGACCAGGGGTCGGGCAAGAAGAGTATTGCGCGGCGATCTATTGGGTTGACGCCTCTCATTGTCCCAGTGCCGTGTGATCATTGGTTATCGCAAACTTGAGGGTTTTTTTTCTTCAATGTGCTGAGATGGGTTTGGCTGCGAAGCTCAAGTCTGACTGACCTTGCTACCGCTAACTTACTGCTAGAAGTAGATTCAGGATCTTCAACCACATTAGAAAGCCTACAGAAGTCAAGTGCCATTGAAATAATTGCCTTAATCACATAAAAGGTGCTAGCGACTAGATGTACATAAATCAGTTCCTCCAAAACTCCTCCCAACCCTCCTTGCAAAGAACATCACGTGTCTGTTTTAGGAGCTCACCGAATTCTACCGGCTCTTCGCCGTCCAAGACTACTTTCCCATCTACGACTCCTTTCCAACCCTCAAGAGGTAGTTTAAGAAAATCGTGGCCTTGGTCACAGATCGGCATGACATTGTGTGGCTTCCCAGCCTCCCCATCCGTAATACGCTTATTGAAGCAATCTTCGCAGAAGACAACTTCGCGACAGACCAGACAGGCGTAAGCGGATCTCTTCCCCCACCAAGAGAACTTCCTAGTATCTTGGTCACACGTTCCGTCACAGAACATCTCGGCGCCTTCAATGAGGTCCCCTTCGTCGGTGGGCCGATCTTCTGCCTTGGCATCCGTTTGGGATTCTCCATCATCTCCACCGTCTTCGTCAGAATCGTCGCTGTTCTCATCGTCCATCAGTCTGACCTTAGGGTCAAGATGACAGAACACAGCGGACTGCATTGTGCGCGCCATCTTCTTTAGTTCTTGGCCATTTGATATGGAATTGCCAAGAATGTCGAGAGCTTTCGATAGACAAGCCAGATTGTCTGCATCATTCCAACTGATTGTATCACCAAGTGCATCAATACAGCCAGCCAAAACACTCTGCAGAGTGTCCTGAAATTTGGTGACGGGGCCCAACTTCAAGTACATGCGAGAGAGGACGATCAGGCGGAAAGTGAGATACGTGATTGAAGTCGGCAGTACATCCAGGGCGAGAGGACGGTTGAGTAGCCCTTCGACAGTAGTAAGTAATTCTGTCTTTTGCTTAGGGTCGTGGGAGCTTCGGAAGATTCCATAAAGCAGTGCGCTGTAGTTGTCAACTGCACGAGTAACAGTGTAGTCGGGAGACGAGTCTGTGATGGCGTACGGGTAGCCGGTTGAACCACTATCGAGTACCTCGTCCAAGGCCTGTCTTGCGGCTTCGATGTTCCCGATCACATGCTGGTAGAACAACGAGAGATCGATTCGTAGCGGTGCGGCTGCATTAACATTGTCCAAGTACTTGATAGAATCCAGGTATATTTGGGCGATACAATCAATTTGCCCGGACTGGACGGCAACATTACGGAGCAATTGTGACCTCTCGCCGTGGTAGTCGTCATACTCCCAGCAAAGCCAGGTTAGTCGCTGCAGTGGGCTCCAGCTCTTTAAAACACCAATGAAGCCTTGCTTACTGTCCTCCTCCAAGAACAGATCGAGTTCTTCATTCAGAGTTTCCCCAGTCATCAAGACTGACGGATCGACAGACCTTGCATGAGCGTAAGACGCGGCAGCTGCTTCGTTCATCTCTAGCTTTGCCTCAACCCTCGCCTTGGTGATACAGACAGCGTGGCGCAAATTTAGCGGAACACTTTCGTCGTTCATCTTTTCAGAACACTCGAGAATGTCTTGGCGAGCGGCCTGTGCATCATCTTCCAAGTGAATTCGGGCCATTAGCTCCCTAGCTCTGACGGTCTCGAGAGCCCCATCGAGGCCACCCAGTGCATTTTGACACATGGTCTCAGCAGGCTTCAGATGCTTGAAGTGTAGCATTAGAGAAGCAAGTGCGCGGTACCCTGTCGATTCAATTTTAACGTCTTCAAAGAGACCTTCGATCCCGAGGACACCTTGCTTCTCAGTCAGAGATTCTGTCATGTTTCCGATCTCAGCTTCGTAGTTTTTCTTTGCTTGCTGCAAATGAACAGGATCCAAGTTGCTCTGCTCGGATTAGCTCGGGTTCGGAGAAGGGTAAAGTGAAACTGACAGTCTTTATGGCATCTATCACTCTTCTGTAAGAAGCCAGGGCAGTGTCGACATTGAGAGAAATGTAAGTTTGCCGCAAGTGTGCCTTGATGAGAGAGAGCAAACACACTCGCGGATTTTCTGAGACAGTTCTCCACCACTCAACTGCATCCTTGTCCATTCCCTCGTTGTGGACGCTGAGAAGTTGACCCCATCTTGAGACTCTTTCGAAAACTTCATCGGTGAATGTACTCGAGTAACTGGACCCAGTCCACTCCATCATCCGGGAGAACGACTTTTTATTCGACAACGTAGAAGCCAGCGCCTCCATGGCCTCGATTTGTTCCGCAACCGTATGACTTTCGAAGTCAATGCGAGACCAGTGTGGTATCATGTGAACCACTGCATAACGACTGAGAGCACTGGCAATCGGGAATGGGTAGTGGCTCGTAGTGCAGGCAAGCTTGGTGCAGTCGAGGAACATCTGCCGATGAATCTCTGAGGGCCTTATGCGGTGGGCGTGAATGTCGGCCGCGTCAGGCTCTTTAATGAAGAACATTCGCATAGAGCGCTCCTTAAACTTGACAGGCAGCTCACCATCATTGTAGATGGCCTCACGGTCGACGGCTGTCTGCGTTTTCTCCAACTCGCTTACAGCCGTGCCCCAACCGCCCTGAGCCTGGATCTTGACACGTTCTTCGGCATCAGAGCCAGGATCACCGACCTGAAGAAAGCTCTCGAAGGGTTCGGGAACACTCTCAAGGTCAAACTTGGCATCATTCAACCATAATCGTACCAGTGAGACCACTTCGTTGAGAGTCAATGGTCGAAAAGCTAAGGCCATCCAATGAAGTAGCTTAGACACAACGGGCTTGTGCTCGAGCTCAGTGCGACGATAGCAGTCAGTCAACAAGCCTTCATAGATCCCATGAAGTCCTGAGGGCAATGGTTTTTCCAGGTTCCGGATAACAGCGCCTTCGCGGCCGAGATTGTCAAAACGCGTAAGCATATGCGCCGCGTACAAGAAGTCTAGGCCGTTAGCATGTCCAGGTACATCTCGCTTGGATGAAGAACTTACTCGTGGCTACCTCCTCAACCTTGTCGGCAAACGTTGTTGAACATAGCGATCGAACTTCCTAATGGTAGACAAGGAGTTGATGTGACTCCAGATGAACGCTCTCAGATCTTCCTTTTGGTTTTCCCTCGTGACATCAACCGCAAGCACGGGTGATGATTCTTTCACACTGGATAGAACCCCTGGTCTAGATGTGAAGGCCACATGTATTCTCAGATCTTCCTCACGTATTACTTTGAGAAAACTGAGAAGCTCGTTGAGATCCTCGAGCTCATCAAGCCCATCCAAAAGTAGGAACAGCTTGTACTTGGAGGCTTCTCCGAACGCGGGAACCAAGATTTGACGAATGAGTGAATCGGCAACATATGAGTCCATGTCGAAGTCGTCCTTCATTATCTCTGCGTTGATTAGCTCACAGAGTGAAGCGTTCTGTTCAACAGCTTGGATGATGACAGTTGTAATGGCGTTGCAGAAGTTTGAGAGACTTGACGATTGTTCTCGGAAGTAGAAATGTGCGGCACACGTAAGTTTCGAAGTGTCGTTCATGGCTTCGTTAACCAGTCTTTCGTAGACAGTGAGCCCGATGTGACTTTTTCCAGTGCCGGGGTCTCCTGTGATGGCCAGAGTCAAGTGGTCGGTTTGGCCCTGCTTCAGCCACTCGTCCCACGCTGGTTGCAAAAACACCCAAGTACAGGTGTCCTTGACAAGTGTTTCCTTCAAGACGTGGTACTCATGATCTTCACCCTCAACCTCTACCAGGATGTTGCGGATCCTCTTCGCAGATGGTGGCTTATTCTGCTCCGCCGCCTTACCACGTTGGTCGTTGCCACGATCCTTCTTTTCTTCGCGCTTTTGGTCGTTGAAGGCTTTCAGCAACTTCGCCATGTCACTTTGGATCATCTCGGTGGTGTTACGAATCGAGCTCATGACCTGCATCTGCTCCTCCAGCATTGCAGTGTGTGTGTTTTGGTTAGTCAACAACTCTGTGCTCATCTTCTGGAGCTCTTCGGTGTTGCCGAGGATTGCAAACTCTGTCGCTTGCTGGAGACGTCGAATCTTGAGATCCATGCCTTTACGAGCGCCGCCAAGCTCGCTATCCTCGCCCTGAAGAAGGTTACTGATCCACTTCTCTATTGAAAGGTTAGGAACCTCAAACCAGTGATTGATATCATTTCCATCTCGCTCATTGACTCACTGAAACGGCCTAGCTCGATGAACTTGTGCGCAAAGCCACACATGACTAGGAAAGACGTGAAAACATCCATGAGACAATTTTGATAACCCTTGTGTTTCGGGAGTCTAGTCTCAAGAATCGTGATACGCTGCAAAAAGCTATTCATGTCTTCAAAGAACACCATCACGATGTCATAGTCTGCCGAGACTTGGCGGCATGCCTGGATCCTGATGAGCTTGGTCACAACATCAAATGACGGAGAACACGACTCACGCTTAGCATAATGGTGACCGCGGTGCCAATGGCTGCAGCCGGAGGGAAAGCTGGGACAGCTGCCGCGACGAGCTGCTGTGCGCCCTTTTCGATGTAATCGAGATTGGCGGCAAACAGACCTCGCAGTTTGTCCACTTTCTTGTCGTTGTGGCGGAACTTGTGGAAGTTCTCCATCTCGTGGGTGCCTTGAGCGATCATCGCCTGAACGTTATCGAACTTGCGCTCGAGGTCAAACCCCACGATGCCTTTGTAGGCTTTTAGAGCCTCTTTCCACAGGTCGGAAACATCGCGATTGTCGTTCTTCACGGCTTCCGACACCTCTTTTTGGGCTGCGCTGACTGTCATTGGTAAATCTGCTCCAACACAGCTCTTCGTTGTGCAGAGTGGGTAAAGATTGAGGATTCCAGTTGAATAGTTGAACTGAGAACGGGGACTCACTCCATATTTGTAGAAGGTATTCATTCAAGCAATCGAACTACTCACAGGAAGCAATTAAGTTGGGGGCGGTTTCGAAGCTAGACAGGGCCAGTATGAGCGCGTCGTCGCTTCGTTAGTTGAAAGATGGCGCTGATGGTGGCTCACGAATATGCAACTCATGCTGACATGCAGCATCAGCTGAAGCTCAGAGGTCAAACCGTCGCCAATCCTTCTACCTAGTCACGCTTATTCCAGAAGTGGACTAACACAACCCGGTCGATTTTCGTCGCCAGATACGACTTTCCGTTCAAGGCAACCCTGCTCCAAATCTGTTTGCCCTCGACCGAAACTACCTTAAGTATTATTCAGTACGACAAGACCGCCGACCTACTGAATATTGAATAAGCACATCGACTCTCTGTGGCAGTAATTTGCAACAGAGACTGACAACAGACAAGCACCTCTCTTACTCCAGGAATAGTGCACAGAAGCCCATAATGATGACCAAGAATGAGTGTTGCAGTTCAAGTCTGCTAATAGTATCTTACTGTCATAATACTATCGTCCGGTGTATCGTGTAACCGGCGGGCCAGCAAGGAGACATTCTTGTTTTGAGGGTTCGAGGTGCGAACTATTGGTGTTTCCAGTATCTGCTAGATTGCACAACCATGATTTTGCCCTCGACATTAACTTCAAAATTGTGCACCTACTTATTATCCTGTAGATATGTGCTAGTTGTTGTCGAGGAACTATAGCCCATTAAAGGCTGCGATTCTGTTGTAGACTCCTCTCCTGAATCCTCAGCCGTACCAAGTTCAAGCGAAATATCAGAATACGATGCCAAGTAGCGATAACAATTTCTTTGTTTTCGGTACATGAGGTCTTTGCTGCTTTTTCAAACAACATCTCATCGTACGAACTTGGCTCGAGTCTCCAGTATGAATGAGGCATAGAGGAACAAACGAAGCTCACTTACCTAGTCTTCATGGGTCGATCGCCTGGGGACGCAGCTCAGACGCTAATAAATTCCGCTGAAGAACGTTACTCTCATGGATCGAGAAATCGAGCGAAGCAAACTTTCTGTCCACTCATCGCCTAGCTATACTGGTGATGAGAGAGCTGCCCATCAGGAGGTCTCGTGAAGCAACTTGACGATCCCGGACACGGGCCATCCCCCGCGCGTTCCACTTTGCCAGATCGAGTGGAACGGGCAAGTAGACCCGATCATCCAGCTAAATGAAGTTGCGCGTTGTTACTGAAAGTAGACTCAAAGTCCGCATTACGATGCCCATGTAGAGTTGTACCAAAGACGGAGCCTTATTAGGGGTCCAGGGCGACCCGGATAAAATGCCGAGTATTTCCTCTTATGCTCCGACGGCTGATTGAATGCGAAATGGATTTCGTATGGTTGGCGGGACTTTTATGCTCTTCCCTGCCAACGGCTCGTCCGCGAAACTTAAGTATTTGATTCAAATTAGTACTTAGGTAGGTAAGTACCGGAACATAATAACTTACAACACATGAATTTAGAGTACCGAGGCCATGCCTTTGATTTGTGCATTTGAGTAAGATCGCACTCGCGTGTGCCAGGTTGACTCCAGATGGAGATGGATTGCGAGGTCTCAGCATAGTAAGTACCTAAAGTGGCAAGGGGGCAGCATGTACATCGCCCTGATGCTTCAATGTTCCCAGATGTTTCAACCTGAGACCATAAGACATAGTATTCGTGTTCATAATACTGGATCTTTAGCAGACCAAGTCGAGACCCTGTAGGAATAGCTCTCGGTATTTGTGACGGTTCCGGTCCCGGGTACGAACCCGCGTATTGTTCGCTCTGCCAGGGCGGGGATGATTCGTCATCTATCTCCGCGCAATAACTCCGCAACCATCATGGCAGCTGAGTTCATCTCAACTAATTATAAGAGGCCGAGAAATCTGAATTTTAGAACCAACATGTCATCTAACGGAAGCACAAACTGATACTCATCGACACGATGATTGACATGACACGGAGTGCAGAGCTCTTGAGCTCCGGGCTTGTCTCTGCCCCTATCACTGTAATCCTCCTCGTAAGTAGGATCCGTACTTTACCTAGGTAGTATTCACAGAACATTCATTGACAGCTAATGGATTGAATCTTGAGCAGTTAGTCTTCTGGAGAGCCTGGATCATTGTCTACCAAATCTTCTTCCACCCCCTTCGAAAATACCCCGGACCAATTCTCTATGCGGCCTCGCGCCTTCCTCAACTTTCTCACTTCAGTCTCGGAAGCTCGCATAGCATGGGTGTTCGTCTACACAAGAAGTACGGGCCGATAGTACGCATTGGACCGAATCAACTCAGCTACATCGACCCTGGAGCATGGAAAGACATCCAAGGACACCGGGTCGGTGGTCGTGGCGGGTTCCCTAAAGACAGGGCGCTCATGGGCCACCAAGTGCACTCTGATATCCTGCATGCAGATGACGCAACGCATACACGACAACGCCGTATTTTCTCTCACGCTTTTTCTGAGAAGGCTTTAAGAGAGCAAGAATCACTCATTCGTGGATACACAGACCTCTTGGTATCCAAGCTAGGAGAGAAGGAGTCCCAGCGAGATGGGCAACCAAGGGATAACGCGAAGACTGTCGACATAGTGAGGATGTACAACTTCATCACCTTCGACATGATGGCCGATCTCACCTTTGGTGAACCACTAGGGATGCTTCAAGATGGGGACTATGTGCCCTGGGTAAGCAACATCTTCTCGAGTGTCAAATATATGATCATGGGAACCTTCTTGCGGGTCTACCCAATTTTCGGACTTCTATTCGCTCCACTGCTGTCGAGTTCCCTGAAAGCAGAGATGGAGAAACACACAAAGTATTCCAACGACAGGGTAGATCGCCGATTACAGTATGACAAGGACAGAGGGGATATCTGGAGTCTCGTTCAACGAAATGTTGACCTCAACAACATCTCCCGAGGGGAGATGTACGCCAACGCCCAAATCTTTATGATTGCCGGAACGGAGACAACAGCTACGCTATTGAGTGGACTTACATTTCTTCTATGTCACAACGCCGACAAATTGAGGAATCTTTCTGAAGAGATTCGGTCGCTTCATCTTCAGGACCTGAACATCATCAACCTGCAAAAGCTTCCTTATCTCAACGCGTGTCTGGAAGAGGGACTTCGCATGTACCCCCCGGCTCCGGGTGTGGTGCCTCGGGTGGCTCCTCAGGGAGGATCAACTGTTTGCGGGCAATTTGTCCCAGAGGGAGTAAGAAGCCACATCGTCTCTGCACATTCATGCTCACTATCGCTAATATGATTATAGACGGCTACAAGTGCCGCACAGTACGCAGCTTACACTTCGACCTAAAACTTTGCTGATCCGCATGATTTTGTGCCTGAGCGTTGGCTTGCTGAACCGCCCGAGAAGTACGCAAACGACAACAATGATGGTATTCCTTTCACAGGGAATTTGGTTCGAACCGTAGGGTCCTGGGGGTGACGAAGTATCAATATCTCTGTATTGATTGATTCTGCGTAAGGAGTAGAAGGGAGATTCCAACCGGAGGTTGGGTGGACCGTCGAGGTGTAATTGTACCCTCTCGAGGTGGCCCCTGCTCTACCCTTATGTTTGTTTGTTTGTTTTATATTTATACCCTTACTCACGGTCAAATTGGGCTTCCAATCCGACAAACATCAAGAAATCGAAACTTGCCTTTTATGTTCCCTTACTTGCGTTCTCATCAATAGAATCCCAGCTGCCTCATCTGGAGTCGGTCGTGAAATCACTAGAACTGAGGGTGTCATTTCGTTTTGTGAAGGGCTTCGCGTTTACGTATCAGCTACAAGTTGCATCCATAGTATCGAATTCTGAGTTCCAAGAGAAATAAACCAAGTAGTGAGCTTCCTCGGGGTTTTTGGTCACTCGCTGAAGCTCTATATCATCTTGAGTATCACAGTATGCAGCACGATGGGGTCAAGTTGGGCTCTGATGGCTCAAAAGGCGCCGTCACCGGTCAAAGTTTAGTCCTCACGGCCTCGCCAAACTCTGGCAACGCACATATACTCTCTATTTCCAGTTACTTAGGTATCTATGATTGATTGATTTCTTTCTATCTATCATCACCTTATCAACGCCGAGAGCTAACTCGGTCGCTGGCTCTTGGCATCAAAGATTAAGACAGCAATCAATTGTTCAGCGAAGACCGATTATCCTGCACCTACACCCTCATCTCTTGAAAGATTGTTACCCGTTTATGTGGCGCAAGATTTACTAATACATCGGTTGATAAAATGTTGTGACGGGTATGCCCAGTGCATTCGACTTTGATGATACTTCGTCATACCAAAATGGCATCGAAGGGTACAACTCCTTCCACACTCTCCTATAGCAGTGAATGTGAAGCTGCTCGCGATCCTTAAATCTTCTCTCCGCGGGCCCACGTTCGATTCTCTCGGCCTCCGCAAAGAATCTCATGCCATTCTCTTGCTTCCGGTTGATCGCGTCGATTTTGCGCCGGGGAGAAAACCGAAAAAGTGCCCAGCATGGAGCGTTATTGTAGTTGTCAATAATAGTCGTTTTTTCTTTTTCCCACGCCATACGACTTTCATTTCGGCAGCGGAAGTATTTGACTTTGATTTCGTTTATCTTTGATTCGAACTTAATGTGAAGGTTACAAAGACCTCTGCGTTGTTTGGTCTCTAGGGTTGAGGGTGTTATTTCGAGGGCAATGTCGGCTTCAGGTTCTGACCTTGACGGCGAGTCGGATGCAAGTTGTTCTTCGATAGGACCTTCTTGAACTACGCCATCGTTCATAGAAAGCTGGTCGCTGATTTGTGTGAAAGACATCGGCCGGTGCGGCACGGTCCATGGACGAGCACCGCTTCTAGTTTCTGGGTACGAAGACATGATGCAAAGTGTTTTGAGTACGTATTGATGTCATACAAGCAGATGAATTCTGGGGGGGTTAGGAGGATATTGCATTCACGCGAAGGTCGATAAGATTTCCATACATCCTTATGGCGAAGCCATCTCCGATATCCTGGAATTTTCAAGTGTGCCGAGACCTATCTCCGTCACTTGTGAACCTCGATGGTGTTCGCCTAAGACTGCAGCAAATGGTCGAACTTATGGTTTTTCAAGGTTCCCATATCAAATATGAATGCACGGATATAGAAATGGTCTCATCAAGGTTCCGCAAAATATTACTGACTTCTTGTAGTGTAAAGTTCTCTTGATCCATATCAAAATCGACTGTAGCGCACTTACACCATACCTCCATCTGAGCCATGAACCTCCAGTGGCATGCTTGATATATCTCAAGTACAACTCAAAATGCTACAGCGATGAAACTTTTAGATGCGTACGCACTGCAAGATTGAAGAAGCATTCATTCTCAACACCATTAAGTGACAGTCATATTTCAAATGCTAGTCCATGCCTGTTCTTTCGCAAGGACAAACTTACGGGGATGCTGTTTGGTGTCTTGGATCTCTAGGAGTGTATATGCCCGGCTTATTAAAGTAACTCAACCTTGAGTGGAAGCAACAACTAACATAACGTCATCGTCTGCAGAGTCTGACAACCCAGAGTCCAGCTGCACCCGTGGAGCATCCAACCATCGTTCTGCCAATGTCTTTCCAGTGCTGGACCAACCCCTGTTTACCGAGGTAGACAATGCAAAGATAGACTCGACCAAGACGATTTCAAATCCAGCATCCAGGCCACCGACAGTGGCGTGTGAAATAACCGGTATCAAGGTCCTAGGGCAGGCCAAGTTTGTGTTCGAGTCGGGCTTCAGTGGGAAACTTTCTGATGTCGTCTGAGGATTACTCAACGATTTCGAAACCACGCCGCTGGCGCCCGCGGAAGACAAGACCAAGGTAGAAAGCTCTTTCTGTAAAATCCCTTCGGCAGAGCCCAAGCTGGCGTCTTTCGGAATCTCGGAGATGACAGGCAGAGGCAACCCGTCAGTCTGGCCTCCCTTTTTGCGGCCGGAGATGGCGAAACCGCCCTCAATAGTGTGTAACGTCTTGAGCTTTTCGTGCACCTTAATTCTGTGTACCCGAACATGCCAGTCCGGCCATTGGTCAGACGGCGGGATCAATGTGGTGTCTACACTGACGGCTCTGTCACCCCATGGGTACCACTTTGCGCTCGCTGCTTGTACTTCTTGTGTACCAGAAGCTGTCTGTATGAACGCAGTCGAGAAGCGCACTAGATCCGATTTCCACTTTACCGCCCACGTCTCTCCGCCGTCCCGGCTCAGAGCAAGAGCATTATCGGGGGCAATTTGCTGGATAAGCGGGCCCGTTGGTACGGAGAATGTGAACGCGGATGAGTATGCGAATTTGCAGTACTTGGCTTGGTTGGCCTTCATGGGCCATGCTACGAATTGTCCTGGCGAAAGGAGGAAGTGATGGTTGCTCCCAGGATGGTTGCACACGATTTGCTGGGGGGCTGGGACGAGGGCGATCGAGTCTGTTGAAGAAAACGTGGGGTATGGCTCTTCCTCTGCAATCCAGAAGTCGTCATTCTCCGCAAGACCAACCGCAACAAGGGTCTTCAAACACCAGTAGGGAGACTGAGGTGAGTTGTAGTCTTCACACAAAAACATGTTCCTAAGATAGATGATTAGAGAAGTTTCCTGGATTGAGACCAAAGTCTAAGAACGGCCCAGGGGCTGGGGTAAGACAACTCACGGATATAACCAACCAATATTCATGGTACCATCAGGATAAAATACACCATCGGAGTTGCTTGCCCACCACCTCAGATGCCTCAAAAGAAAACCTTTGATAGCGCCAGGGGTATCGAGAGGCTTTGGCATATCGGGTACCTTTGCAAGAGCTATAGCAGCGAAATATCCTCCGCAGGCGAAGCGATAGGTCAGAGACCGACCAAATGGTATGGCAGAGCCTTGAACATCTCAGTCTCGGTCTTCGGTACAATCGGAATCCTGAAAACTCACCTTCAGAGTCAAAGTATCGCCAGAAAGTGGCACCAAAGTCTCTCGCTCTTTGGCGGTACTTCTCCACTCGTTCAGGGTCGATATCGGCAGCGAATCGAGAATAGAGCAGCTGGCTGAACTGGATTGCAAAGCTACCAGAGTAGTAGTCGGCCTGTCTGCCAATTCCTATCGCGTCACGCCTTCCAGTCTTTTCGAACTGCTCGAACTCATCCTGAGCCTGCTCCGGCGTTTGCCAGGGACCGTCTGCCGACCAGCCATCGAATCGGTAGAAGCTATCCAGGAGGGCCAAGTCTGAATTAATCTCATCGCGAACAGTCTCATACGGCACACCGCAGACTTTGAACAGAGCTAAGTTTCCAAACACCCTGAACCAACGCCAGTTGTTCTTTGGCATTTCCATTCCGTTCAAAGACCGGAGCCAGTTGGTGATGTTCTCTTTTGACTTGTCGCTCAACGGCTTGAAGATGCGATCAGGCGCGGAAAGAAGAGCAAATGCTACAATCTCGGCCTCTACCATCCGCTGATCTGGGCCAGTGATTGGTCCCCAGTACTCCGGGTGCTCTGGGTCGGTTCCTGTGACGAAGCCGTCGATCCATGGCTGGACTACTTCGGTGATTGCAGCGGACAGTGATGGATCTGAAGTGGCATCAGCTCCAAGGAGTAACGCGCCTACAGCCCATAACGGCCGGGCGAAACCTTCGAGCTGGGCAGCTGTTTCATCAAAGTGCGTTGCCGAAGTCACCGGAATTCGGATCCGGCCCTTGGACGGGGAGAAGTGGGGTAGGAGGGGCCGGAGGAGCGCGAGCGTAGCTTGGACCAAGTCCGCCCTGGTTCGGAGGGCGTTGTTGGAGAATCCTGACAGGGGTGGCATTGTGAGAGATGTTCGCGAACACGCAAGATGACTTGTGTGGAATGGAAGTGCTCGGATTCTGCCTCGAAACTCATCGGCTGGTCTTATTTTGTCTCGCGATGAATTCTGAGGCCATTGGTTCCACTGTGGCTTCGCTGGATGCGTCGGATATCGGGGGATTTGTCGGATAGCCTGCCGGGATGCATTTGATGCGCCGGCCAGAGAAGGCTGGAAAGATGTCATAGTCGCGACACTGCAATCCTTCAGGCAGTGTCAAACGTACATAGAGTTATTAATGAGCCAGCAGAAGTAGTTTCGAATGACTCTGGCTATACCTTTACAGCATGTGATACACACAAGCTACTGTACTCATGTTCGACATGGTTTTTCTACATCTGAACCAAACACGCGGGTAGTGATGATCTCCTCGTCAAGATTGGCAGGAGAAGCCAGGTGTACCCTTTCTTCCTCCCTTTGCATGATTTCGGAGTCTTACTGAGCATGCGACCATGAACATGCAGCAAATTCTTCGGTGATTTTTCACCTCGTAAGAATGCGGCCAGCCTCTCTAAGACGTCGAATGGAGAAACGACGTGCGCTCTCTTCAGTATTGAGTACTTATGTGACATTCTGAATAAGGAGTTCGTCGTCCTGGAGACTATTAACTGACCACAGACGCATGGGTCAGCTTGATGTCTCCCTGTTATGATACGGCCATCGGCAGCTGAATATTTCTTGCAGCTCTTCGGGGATTTTTCCATGCAATATTCTGCAGGTACCCGAGTCCCTGGCGCTCTCAAGATTGTTGGCCATGAGATCATGTTTCCTGTGTCACATGCATGCGCAAACTATCGGGGTTGAAGCTATTCCACATGGGTACGGGGTACATGAGAATGAGAGCTGGGCCCAGGCTTTCATGGTTGCGCTCGAGGATGACATTCTCCGCGCCATAACTTTTCGGGACCCTTGTTCGACAAGTTCTTCACGTCGAGCGAATCTGAACCTTGCAGTCAAGCAGATACAGGCGCGACAGATCAAGTTCCTCGGACTGTAATGAAGCGGCCACGATAGTCGGTCCATCATCAGTATTACCCAAATGTGTAATCCGCGCACCAAAACGAAGATACTGTAGGACGTATTCAGAGATTGTCCGACATGAATGATTGAGAACAAGGTATTTTCAGAAATACGCCTTGTCCAAGACCACGTCAGCGCAGCAGTTTAGCTCTTCCGACGTGAACCTGAGAAATGCGAAAATACAACTGAGCACCGGGGGTTTTGGACTTCACGCTCACTCGAGTTCCTTCTCGAATTCTCTCTTGCTTTCCTTCGTGGCTTCATCAACAAGACGCCGTGTTTAATGTTATACCCAGCTGTAGCAAGATCGCAGCCATGCCGAAATCATCCTTGCCCTAAATTCTTTTCGTGATTACTTAACTCTTTCTGCTTAGACAAGTGAGAGCCGACTAGCCCTCGTGTGGTGCCGGGCATCGGCTCAAAGGAGCCCGCGAGCGCTAGTGACGCACTATGGGCTTCCTCCAGTTTCTCCGCACCAACCTCGTTCCACCAAGTTGACCACCCCATGTTCCTCACCCCCGGTCTCGATATCTCCAGAGTGCGGGGGAAACTTTCCGCCTCCTCTTTGCTCGTCCGCTTGTGGGAAGGTGGATCGTGGTCAGGGGGTGGGGAGGGGGGGCAGCAGACTGAGTTCAGGAATTAGAAGAGCTTAGTGTAGAGAGTTGATGCCGTTGCCCCAAATCCCTCGGTCAATTCGAACCGAGAGCACCCCGGACGGTTCCCCTCCCCACAGCCACCCCCAACTTTCGCACCTCATAAACAAAGGAATCCTCTTTTGATCCCCTCTTGCATCGTCGCTTCGCACGATTCCATGGCCGACGATTGACACGTAACCGACGTTGAGAGGAGCCACACGGAGAAGCGCCCGCGCCGCTCGCACAAACGCCCTTGTCTGCGGCGTTCATCGGATCTTTGACTCTCGGTCACCCGCCGATCGGACCGGGCTCTCTCCGGGACGCCGCCGCCACCGCTGCTGTCAGCCTGCTGCTGAGCGCCGATCACTCGAGCCGATATGGATCTGACCACACCGGCGCCGGCTTCGGGATCGCAGCCCCCTGATGGCTCTGACGGCGATATTCCGTCCTGCCAGGGCTGTCGGCGCCGCAAGCTGCGGTGTTCCCGCGACCAGCCGATATGTTCGCACTGCAAGCGGTTGGGTAAGTTTCCAATGTGCCGTACTCATGTCGAAATGGACGTAGATAGGCATACTGATTGGATAGACTCGCCATGCGTGTACGATTTGAAGAAGAATAAGCCGGGTATCAAGCCAGGGGCGGTTGAGAGTCTGAATCGCCGAGTGGGTGAGTCTCACCCGAATCGGGAACCCTGCCATTTGAGCTCAACATTGACTGTAATGAAGAGGTTTTGGAGAATGCTCTATTGCAAAAGTCTAGTGAAGGATCCTACCCGACTTCAAATGACAACGGCAACACAGAGTCGCACAGCGCGCCGGCCGAGGCCCAGAATGTGGTCGGAATTCTCTCCTTGTTGGCGCGTGAGCTTCACAAACTCAATTCGAAGACCAAAGCTGGCTCTCAAGCCGGCACACCTGAAGGGGTAGCTGAGCATCCCGTGTTCTCTCCAACGACGTCTAGTTCTTCCAGACGAAACACCATCGATGGGATTGAAATTGTCTCACATCCGCACAATCAACCAAGAAAGCGTCGTAGGGTCGATAGCTGCGGCAACCCCAACATCGATTTGGCCTTCCCCTTAGAGGATCTGGAAAACATCACGACAAGCCTGCCATCGCCTGAACTCTTGGAGGACATCATCAACATTCACTTCAACATCATTCAGCCCTGGATTCCCATACTTCACGAGACCCAATTCCGGAGGAGGGTGCATGACCCGGAACAGCTGCCCCGCTTGGTGGTCGTTCTCCATGCCATGGTAGTTGCAGCCCTTCGATTCGTCGACAACTCGGAAATCCGACTGTCAGCACTCGAAGTAGAGCGCCGGACATCACGGTCAAGAAACATTGTCATACTCAACGCAATGGATCACCTATCGGTCGAGAATCTGCAAGCGCTGGTCATTCTAGCCTTCAACGATGTGAGTGCTGCTTGAAGCCCCCGCGTCGAGGTGTTGCCGATCCGCATTGCTAACACTCTCAAGATCGGAAACGGAGACGCGTCGAAAGCTTGGTCAATCGTCGGCTCTCTTACAAGAACCGTCGAGTACCTTCAAATGAGCATCGAAGCTGATCACCAAGATAAAGAACCTCTTCTGAAGCCATTACCGTCAATACCACCGCCCCAAAATTGGACCGAAGAAGAAGAACGGCGGCGAGTCTTTTGGAATATCTTCAACCTTGACAGGTGAGCATCTCCAAATCAGATTTTGTGTCACTGCAATATTAAACATTCCTCTTTAGATTTTGCTCAGTTACGACAGGGTAAGGCCTTGCATAAATACATGTAAAGGCAAGATAGCGAAGCTGACTTTCACAGATGGAATACAAGTCTGACATCCGACGATGTTTACCGCAGACTTCCTGCCGACGGTGGCCTTTGGCATAAGGAAGAGTCGGTGATCACTCCCTTCTTTGGCATTTGGGATCGATCAGCCGCCAAGATGGGCAACTCCATCGCCTTCTTACCAGCACATTACCCCAGTCCGGAGCAGACGGCTGATGCGCCACCGCAAACTCCTATCACTGCTCATCCTCGCAAAGGTCCCAACACCGTCGACATGACGACAGTCGGGGCCTTCGCATACTGCATAGAAGCGACCGAGTCGCTCAGTAGAGTCACGACTTACTTTCTTCAGCAGAAGATCAACTTCCAGGATAGACAGGAAGTTAGCAGCTGGCTTACTCGATTCAAAGAGTTGGACCTGCGTCTAGTGCAGTACGTATGGAGCCGCGCCATCAGGGGTTCTTCATGCTGACAAGACTTTAGCTGGAAGATGTTCCTGCCTCAGAAGTGGAAGGACTCCAACATCTCTCGCCAACCCGCTCTCATCAACATGGACCCCAACCTTACGCTCGCACACATCACCCACAACACCTCAATGATTTTACTCCACCAACGCATAGCTTATCCAGAGCCTCGATGGTCTAATATCGTAAAGCTCCCTAGCTTTTGTAGCGCTGAAACGTGCCAAGAAGCGGCAGTCGAGACAACAACCATCACGGAGAAGTACTTGAAGTACACTCCCGAAAACAGCCCAGCTACCAGCCAGTTCGCCTTTTGCGTCTTCATCAGCGCTCGAGTACTCCTCGGTAAGTAGACATCGAGTTATGTGAAGTGCAACACCGTGCTAATGCTTCCTAGTCCACTGGCGATACTACGACGCTGAGCTTGCTCCAGAATTCTGGACCCTAGTTGAGAGCATGGAAGAGATGGCCAAGCGCTGGGTCGGGCCCATCCTCAAAGAAAAGCACGCACAGTGTCTCGCTGGCAAATATGCTGCGCAGCTCCGCGACCTCCATCGCAAGTGCCAAGCAGATCCTCAATTCACCGTTGATGTGCTAGGCTACTCCAGCGGTATCAGCGGACAGGGCTGCAGTCCTGCTGCTCAGACGCCGGCATTCAGCCACCAGCAGGGAAATGCTTTGTTCGCCCAGAGCTCCATCAGGAGGGCGCCACCTGCTTCAAGTCCATTGGCACCGAGCCAGACGACGGCATTGTCGCAGCCTCGACCGCCACCTATCTTCCAGAATCAGCAGTCGCAGGGTCAGATGAGGCAGGGCTCGATGATGGGCCCTATGGGATCACCCATGCCGATGACTGGGTTCACTCCAAGAGATTCGGATGCGCCTGATGAACTCTCTGCTATCTCGCACATGCTGATGGATCAGAGATTCATGGAGATGGACAGGATCATCAGCTTCGATGACATGATGTTTACAGCGCAAACGGCGAACAGCGGCAATGCATCCATGCCAGTCAACGGCTGGGGACCTGTTGATAATTCACAGCTGGAATGAAAAAGGGTTGAAGGCGGGAGTTCGCATGCGAAAAACGATTTCATATTCTATTCGTGATACCCTCATTTAGCCTGTACATACACAAAGTACTATGAATTACACCAATCCCATCTTCAGCAGTCTGTTGCCGAACTCAATCAAGTAGTAGTCACCGTAAACCAAGCCGTGGTCCCAGTATCTCTTGTGGTCCCGCGTGTTGTGGTTCGCCGTGGCGTTCTTCAAGATGGCGTCAAAGGTCTTGCCCTCCTCAACGTCCGCAGTCGATATCTCGCCATTGCTGAACACGAACTTGGCCTTCTCCGTCGCCAGCGAGAAGTCGAGGGTATCCTTCACGATGGTGATAGCCATGTCCCGGTACCTCGCGCTTTCCTTCGCGAGACCCTGTCCTGCCAAAGCCTGGGACAGAACCAGCATGCCGTTGGCGGCGATGATACCGGCAGATGAGTCTCTCAGAGGGAACTCCTTGTTCTCGATCGGCGCATCAAAGTCCCAGAGCGGAACGTATCGGCCCTTGGTTCTGTTCTCGCCCTCAACGGGGAACTCGACGGACTTTGGTGACGTCTCCAGCCGCATGATGAAGTATTCTGCCAGCCCACGGGAAACCTCCAAAAACTCCACATCGCCGGTCCATAGGAATGTCTGAGCGTAGCCGAGAACGCCCCAGGCCTGGCCTCTCGCCCACGTTGACTCGGCGGCGTATCCCTGACCCGTTCTTCGCTCCTTGATCTCGCCGTCCTTGGGGTTAAAGTTTACGACGTGAATGTTGCTGTACATGTTCTCTTTGATGAGTCCTCTCGAGTCCTTTTCAACGCGGAGGTTTGACTTGATCAACGTCTTGGCGTGTTTTGTGGCAGCGTCCCATAGTTCCTGCTCTCCGGTATGAGATGCAGCATAGTAAAGCAAGTCCAAGTTACACATGGAGTCGATAATCACGAGGAAGTCGTCCGTCTGACTGGTAATGGTGACTCCGTGCTGTGTTAGCACGTCCCAGGACCGGATTGCTCCGACGGTCGAGTTGTACCGCGTGTAGAGAGCCTTCGCCGCGGTGATGATAGAATCCAGAGCCTGCTTGTCTTGGGCAACCTCCCATCTGACTCTCATTGACGGCTGGATCATGAATGACATGTCGTGTGTATCCGTGCGCTTTGCTGTGGTGTGGAGGGGTTCTGACCATGAGGCACCAAGCGACCATAGCTTAGACAGCAAAGCTGCCTTGTCTTGCCCACCGGGCATAGTGTGAGGGAACTTGACCAGTCTCTCAATGAGGGAGTAGATGTTGCCCGGGAAGAAACCACACGTCCAGAAGTCGGCCTCTCGCAAGATGTACTTGCCGGCTTCCGGGCCCGTCTGGAGGACGTACTCTGGGTACGCCAATGGGGGATCCTGGACGTTGTAAGAAGCTGACGTCTCATGGTGAGAGCATTGCCACTTACATTGTTGACAAGTGCATCTGCAGCTGTCCTGAAGATCTTGGCAGTGACGTTCTCCTCGAACAAGCCCCCGACTTGTTCTCGAATTGGCTTTGATTGCGCCATCTTCCGTCTCAAGGTAGTGACAGACCGGCCTCCTGATTCTGAAATGCTAGTATCGCTATCAGCATTGAGCTCGGTGGTGCTGTCAGACTCGGCATAAGTCACGTTCTTCGGGGAAGAGACGTCATCCACCGGGATGAAGCTGTGTCCACTGAGATGCGCCATATCGATAAAGAGGATTTGAGATGTTTGACTCTAACAGACACAAAGTCGTTGAAATATTCACTTACGAACTAGGTGACCCTGGAACACTCGGGGCTAGAGTCTTATAAGGACTTGTGTGAGATGGAATGCCTTGAAAGTAAGCGGAAACTCTGTGCTGGCACCAAGTGAAGGAAGCACGGTGATTTCGGCCTGTCGCTCGGGACAAGACGTTGTGTTCTTCGCAGCGGAATTGCGGCGAGATTCAAGATTGAGGCGTTCGGTCGAAGCGTCGGGTAACCAAAGTCTGGTTGGAGCGGTAATCGGGTGATGGTGCAGTCTCCAAGCGGAGGACTTGTCGTCCGGACGATCGCCCGATGCCCGAAGTCGAGATCTTGACAGCTGTGATTCTTCCGACTTGGCTTGCTGGAAGTCTAATCTTATTGCGAAAACATTGCCATCACGTTCTTGAGCTTATATAAGCGGTCATCCTCGTTATTGTTACAAGCTTGGCGATGCAAGACAATAGTTTTGATCTCCAGTGAAACTGTACGACACAGGCTGCTTGGCTGCCTACCGATCGTCGTGGAACCTCCTCACTCTGCTGCACGACCATCTGTAGGACCATTTGTACGACTTTGAAGAACCGAAGTCCTCGTTGCCATCTAGAGCGTGAGAGCTCGAAGGCTGAGATATCTGCAGTTCAATTGGGCGACCGTCCCTCTTGCAGTTCGTCTCGGTCGCAATTGCTGCTCACGTGCAGGTTTCGCTGAGTATCGGACTCTCGGTGTTATCCCCGCGAACGCCCCTCGCCTCCAAGCCGCATAGACCGGCATCTCCATTGGCAGAGCGGATTGGCATGGCTGAAGAACACGAGAACCAAGCTGTCGGTACAACTTCCCATGGAGTGCATACACGGATAGCCTCCGCGGTTGGTTGAGGTTCCAAGACCGCAGCAATGGTTTGACTCAAGTAGGTGCAGAACTCCAAGAGCTAGAGAGATAGCAACCCCGAGGCGCGACGGCAGCTCCGGGTGCCTGTCAGCAAGCCCGGAAACCACGCATTGAATCGGTTCAGGCCAGTTGCGCGGCTAGATAACAGCACATGGGACATATCATGGTCCTGGATATTCTCGTTATCCACCCAAACAAGTCCAAACAGCCGGCAACGGCAATGTTACCCGACAACGTGGTTCATCTGATATGGGCCATTCGTGCTGAACCCCTGTGACGTGAGCAGCAGTTCGGCTTGGCGGCTCGGTGGGAGTCTGGAGATCTCCACGTCCTCCACGCCATGCTGTAGGGCTGAGCAGTTCTTTCACCTTGACGCAACGCTCGAAAAAGATACCAACGTCGCGATGTCTTCGCACGCACCGCGCTGTTATCAGGCTTGTCCGGAAAACCCTCACAGGCTGACGAAAAGTTTGTCAGTTAGCTCATTTCAATAATCCCGCTCATCGTCACGAATGTTACCCCAACCAGCTAGAAGAGATTAGTTGACCCCACAAAGTGGATGTTGCACGACGTCGCGGACGCCGTCGCCAACACCCGCGTAGACCTCTCTCACCTTGGCAAAGCCCAGTATCTACCAGACTGAGGTTCTCAGCACCGGTAAGCGAGTAGGAAGAACCATGATTAGCTAAAATGAGGTAAAGCAAGAAGTTGGCAGAGCGTCGGCGAGGCCTCTGCCCAATCGCCGCCAACTTGTTTATAACGCGGCAGCGGCCCGGTCGCCGTGGAAAATGGATGGCTTCCTCCGTTCCCCAGCTCTCGGCCCGTTCTTCACTGCCGGCAATCATACCCTCACTTTGGTCTTTTCTGGCTAGCTGCAGCTCTATTCAGTTACTAGCTTCATCACCAGTATCGTCAACATGAAGACCTCTATGAACCCCATCGTTGCCTCGCTCGGGCTGGCCATCGCCCGTGGCGTCGCGAATGCCGCTCCGTCGGTCTACGCCTCCAACCACACTGCCGGTCCCGAGTTGAAGCACTGGCCGGCCGAGGCGGCCAAAGCCCTCAACACCATGATCGCGGCCAACGCCAACCAGAGCCAATACGCCGTCTTTGATATGGACAACACCAGCTACCGCTACGATCTCGAGGAGTCGCTACTGCCGTACCTCGAGAGCATTGGTGTCCTCACTCGTGACACCATGGACCCGATCCTGAAGCTCATCCCGTTCAAAGACACGGCAAACCACACCGAGACGTTGTACAGCTACTACCTCCGTCTGTGCGACATCGACGATAATGTTTGCTACCCGTGGGCTGCCCAGATCTGGAGCGATATTCCCTTGAGGGAGCTGAAGGGGCACGTGGACGATCTCATGGCCCTGAACCGTACCATCCCGACCACGTACTATGAGGGCGACGTTATCACCCCTACCGAGATCAACCCTCCCAAGATCTTTACCGGCCAGGTTGAGCTCTACAACAAGCTGATGAATAACGGCATCGAGGTCTACGTCATCACCGCCTCTGCTGAAGAGCTGGTCCGAATGGTCGCTGCTGACCCTAATTACGGCTACAACGTCAAGCCTGAGAACATCATCGGTGTCACCAGCCTCATGAAAAACCTGACCTCCGGGGACCTCACTACTAGCCGCAAGCAGATCGATGACGGCACCTACGACGAGGAGGCCAACCTCGACCTCGTGATCACTCCCTACCTCTGGACTCCTGCTACCTGGAAGCAGGGCAAGTGGGCGGCTATCCTCACTTACATCAACGAGTGGCAGGGACCTATCCTGGCTGGTGGTGATACCCCTGCCAGTGACGGCCCCATGATCTTCCACGGCGTCAACGTTGCCAAGGGCGGTATTCACCTCTGGATCAACCGCAAAGACAGCGTCATGGCGACCATGAACGAGATGATTGTGAACAACACTGCTGCCCAGAAGGCGAACAACCTTCCCGTCACCGCGGACAAGAACTGGGTTATTGTTACTCCCACCGAGATTCAGTAAATTTGGGAAGAAAAGATAGATGCAGCCGCAAAGGCGTAACAGAACTAGATGATCAATGTAATGTTTTACCATGCCCAACCCTATCATCGTTCGTCTTCGGTACTTCTCAAGATCAAGTTTGTATTACATGTGGCGAATGCGACTACCAGAGCTCCGAGCCCAGAGTGAGATATTGCAGTCCCACGAACCGTCAAAGCCAACCATTACCCGTGAACTTCAGTAAGCACTTGTCTTTACTTCACAACCACCATATAGACAGGCTTTTACTCTCTACAATCTCAAGATCAACTCTTAACTGTTTAAGAGAGTCGACCCTGGGTCGGGCCAAAAGGCAAAACAGGAAGCGGTGCTTCTAAGGGCAAAAGTGTGGACGATCTGGGAATCGAACCCAGGACCTACCGCATGCTAAGCGGTCATTATACCACTAAACCAATCGCCCATCCTATGATCTAGCCCGGACTTGAACCGGAGACCTTCAGTGTTCCAGGTGAAGCGCAAGATGCGATCCCGATGTTAGACTGACGTGATAACCAACTACACCACCAGACCATGTGTTTGATGCAGGGATCCTGCGAATGAGGGACCAAGTCACTTGCGGGTCACTTATTGTGGGAAAGGTCCAATTTCTGTGGGGTTGACAAACTTCGATCCACTCGGAATCAGCCCAAGGCGGCCAAGCATCGTCTGTTTCTCACAAGATGGAGGCAGCATGTTTCTGGATGAAGTTAAGAGACGAAGTCAGTTTAAGAGCGATGCGTGTTGATAGAGTTTGAGATCTGTGCGGCGCTAGAGAGCTGTAAGCAGTTTCAAGAAGACTGTTCTTTTAAACGCCCAGCCCAGTCCAACCTTGCCAGGTCAAGCCGCCAGGGGTGACATGAAGAGCGGTCTAGACTTCTCGTGTTGCAATTTAGTCTCGCCTTGCTTCTCTTTCTCTTGGCTTATCCACACATGCAAGCCGTGCCCGGGTAAAGGACTGCAGACAAGGGACTGGGACAGATTTGCTCTGTGCCGCAAGCTAGACCAGGCAGGCCCACCTTGTTTGCTACATGTTTGCAGCTGAAGACAGCAATCCAACCAATGTCGCCGGGTCCGAAAAGGCGTCTTGCACGAATCCATCTTGGCCTGCATACTTTTTCATGGTTCTAACCACTGCCGAGGCCAGTCAAAAGGCCTCAACTTGCTGTTGGCTGTTAGATGGCGGATACGCCATGTTCCCATTCGTCAGCAAAACACCCGTTGTATAGCTAAAGCGCCATGGTGATGCTGTACAATCTGGAAGTGCTCGTGTTGGAAGCGCCGTTGGCATTTAATCTAATTCTTCCTGCGTCCTGTTCAGAAAAGACGGCGGAGTTCCCTTGTAGTCTTGGTCGTTTCCCCCTCACTCCTCTTGTGAAAACTCAACTTTTCGGGTATCCTCTTCCTGGAAGCTCCATGTTACCATGAACGTCACACTCTTGAGTCGCGGGGATGACTCCGATCGGAAAGCCATGATGATGGTGTTAGTTGGATCTGCAGGGGTTCTCACTTTCTGCAACGTAAGCCTCATAATCTGTGCCAAACCCAGGTGTACGCAGCTGACTGAAGAAGCTTTTGTTCCAATATCTCAGTTCCCCTCTCAAACACATCCCGGGGCCATGGCACACCCGATTCACTAGGCTAAGATTAAAGCTGAGTCGGTTGGGCGGAACCCGCATGACCTACGTACACCAACTCCACCAAAAGTATGGAAACATTGTCAGAATCGCACCAAATGAAGTATCATGCATCGATATCCAGTCAGTTTCCCAAGTCTATAAGATAAGCGGTGGCTTTGAAAAGGCGCAATGGACTGGCGACTACACAAAGAAGCTTCCAGCTCTATCCCTGTCCATGATTCTGAACAGCGAAGAGGCAAAGCAGCGGCGAAGACTTCTGCAAGGCTCTTTCACTCTGTCATCGCTGCGCAAAAATTGGGAGTCGACTATCAGGAATAAGATTGAGATTGCAGTCACGAGGATTAAGACGGAGGCTTTGGCGGGCTCGTCAAACTCTCATAAGTGGTGGACGTTTATGGCTGCTGATATTATCAGTCAGCTCTCGTTTGGGCAATCCTTGGGGCTGCTGGAATCTGGAAAGGTATGAAAGACTTTTTACATATTTTGTACCTCGATAATGACATGCTAACTGCTTGATTGATCTCACAGAGCACAATTTATATGCGTGCTATTGAAAATGCTCTGATAGCGGACGTTATTCAGTGCGAGATACCTTTACTCGCTTCTCTATCTCAGCTCATACCCAGATCACTACTCCAGACTTTCTCTCGACAGCTTGAGCAGGTCAGAGTCGGTGGTGCTGACGGAGTAAAGAGCTTGAAACAGAAAGGGTCATCGTCAACTCCAAGTATATTCAAGGTGATGATTACAGAATGCGAGATGGAAAGACTCTCTTGGTTGACTACGGAAGCCGTCAGCATGGAGGGTGCAGGTATGATGGTCGCAGGAACAGACACAACCGCGGCTGTCCTGACGTATCTCGTCTGGTCGGTGTTGAGACAGCCAGATTTGCAGAAACGGCTTGAGGATGAGATCGCGCCTCTAGGCGATGACTTTGACGATAAGCGGCTTGAGTCATGCCCTACTCTAAGTGCTATCATAGAGGAGACTTTGCGCTTGTATCCCGCTGTTCTCTCATCTCTGCCTCGGCTTGTTCCTGAAGGGGGCACTACTCTCTCATCGCACTTTGTGCCCGCAAATACTATCATCTACAGCCCGGCGTACAGCTTGCAGCGCAACTCTGAAATTTTTCAGGATCCTCATCAGTAAGTTCACCCTCGAAGATTCATATGATAAGGCTCTTGTTGACCCAAGACTTTCTAGATTTGATGTTGATAGGTATCTTGACCCGACCAAAGTCTCCCTCCGGCAGAGACAGGCATACATCCCATTGGGAGCTGGAGCCAGAGTCTGCATTGGTCAATACCTGGCAATGATGGAGCTCCGGCTTGCCACTGCCGTGTTTTTCAAAAGCTGTCATGGGGCGAAATTAGACCCCAACATGCCAGCTGACAGTATGCAAATGATGGATTACGTTCTTCTCTCGCCAAAGAGGAAGCGTTGCGATATTATGTTGACCTAGGAAGGCATGCTCAAGGGATGCCGGCTACTATGGATATTCCAAGCTCTCTCAGCGTGAACTCAATCCATCCATGGCAAGAGGGTCTACAAATTCCCGGGTTTGAGACAGATAGTACAAACACCTAGATGCATTTGTTATGTATGGGTTGTTTCTACAGTTAAGCATCTCGTTGTTGAGACTGAGTTTAGATCCATGTCACCAAGGTCAATGGAAAAGGTCGTAGATAATGTTCCAGGCCTGCGCTAAGTTACCTTACCCAGAGAGGACTTTCAATGATAGACTAAGTGATTTACGGTAAAGCGCCACAGTTATGGCCATGCAATCCCCAAGAAATAATGACGTCGTCGAGCCAGAACCGGCGTCATCGCTTAAGAGTTGGGTTCCAAAAGGTGACAAATGCTCGGCTTCATCACAGGCATCTTAAGTCCAACACTCCAGTCGTGACAAAGGCCCTATAATCAAGTTCCCCGGGGCTTTTGGATCCATATATACTCCATCCATCATCGCCTCGGCTATATGGCATGTAGCCGACGACACTTTAAAACACAACGATCTAGACTAATACTGCATCAAAATCAATATCATTTCAACCTTCGAGTCGACACCATGACAACCTCGACAGATAACCTAAGATTCACCTGCGCTGTTATCACCGGCGGCGGCGGTGGCATCGGCAAGGTGATGGCCCAACACTTCATTTCCAAGGGCAAGAAAGTCATCATCGCAGGACGGACCGAATCGAAGTTGCAAGAGACAGCCAAAGAAATTGGAGCTGCCGACTATTACGTGCTCGATACGGGCAAGGTTGAACAGATTCCCGACTTTGTGAAACGCATCACCAAAGATCACCCTGAACTAGACTGTCTCGTCAACAACGCCGGGGTGCAGCGCCCCCTAGAGATTCTCAAGGACGACGATTTCCTCTTGAAGGCGGACCAAGAGATCGACATCAACATCCGAGGCCCAATGCATTTGGCTTTAGGTTTGCTACCACACCTGCAGACAAAGGAATCCGCCCTCATCATCAACGTTTCGAGCGTCCTTGGTTTCATACCATTCTCCATCATCAATCCCGTCTACAACGGCACCAAGGCCTGGCTGCACTTTTGGAGCATGAATCTCCGCACACAGCTAAAGACCGGCGGATCACAAGTCAAAGTTGTGGAAATTGCGCCACCAACGGTCGCGACTGACCTGCACCGAGAGCGAACCGATCCAGACGACAACAAGAAGGCGAATAATCCCGACGCACTCAGCGTAGATGAGTTTATGGAGGAAGTGGCTAAGAAGTTGGAAGACGGCGTCGAGACCATCGGGCCGGGAATGGCTGGAGAGGTCATTGATAGATGGTATGGTGCATTCGGCGAGCAGTATGCAAAGGCAGCTAGAAGCAAATAGTTGGCCATTCCTCAAAGCGAAAAGTGGTTATGTGCCGACCTGGACACGAATTTTCAACCTAAAATTGCGTCCCTGATTCAGGATATGAACGTCTCACCGGAACTCTACACAGAGTATAACGGACAATGCGAAATGATGCCTCGAAGGAACATCACGATATTGTGACATGATACGGGCCAATCAACTGCAAGTTCGGTAGGAGACATTTGATTCGTGAGCTGGCTCAATCACCCCGCAGAGCGATGTAAGATTATGGCGCTGACGACGTATTTCCCGCAAAGCTCTGAAATCCTCGCTTCCATACCTCGTCATGGAGCATCGATGCGCTCCTTGCGCAAGTCTTACTATTGAGGCCTTGATTGAGCTTGCCCAGGTTGAGTTCCAAGCTCACGCGTTTCCCAAAGAAGCATTCTACCGACACCATGAATCATTCGACGCGTTGGAAGAGGCCGCACGTGATGGCTGCGATCTATGCCAACTCATCCTCAAGTGCTTCATACATACGCCCTGTGATGTCCCAGGGCCTTTGGAGTGGCCCAGAGAATGGGATGTTGACCTTTGCCCTCTTGAGGAAGGTCAGCAGCGTTCCATGCACTCCATCGCCAAGCAACTGCAGCCTTCGGACATCAAGCTTTCCATAAACGCCACGCACTTGTATGGCCGGCAACTCATTGATGAGGCTCTGGTATTTGACGAGATAATGGTGCAAGTTGGCGCTCCGTATATGGACGATGATGATGGGTACGACATATGGGGCTGTCCAGTCCTCCTACTTACTCTAAGCACATCTGGGGGTATGCAATGTCGAATATCAGAACTTATGTACCGCACTATGCGAGACGTGGACTGATGCTGATGAGTCTACTGCAGATACCAGCCCGCGCATCGCCGGTTTCCGAATCGGTCATTTTGAGACTGATGAGGACCTTGGATCTTGCCGGAACCATATGCTTGCGAGGCAATGGTTGACGGACTGCCGCAATTCACACAAGAATTGTCTACTAAGCCAGGAGCACGATCTGCCTACTAGAGTGATCGACGTAGGAGAGTTTCTGGATTCTGAGGACGTCCGTTTGACCCTGACTAAGGGCGCGAAAGGCCACTACGTTGCTCTAAGTCACTGCTGGGGTGGTGCAATATCCCCTCCCTTGACGGCCGAAACCTTGGGGCCTTTCCAGGATTCCATCACTGTAACGACGTTGGCCCAGAATTTCCAAGACGCAATTGCGATAACTCGTCACCTGGGGCTTCGTTTCCTTTGGATAGACTGCCTCTGTATCCAACAAGATTCAAAATCGGACTGGGAGAACGAATCCAAAAGAATGGGGTTGGTTTACCGCAACTCAACCGTCACAATCTCTGCAATGGTATCAGCAGGAAGCAAAGATGGAATCCTGGGATCGAGTCACACTGATTCTCCGAAGAGTAAACGTGCCACGATCAACATTTGGAACCGTCAATACAATCAAGTAGTTACTATCCGGCGAAAAGATCCAAACGGAGAGGACCTCCGTGGTCTCGATCTAAACAGTGCGTTGCAAACGCGAGGCTGGACACTTCAAGAGTACATGTTGTCGCCAAGGCATATCTTATATGGCCGAAGCATGATTTACTGGCGGTGCCCACATCACTTCGTCTCACCAGATGGCCTTCCCTTCGGTAACAGATCACCGCAGTCTGCCTACAAAGACCTCTCGCAGGTCCTTCATTCTGGGGTCCTCGCCTCTTCTCCTCCCGGACCCTCGGAAACAAATGTCATTCTATGTGATTACTACGAATTAGTCAACGCCTATAGCCAAAGGAAGCTCACCTATGGTTCTGACAAACTGCCCGCATTCTCGGGTATTGCACAACGTCTGCATCCAGTTATTGGAGGAGACTACTTGGCCGGTCTCTGGACTTCGGACTTTCGACGCGGGCTTCTGTGGACCCGTGAGGGAAACTTCTGCCACCACGAGAGAGATAATTACCGCGCCCCTTCATGGTCATGGGCTGTGACTGACGATATGTTACTCTTCGAGGAATCGACAATACTAGGATCGAGTCCTTCTAGTGCTCAACTCTTGGAGTACATCGTTCACCCGAGGGTTCCCGATAATCCATTCGGGGAGATTCTGTTCGCGAAGCTCGTCCTCAAGGCTTTAACCATGCCTTTAGTTCGTAGCCGCCAGATTATTAGTACATACCACGAAACTGCCACCATAGGACATGCCGACTTCGACGAGCCGGCAGGGGCTGAGGACATGGTCAAGATGGGGCATCCAAGTCTCTTCAGTATCAAAGCCGATGATGGGCCCTATGTCGTCTCGATCGTCACTGGGCCGGGAAACGAGTCGGATTGGGAGCTAGATACGGCTGTCTACCGCGACGACAAGTACACGTTGATGCTGGTTCATACTGACGATACTAGCGAAGAAGAACCTGGATGGTCCAAATCTGAGACACTTTGCCTGATCATTCAACAAACGACTGACAAAGCCGACGAAACTTACGAAAGAGTGGGATTCGCCCGAATACATAGGCCCAAGTTGGCCTGGCTCAAGACGTGGGATTGGCAGGTTTTGACGCTGGTCTAGTTGAGTTGTTATGGCTTTTAGTCGTGTAGCCCTACCTGCTTTGGTGTTGATAGAGCATATTCATGATCCATCGCATTCTAAGTTGAGCGCGTGTCAGTAAGGTAACATCCAGACCAAAGTACATGTATGTATCCAGTCAAGACAGGGCGCATGAGTCGTGCAAACCCGAGCAAACGAATCTCATCTCAACCCCACCATCACGAACCTTGTCAAACGCCCGCCTAGATTTCCTATTTCACTCAATCTTCCCATACCACCCTAGCCGCAACCCGGATACGACTCCTACTTAACTGCGGGGAAAACATTAGCATTTACCGGCCTTTAAACCAGTTTAAGCCCATGGACCATCTGATGCGGCCCGGGTGGAGCCAGGCACATCTGCACAACCGCTGCACGATGTCGCATTTAGTTTATAAGCGCCCGAGTCCGAGTGGTCGTGTCCATCAATGGGACGTTTACCCCGATAAGTTGACTCTGCCTGCCCGTTTTCCCCGCGTTGTTTCCCCGACTCATCCATCATGTGGCTTTCCCTTACCCCTGGGGAACCGGTGGAGATCTTGGAATTGCCGGAACGATATTTCAATGGTGCGCATAGAATCGTGATGACCTCACCTGGGCCGAGGGTGTCATTGAGCCAACTCCGGGGATAACGGGGCCGTGCGGGGAGACGGTTGCCTTTTCGCATTCGGAAAATGGCCTGTGATTGAGCTATAAACATGAATTTCCCAAGGCAGAACGCGAAGTTGTTGTGGGAAGAGTTGTGGTAGTTGCGAACCTCTGAGATTCTCAATCCGACCTCAACGGATCATCAACCATGGCCTCCGTCACGTTCATTCTCCTGACAGCGCTCGCCGCCCGCGCCTCGGCCAAGACCCATAAGACGCCGACACCGCAGATGGGATGGAACAGTTACAACTACTACAACTGCTACCCCAATGAGACGTTGATCAAGGAGAACGCACACGCCTTGATCAACACGGGTCTAGCCGACGCCGGGTACACCACCGTGACCACCGACTGCGGCTGGCCGGCCAAGGAGCGCTCTGCTGACGGCGAGCTCGTGTGGAACCCGGAGCTGTTCCCGTCCGGAGGCGGCAAGGAACTCGGTGATTACATCCACAATCTCGGCCTTAAGTTCGGTGTCTACTCTGGCGGCGGGTACTACCAATGCGGTTCCACAGACCAGCCCGCTTCCCTCGGTGAGCAGGAATCACCCGGAAACTCAATTATTAACGTAGTCCTAATATGGTTGTCAGATCACGAGTTCACCGATGCCAAGTCATTCGCCGACTGGGGTGCGGATTCTCTGAAGTACGTTACCAGGTGATGGATCTCTTGAGAAGTCCAGCTACTAACACGAGGTGCGCTTCAGATACGACAACTGCTATGCGGTCGAGCCCACGGTTATGGTCGACTTCGTTTCCGAAGAAGCCATTTCACCGGATCGCTTCGTGACGATGGCAGATGCACTGAATACAACGGACCGAGACATCCTCTACCAAGTCTGCCAATGGGGCACTGGAACAGACCTTGGCATCTGGTGCGTTGTTAACAACAGCTAAAATCTCCCTAGCATTCCCTAGAAACTGACTTGAAGACTAGGGCACCCAAGATTGGCAATAGCTGGAGAATCAGCAACGATATTTACAACGGCTGGCGCAGCATTTGGCGGATCACGAACCAAGTTGTTCCGTTTTACAAGTACACCGGCCCGGGTGCTTTCCCCGACATGGACATGTTGCTGTGAGTAGAAAACCTGTGCCCATTCCACAGGAGTGCATCGTTGTAATTCCGGCGCTGACAACATCATCCCAGCATTGGTCTCAGCGCCCTGTCGCTTGAGGAGGAGAAGTTCCACATGGGAATGTGGGCCATCAACAAGTCTCCCCTTACCCTCGGTGCCCCCGCTATCCCCGGTCTTGTCGCGGAATCAGCCCACGAAATCCTCGTAAACAAGGAAGTCATCGCCCTCAACCAAGACTCCCTCGCCAAGCAGACAGAGCTTGTCCGTCGCTACACAGAGGAGGAGTGGGACGTCTGGGCCGGTGAGCTCTCTGGCTCCCGCCTCGTGGTCGGCCTGGCGAACTGGAAAAACGATTCCCAGGCCGTGAGCGTCGATCTCGCGGCGGTCCTGGGCGTCGCCTCGGCCAACGCCCGCGACGTATGGGCGGCGAGTGACATTGGCTCCATCTCGGGCACGTACGAGACAACGGTGAACGGCCACGAGCTCAAGTTACTCGTGCTCTCGGACCTCTCCACAACTGCACCCGCCGTAGACGCGTCAGCCGGATATTACACGGCCACTGATGCCGCGCTGTCTGGCTCAGCCTCCAAGGTTACTTGCGCAGAGGGTCAGTGTCTCCCCAGCACCACAAAGGTGGGGAGTATCGGGTCAGGGGCCGCGGTCAAGTTTGAGGGCATTGTGGCCAAGTCAGAGGGCAAGAAGCTGCTTGGCGTCGACTTTATCAACTATGAGATCGCCCTCGACTCCGCATGGCAGTTTGGTTCCAACACCCGCAACTTGACCATCTCCGTCAATGGTGGTACCGAGAAGCGGTGGGCCTTCCCCATCTCCGGCGGCAACTGGTTCGATACTGGCCGCTTGCTCGTCGAGGTTGATGGCTTCAAGGGGGATAGCTCGAACACTGTGGAGTTCAAGTCGTTTGGAAGTGCTTGGGCCCCCGACCTGGTTGGTTTCGAGGTTTTCGAGGCCAGCTAGATTCTCACGTAAACATTGTGGAATAGTCATTCGTAGGCGAGATTATGAGAAAAATACAATCTTAGATCCTTACAGTGAGATCTCCCTGTACATTCAGGAGGCTTGATATTAATCAGTCTCGCCCATATACTCAAGGACTAGTATATACAAAAGAAAAGAGGCGTTGTGAGTATAGCACAGGGGTATTCGTAACGAAAAAGAGCCTTGATCATCGCATGCCAGAACAGAGTCCGCAAGCATCCATCCCAACCATTACCATCAATTACATAGCCGCATCAACTAGTCTCTCATCTCCTTCTTCTCCATTGACCGAGGATGTCCAGGGTTGCTGGTCAACGAGTCTTCATCATCAACCCTGTAGAATGAGTTTCCGCTCGCCGCATCATCGTGACGACCGCTGAAAGATGAGGCAGGGTTCGACTTTGAGGAATGCGACTCGACGGAAACTTCAACATCGACTCTTCGGTGGATACCGGTCCTGGCTTCCCGGATGGCTGCGAGGTCCTTGTCCTCAGGGACGGCTCCGACGCTGGCGCGGTGGAAGCTCTTGAGACCTCCGGTTTCGTGGTGGCCGTTGTGACCGTTGCCAAGGCCGGTTGGGTTCGTATGATGCCCCCGGGAATGACCCTGGGAATAGGAGAGTGAGTTAAACCTGAATCCGCTATCTTGGTCCTTAGCGAGGCGTGTGATCAAAGAGGCCATTGACATTTCGATGTTGAGCTTGACCATGTAGGCGACGGGGTGGAATTGGATGTAGACAACTTGATTAGGAAGTGACATGAGACCAATGAGCATAGCCTGGATACATGTTATTAGTCTGGTGAGGATTTCATATTGGTGTCATAGCGTCGAGACTTACATCCATGGCAATTGAGAGAACCATCAGCTTTGCGTTGAAGCCGACCAGAGGCTTGTACTTAACCAAGCCATGCTGGTTCAGGAGGCGGGCCTTGACGACGTGGAGGAAATACCAGTTGAGGCCAGCGTCGACGATGAGAATGAGGATTTTGGAGAGACGGTCCCAGTAGTGATTGATGTTGACGTATCTGCCAGCATATGTTAGGAAGTGGACAAGAAGGCACAACCTCAGGGCAGTTTGACTTACGTCTGGCTAGCAGGAGGGTCAAGATGGGACGGAATCCAGATGCAGAAGACGGCGATGTTGATCAAGGTAATGACCACAGCCGTTCCCCATTTGAACATGCGAATAGTCTTTTGACTTTCCGCAATGACGGCGATACGGTTGATGATGATTTGCATCAGCAACTGGATCTCCCACACCCACAAGAATAGGATGAAGAATAAGACCGGCACTCTTTGGCACCAGTGATGTTAGCTCAGACTTGGCACAAATACTGCATTGCGATGCTCACGTTGGCCCCAATATCCCATCTAAGAACAACCATCCGATGACGGCAATGACGAGGTTGGCGATGATTTCACCCCACATCATGTAGATGTATGTGCTTCGAAGGGGATTGCGATTCCGCCTCGTCTGCTTCATGGCCTCCCATACTGTCAAGAAACCAAAGCCGATAGTGAAGCCCGCGGCCAGCGAGGCAATCTGATAGTCGGTCTTTGTTGTCGACATCGTGAACTGTGATTAAGGAGGTAAAGGTGTTGAATTCGATTCGTTCGTACTGTGTACCGTATCCGAGGTGTTCGAGGCTCGGTCCGGTCCTCTCAGGAAAGGCTCCTTGATTTACCAGATTTGGTATGTGGGGAAGGAGACGAGAGGGGAGCAAGATGTCGTCTAGTTCAAACTCAAAAAAGCCCTACTAGACCGTCGAGAAGGGGGAAACGGGCATACTTTTAAGAATCAACGATGGGCGTCCACAACCCGGAGCAGATGACCCTCGTCAAGCTCGGCTACCCACTTCTTTCGCGGCCCGTCAGTTAAGAAATTTCTTCTTCTCCAGTACTGTGGCAATAATAACAGGCTAACAGCCAGGCAGGCTTTGGTTTCGCGATCCCAAACGGTAGAGGGTGGCTAGGCCGCGACAGGTAATCGAGTCCTCCAGCCGGCGCGGCGACCAGACCGGGCGAAGAACCCACATGGTGGTGACACTTGTTAGTGCCACCCTTTAGCCTACGCCACACGCACCACAAACATGTAGCAGAGGTGCAGAGGTCGCACTCCAAGACTTACTCCTAGTCTATTACTGTTACTATGGGCAGGGAAGGTGGGGGACTATGAGACGACAGGTCCTGCAAAAGGAGCCAATCGGCACCCCCTTCTCGTAGCTCTCTTGCCCAGTTGAGACACTTGATGGACGGTGATGTCTTCATCCGTCAATGGTTTGGGTTGCATAGGATGGCAGGAAGTTTGACAATACTACCAGATAGCGAAGTCCATCCCATTGCTCCGAGAAAAAGAAGATCAACAGGCACGACCGGCCCCCAAGAGACATGTCTCTCGATGTGCCGTCATTTCTTCATGGTGCAAATGCCGGGGAGGAAGGTTTGCTGAAGAGAAAGTGAACCCAGGCGTCGATCTTGAGAGGGTCAGTCACGCAAGAAGGGATCCTCCTTACCATCCGCGAGAGCGGAAAGCAGGTTCCCTCTGCTGCTCCTTTCCGGGATACCGTCTTGTCATGTTCTCCAGTCTGATTCTTCGAGCAGAAATTCGCCATAAAAGAGCGGGGTCTGTTATAGGGGTGACGGGGACTTGTCGTCAATAGCTTTGCGGGCTGGAAACGAACTGGCGAACCACAGGCGGGGAGTGCGATGTTCGTTGAGGACCCGGGCGAGAAAGAATTGGTTCAGGGATCAGCAGATCGACATGGGCTTCCTGGTCTTCCACGGATGCTGCATGCACCTTGGAGGCCGTGCGTTTCTTCAATAGACAGACAGCGGGCAACCCCGTCGTCTCAACACCTCATCGGAATCTCTCACCGAGATGGAACGAGACAACCCGTTGCGTTCCCTCTTGATATTTCGTCGAAGAAACAGTGTAGGTGGTCCCAAGCCTGGTCGGCAATGGCAGACTCGGCAGAAGACTGTTACACCAAATAAGAGTTTGCGGCGTGATGTCGATCAAGGGGGAGCTTTCAGGAATTCAGCAATTACCAAGATCTTAACAAAGGGGACTGCGCCATAACAAACACCTCCTCTTCCCTCATCATAAACCTTCAGCCAAATGCCGACATATTCACAAAGAAGAGACAGATGCCAAACGATGTGGAAGCCGTATCTAGAGTGTGCTCCGAACCGCAGTTCATGCTGCATGCATGAGACCAAATATCACCCCAGGCCATCTTGAGCCTTCTGAAACATGATCTCACTGCACCCACAGCTCTGGCACTCTGCAGTCTTGCAAAGAAAGACCGCATTGTCCTCGCCGGAGATATTTTCCACGTGGAGGAAGGGCCTTGGATCTAGTATCAAAAGAGACACGAAGACCGAGATACCCAGGCCAAATGACACCGTCCCATTGGGGGCCATCTTGACGCTGTCCATTGGTAGGAAACCCCTCGACATTACCGTTCCAGGCGAGATTTGAGCCGCCAAGACATGTCAGGGGTTTGCTGGCCGACGAAGCGATCTCCTGTTGCCATTCCCGAGAGCCCACAACTTTCTGCAGTCAGCGTACTAGTGACAAACAGGTTGGCATCGACATGCCTCAGGAAATACGGGGAAGTTCTGCGCTAATGACACAGAATCCGCGTAACAAATTATCAAAACTTTCTCATCTTGATACTCTCAACGACGTCCTTCATCTTGGGAATGTCCAGGTATCTGCAGTTTGTCGCTGTCACTCGGCCCGCCAAGCACTATAGCAACGGCTTTTCCTTCGGATTAAGACCTAGCGACATAGCGTGGCTGAAGAGAAATTGTGGACAACAAGATGATCTGAAGCTGGAGAGACTCCCCTCGGCCTCCCACAGCCACGACAGCACCGGCTGTGTCGTCTTCCCACCGAACAACTCGACACTATTCCACCTTTGGTTCCCCTCATCCGCGACTTGGCCTTTGATCAACGCCCGGTGACGCTGGTGAACCACGCCCCCTCTGCTGCCCAAACCCAGTGATCCACGTTTTGCAGCATTCAGTGTTCGGAAACACGGTCGGCATTTGGTAAGGCCACCCCTGGGCCCGGCTCGCCCCTGGACGAACCATCACGAGTCTCACTCTCGCGACTACAAGTGCAGGCTGCAGGCCCCAGTGGCCCCCTCCGGCTGGGACGGCCTAGGGGGGGGGCTCGAGCAAAGTCTGGATCTCTGGGACCCTCTGACCCTGGAAACCCTGACCAGTCGTCATCTTCCTTCGTCATGTTTCGTGGAAGCGAGGCACGAACCGAGGCATATTGTCCTGCAGGGGATCCTGGGTCGCGCGACCAATAGCTTCTCTCAGCTCCTGCTCCAGCATCCAGCTCCGAATGACAGCTTTCTAGCGTTGCCACTAGATACGATGGCTCGGGTCGACCTCATAGAGAATCACGAGAAATCGGACCAAAGGGACATGATGGTGACATGACTGTTGGTATCTTTACCCCGAGAACAGCTAGAAGACGAAGAGAACTTTCGATCCAGACACCGTCCCAAAAACCTGTGCGTGCCCCCCGCCTCCGCCACCTCTCCCCCTTCCCCGAAGCACTAACAAAAGACTTGTTCCAAGCGTGAAGCAAATAAGAAATTCGACCGTTGATAGAACGCCTTCGCTCGTCTAAAACCCGCTAAACCACATCATGCAACCTGGACACGCACAGATGCCGCTATAATCCTCCAAACCCTTTGACAGGAAAATTGAAGTTGACGTGGTGGACTTCGGTTTTCATACCACCCGTGTACGCCGACTTGTCCGCCGCCCGACTGGCCTCGAGCCCCGTCCACCCGACGGCCGCGACAAACGTTCTGCCGATGCTGTCGCCGGAGGACGAGGTTGGCGGGCACAGGGAATACCCGCTCGCCACGCCGTTGCAGCCCGGCATCCGGGATGCCCTCTCGACCACCTCGCGCATCTTGTTCTCGGGTTCCCGGCAGTCTTCGAAGCTGAGGGTCTCGACGATGGGGGAGTTGATGACGGCGTGTGGTGCGTAAGGCTTGAATTTGAGTAGGTATGCTACGGGCTCGCCGTCTAGTACGGGAGCAACCCTTGCCGCTGCTTCTGCGAAGTCTTTTGATTTCCTCCACTTCTCGCAGGCATCCGGACTGATCCAGCCTATTTCGCGACTTCGGTTAGTCATTGAAGCTGAGCTCAATAGTATGGCCTGGTGTAATCGAGAGCCCCAATGGTGGACCTGAATATCACATACCGGTGATGAGCTCAAGCTTCTGCTGGTCCTCAGTCCATGGTCCCCAACGCGTGCGAAGGTATCCGGGCTGCTTGCTCAGGGTCTGGAGCATGAACTTAAGCTGCTCTTTCCAATTCTCAACGCCACCCAAAACAGGGATGGTGACCCGCTCGGTGACGGCACTGGCGAGTTGGGCTGGATCCATCACTGCTGTGTGCTTGGGGGGTGCTGCTTCGGTGAAGATGTTCTTTGCTCGGGCCTTCCTCTTGAACCAAGGGAGCTCGATAATACTAAATTGGCACAGCTGCAAGTAACTTGAAGGTTGGATTATGGGTGCTACTAAAATCGCTTGGAGGTCCGGACCTCACACTAATGTAATATGGATTCGACCGTCTTTTCCTCTTGACGTCTTGAAGCAGGCAACCCTAATCTTAAATAGCCGTTCGTCTACGGCAAAGCTGGAACACCCAAAGATCATCTGCTACCAAGGTAAAAAGCCAAGCTTTTGGATCAAGGTTGATGTGGGATGGATGACGTTTCCCGTATCAACAAGTGCGGTATTCGAGTTCGCCCGACGTTGTGGTAACGCAAGATTCGGATCCAGGCGGTGGGCGTTGAAAAGGCCGTCGGCCGTGTCTTCGCAACCAACCATCCAACATCAGAATCATCACAGGAACCACCGACCAAAGCTTCCGTAGGTTCGCATCCATCAAAAGACCTTCGCTCGCACCTCGCAATCGCAACGACAGCTATCAGTCGCAGCGTGTCATTTTGGGTTGGGTGCGCCCCAAGCTTCTGGGGAACCAACATAATCCCAGAACGGGAAGTCTTCTAGAAACGCCCGGCACTTCCGCTCCGTGACCGCATGGCCAACTGCGGACGGCCGATGCGAGATTTCTCCAACTGCTCCTCCGGAGAGACGCGTACCCCGGCCTATCCGCACCCTTAGGGCTGGCAACTCTCATCATGTCAAGCACGCCATTGGGGCGTCTGGCAGTTTGGGAACAAGATGTAAAAGATTAGATGACGGAAAATCAAGGATTAACGTCTACGAGAATGCGGCCGTCTCGGACAAGCCGGCCGAAGGAAAAACCTGACAACAACCCAGCCGGTAGCCAATGTCCGTGGAGTAAAGGGAGCAAACGGCTCTCTGTTTCGTTTCATGGTGCGTCTCCCGAGGCAGCGGTAGGACACTGTCAAGACTGCAGCCGCATCTGCAACTAACGACGGGAACGGGTGTCTGTGTGAAGGTTATGGCTTCCCGTCAGATTGCGTTTCATGACAAGATTCCCTCCAACAACAAGTCCGCCGGTTCCGCACGTCGCCTTACGAACCCACGAATCATCACAAACACCTTCCATGGGGGAAGCAAAAGCTGTGTGGCCTGTCGCATCATAGCTCTCTTTCGGCAACTGGCCGGCCCAAAACGTCTTCACGACGTCCGCCACGTCAAGTTTGACAGAGTTCCGAACCCACGGTCCTCTCGATAGTCGTCCACTACGGCTTAGACCACTGGGCGCCACTCTTCTACAGACGGCAGCGATCTACGCCGAACGCTTCACGAGCCACATTGTGAGCAGCATTCCCTCTCGAAACAGTGTCTTTCCTACAATCAACCTGTCGTATCAGGTAGCTAGCTGTCCGCAATGAACTGATGGCCCATTGCCGAAACATAGTTTCCCATTCCCCGTTGGCACCCGCCACCTGCTATGGGGCTCGCCCTGCCTGCTGGTATACCTTCTACGCAGACGAATTCGGACTTCAGTCTCGAGTTGGAGTTCGCTCTCGCGGAGGCATCCGGGGTACTGACCCGAATTGGGCCCGGCACGCGCGACGGACGACCGTAGCTAGGCATTCTCAACTTCGCGAGCTATGCACCTCGTAACGCGGGCGACGAGAAAGCCATACCAAGCCGTCGGCATCTGACAGTAATCCGTCAAGCATGGTCCGCATTATCGGCACGGTTCATCGGAGAGCTCACAGAAGCAATATGTCGCATCATGAAAGGTATTAAATATCCTCTGTTCTCTCGGATCATATAGGTGTGGCTTTCGTATACAACAAGACATCAATCCACTTAGATCTCCATTCTAGCGATACGTTTGGTGATTTCAAAAGCCTCCACATCAGATATCGCGTTTAATCAGCCTCTTTTCAGATCAGATCCGTCAAGATGGCGCCTATCCCAGAACCCATCGCCCTCCCACCAAACTTCACCAACGAGCTATTCCAAAAGTTCGTCACCCGCGCTCAAGAAATCTGCGGCGTCGACAATGTCCGCGTCATTCCCAAGGACAAGCCCCTAGAGGGCGACTCATACCTCAACCAGCCCAAGTCACACGATCACTTCCCCCTCTATGAGAAGACCAAGTTCGTCGCCTCGGCGGTCGTCATGCCCCGCCACGTCCCGGACGTCCAGGCCCTCGTCGCACTCTGCAACGAGCTCGTCATGCCCGTCTGGCCAATCTCCCTCGGCCGAAACTTCGGCTACGGCGGCGCTTCCCCACGTGTTCCCGGCTCCGTGGTCATGGATCTGGGACACCACATGAACCGCATCCTCGAGGTCAACGTCGAGGGTGCGTACGTCCTTCTCGAACCGGGCGTCAGCTTCCGGGATCTACATGAGCATCTTGAGAAGCACAACCTCCGCGAGCACCTCTGGATGTCGGTGCCCGTCGGCCAGGGATCCGTTCTCGGCAATGCTGTGGAGCGCGGGGTTGGAGCCACGCCGTACGGTGACCACTGGGGCATGCACTGCGGCATGGAGGTCGTTCTGCCGAACGGAAAGCTGGTGCGCACCGGTATGGGCGGCGTCCCGAACCCCAATGCGGACACAAGTCTGCGACCCGATGAGCAGCCTGGCTGCGAGACATGGCAGCTCTTCAACACAGGATACGGGCCTTATAACGATGGTCTCTTCTCTCAGAGCAGCCTTGGCATCGTGACAAAGATTGGCATGTGGCTGATGCCCAACCCCGGAGGATACCAGCCATACGAGATCACCTTTGAGAACGATTCAGATCTGTCCAAGGCGGTTGACATTATCCGTCCGTTGCGCCTGCAAATGGTGCTGCAGAACGTTCCTTTCCTTCGCCACACTCTGCTGAATGCCGCGCACTGCGGGCCGAAGTCCAAATACACTGACAAGCAAGGGCCATTATCAGAGGAGGAAGTCGACGGCATCGCAAAGAAGCTCGATATGGGTCGGTGGCAGCTCATCGGTGCGGTGTATGGACCCAAGCCTGTCCGCGACGTCCTCCTCAGTGTCATCAAGCACGAGTTCCTCTCCATTCCGGGCTCGAGATTCTTCTTGCCAGAGGACCGTGCAAGAGAGAGTCCTCTCCGCGCTCGTGAGCTTCTCATGCAGGGTATTCCTACTGTGGAGGAATTGAGATGTCTTAAGTAAGTCCAAGTTCCAAATCTTGCTTTACATTATGTCAATTGCTAACACTGCACCCAGCTGGCTCCCTAACGGTGGTCAACTCTTGTGGGCTCCCATCTCCAAGGTCTCCGGCGAGGACGCAAAGAAGCAGCACGATGTAGCCAAGAAGCTCATCACAGAGTTCGGGTTCGATTACCTCGGCGCCTTTGCCGTCGGCATGCGAGAGCTGCGTAAGTAATCCGTCCAACCGAACGAGTTCTCATAATATGTCGATGCTTCGAGATGGAACAGAAGTGACTGACCCGATCTATTTTAGACCACGTAATCGGTATCCCATACCGCCTCGACGTGCCCGACGACGTGGAGCGCATCAGAAAGCTGGCGCACAAGCTCATCAAGGAGACGACGGCGCACGGCTGGGGCCAGTTCCGCGCGCACACGGCACTCATGGATCCCGTCGCCGACGCCTTCAACTGGAACGACAACGCGCAGATGCAGCTCAACGAGGCGATCAAGAACGCGCTCGACCCCAACGGTATCATCGCGCCCGGCAAGAACGGCGTGTGGCCTGCGAGCTACGACAAGAAGAAGTGGGTGCTGGACGGCAACTGAGTAAGCAACTGAGGATGTTTTAATTCTCTCAAGCTTCCAGAGTTTCTCCAGCCTCCTGCCGTTGAGCCGGAGCAGCAACTCACAGTGTAATGGGGAAATTGTGGGGATGACGGTTGATCGAATGGTGACACCGAGATGATGCTGTCACTCTCATCTGCACCACAGAATGTAGAAGAGGTCCGAAGACTCGGACCGGTGCCGGAACTGCGGCACCTAGCTGAATAGAGTGTGGCGGAACAGATCTTGCATTGGTGTATGGCACGAAAATGTTGCCGAAGTTAGCTAGACTGAGACTAATTGAAGATGGAATTCTTGCATGCCCTGGTGCCTACGTTGTTGAACAACGTGCGACCACGATGTGAACGAGTAGCATGCCATTGAAAGCGACTCATAGGACTCAATGCTTTCGTAGAATTCGAGAGGACTTCAGGTACCAAAAGCTATAGAGACAGGGGTCCGGAGCTTAAGATCCGGGACTTGAATCCGGACATGCAAACAACGTGGTATTCTGTTGTTGGTTGATGCTCATCATTGCCAACACCGATCCTCTAAACCAAAAGGATTAGCTGATATTGCCCTGTAGTCCATCTAATCGATTGACTTCCCGTCTTTCCCACATTACGGACCGCGGGATCAATCTTGGCTTCGTAGCACAAAGAGCCTCATCCGCGTATTGTAAGCGTCATCGGTGCCGGCCGTACCCACTCACGGCCCATCCTTGATGTGGTTCGTCCCACCCCGAGCTCACCGGAGACAACTCCGTGAGGTGTTTCTGACGTCTGATTGATGGCAATGGTAGTTTCTTTTCCATTCGGAGTAAGTTTCTTCTCTATGGTAAGATAGAAAGTAGCCATGGACACGCTTTGCGAGACGTCGCGTAGTATCATTGTGAATATGGCACCGTCAGTCAGTCCATTGATCCTCTAGCGATTACAATGGCCGATGACGGCAGCATTACACCCAACGACTCGGAGCCCACGTGTGAGTTGCAATTAACCGCCCAAACTCCGGGGTATAGTACTGGATGATGAAAAATTCAACAAGTCCATGAACTCACCTCATGTGGCGAACCCTTTAGGCTAACGCCGAATCTGACTGCCGAGTTCGGAACTACGATGAATCCAGCTAGCTGTGTAATCGACGACGACGACGACCAGCCTGGCTGGATATGTCACGGTCATTCAATAATACATGTGACAGAAAGTGATCCAGATGTTGTATAAGAACGAGCCCACGTTCATTCCAGCAAAGAAGAGTTAATCTTGACGAGCATCTTCAACATATCGCTACACAAGAGACTAGAAGCTTCCACAATGGCACCAAGGAGCATGTTTCGGCTGCTCGCCCTGGCCTCCGGCGTATACGCCGTGCCGTTCGTTTCCGAGCCTCAAACCACTGTCACCTCGGAGCCTACTATCACCCCGTCACAAGTCGCAGTCACCAATGTGACCTCCCACGGTCCCTACACGGGTCCCTCACCGACCACAACCGGTGCACTCTCAACCAGCGTCCTAGCCTCCGAGGTCCCGATACTGCCTCCTCCAGACGACGCCTACGACTACCCGGCGGACGGCAAGCTCCACGGCGACCAGCCCGCGCCGTACACGCCTTCGGGCGGCATCGGCACCAACGGCTCAGCCCCAGTCTACCGCGTCCAGAGCGACTTTGATTACCAATCCCTTGCACTGGCGCTCTACCAGGAGTACATCGAGCTCGACCTCTTCCATTGGGGTCTTGCAACCTTCTCCGATGCAGAGTTCGAGGAGCTCGGCCTGAACGCCGAGGACCGTTACCTCCTGCAATTCATGGCGGAGCAGGAAATTGGCCACGCCACCGTCATCACAAACATGCTCGGCGCTCAGGCGCCCAAGCAATGCACCTACAACTACCCCGTCACCACCCTACGCGAGTACATCGACTTCAACCAGAAGCTCACCCGCTGGGGCGAGTCCGGCGTCTACGGATTCCTGCCGCACCTGAACTCCGGCCCGGCAGCCCAGCTGCTGTTACAGAGCATCACGACCGAGGCGCGCCAGCAGATGATCTTCCGCCAGTTCGAGGGCCTGTTCCCCATGCCAGAGTGGCATATCCCCGGTATCCCACAGAGCTGGGCCTGGACGCTCCTGGCGCCGTACATCTCCAGCTGTCCGGCAGACCAGACTCGCCTCATCTGGCAGAACTTCCCTGCCCTTCACATTCTAAACCAGCCCAACCCTTACCGCATCAATGGATCTAACGTCTGGAATGAGACTACCGGCGGCTGGGCGAACACCGCGGCGACGACAAACATCACCGATGCGGAGTCTTGCGTCAACGCTACGGATTCTCTTCAGGATTGCAACGCTGCCATCACTCAGAACCGCACCATGCCTCTATCGTACCCTGGTCGCCAGGTCTTCTTTCAATGGGATGCTCCCGGTCAGGCAGTCGGCCCCAACAACAGCTACATCACCGCGACTAATGTCGTGGAGCCAAAGTTCGCCGCCTGGGTGTCTCAGTTGAACGTCACCTTCTCGCCCCTTCTGAATGTCAGCCTGGAGTCTCGTACTGCGTATACTATCCAGCCAAATGTTTCGACATGGGAGCATGATCCCGCCATCAACTCGACCATGTTCGTTGCTCTTACGGATACTGATACGTATGTTACGGCTCACAACTTGACAATGATCAACCCCCATGTTGCTGCGCTTGCTGTGTATCAGGCTGGTTAAGGTTGTGTTTGAAGTAACCATGTCGAGAGAGACTCGCCTCGAAAATTAGGCCTGCTGGATCGATACCTTGCTGTACTTTAGTTCATAGTCTTCCAACAACATCAATAATAAGCGAATCCCTTCAATTCAAGCTCCTGCGCGTGAACACCATTTCGACCAAATGCATGTCTTCAAATTTCAATCATCGGGAAAACAAAAGACAAAGTTGATTGGCATTCAATTGCTCGCCTAAAATCATGATAGTTTCGTGACGCGTCGTATATATCTCGTCGAATCCAAATTCGCCAGTGATTGCGTTTGCATAGCAAAGAGTGCTTCACGTATAGACACCAATTCAGACCATTGCCTTTTCTCTACCGGATGCAAGTCTACTGGTATAGAAGCAAGTCGGGGAGGGGCTTTTTAGAGCTCGTTGTGCTCCTGGCCGTCGGCGTCAGAGTCAGCGACAATGGTCTTGACGAGGTCAGCCGCCTCAGCGACCTTGCTGGCGACCTTCTCGGCAATGCCCTCGGTAGCGGACTCGACAGCTTCGCTAGCAGCCGAGGAGGCCTTGACAATGATCTTCTCGGGCTTGGGGACACCGTCGATGCCGACGAGCTCGGTCTTGAAAACTGATTGAGACACCAATTAGCGGGATTTCCACACAGCAGGTGGGATACTTCATACCAAGAGTCGAGCCGCCGGGAATGGGGCCCATGCCGCGGGGTCCGTATCCAAGCTCAGGAGGGATGGTCAGGGTTCTGCGAGGCGTCAGTAACGATTGGCATCTGGTCATTGAGTGTCCCAATGCTTACCGCTTCTCGCCAATGCACATGTCCAAAAGTCCTTGCTCCCATCTGTACCATTGTTAGCCCCTGTTGCGTCTCCCAATGTCTCTCGTCGAACCGATCGGTTGTGGAGGAACTGACCCCTTGATGACCTGGCCGCTGCCAATCTTGAAGCTGAAGGGGGTTCCGCGGTCGTAGCCTTGAAAATTGATACGTCAGCTTTGCTTCAGAAAGCTCTTCGTAGGGCCAAGGTGACTTACTGGCATCGAACTGCTTGCCGTCGGCCTGCAGAGTACCGCGGTAGTGCATGGTGAGCTTGTCGCCATTCTTGGTCTTGCGGTCGCACTCAACCTCCTGAGTAACGTCGATCTTGAGGTCAGCGGCAGCAACGAAGCTGACGGCGCTGGAGGCCAGGAGGCCAAGAGAGAGGAGAAGACCCTGCATTATGTCTGTTTTGAGAAGGACGAGGCGGAAATTCGGCGATGAGGGTGATGGTAAAGTCGTGAAGGTGAGCGGTCAATTGGTCGGATTGGAGGGGAACAGCACAGCTGGTTGGCAACAAGGAAGACAGCTGCAGGGAGGGGCCACCAGACTGCCACACAATGGCCAAAGGTGGGCTGAAGACACGCCGCCTTAACTTTTCTATCCTCCGATTGGCCAATCTCGCCGAGCTCCTTATGGGTGGACCCCTTTTCAGATATTCCGGGGCGAACGGTACGTACTCCGAACGCAATCTTATCGATACAGCAGCTCAGCTGGCTTACCTTATCACTGAGATCCACCCCCACGAAGCTCTCCTCCACGGTCCACCAAGACTCAAAGCCCCAAAGCTTCCCAGCTGACATCCTCTGTGACGTCAAGCCACCGAAAGGCGACGCTCTTCTCCCAGCAATCAAGCTCCCTCATCCCAAGCCGTCACATCCTTCCCTTGTCTGGTGGTGATGATGTCGGCTATGGTGGATACCTCACGCAGCACGTGATAGGGCGTGGACAGCCTTGGAAACCCCACGTCGAAGACACGAAATCCGCGTCACTTGATTCTCCCGGGGATCCGTTACCACGCGCACCGCCTCGTCTGCCTGGGCCTCGGATCCTCCACTTCGGTGTGGATTTTCTTTTTCTCATAGGTCTCGACCTCTGTGGCCAGCAACAATAGGGCGACAAGTGCTGGACGTACCGTCGCCATCGTGGCCAAGGCAGAAAGAATCCAAGCCCCCTCAACGACCTGGACCCCGAATACGAGGTATTGAGGTATGGCGACCACGAAGTCTCTTCCCATTAGCTGGATAGACGGACAACCACCATGGAACTGCCGGAAAATCTAGAGATGAATGTTTCGAGATGGAAAGTCAAAGCAGCACTAAAGAGTTTCAACGCTGTGTATGTTGATATTGTACAAGTTGCGCCTCATCAACTAACGGTTGTCGCCTTTCTCCCGGGGAGTCTGGCGACAAACTGCCCTATGTTCTAAATCCCTTGCGAGTGTGGCAGCAAAGTCTTCCATGGTAGTGCCTCGGACTCTACTCCCAATCTTTTCTTCACCAAGACTGCTGACTTCCGCTATGCCACGAAACACTCCTGCAGCTCCCTGGAATAAGCCCGAATCAAACCCACCCTCTTCGGTATGAGTCCGGTCTATCTCTTCCATTTCGAACACCCAACGGTATGCTTTCGGCGGCGTGACTACGACACCGCTCTTTGCTAGACGCAAGTGGTCTGGGAGACGTAGTTGCAGCTCGTCTTTGAGTGCGTCGAGCAGGCCGAGTCGCTCTGCTGTGGTGAAGCCTTGCGCCGCGACTGCGATGTATCCCTTGAACATGGTTGTGTAACACATCTTCAGTCCGCTGGCAGCTCCCACTTCGCTGCCCAAGTAACGCATGTTCAGCGCCGCATAAAGTATCTCCCCGTGAATGGGTAACTCAGTGATGTGGCGAGGGCCGGAAATGGGGATTCGCGTTTGTACCCATCGACCGTTAAAGCCATGCTCAACACCACTCATGGTTGTTGTAGGCAAGGCGGTCTCCAGCCCTAGATTGTTCGCCGGGATCAAGACGGATGGTTCTCATAGGATTGAGCTGTCGATGAAGCGAGCGCTGTGCTGGACCGAGGTGAAGAGCTCGGCTATTCCTCGAACCGTTGATGGTGCAACGGCGTTGAGATCTATGAAGTACAAGGGGCTACCCGGTCGTGAACCACGAGTGGCAAGGTCGTGTAAGGCGTCCACGACCCGCTGCGCCGTTTTAATCGCATGTCTTGGGGGCACAACGGAGAGGATCACCGACTCTTTCTCCACTAGTTCGATGTCGGAGGATAGGACCTCCACGTTCGCTTCCTCAGCCCGTCGAATGGTAGCTGGACTGTTACACGAAGCAGAATGAGTTAGACCTGACTAAAATTCGGTTGCGAACAAGGCATCTCACGAACCTTCTGTTACGACCACTTGTGCCAACGTTGAATCCGTAGGCCTTAAGAAGCTTCGCGATACCCGCGCCCATCTTCCCAATAGAGAGGATGCCTACGTAACTTTGCTGTGTCGTCGAATGCATGGTGATGTGCTGTGAGTTCTCCAAGGTAGTCAATTCTGGCTACTGCCAAAAACTTACGGCTTGGTGCTTAAATGTACCGATTCTCTTGCATGACTTACTAATAGAAGTCTGCACTACGCTATCTCTCAACAATGAATGGCAAAGATCTGAAGCGATTGCTGGCTCTTTCGTTCTCGGTTCAGGTAAAGATTGGCTGACAGTACACCCACGCCCTACAGTGCCGCTACTGCCGTCGGATTCAAGTCATTGCTAGATAGAACTTATACGCATTGCATTACGACTATCCCTCTGCAGTCCATTGAACGTAGGTTTTGAAAGGGACTCAAAGATCATGCTCGCGTTGACTGAATCATCTCGAGTTTCGATCTTCGCTCTGGGGCCATTGGCGAAAGTCGTCAAGGCTATGGTCCAACACTGAAAGCTTACCTCAGGCAAGATTACCACCAGCGACATTTGTGAGGTAAGTTACTCACCCATTAACCATCAGACGAATGATACCCTGAGATATTACAGTCCATTAAGAGGGGGATACCGACCACAAAGTTTCTTCTCATTACCTTAGCTGGACTGACCGGCAACCATTTGGGAAGACTGATGTTGAGGTGTGTGGCTGGCACGTGGCTGACCCCGGTGTGGCGCGAGTGCCAGTCGCTGTGGCTAAGACCCAAGCGCAAGTCAACTTTGCTGGTGCCTGGCTCAGGCGCTTTTTCCGTTTCCCTTCCACACGTCAATCCGTCAGACTCCAATCACTTCGAATACGCAATTGACGACTAGCCATGCTGCGCCCACATCAAGATGTCATCCGTCTCGTGCTGCGTACCTGTCAGACTGGCAGCTTTCCACTGGTGATTTAGAATCCTCTACTGCAAATGGGGGGCACACCCCGGATCACGGTCATTCCGCGCAAAAGGGTACCTTACCTATCCGACTGATCAATCGATACGATATGAGAGACGACGGAAGACGCGCTAAGAAGAGCGAGCTGCGCGGCAGGCTGTCGCTTTGCATGATGTCTCTTTTTTGCACATTTGAAGGCTGTTGACGCTGGGTAGCGGCAGCATCAGTTGTGTTGTTGCTCCGTCGTCCCCTCTCTGCCAGTCTGACACGACACAGCAGAGAAACATCGGACTCACTTGGAGCCCGGCCTCCAGTGGGCGATCAAATCATGCAGCTCGCCCTATTGCCCTGCACACTCCAGGCATGAACACCTCCACTCGGCAGAGTGATCACCGCCGCTGCATGGCTGCAGACTCCCGCGATCTTCTTCTAGCACTTGTTCTGCAGGTAATTTAGCTACTGTAGCTAGATCGCTACTACTTGCATATCTGGCGCCTTCCGGAGGCCACGACTGACCCGATCGAATGGATGCGCTGGAGGCCCGTTGGGTCGCAGTCCGCAGAGCAGGGGATCCCCCTTGTTCACCTCCAAAGACATCAGGCTCGATCCGAACTCTCTGGCCCCTTGGAGGCCCGACTCGACCGGCTTCCAGAAACACAGACATTTCTTGTCTCCGGCGGATGGTCCCGGCTTAGTGGAAATCAGAGTGACGAGAAAAAGAAAGCAAAATTACAATGGCCACCCGAGGACCATCGGGCCATGAGTTGGGCAGCGACAGTCCTCGGTGAGCCAGAGGCTATGCTGGTACTGATACTTGTCTGTCTCGAGACTCGAGCAACAAGAGCACAGAAAAATCTTTTCATCCTGCGTGCCATTCCAGATTTGGCTGACACAGCTGGGGAAGGCCTCCCAATCTGGTACACACTGGCTGCACGGCGGCGAAGCGCTTATGGGGGCCAACCAAGGCTGGCACTCTTGTGAGTCCTTGGAGATGGGCGACGACAGCCAAGTTTCTGCGTTTTTTCCACATCCGCCGCACATTCACAAGGCCCTTGGCCCCCCAAAGCTGAGCAACCACAAGACCGCGAAAGACGGTCCTTACGCGTCGCCGCTTGGGATCATCGACGTCAGGCTGGCGCGGGTTATGGCATCACGGATCAGTCGTTGAGTCTTGACGTCTCGAACCTGCGAATGAATGATGACAAACTGTATCAATGATACGTACGGCGGCTAAGGGTGGACGCAGGCGAAAGCGGGCAATACTAAAACGTCCAGCAGGGCGAGACACCAGCGGCAGTCCGTCAATCATCGCCCTGACGAATCCGCCCTACCTGCGTCGTCCGACCATCCCTCGTCCAATCAACCGTGACGTTTCGCCACCGAGGCATCAAGGGAGACTTCTTGGGATGCACTGCTTCTCCTGAAGCTGCAAGTCCTGCTGCTCCCAAGCCTGGCCCCAAAGGACTTTGGCGTTGTTTGGTCGGTAGTCTGGATGTCTGGCAGGCCGCAGGACCTCGCCATTAGACGCACACGCGCACCGTTCTTGTCGTCCACTCCCGAAAGATGCTAAAGACCCGCCAACCACACCCTTTCTGGTTTCCACAGCATCTGCAACATCACAACAGCCCTCTTCCCTGCTTTCCATGGCAATCCATGGACTTTATTACTTCGGACTAAACTACTCTAGCGTTTCCCGTGCCTAACGTCCCTGCATTTTGAAGGGCCCTGAAATGACAAAGCTGCCCAATGATTTCCCCGTCGCCCTGCGACACAGAACACACACACACCACAGACTCTCAAGTCTAAACGCACACACCCGGGCCCTTCTTACACCTCTGTCAGCCCCAAAGCATCCCAGGGCTATCCCCACACTGCCTCACACCTCATACCTCGTCTCTGCTTTCCAAGCAATGTTCCAAGGTCCAAGGTCGGGCTGAGGTTGAGTCACTCACTCACTCTTTGCTTCGCCTAGTGTACACACCACCCAGCGAGACTTTCCACAAGGCATTTCTTCTACTTGGCCTGGTCCAGGTCCAGGTCCATGTCCATGTCCAGGTACCTCTCGTCTGGCCAGGCAGGCCAACCTTTTTGCGGGCCTTCCTTTTTCTCTTTCTCCTTCTCTCTGCCGTACACCCTGGGACCAAGTATGCCCTGCCTACGGCAAGTGCTGATGGCACACGCGTTCGAGTACTTACAAGTGTAGGTACGTATCAAGATGATGGAGGCATCCCAGGCCTGATGTGTGTGTGTGTGTGTGTGTGTGTGTGTGTGTGTCTGCAAACACCTCTCATCTATATATCCCACCATGCCCTCTGCCTCTCTTCCTGGTCTCGATCATCTTCTTTACCAAACACTCAAGTCAAACACCAGTCAACAAGATCTCGTCAAGTTCTCTTAAACTCAACTCTCTTCCATAAACACATCACCTTTGGAGACCAACCTCCATCTACCACACAACCCAACACACAACTCGAAACCCAACTCGAGTAACACAAAACACAACATGTCGTCCAGATACAGCACCTCCAAGCCGGTCGTCCACCAGGCCCCGGCCTCCATCAGCAGCGCCTACTCAGCATCAACAGGCTCCTACGCCTCATCAAGAGGCTCCTCAACCCCTCGCTCCATCTCCCCCGGTGACGAGGGCTACCTCCGCGTCTACGGCGCAGACCAGCACCGGTCTGGCATCAAACACGGCAGCGGCGTCACCGTCATCAACCGCAAGCAATCCGGCTACGACGCCCACGCTCCATCACCACACTACGGCGGCGGATACTCGCGCCAATAGAGCAAGCGATGCCGATGCGACTTGCACTCCCAGCGACTAGACGACAACGACTTCAATTCGTAAATGCATAAACCGGCGTTATTTGGGAATTTTCGGGCATAAGCAACTGGGCGGCTTTCGCACTCCTGTACAGCATATTGTTACACCGTGATTGGCCCGCGGAACAACAGCATTGGAATTTACGGGATGCATGGATGATAATGGGGACCATGGGAATGTGGTATTGTGGGAGCCTCTCCCAAGGATGGGAGTTGATACCTGTATTGTTGTACTCGACGGATGGGACGGGAGGGAGCCACTGTCATGTCTAGATTAGATGGTTTTTGTTTTACGGGAAAACTACTGGATCTGCGACACTTTTGTGCTCGCCTGTAGATCGGTGGTATCCTGTAATTCTTCAACAAGTTTTTATTTCCTTGCACGTTTGCGCGAGTCTACCAATGACCTACAGTGACATGCATGTCTCCTTTTTTTTTAACCTTCTCCCTTCTCCCCAACCATAAGCTCGGTGTGCCTGCCTTGCTGTCCCAATAGGGATTTTGGTTCTTGTGTCTGTAACCCACCAGTGCGCCCGCCTCATTGTCTCTGAACCCCAAAAAAAAGTCAAAAACGACGAGGGGTAGGAAACGTGCGGAAAAATGCAAAAAAGCTTTGAAGCAGACGGCAGGCTCAGCACCTTCTCCTTGGACAGAGACTGGACCCCCGAGGAAAAGCAAACGTTGACTTGCAGAAAGGGGGCCCAGACTGACGGGCAATCAAGACAAGGCAAGCCAAAAAAAGTCGCTGCACTCACTCCCATATCAAGAATCCCAGACTGAACTTGCCTTGCTTACACTGGGGTGCACACCCCCTGGGAAACAATTCCCCCCCCCCCCCCCCCCCCCGCCCCCCGAAAGAAAGTCCGAAGTCCCTGATTGTGGTCCCAGGCCAGCGCTGCTGCAACTGCAAGGGGCGGGAGGGCGGCAGGGCGGCAGGACGGCAGTAAGCCTGTGCAGAAATGCGACAATGGGCCATGGAGAAAAAAGTTGGAGAAGGGGGAACGGGGGAAAGGTCCGGTACCATAGTAAGCACAGCTTGGTTCAGTCCAGACTGCAACTTCAGACCTGGCCAGGTTGGCTAGCTGTGGAGGCAGTGAGGCAGTGAGGCAGTGGAAGTTGAGACTCTGAAGACTTGCGTTGTTTGTCTCTCTCTCTCTCTCTCTCTCTCTCTCTCCTGAGCCCCATCTATCCTTCCTTACTCTGTCTCGTGGGATGACTTGCATGTGTTTTGGTTGACTCGCAGGCTGAGGTGTCATGGCGATGAGGGTCACCTACACGAGTACCAAAGCCAAGGCGCGGGATAGTCTATATTCTATGGAATGCACCTCCATGCTCTACCAGTAGTAAAGGGGAGGTTTGCCCAGAAGTTCAAGGTGGGTAAACCACTAAACCTGAGTTGCAAATCTACCGGGCTGTCGAATCCCCCAGGCGTCCTCTTCATTTTGTGTTTTTTATTCTGTCCTTTCAACTTCTCGGCTTAAGGCTGGGGAATAGTTCACATGCTAATTGGGTACCTTGGAGGGAATGCTTGGGGAGGTCTCCAGTGCGGCTGCACTGCATTCTAAGAATAGAACCCCCAAGAAGAGACCCCTGGATTTACCATCCTCGTGTCCACAGACGAGAGCAGGCTTCATTTACGACAAGGCACGTACGTGCAAGGCTGGGAGAAACAAGTTAATGATGCATCATGCATGTCATTGAAGACTCCGTTTCCGATGGCAATCCAATATGTTTCTGTCTCTGTTTCTTTCTTTCTTTTTGTTTATTTTCGGAAGCTACAGTTCCCACCAAGATGCCCTGACCAGGAGACAACTAAACTTGTTTTTGGCTCTTTTCTGTTGTTTAACTCGTAAACTCATTCATGGAAGAGTGCAGTTCCTCCATATCATAACCGTGGTACCGAATACCAAGAATCCTATATCATATTTCCACACTTTCTGAATGTGCATCATCCTCCACCGTGTTCGCCTCAAAGTCGTAGTAGCGCGAATGAATGACGAGACAAGGAATCAGTTCCCGTCGAGGAGTACATCCCGATAAACTCACGCGCCGCCCTCGCGCTTGGCGTACTCATCCTCAATAGCTTCGGCGTACTTGTCGTCGGCGCTGCGAGGGTCCTCCTTCAGCACGCCCTCCTTGATCAGCTCCTCGGGGGCGGGGCGATGGGAGATCTTGTCGTTGAGCGAGTCTGCGCGCATGTGCTTCTCGAGCTCCTTCTGGTGGGCGATCAAGCTAGGCGCAGCATTGGAGGCGGGCAAGATATTCTCTATAGATAGGTCAGTCAGCATTTTCCCCATCGTATCAGTGCAAATCTTGGACGAGGCGGCGGAGACCCCCCGGCTATGCGCAGCAGGTGTACTGAGGGTGGGGTTTCTCTTCCGGACAATTCGAGGTGATCCCGGTTTTGATGATCGGCGGGTGAGGCGGACGGTGGGGCGCGACGGGAAGATATGGAGGGGGCCGCATTGAAGTAGGGGAACGAAAACCGGAAATCGCGACAAGACACAGGGCAGATTCGATTGCAAGGCGGCGTTGGTTCTAATTGCAGAATCAAATGCACATTGAGGCAGGGATTGAATCATGGGAGGATAGAGATTGCGGGAAGGGATTCACGTACTCTCGACCAACTCGGTGCGATCGGGACGGTGTTGGAGGTGGGCCTCAAGCGAGTTCTTGCGCTCGCCGGCTGGGTGGGTGATGGGCGTCTCGTCAACGACGGACTGAGGGGTCTTGGTGTTCTCGTCAGACATGATTGATTTGTTGGTGGTGTTGATGGTCAACGGGAGATCTGATGGATCGATCTCGTATCTGTCGTCGGACGGGGCGAGCTATGGTCGGATTCCGGTGAAGCTGGGGTTTACGGGCTCGTCTCGCCTTGTTTTCTGGCGCAGGGTAAGGAAGGAGACAGGATTTGCAGTTGTTCCGCCTTGGAATTGGGTTGATAAATGGTAAGAGTAGCAGTCTGCTTGTGGTTTTCGCGATGGAGAACGTGGATAGAGGAGTTTGGACGCGGGAGGGCGGGGTGTGGGTGGTGGTGTGTTATGTAGTCTCTCCGATCGTCTGCGTCTTCACACCTTGAACTTGGAAGAGGGGTTGAACTGGAACAGCAAGGCACGTTCACGTCTGGAATAAGGTGGTCGGATGGATGAGCGCATTGGTTGTGGTTGGGGTTGGGTTGGGTTGGTATGGCAATGACAAGAGGCACATGGGACGAGGTGCCTTGGTCTTGTCCACCTATCCGTACCTTAAAGCCAGAGAGCAGGAGACGACCGCCATGTGGCCTGTTGCTCTTGCCTTCTGGTGAGGTGAGGTATAAAGGCCCTGAGCTGGGGGGAGGCAGGAGCGAAGAGGGGTACCCCGCCTGTAGCTCGCCCCTCCTGGCTCTTTCCTGAAGCTACAGACCCGCATTTCCCGGGTCATTGCATCACAGGTCGCCTTATGTAAGGCGGTACGTATCCTTTGTCAACTCCACTTGTGCCTGAGGATGGGAGCTGTGACATGTCACTGGTTGCTCCCCTGAAGCTCTCTCCTCCATCCTCTGTCTTCATTTGCATCTGATGTTGCATTCGGGCAGTCTGAAGCTTCGAGCTGTAAGCTCCGTCGCCCGGGAGACTTGGAGACAGCTCATTATTGTTTGCTTCTGTGGCTCTCAAAACAATGGCATTCAACACCAGGTGCATTCCTCACGACCATCCAAGATGAGACAGCTGCCACTGCACTCGGCCCGCAAGCCCCTGCTGACTTTGGGAGCTGATGACGTCTAGCGCACGGGAATCCATTCCCACCCCGGTCAGAGCACATTTGCGAGCTTTGGACTAGGCCCCTGGACAGAACAGCAGCCTCTGTGATGAGATCATGAGGCCAGACTCGCCCCTTCTCATCTTACCTCGCTCGTGGATTCTTTAACTTGTTCTCCGTACACACTACACAATACGGAGACGGATACCTCGTGATTGAGGCAGGCCTCAGCCGACAACCGACAGCCGTCCACGTTGTAGGCTGCGCCATAATCGCAGCGAGCCTGCTTTAGACCCCCATTGCTGAACTCAGCCACTCTAACCACCATGACCCCCCAACGTGGCTACTTCGCAATCAGAATTGTACCTCCCGGAGTCGCTATTGTCGCACGTGACTCTACCTTGAGCTCGGTGAGGTTCGACAACACAGAAGAACATTCGGGACAGCCTGATACCATATGCACCTCAGTCGGGCCTCCGTCGATAATGGCCGAATAACGCTATTGTCTCCGTCTGAGTAAGAGTAAGATGTCCGGATGCTTCAGTGCTTACCTGGGATTTAGGCCAAAGACCAAACACATGCTCACCGTCGCAAGTGCTGTGTTTAACACCATGGCAGCGCTCGATCCCGGATCGGCTTGCCGATGTTGCGTGTGTCGCCGCGTCCACCATGCTGCAGTTGTCTCACCGCCCAAGTCTGCGTATGGATTTCCAGACTCTCCTATCTCCATCAGATAGATGGCTTGGGACCTCACAGGCCCGGCATCTCTCTTACTGTTCCTCGTTTCTTTACGTCTACAATTGATGGCCTTGGGCCTTTCGAAGATGTTGCCTCTAAACGCCACCACTCATCAGCTCCATCACTTCTTCGGCTACAGCATTCCACTCTATGTCATCCTCTCGCACACCTGGGAAGAAGACGAGGTCACCCTGCAAGATGTTGCCAATTCTTCTTGCGTCCTCAAGAAGGGTTTCGCCAAGGTCCGCGCCTGCTGTGCCCAAGCTCTCCGGGACGGGTTCACCTGGGTCTGGATCGATACGTGCTGCATCGATAAATCCTCGAGTGCCGACCTTTCCGAAGCCACCAACTCCGTGTTCCGCTGGTATCAAAATGCGACCGTCTGCTACGTCTACCTGAGCGACCTGCCGGCCCAGAAGCCTGGCCGGTTGGACTACTTGGCATTCAAGTCTACCAAGTGGTTCACGAGAGGCTTGACCCTCCAAGAGCTGCTTGCGCCAAGGCTTATGGAATTCTATGACTGCGACTGGAACGAAGTTGGGACAAAGTGCTCTCTCGAGTACCTATTACACAAAAAGACCGGAATCCGACGTTATGTCCTTTCGCACGATCCCCCAATATCTTCGTTGCCCGTAGCTGAACGCATATCTTGGGCTTCGCCGAGGAAGACAACGCGCCAGGAGGACATCGCGTACTGCCTCTTGGGCATATTTAACATCCATATCCCGCTTCTGTACGGTGAAGGGGATCGAGCTTTCGTCCGCCTCCAGCAAGAAATCATCCGCAATTCGGAAGACATGAGCATTCTCCTTTGGACGCAGATTCACCCACTGACAGATCAGTCAGGCGTTATTGCACAAAGTCCTGCCGCGTTCGAAAAGTTTCAGCTCTATTTTCCGGGAGACTTACCTGTGCGTGACGCTGCCTTGACTTGGAATCATGTCAGGCGTCTCAATTACCTCCCCAAAGCCTCGCTCAAGTCCGAGTCCGGGTATTCGACCCTTGGAAACTTCAGAGAGGACTCGAAGCCGGTACCCCCTACAGTCACAAGTCGAGGTCTGCACGTTCAGCTGCCAGAAGTCTATGTCTCCTCCAACACCATCGGGGCCCGCTACCTATGGACGCGATATCTCCTCACCCTTTCAGTCGATGGATATACCAAGGAGTGCTACTTGTGTATCGAAGTCAAGTGCGTCGACCCGGAAAACGGACTGTACGTTAGATCTAGCCCAGGCCGTATCCGCGCTATGCCGATCACTGCCAGGATTGACAGTGCCTTTCCTGAGCCGCTGTATCTATCAATGGAGAGTTCTGACGCCAGGGCGTCAGGGCTTGGCCAAGTAGGGCTCATCGGGCAATCATTGGCCAAGACCTTTAGAGTATCCATGGAGGGGAAACATAACCTTGCACTACAGGTCCACAAGTCCGATCCCGCAGGCCAGAGCTTCTTTACCCCTAGCCCAAATCAATGGCTCTATTACGTTGAGCGGCAAAGCACCACATACATCGTGCTCCGAATCACCGAGACCCTAGACTCCGTTGTGGGAACGTTCGTGCGCGACGTTGTGGTCGGAGTGCGTCTGGAGGCGGATGGCCGAACGATGACGTGCAGTCTGGGGACGGATCAGCCACAGATGCTGGACTTTGTCGAGCACAAGGCAGTCGTACTTGCTGAGTCCTGGCGCAGAATTAAGAACACGTTTGATGGTACTTCGTGGTCTGATCGGTCTTTCCAGATCTTCTCGGGACAGCGTTATGTTCTGGGGGCAGCAATCAAACCTAGCGAGTCTAGGCCTGTTTTGGTTCTTCGAGTTGATCACTGGGAAGCGTCGTCATGATTGGTTAAGAGTGGCATTGGAGAGACCTTGCATACTATGCTAAAGAGCTGTGTAGTAATCAGCTGGATCTATCAGAGCGATGATAGCAACATTATCGAAGCTAGTCCTCGCTCTTGATGCCATGATTTCTCTCATGCTGTAAGAGGATACCTTTATCCTCCATACACTTATCCTTTGCTGATCCTCCTTTCGTGCAGAACTGCCAATGTTCTTAGCTCTATTCAGGATGAGCTTTTCCTCATCTATGGTATCATCTCAACCGGTACGAGCAAGATGGTCGCTGAAGCGAAGGCGCTTAGGAGCCGGCGTGGGCGAAGCGATATGCGAGATGGCAGGCGAGACCAGGTACGACTTCGAGATGCTCTGAGCACCCGGGGTCTGCGGGCCTTGCTGCATCTTGATTCTCTGGTTGAGAAGAGCCACGGTGTAGTAGTCTCCAGCGATCTCGGCAAGGTAACGGAGAGCGTAGACGGGACTCTTGAAGGGCTCGGCCCAGTCGACCAAGATGGGTTGACGGAGGTGATCGGGGAGACCGGGCGCGCGATCGGGAAGGTTGGGCGCATAGTCATCTTGGAAGACGGGGTTACCCGTGTTGTCGTAGAAGCCTCGGAATCTTTCCAACGTGGAGTCCTATTCCAGGCGCCGGGCAAGCGGTACGGCGGATGAGAAGACCTTGTCGGGGTTCTGGAATGAGGACATATGGTCAGCGGCGTGTTTGCTTAATAAGGGAGCAGTGAAGGTGGCGATCTTACCCGGGGGACGCCATCAATTAACATGGGGTTGAGAGGTCCCTGTGACTAGATGTCAATGTTGCGAGAAGGAGAAGCTGGGAAGGGAGGCTGTTACGTTTCGGAACCGGATGGCAGTGTGGCCACCATCCTCGTCTCTCTGATTCTCCTCATTGATCTTATCCTGTATGTCCATTGCCTCCATCGAGTCAACGACTTCCTTCGGCGTGTTGGGCTGGGGACCCAGCGACAGTGTATCGCTGGAATCGAGGTTACTCGGCGAGGATTCGAGCTCCGCGTCAGGAAGGGTAAAGTCGGCGATCGCCTCGTCGGTCAAAAACTCCATCCAAGAATCATCGTCGTCCTGGGAGGCGGGTCTATCTCAAGTGTTAGCTAGCTCCGTAGAAGATTATATTTGTAAGGCTTCATCACGAACTCTCCGGTATTATTCTCGTCGCTGACAATGCTGTAGCCAATGTTGCCTCGTCCGGGTCGGTAAAGGGATCCCGGATCCTGTCGGATAATGATGCTCGCCATTGGAATGGTTATCGATGTGGTGGAGGGCGCGGCGGGTGTGAGATGGCGGCTTGGGAGCTGAGGTGGATTGGGGGCGGGCCGGACGGCTGTGGGAGGACCAGGGTCGCCGATAGCAGGAGCGGCGTTGGAAGGACCCTCGTTGACGGGGATGGGTGCCTGCCCGCTGTGTAAGTGGTCTGCTTCACCTACAGTATCTGGAGGCAGGTGAGAAGTGGCCGCAGCCGCGGCCGCCCGAGCAAAATAATGCTAAGCAACGTTATTGGCTTGAGTCTCAGCCGGCATGAAGCGTTTCCTCAGTTTCTCTGAGATGGCGAACGCGACGAAGTCTAGCGCCTCCTGGTCATCAATTTTGCCCGGGTATTCTATCCTGTACCCGATGTCTATAATGGGAGGGACCAGACCACTGAGATATCGTGTTGTCGGAGGCTTCCTAGCTGATGTGTTGGGCTGGCTCCGCTGATAAATCGATAATGACTTAAGCCTTCAGAGAGATGAGGACAAACTTGAGCAGAAAGCTGAGAATCTAAGGGAATAGACGACAACAGGATTTGAAGGAATTGTGCCGTGTGTAAGAAAATGGCAGGAGAGGGCCTTTGGGCAGGGAGGGTGATGAGCCGTGAGGCCCTCGATGGTTCGTCACCGGGAGTAGTAAATTAATAGTAGATAACCCATGGATTGTAAGTCTAATGAGTCGTCATTCCGGAAGTGTTGTCCTTGATTCCCTTGTCTACATTGAGTTTTTCCCTCGGTGAGCTATGCAAACTATTTCCACCACCAAGATCTGAAGGTTCCAAAGAAACCCACCTGTTGCGAGTTTCCCCCGTCTTTCATCACACTCTTGATCCTCTCAACCTTTGCCCTAGAAAGCTCCAGTCTTTGAGCTACCCGTAGAATATGTGCTCTTCCGCCGCCCTAAAGATCGACTTTGAAATTAGGTCTACCCCCGACAACAACATTACCACTATCATGTCCATCACTTCATCCTCGTCAAGGTTCAACTTGTCGGCTTGGAGACTGTGGCCGTAGCAGACGGAGAGGAAAAGTTGCCAAGGCGTCTTCCCGCCATACAACTCAATCCTCTGATTCGGGTCGGCCCCATTTCGTAACAGGAACTCAACCATAGCTCCGACTGGGCCTTCTTGGGTGGGGAGTTGGAGAGGCGTCACGGTGGTGGGCCGCAGAGCATAGTCCAATAATGGTCGGCCGCTTTTCTTCTTTACTTGATCCGGGTCCAAGTTGATCTTGTGCTTTGCATATAATGAGAGTCTTGCTTGTATAGAAGAAGCGAGAAAGTTCTTCTGTCGTTTTTCCTTGAAGTTACCCCTCGGAATATCTCTGAAATTAGTCCAATGAACACTTTTGTCTCTGGCATTCCATGTATTCGTATGATACAGTGCGTCTAGTAGGTTGAACACATTATCTAGGTCGTCCGAGAGACACTACGGGGCAGTATTATCAGTCTCGCAGTTGCTGTGATATGCCTCTTCGACCGTGCGAGCATGGTACATCAGCCCATCAGAGAAGAGAAAAACCTCGTTGTAATCGACCGCCATTTCTGCATAGGATGAGGTTTTGACCAGGGCCAGCACGATCCGACATAGTGAAAGTGCCGCGCTGAAGTGCGGAGTCCTTCTTTTGGCCTTTGTTTCCTCGAGTACGTCTCGGTCAATGAAGAAATCTCTTACTGTTCGATGCAAGAAGTCGACTTGATACTGAAAAAATTGGTTCTTGGCCGGATGAAAGGTGACGTAAAGGAGGTCTTTGCCCCTCGCATTGAGCCGCTTCTTCATTCTGTCGTGCAACTTTCCAGATCATTGGGCAAAATGGAGTTGACCTTCATTTGCAAGGCGTAGCTCGAGCTTTCTGCTTCCTGTTCGAGGAACTCGAATGCTAGAAGCGGCAAAGCTTGTCCAGACTTGATCATAATTCTGAAAATACGAGACGTGCTTCCCAGTATACTGGCTCTATTGACTCGATCATGTGTTAGAAATACTCTTCCAGGTCAGCCGGAAGCTCGTCCACGCAACTTTGTAGTTCTGTGAACGTGTCTCCTTTCGCAAGGCCGTTCTTCAGAGATTCCACGACAAGACATATCCACAGGAACACCCCCTGAGCTCTGTCGACAATCGTTTCAGCTAATCGAGAGCAGCGACCATATTGTTTCGTAAGGGCCGTAAAGTCATTGTTGTTACACAAGGTGTCCGTGACATAGTTGCGAATGTCGTCTCTGGTCAAGTCCTCCATTCGAAGTTGCCATGGTTGGGCCCCAAAAGCGTCCAGGAAGGCATCCCATGGCCTGATCGAAGCACAAATCTTGAGAGAAGGTGAGGATGCGAAGTCTTTAAGGATTCGAAGAAGATCCTCAAAGGTGTTGTCGTAACGCTTTGCTCGATCCGTGTACTCATCGAGACCATCGATAAAGAAACAAAATCGCACAGGTAGATCCGTCTGACTAGCGAGTAAGCTGAAAGCAGCTAGAAGCTCCTCCTTCCCCCATGTTTCCATCAATTCGTGTTGAAGGGCTGACCGACGACGACTGCAAACGCGGTCAATGAGATTCGGAACCTCCCTCAATATTTCGTACAAAAGTGTCTGGAGTAAGCCACGTTGGGACTTTTGCATGGAGCTTCCGGCATTCCAAAAATAGTGACATGCTATGACCGTTGTGCAGCCTTCGCCCAAGGCTTCTAATTTCAATCTCGTTGTCGGATGAGTGACGAGGAACTTCATCAAAGTCGACTTGCCACTTCCTGGTTTTCCTCTTATCCAAAAGATCCCCTTCCCTGACTCCAACCATTGAGGAAATAAGGTATAGTCTTGACTGAAAACCCAGTCAAATGTCGCTTTGTGTCTTTCCTTGATCGCCTCCTGTCTCGTCTTGATTTGGTCGAATTTCAAGCTGCGTAGTATCTGGTGTCACGTTCTTACGTACTGCTGCTCCTCGTTGAAATCATCGGTCTCAGCCCTGAGAAGACTCATCTGCTCTGAAAACCCATTGGGTGCAGTCTTTTGTAAGACCTGTGTCGTCTTATCGATTCGCCCAACAATGTCATCCAGTCTGGCGGTAGCCTTGGCCTCGAGGTTGTTGTTCTGATCTTCCAGTTTTCTGAAAAGGGAGTGAATCTTCTTTCTTGCTGTTCTACATGATTCATATTAGCTTTGAGTCTCTTAGTAGCTCCATTTAATAGCGATTTCTTACCCTGAAGCATGAGTAAGGAACATGTGCAGTTCTCTGCGGAGATCCCCCAGCCTCAACTCCAGTTCCCGTATCTTGTGTTCTTTCCACATGCGCCTTAGGGCTTGCTCAAAGCTTTGGCCTGGATTGGTATCAACTTTCAATGCGTCAAGGATCTCAATCAAGACAACAGCACCCTCAGTGCATCTCTGAGCAATGGAGCGCAATATGGAGCTTTCTGTTGTCTTTACCGCGTCTGAGTCGTTGTGGAGGATATCATCTGCAAGATGTCTTAGGCGCCGGGCATCAGCTATCAACATCTCATCATGAATAGTTGAGCCATCAGCAGACTTGTACCGCTCCAGGGTGCCGCGAACTAGTTTGACACCAAGCTCGCAGAATTGAAGAAGATTGCCAGCCAGAGATATGGCGGCTATGAACTCCATGATTGCCCTTTGCAAAATCTTAATCTCTAAGGCGGCAAGAGACAAATGGCAGGCGGTAATGTGGCTGATATACCCTGTCAGGTAAGGCAAACAGCCAAGGCTTACGCGCCGCCGCCTCCTTTCCCATGCATCGAGAGACAGTTCGCAAATATCGATCAAATCCTCCCTACATTCCAATCCGAGACTATACCACACGTTGGCTTGACCCTGATTCTCTCTCTCTGATTTGATTGTTTGACACATAAACAAGACTGAGCGACGTGGCTTCCTTGTGATACCAAGGCGTCCTGGACAAAATGCTGCAGGCCACCTGTGAGGGAACTTCTGACAGCTCGTCTCCGTTTCCTCCTTTTCTATCCATTCATTATCACCCCCAACTCTCTGGAATCCCTCTATGCGAAGGCCAAAAGGCAGACTTGGCATCTCGCCGCCAATAACATTCGGTACATTCAACTTTCAAGGTCCACAATGGGACAGTAATCTCTCTTCAGCTGGTAGGTCCATTCGTCCAATTGATTAACATGATGCTAATGCATTGGGCCATAGAGGAAGGCACATTTATTAATGAAAATCGGAATATCATGGGCGAGCTTGAAAGCATCCCTTGCACAGAAGACCATAGAAGTTGGGCGCAGTGGCCTAGTGTGCTTTTCGCCAACTTTATTCAAAAGCCTTTTGAGACATTATCTTGGGCAGTCGAACATCTCACAAGCTACATCGCTGCAATCTTATTGTTTGCTGGGTGGCTTTGTTTCATATCCGATCTACTTCCAGGGGACTTCCCTCTCGCTATCTTCCTGGTAGTAATTTTGTTCGCAACAGTTTTGGTGTTCGTTTTGCTGTGGAATGAGGGGTTTATTCAACATTATCTCATGCTCCCAGACACCGCAAGTGGTAGTGCTATCTTTGCACTTACACACTTTTGGCTTTGTGATACCATGCCTGGGGGAATACTTCAACGAGCGAATCAAAAAAGTTCGTCAACAGCAGCCTTCTAGATAGGGTTCCAGCAACTTCTCAACTTCCTGTTGGGAATGACAGAACAGCTTTACATTGGGCTTTTCACACACTCAACTTGACTTCTCACCGACGTTTGGAAGACATGAGGCATCGTTTACTTGCCATGGCTCAAGGCTGATTAAAGTACGTCTCTCTACAAGCCGCTGCACTCAAACTTCAAAAGATTCCCTTCTACTATCTTCTTCTCCATCGTTACAAGCGTCGGCATATCCCACATGCAGCTAATCCACCTACCTCCCAGCCATTCCCTCTTGACACTAGTAAGGTATGGAATGGAATGGGCAGCAAGCTCTGGGGTATCCCGCATTCGAACTATCCCACAGTCAGACCAAGATCAAAAGGTTGTACAGACGTGGCCTACTCACATTGCAACCTTTCTGGCAGATTCGAAGACAACTCCGTTGGTATGCCCCCAGGATGGATGGAAAACGCTAGGACGCCCTGCAACGAAGACTTAGTTCATGATCTGAAATCAAATCCAAGGTTATTAATGACGTTACCTGGTCACCATACTCATCCTGGACAAATTCAGTGAATCGTATCAGCGCAAATTTCGAAATGTGATAGGCTCCCCCTCCAGCACCCATGAAGTGAGCCGCCACCGACGACATGTTGACAATCGTCTTGTCGCCACCCTTGAGCATCAAAGGCAGGAACGCCTTGGTCACACGATACGTGCCCCAGTAGTTCACATCCCATGCCTTCATGTACTCATCATCGTCAGCATCTAACAGCAAGTTGAAGGGAGCCATGTAGCCCGCGTTGTTGACGAGAATGTCCAGGCGTCCCCACTCAGTCGTCAATCGCTCCGCGGCCGCCTTCACGTTGGGCGTCCTGCTCACGTCCATCTCGAGGGCCAACACTGTTGGCTCATTTCGTCCTGCGGCCTTTGCAGCCTCGATGATGGAGGCGACGGTAGATGAGATATCCGAGCGAGCGGCGACAGCAATGAGTGATGCGCCTGCCTCGGCGTAACCAATTGCTAGTGCCTTTCCGAGTCCCTTGCTTGCTCCGGTGATGAGGACTGCTTTCCCAGTGCAGTCGGAGGCTGTGACTGGGTTAATCTCGGGGTACGTATCGTGGTGGATGACGTCCCCGGTAAAGACGTCAACTGCGATTGATTAGTCTCCGCATTGTGATGGACCTGGGATGAAGGATAGGTTCGATACCCTTGCGCGGCGGGCCGGCCGAAGGTTGCGGAGGTTCGGACGCCATTTGTGGAGTCTTTCTCGGCTTAATGGTCGAGAGAGGCGATGTACTTCAGCACGATTTCAATCCTCCCAAGTGCAATTGAAGAAATGGGTGTTATTTACAATGTTGCTGAGGTGAATATAGCTTAATATCACCTTGCGCTAAGATCGCACGTCGGACTTCCCCATTTCGTAGCGCCTTTGTGGCGTTGGCCGGAACACTCCTGTGAGATTGCCGACCTACCGGAAGACGACTTTGTAGACTAGGTACCTGCAGAGAGCTTCCGCCCAAGATCGTAGTTGCTTACTTAGGCTCTGGCTTCCTTGTACTAATAATCAATCATCACGACCTTGCCAACTTAGCGCTAAACCATCTGGGTGTTTGAGAACACACATGTACAGTCAGGCTCTTTCCTAAAGTCAGTCAAGTAGGAAAGCACCTCGTCAAAGCATGTTCGCAATCAGGCATACGCTTTCGTGCTCCCTAAGCCATAGAGTGATATAATTCACAAAATGCTGGGGACTCTATCAAGCTGCGCCACTATTACAGCCTCTATTCAACCCCGTAAAGCTGGACGTGCGTCTTTCTAATTGGCTGTCAGCGAGTCACGACTGCTTGGTCAAGGTCATTAGATTCCTACGACTGCCAAGAACGCTCAACAGGAGGTGCCAGATCTAAACGAATGCGAAGGTGAATCCGAGTACTCGGACTCCTATACGAATACGCTCACCTTGAAGCCAGCGACGACAACCCGTACTCCGTAGACGGTGAACATTTGCTGAGCAGAAATCTAGACTTCCCAGGTTGATCAAGCATGGAAAATGGGGCTCCTCAGTAGCTCGACGTCTGTTGACAGTACAGCAATGCCTTGCAGCAAACGGAGCCAATCGCATTGAATTATGGATACGAGCAATGACTTCCAAGAGAGACAAGGCTACGGATGGAAAGCCTGCTGCCTTGGGATGCCATTGATTGAAGGCAAGACGGGTTGTCACGATGGGGTACTGCTGTTGTGGTCCTCTCGGCGGACTATGAAGTACAGAAATGTCAAAGGCGTAGACCTGGTATCTGATGTCGTCTATAAGAATTAGAAGAATCAAAGAAGCCCCGATGACAGATTGAGAGGCACCAGCTTCACCTCTTTTCCTTCTACTCATACTATCGTCTCTCAAGTTTTCGGCATATTCACTTGGCCACCATGTTTGGACAAAAGCTAAACGCGGGCTGGATTGGGATGAGTTTCGTCGCCTTCGGCTCCATTCTGCCTATCCTAGCGCATTCAACGAAACCTCCGAAGGCAGCTCATGTTCAATCTTCTCGGGCAACTTATGTTCAGTATGTCCCTCCGGAGGCTTTCAATGGCAGTGTCATTCCATCCTTCATCTCCGACGACTTTGGTTTCGTCGGCGCCAGGATGTCGGACTACAATAGGAGTGTGTGGGACTGGTGGTACTTCGACGTCGTTTCGCCGACTGACAACTCTTCAATTACCATCCTCTTCAACCTTGCTTTTGATACCGGCTTGCTGGGTGGCAGTCCAACAACTGCTGCGAACACGGACATCACGGGCACTTTTGCGAACGGCACAAAGTTCTCTTACTCGACTGAAGCACCCAACGGCGCTGTTATCGTCCCTGCACAAGAGGGTGGCTCATCTGGTAGCTGGAACGAGGCCGGGATGGCATGGAGCAGCTCCCCGGACATGAAGACTTATGTTGTATCCATTGAAACTCCTCTTATCAACGGCACCGTGACCTTTGAGTCCAAGGCGCCGCCTCACTATCCCTGTGGCCCCAAGGAACCTCGATCAAATCTCCAGATTGCGAAGAACTTTGGCTGGGCCAACGCCGTTTCGGATTCGGATGCGGTTGTTGATCTCACAGTGGGCGACGAGCAAGTCAAGTACACTGGATACGGGTACCATGATAAGGTGAGCCAAGGCATTTTACCATCTTGTTCCAATTCCCAACTGGAGCAAAAGCCCTTTTTCAAATGCTGACAGTTGTTGAACACAGAATTGGGGTGACTGTCGGATTGGAAGTCCAATTCGGCCGCGAGTAGGGGCAGAGCATGGGCCACCTCGAGGGGGTACACTTAGACCTCGACTACCCACCCAACCGGAGGTTGGAATCTCCCTTCTACTCCTTACGCAGAATCAATCAATACAGAGATATTGATACTTCGTTAACCACAGGACCCTACGGTTCGAACCAACTTCCCTGTGATAGGGAGACCAACAGTGACAGGCCATTCGTGGAGAGCTTCACCGATTGGTATTGGGGCCATGCTCGTATTGGCGACTACTCTATCGTCTGGTTTGACTTTATTGACGACGAATTGGTCAACACTGTCAGATCATACGCGTCGAAAGACGGAAAGATCATCACCGCATCTTGCAAAGAGGGAGCTGTCAAGGTGCGCCCAGTCGATGGGCCGTACCCGCCTGTTGGGGATGGGAACTTTCCCTCCGCGTTCAACATTGTCATGGATCTTGGAAAAGAAGGCATTCTCAATGTCACAGTCACCCGAGAAGTAACCGTTCTGGAAGTCCCCATCTATGAACGGTGGACAGGACCCGCCGTAGGATCTATCAATGGCGGTCCGGAGATGACTGGAGTTGGTCTATGGGAGGAGGTTAACCTTCTCAACCCTTTGGCGTAGAACTTGCATGTTGGGCGGGAAGTAGACAAGGCCAATTACGGTGGACACCCGCAGATAGTCTAGTTGATCTCGCAGAAGACCCCCTCCACATCAAACTATCTCGGAAAGACCCCACGTTATTCACAAAGCACGCAGCTCACAGGGTTCTACGATACATTCAGTAAACAGCTAATGAAGTTAATGCTTCCAGCTTTTGATGTACGGAAACTTCTGTTTGAGAGGCTGGTCATCTCAACTTCCAAGAATTAGAGGTCAGCAGATTATGTAGACAATCAACGCATGCTGACTGATTCCACGGCTTTGGTTGACTCATCCACATTCTGCAAAGGCGCACACCACATTGGCCATTGTTTTCTCCGCGGAGACGCTCGTATCTCAGCCCTCAAGGTAAAGATATTCATAAGTAGTCATGACTTACAAGTCGTTCAGTTGCGTAATAATCAAAGACAACAGCTTTCATGCAGTATGTGCGTGCACACCCTGTGCCTCAACATCATGATGTTTAAAATATGTACACGAAGAATTCCATGATGATAATCACATCATTTACTCGAGACCAACGCTAATGGCAGCCAGCGAGTAATCCATGAAGCCAGCGTTTGTGTCCAGAATGTTGGTGTTGAACTCAGCTGAGGTCGGGTAGAAGTTACCAGAGGGGCCGAACTCCAAGGTGTAACCGTAGACCTTGTTAACACCGGGCTTAGCCCAGAAGCGGGAGAAGGAGTAGTCGTCACTGGCGCCGGACGTGGGGTACAAGCCAACGGCCTGGATAGAGGTGTAGGCACGGCCGCCGACAGCCTTCATGGCGTTGACCATGGCCGTACCGACGGTTCTGATGTTGCTGAGATCGGTGGAGGGGATGTACTCCTTGTAAGCGGAGTCGCCGACGGGGCCGCGCTTGCCGTCGTAGGCGGAGTTGAGGAAGTTCATGGTAGTGGTGGTGGTCTGGTCGTCGTCGTCACCCCAGCTGTAGAGGAGGTCGCCGACGGCGGAGTGGATGTCCATGAACCAGCGGATCTTGGGGAAGGAGTCGTAAACGGAGACGAGGTTCTTGGTCTCGGGCTCGGACTCGGCGGCGGTGCCGTAGAACACCTCGGAGCTGGGTGATGTGGAGGCGGGCGCCTCGGATGAGTCAAAGTACTTCTTGAAGTTCCAGAGGAAGTCAAAGTTGCGGTTGATGTCGACACCGATGGAGCTGCCGCTGGAGCCGGACTTGGTGTTTCTGTTCTTGCGCCAGAGAGAGCCGGAAGACTGGTCGTAGGCGACACCGTCGGCGTTCACGAGGGGGAAGAAGACGATACCGGCAGCGAGAACGCTCTTGACCTGGGCGTTGGTGTAGGTCTTCTTGCCGTAAGTCAAGCCGCTGCCAGACTTGTTGGCGGCGAGCAGATCGGAGATCCAGTAGATGATGTTGTCGGGTCCACCGCGCTCGCGGGCGTGGACGGCGGCGCTGAAGTACAGGTGGTACTTTGACTTGTCGGTTCCGGCGCCGACGTAGTAGGCGTACTCAGTGGCGCCGTTGAAGGTCTTGTAGGGCAGGGTGAGGGACCCGATGCCGTAGTTCTTGACAAGGGCGTCGCATGCGGACTTGATCTCGGCAACGTTCATGATGCTGGAGATGGTGGTGCCTGAAGCCTGGGTTCCAAGGCCGACGGGGGAAATGGTTCCCGCGCTGAAGCGGTCGCCGGTGCCGATGGGTGCGTTGGCTCTCTTGCTCAAGTCTCTCCTGTTGATAGAGACCTCGGGCACGAGCTCGTACTCCTTGGAGAGATAGTCAATCTGCTCCTCGGTGAGCCAGGCGTGGAGCTTGTAGTGGCTTCCATCCTCGCTGGGCTTGGCAACTGCCCTGCAACCAAAGTCAAGAGTGTCATTGCGAACAATGTCCCTGTACTTGATTAGTATCAAGATTTCGAGAGGAGATGATGTCTTGCTACCTGAAGCTCTCAGGCGTAGGTCCCTGTAGGTAGACAGGGAGCAACTCTCCGAGCACAACAGTGCTCTGGAGGATCAGAGACGCGATGAGAGAGTACTTCATGGTGATCAAGACGATGGGAAGCGGAAGGATGCGAAGGATGCAAGAGGAACGGCCCGTCGCCAAGTATGCTTAAGGAGACGGGGGATTCGGTCTCCTTTCATAGTCGTTTCCATGATGTCCACAACTGCTGGCTTTGTCTCGGCTCGGCCACAACATCTCATTCAAGCAACTGGCTACTCACAAACCAGTTCTCGCTCTTGAAATCTACCCCATGTCTCCATGTCCACAAAATTAGCTATCATCGTAGCCAATCATAAGCTTAAATCCCCCCGGCACGCTCGAGGATCGCTCATGCGACCTGCCCCAACAGGCATAGCGCTCTTCTGATCTTGGTAGGTGGCTCGAATCATTTATATGAGAGCAAACGGCGCCCCGTACGTAAAGCGGTAAATGGCCTGAAATACCGCGTTCAAGGAACTTTGTCTAGCACGAATTCGCAATGTCACCTTCCTCCGAATCTCGAAACAAAAGATCTTTGAGCTCCCTTCTAGCGTTTGCTTACTTTTGTGATGTATGTTCGATGCACGTAAGACCACTGACTAAGGATCGCAATCTTGCGCCGTTTTCCCCTGTTCCACACAGTCAATTGGCCTCAATAGTGAATGCTATAAAGAATGAGTCAAATGACTCGATTACTTGAGGAGACCCGGCGCACAAGGAGTATTAAATAGACCACAACGATTGTTTGCCATTGGTATCACGTCTTGGCACCGGTCTACAGCCCAAAGCTTCAACCATGCTGTTATCCTCACTGCTCAAAGCAACCATTTGCCTCATTTGGCCCGCTTCGGAATGGACACCATGTGGACAGAAACCAGCCAGCGCGATCCCGTCGCTCCTCGATGCTACACTCGACGATCTCAGCCACGGTCTGAATAATGGAATTTTCACCAGCGTCGACCTCGTGAACGCTTACATCGCGCGCATAGAAGAGACTACACCGACTCTCAACGCCGTCACTGAGATCAACCCGGATGCCGTCTCCATCGCCGAAACTCTGGACCTCATCCGCCGACAAGGCGGACCGCTCCTCGGCCCTTTACACGGCGTCCCCGTATTGATCAAGGACAACATTGCAACGGCAGATAAAATGAACAACACGGCCGGCTCTTACGCTTTGCTGGGTGCTAGAGTCTACGAGGACAGCACCGTCGCCGCCAAGCTCCGGAAAGCGGGGGCGATTCTGCTCGGCAAGGCACACCTGTCGCAGTGGGCCGAATGCCGGAGCTCCAATTCGAGCAATGGGTGGTCAACGTATGGTGGTCAGACCCTGGGCGCGTATTACCCCTTTCAAGATCCATCGGGTTCGTCGGGGGGCAGCGGCGTCGCGTCGTCAGTCGGTCTCGCGTGGGCGTCTCTTGGGACTGAGACAGCCGGCTCCATTCTATTGCCCAGTGACGTCAATAACGTCGTAGGTATCAAGCCCACTCTTGGTCTCACCTCACGGTACCTCGTCGTACCAATTTCGGAGCACCAAGATGTTGTTGGACCAATTGCTCGGACTGTGAAAGATGCTGCTCATCTCCTGGGAGCCATCGCCGGGGCAGATCCCAACGATAACTACACGTCGGCATTCCCTTTCCAGAAGACCCCGGACTACGCCGCGGCATGCCTGGAAGGAGGACTGTTGGGCAAGAGATTGGGAATCCCACGCCATGTCCTGCACGACTCCCGAGGCGCCCCTCCCTCCAACTACTCCGTGACGGTATTCGACTCGGCCGTCGACATTCTCAGGTCCGCCGGTGCGGAGATCATCGACAACATTGTTCTACCAGGATACAACGTGACCGAGATCTCACCGCTCCTCACCAAGAGCTTTCACGCAGATTTCGCCGTTGCCATAGAAAGGTACTTCGGACAATTGAAGTACAACCCGTATAACATCACCACGCTTCGTGAGCTCCGGGATTGGACTCAGCACGACCCCCGAGAGCAGTGGCCGGAGAAGAACACGCTCTCGTGGGACAACAACCTGGCAGAAGGTCTACGTAACACAGATCCGGAATTTTGGGATGTCCATCTCCGGCTTCTGTACCTGACTGGGCCCCAAGGATACGCTGGAGCTCTCAAGAACCATTCCCTAGACGCGATAGTAATACCGACGGCGTTCGCTGTGATGAATGCTGCCATATCCGGCACCCCGGTGATATCGGTTCCATTTGGAAGACATCCGGACAACACTGCAATTATCAAAGACAAGACTGGGACGCTCAACGCCGTTGCCCCCAACTTGCCTTTTGGCGTTGGTTTTGCGGGGGCTCCGTTCAGTGAAGAAACACTGATCAGCATCGCGTATGCCTTTGAGCAGAAGGTTCAGGCTCGGAAGGCCATCAAGCCTTACATCCAGCCCAAAACCGACTTAGAGGACACAGTCAAACTTAGAGCTGAGGTAGAAACAAGGCTAGAGCTGTGATATAAAAGTTGATTTTCAACATAGATTCACAGTTGATGATGCCAAATGTCGGTGTAGGTGTAGCTACCATAATACAGCGTTCATCAACCCTGATGTGATGACGGCATAACTCCTCACCATTGTGTCTTCAAGCAAGCAAGCCACAACTGCATCACCGATCAATCTTCGGGACTTTCCCGGAACCCCGCGCACCGATTTACGGCGGCGGATATCTAACCGGCCCTGAATGCAGGCCCTCCGGGTCGGATTCCGATCGCATCACAGTGGTTCCCCGCACTCCGAGAAAGCTCCGAGACCTTGTCGGCAGCGCACCCGATCTACGATCCAGACGTCTTATATCAATCAACTTCTATCGTCAAATCTTGGAATTCAAACCCTTTGGGTTCAAATTACAATCGGAAACCAATTCTGATAAGTGAGTTGAGTTGCACATTCCTGACAATTGAAGACACGTGAATCTGACCTATGTCTTATCAGTGTCTGGAAACCTAGTCTCCCTCACTGTTATCAAGGGCGCCGGCCACGAGTATATCCCCCTCCCAGAGGGCGAGAACGCAACGGTTGCCGATTTCCATTCGTAAGAAATCTTGTGTGTATCAAGTGGAAGAAAATTGCTAAAACCACACTAGAATCCGAACAAAGACAACAGACTCACCTGCCCACTTCACCTCCGGGTTCTATAAGATTGTCGCAGGACCCGCTCGTCCCGCACACTACAACTTCGAGGAGACCAAGTACGTTCTCAATGGTCAGATTGACATCTTGGTAAGTCACTTCGTAACTGTGAAAATCCTTTTGGCACAAGAGACAGTGTTGACTAGCGCGGCTTTGGCAGGATGAGGCTACTGGAATCACCCACCATCTAGTCCCTGGAGACTTTGCTTTCTTTCACGTCGGATCTAAGGTCAAGGTAAGCTGATATTCCACTATAATCTCGATAAATCCAAATCTCACGGTCTATTCTCTCTCTAGTTCTCTACTAAGTCAGAAGGCCTTGCTTTCTACGCCGTAACCCGGCCCGTTAGAGTTCCCCACCCGAACTTGAAGGGCCGTGAGGAGGAAACAAAGTCCAAGTTGTAAATTATTAGCAAAAGCGAAACTAGCAAGCAAACTTGAATTATAGACAAACACATTTACACAAGAGACCACTCTTACCACCACACTCAGAGAGTCTGTGGAGCACCTTTCGTAACCTTGAAACCACCAGGGGAGAGTTCCTGGAACACGCCCCTTGGATCATACTTCTGAGAGATTGATCTCAAGCGGTCCTTGTTATCCTGTCCATAACCAGCAAACGGGTCCTGAAACTGGCTGGCGTAGTTTGTGTACTTATAGCCCGAAGCAAGGCCCATCTCACCTGCCACCTTGTTGATTCTCTCTTCCATACGCTGCTGAGCTCTGTAGATGGCATCGTCGTCTTTCGCATTTTGCCACCTCGACCATAGGTTGACAAATCCAAGAGGCCGCGACTGTCCTCCAAGTCCGTGGTCCCTCGATCGCTACTTCAAGGGGCTAATCACTGACTCTGAAGGCTTCCAGGCCTTCCTCTGCGTGACAGACTTCTTCCAGAAGATCTGCCCGCGGTACTAGGAGATAGGTCATAACCTATCCTCCAAACGACAAACTACCTCTATTAAGAAACCAGATGGTTATAACGGAACTAGGGCACCAGTGGGAACTAGGGATGGATAGAACACATAGTAGCTCACGAGCAAGATTTGGAGGACGTCAGGATACGGCGTGTACTATATAGTATATAGCTAGAGCCTGCGACCCTTCACGCCACATACCCTCCGGGAGGTCTGCCGCAAGGGCGGCTGCGCCCTTGCCGCCATGGCGTTAAATAGAACAACAACAACAACAACAACAGTGTCGCAACGCTGGCGGGAACTCGAAGGGAGGCAATTCTGTGCGACAGGCCTGCGATTTCCGTGGCGACCCGCCCAGATCTCTTCAGAGGCAGTCTCGCATTCAAGTTTCCTCGAATGGGCGCAGCGCAAATGTGAACGTGAGGTGGAATTGCAGACGTTGATATTGGCAGGATGATACCATGGGTCCAGAAGGCGTCTTGAAAGTGCGGGCAGGGTGTGAGACTGGCCTGGTGGAATTAGGAGACTCCGAGAACAGGAGTATCTAGGCTGTGACATGGGTTCTTGATAGATGAGAGAGTGGAGTGGAATGTGAGGATGCTTGTCTCTTCAGCTATCAGTAGTTGCATATTGTCATTGATCCTCTGCTTTATGGTTTCTACTGCAACGTTTATCAACGTGAAAGCATCACCGCTACAAGCTGCGGAGCCTTCGGTTAGTAGTTCAAATTTACTATGGCTCAGGCTTGGAGGTCGAATGACTCAAGACTTAGTCCGTTCAGAACGTACGTTGGCTTTGAAAGTCTACACAATGATGTGATTAGATCTTGGGCACTTTTTCACGCAAACCCTGGTTTTATGTTCGGTCAGCAGATAGCATGAACTATGAGATGAGATCAAGACGGTAATCTAAATGGACATGAGACTTCAGTTTCCTGGAGACCGAAATGCCTAAGAAATTTCATTCTCAAAAGTGATGCGCCCTGAGTCCCCAATTTAAAACATATCAAGAATACGAAATCTGTGATCATCGATAAGGGAACTGTATCCTCATCTGTATAACGCACTTATTCGGAATTGTGCCAAATTTCTTGCTGCCTAACTTCAGGCCATTGTGGTTTTGATGGCAAATGCAGCATCTCGTTCAACTACCTATGCAATCAGAAATCACGATCCCTTCTCCAGAGTTATCCAAAGTATCACAAGATTCTATATCAATTCCATATGGACATGGTAGTGATCCGTAGCAAGTTTCAGGCATAATGAGTAGAGGGATTATCATCCAGTTCGTAATTTCTGCATTACGAGATCAAAATCCAAGTTCGATCTGCTCCTCAATCTCCGTTGTTCGACCTACGGAAATGACACCCCTTCTTCCAGTCAAATTAAATACCACATTGAAAAGGGTACCAGAGTCATTCTTCCCAATCTGCTTCCGATTGATAGATGCCGGGAAGTTTTGTTCATCCTTGAATAATTCTAGCAAGGTCACGAAGCCGGCGCTCTCGCCGACATCCGGGGTTGCAAGCTCCTTCATACGGGCGGTACGTTTCGGGGAATCTTCAAGCCAGAGAGGCTCAAAGACGCCCTCATGTCCCAAAATCAGGTTATTAGCATGGATAACACGGCCATTCTCGTCAGCCGGAAGCTCCTTGAATCCAATGCTAGTACACTCGAGGCCTGTGGGGCCAGAGTTGTCGCCAAGGAGAATATGACTGCTTCCGGCTAACCCAACGCTCTCGATCTTTTCCAAGGCCTCTCTCTTTGACCTGGACTCCAGAATAGTCCTGAGAGCGAAGTGGGTTGGCATCCCTTCCGAGTTGACGCCCTTGGCGCGGATGCCGTTGAGCAGACATCCTACACCGTGTTCGTTGAATCCAATCTTCCCGATGATACCTGCTTCGGTGATCATCTGGAAAGCTGGCAGATTGGTGCCGTCCGCATTCTGTGGCTTAGCGCGAACAATGATCAGATTCGACTTCTGTTCGTTCTTCCAGTCCCAATTCTGTGAAAGGAATGTTGATCCTCCAGGAGTCTTCCAGCCTAATGCAGTGCATCCATCTACTGCCATTTCTGTCGCTGCGCCTGGCGTGCCTTGTTTCGATTCCGCTTCGAAAAGGCCAAAGGCGATCTCGCTCCGTATGTTCAACGCCACGACATCAAGAACATCAACCGCAGCACCTTCCGCAACCCCCTCCATCTCTTCAAAGTATAAGGGATAGTTGGCTTTGAGGTGTGGCACGAATTCTAGGGTCTTCTCCTGTACTGTAGACCAATCCAAGCTACTGAAAGCTTTGAAAAAATAACGATAGAATTCGACAGACCCGGCAACTTGCTTTGCTGCCTGTTGACCTACTGCCAGACCGATCTACGTTGACATAAAAATAAGCTTTCAAGGCATATAAGAAGCAGTCGGAAACATAACTTACCTCTCGATGAGTTCCAGCCACAGCGATTTCAATCATCTTCGCAGAAAATTGCCTGTCACTCTGATGTCGCTATCTGGAAAGAAACATGTAATCTCAGCAGACGGATGTCTCTAATGACTATTTTGGGGGTCTACGTTCGTGATGCGGGGTTCTCCTCGGCTATCTAATGCGGGCTTCGGAGTGGCAAACGCTGGACGGCGCGTCGACTCTCAGCTCCTCGATATGGTACTACCTACATATCCGCAGTGCCACACTAGCTGGCTTGCGTACTCATCTGATAATGGCCAATTTTGGACAATCTCAGCCAATCACATCCAACATGGTATCAAAAGTGGTGTAGAACCTCTAGGCGAATTGAACCATCAATTCATGAAGCATCCGGGTATGTTCAAACTTCAAACTTCGTAGCGCATGCAGCATATAATAACGCAATGGCGTGAATGGCCTCTGAACTGTAAAGTCTCGTAGCGTAGAATTTCAGACTGCTTTTTCGTCTAGTGTACCATCGCAAACTCCGAACGTGAATATTCAATACATGCCAGCAATCCAACGCGGGCTCTTCAACATTGTGACATGTGACAGTACAGACTGCAGTCATCTCCGGTTGGATTATTCAAGATTTACTATTGGTGGAAGGCTGGAGGACTCACGGTCAAAGTAGCCTGCATTCCATTCAACGGAAAACTTCCTGGAATTCTGCCCGCTTAGAACGCCAACATTCAAGACTGAACTCGAAAACAACGCCAGTCTTGGGAGAAACAAAAATCGCTAAAATTTCTTATATCGTAGGGAAAGCATTGCCGGAAGAACTGGGTCTTCGAAGCACAATAATGGCTCTTTTTGAGCTCTCAAACTTCTAATAAGCGGGCTCATAAATGGACATATCTAACTTTGCAAGAAATGCCTTGAGTTTTCAGGATCTGATTCGGCAGTGGTAGGTGCTGAGCTGTTGGAAATTGGTGAAAATGCTCGATACTGTCTATGTAATCAGCTTATGCTGTTCTACGCCGTACCGGAAGAGAAGTAGGGCTCTTGGGAGCTGTCGATGTTTCTAATCAACCTAGAGATTCAGGACAGCATTATTAATTTATTATTGCAAGACCTCAATGTATGCTTTAAAAGTCTGTATCCTTCGGTGAGCTTAAAACATAAAAAATTGCAAATTCTGTAATGACACGAATGATAAAAGTATTCTATTCAAACAAGGCGAAAGCGTCTGATGCTTTTGAACAAAGTCGCTTGAAAGAAGCAGTCGCGTTTCCGTTCCTTTTAGACTGTTCTCGCAACCAGAAATTTACGGCAAGAGACGTTCACCTTGTTGAACTTTTCCTGGAACGTCGAGATTAGCGTATACGCGTTGTCAACCCGAGCTGCAACGAACCCTCGGGTAAGATGCTCGGATTCATGTTTGGTTCCGCGTATTCTTTACAACTCGACTCGGGTCCGTGTGTCCCACATTTCAAGCAATCCGAACCCGTTCGTCTGCAACTCTATCCGAGCATTCAGAGCCTGGTACAGACTAGAAAGAAATATGCAAACACGGAGCTGGGGAGGCTTAGATCTATCCAGACGTCGTGGAGCTCGAAATTATCTCCTGGGTATCAAAATATCTTTACAATATGGACGGCTTCATTCTCCCCCAGCGTACATATACCCGCTCAATTCTTTGCTCTCTTGAACTCCCAGACATTCCTTTCTTACGGCAGCCTCTCCCAACACTATTCGCCTTTCCTTCTACACGATCTTTTAATCTTCCATATTGATTCTTCTCATAAAGTTTACCAGACACCATTTGGCCTGCAATCATGTCGACCGATGGCTACTTCGAAGCAGTGCCTGGTGTCACCCCAACAAAGGGAGGCGCCTACCTTTGGCGCTACGTCCCAAGCAAGCCTGCAGCGATCCTATTTCTCATACTATTTCTCGCCTCTTTCCTCTACATCAGCCGGAAGATCTGGAGAACTCGTGCTCGCTTCTGCATCGTCTTTGCTGTGGGATGCCTCTGTAAGTTGCCCCATGACTCTGGTTTTCATAACCTCTGCTGATGCCCAGGAAGTCGAAGTGATAGGATACGGAGCACGAGCCAGCGCTCACGATAAGACCGAAAAAATTATGACCTACGCCATTCAGAACATGTTCATCATTATCGCCCCCGTCCTCTTTGCCGCCTCGATCTACATGGTCCTCGGTCGAATCATCACGAGCATCCACGCCGAGAAATATTCAATGATCAGAGCTTCCAAATTGACGAAGACATTTGTCATCGGCGATGTCTTTTCGTTCCTCATTCAGGGAGGTGCATCGGGCATGATGGTGATTCAGAAACCCGGCTTGGCAACTTGGGGTGAGAGGATCGTCATCATCGGCCTTGTTATCCAGATCGTCATGTTCGGCCTGTTTTGTGCCATCGCTGTCGTCTTCCACTGCAGAATGAGGCAGGCACCCACTCCCGGCTCTCTGGACGGTCTTATCCCCTGGGAAGAGAGCCTGTACATGCTTTATGCTGTCAGTCTGCTCATCATGGTTCGATCAATCTTCAGAGTCGTCGAGTTCGCTCAGGGGTACACTGGTTACTCTCTTTCTCACGAATGGACTCTTTACGTCTTCGACTCTCTTCTCATGTATCTTGTCACGGTACTTTTCGCTTGGAGGTTTCCAGAACGCTTGAGGCCTAAGGAAGACTTGGCTTTGTGATTTCACTTGCATCGGCTTTGTATCTGATGTTAGTAAGTGGTGTCGGACTGTTATAGTGCGCAGATCAACCTTGCATGGCAAGGCATAATTTGGAACATTCATATCTTACACAGGTCTTATCGAGTTCTTTTGTTAGTCGCTTCAGCTATGAATCTTCATCTCCAACTTGGCTCCATTCGCCTTTGTGTACACTGCTGTAACTCAATTCTTTTCCCCTACATCAGTTTACTTTCCTTATAACAACTGGCTCCTCGACAGTTTTTGGATGTAAACCCCCCCCCCCCATTGAGCAGATGCTGTGCTGTCTTCATCGACTCATAGCTCTCAAATACCCAGTCCAGCGTATCATTGGGGCCATTGGCAAGATTGCCGGTATGATCATTCCGGTATGATGTTGTTGCATTCGAGAATAGTTCAGGCCCTATCGGAAGGTTTTGCATCCCATCTGGGCCATCCTCCATCATCCGCCCCAGCATGCTATGATGCTCATGGGGAAAGTTGCAGGACTGCGTCGTGTGATTATCTCGCGTTGATTACGTCAAGCAGACGGTTATGCGGCAGATTTTGCAAACCTGGAAGCAAACGCTTGCAGGTATAGGCCGACAGCATATTGAGCAGATAGTGACCCAGACGTAATTTTGCCTGAGCATATCTCGGGCTAAAGAGTCGAGTTGAAGTGGCACTTTATATCCAATCGAGGCACCCTTCTCCAGAAGCTGTTCGTAGACTTTCTGATGGCCAAGTCTGGCTGCCAGGAGTAATGGCTGATCCAGAATCTCCGGTCCCTCTGATGGATCTGCATTGAAACGCAGCAACTCATCAAAGCATGAAGGGCTCCAATCAGTGCTACCGATCAATGCACATTTAACTGACATGGTGATGGCATTCTTCCCAAAACCATCCTTGGAAATCACCAGAGCAGAATCCGCGCAGTAGCTCATTAGACGACGGATGTTACCCGAAGATCCAGCCTGAACTGCGAACCACAAGGGCGTCCTTCCCGCGACATCCCTCGAATTCGGCTCGGCTCCATGTAGGAGAAGTATCCCAACAACGGATCCGTCACTATTCGGGATTTCAGTAGCATATGATAAAGGTGTCCTTCCAATGAGGTCTTTGGGATCCACAGTGGCCTCTAGCTGCAGACATAAGTCTGTGTACTCTGGACTATGTCCAGAGTATGACAAGGCGGTACGTCCATGCTGGTCGCTGAGGTCGACCTGCGCCCCATTGTCGATCAGCAATTGCGCCGTCTCTAGAACTCGTCGTAAAGAAGCCGGCTTCTGGTAATAGGGAAATCGAAAATGTAGGAAACAACTGTGTGTTCCATCGTAACCACCGTCTGGACTATCAAAATCGCAGAATTTCAGCCCTTCCACGAGATAGGAAAATGGTGTTCTTCTGGTTGTGTCTGCGCCGTCTGCCACCGCCCCATTATCGATGAGGAACTTGAGACCATTCAAAGAGGCAAAGTAAGCGGCTGTGCAGGTTAGATATCGCCCTTGCTTAGACTTGAAGTCAAAGTGTGGTGCCTGTCGAAACACTTTCTCCATGATGTCTGGATTTCCCTGGACCACAGCACCGTCAAGAACATTCAGAAAAGATGTGCCATATCTACTCCTGTTCATAGACACTTGGAAAGGCAAGCTCTCAAGTACTTTGGCTTTCGCAGCGAGGAGTTGCTCCACCATAGCCTCGTGGTTGCGCTCGACGGCATGAGAGAGAGCGGATCGCGGGGCAGATATCAGTCCAACCTTCAGATCAACGTTTGTACGTTCATCAGACAGTAGTTCTTGGGCAATATGAAGCCTATTCTTGCCAGAGCATGCAGCAATCAATAGTGGACTGACCATCATACCAGAATACTTATATTCAACCCAGTTGGGATCGACCCCTTCGCTGAGGAGAAGCGGCACAAGAAAGGTGTTATGCGAATCCGTGAAACAAGCATCTATCAGCAACTTTCCTCCTCGATGTTCCCATTCAGCGTCGTGTTGGGCAAATTTCAAAAGAATCTGAAACAGACCGAAGCACTGTTCTCAGATTGCCGTTGCAAATGGCATCGACAAGGGCAGCCTGTAGCCATCCTGGTGTCAGAGCCCTCCCGGATAGGGGCTAGTTAGAGGTAGTAAGGAGTCCAAGCAACAAAGGAGCAGCTCAGATATATATACAGCGCAGGGAGTACACGTCGAGGGAGGAGCAGATTTCAGTAATTCATCATTCTACCCCTAACTGCAGTTGGCCTCTGAGAGCTTCCACCCTGCGTCAACACCCCAACTTGACACCTGGTTCCACTTGCCAGGATGCCCATCTGGTCTCGCACCGTTCGTAAGTAAAATCCGGGCTGTACTTTCGTTTCGATAAAAGATCGCATAATAGAGCGGTGTCCAGTTTTTGATATCCTTGACATGAATTGTATCTTGTTATTAGAAAGAATTCGTGTCACTTCAATGTCGATACCTAGGGCCGCCGCCACGTGTAGAGGGCTTGCTTCTGTGTCACCACCAATTCTGGCCAGAAAATCGACATGGGGCCTCTGATCGAGCAACTCTTGGACTTTTTCATGAAGGATAGGGGCCTCTGATCGACGAACGTGCTCACACCAATTATTTGCGGCGTATCCTAGAAGGCTCTTTTTGGACTTTGAGAACTGTCCACATCTTTGTTATCAAAATTGCCCAAGAGGTCTCTGTGTATTGCCCTGCCAGAGACGAACGAATAGTCTGAAGAAACGGGATGGAGATGTCCGAAAGAAATCAGGTATGCAGCGCACATTCCACTAATGTCGTAGTGAGCACGCGGAAACCAGTTCCTTTCAGTTGCTTCGAAATATTCTTGTAGTGCATAATGGCTCAAGCGAACGATGCCAGACGTTTTGTCGACTACGATCAAGCCTCCACAAGCGGAAGCAATGTCTTCGGGTTCATACATGCTGTCTTTTTCCAATTGTCCGTTATTCAAGCTAGCGGCGAGAGCTTCTATCAGCTCGTTAATCTGCAATCGTCTTGTGGCGTGTGTGATCCACGTGAGGGCCTGCATTGCTATGCCACTGTGTTCTTGCGTTTTGATTCTTTCCAAGACACCATCATAGGCTTTGCAAAGCAATCGACGCTTCCATTCATCACTGCCATTGGGGCCTGACTGAGCGATGTATGCATCTCTCTGAAACTCCCCCAAGCGCTTGTTGACAGCTGCGACGTTGAGGTCGGTCTCGAAAGAATCTAGAAATAGTTGTGCTAGGAGAAACCTGTGTTTGGGAGATAATGAGCTGTCCGCTTGCCCAGGTGCTTATAAGCCTACCACGAGGTTCTGGGGTCTCTAAAATAGAGTACGTACATGCCATCGACAACGCCAATGATGGCATCTTTGACTTTGTTTTGGAGTTCCGGATGTCTTCGCAGAACCGCCGACAGCTTTTGCACGCGTCCTCCCAAATACCTTTCCAAGTCTTGTGTTTCTGCGCAGACTTCCTGTATCAAGGAATTTGTAGGATTGAACTGACAGCTGATGGCATCTATCGGTCGTGAAGTGATGAATAGTCTAACGTTTGGCTGGCGCCGTAGGTCGTCGATGATGTCCAGCATCTGTGCGCGCTCGTTCGATCCAAAGACTTCCAGTTCATCTATTGCATCTATGACGATGAAGCAGCCCGTAATCATGAGGATTGACTCTCGTAGTATTTCCTTGACGAGTGTCGAGGGGAGCGTATCTTTGCGTTCGTACATCTTCTCTAACTCGACAGGTAGGAGAGGCAGGGCTTCGAGGACTTGCCTCAGGATAGATCGTAAAAGAGACGTTGAAGTGTCCAGAGACCGGTTCTTGTAGTCGCAGTACACATACGCAAAAGTAATGCCATCACGGTCTCGGTATTTGCTACGAAGATGGTCGATCACTGTCGCCGTTATCATAGTCTTTCCAGCTCCTATCCCACCAGAGCAAAAGAGAACCCGGTATTTTTCCTTGGAACAAAGGGAACATAACCATGTCTTGAAATTCTGGCACTCCAGGAACCAGGTACCGGTTCTTTCGTATCTCAAGTTGAGCAAGTCAGGCTGTTCCAACACGAATGTTCGCGTCGAAACCCAATCAAGAACCTCACGTCTGCTTTCCGCTTCCGCTCTCTGCCGTAGTTGATCTTGGATGCCTCCAGCTGTGCTGCGGAAGTCATCACGAAAATTCTCGACGGCTTGACCCAGTTCGCCTAGAGTGTCGTGGACTCCGTCCACAGATTTGGGGATCTGTTCGAGATACTGTTTCGTCTCCTGGATGATGAACCTGTGAAAAACCAGCATCCCTTCAAATCAGTGAACGGAAAGAGAGAACGTGCTCATACTGTTGATTCGCCTGTGCCACCATTATGAGCAATATTGGGGCATCACGGACCGCTTGTACGTGCGTCTCAAGTTTCTGATCAAATTTGGCCCCTTTGAACCACTTCTTGAGGAAGTTTTTCCCAGAGAGGCGTTCGTTCAGGACGACAAATGCCTGGCGACATCGGTCCAAGGTGTCTCTCAGCCTTTCGTCATACTGTGCGTGCAGTGGCTGTCCACCTGCGTCAACCGATTTTAGAAGAGGGTGAAGGATCGCAATCATCTGAATGATGTCGTCGAGCCAGCCGGTGAGAAGCTTGAGTTCGGTGGTGTCATGCTTCGAGGGACCAATATGCTTATTCGCAAGTTGAAGGCATTCTTTCGCCAGTGGCAGAACTCCAAACGCACCAACGACTAGGCCAGCGACCTCCATAGTGCTTCTCCCAATAGGAGGCGCGGAAGTGGACGACGGCCTCCAAGGTGTAGATGAGTGCTAACCTGTCAACTAAGGAAAGATGCGAAAGGTCCAAACTTTGTATTTGTCGAGTTCCCAACAAATCTGAGCCGCGGTGGTAGCAAGAGTCAAGGTCAATTCAGACCCAGACGAAGATTCAAGTCCATGATAAGGAATCGGAGATTGGGAAATCGACGAGGTAAAGCTTGAAGAGGGGAGGCAGCATAGATTACTGCAAAAGTATGAAATCCCTAGAAGGCCTTGCCTCTACTAGGGTCCTTGGGTACTTTCGAGCACGATCCAAGGAGGCACGGTGTGAAGAGAAGAATCAGGCATCCCCAAAGGAAGGTGACCACTGCCCACTGTGTCTCAGGGCTGAGGTAGACATGATGTTATCGATTCTCTTTACAGAAGCACAATTCTTTCAGCAGGAGGCCAATCCTCTTTGACACTTCCGACAAAGAATACACCCGTTGTCTTGCTTCAACATTCCCTCAAAAACAGCCCTAGTCCAATGAAGAAGGATCAAAGTCCTCCTTCATGTCAGGCACCCAGCCTTTGGGCCGTTCCGTTCCCCGGATCGCTAGGCCATAGCCCAGCTTCTCCACCTTGCGCACCGACTGTCGCATAACCTCCATCTTGCCCCTGAAGTCTCTTGTAGGAATCTCTGGAAGAATCTCGAAGCAACTGCTCAGATCGTGGATATCCATCAAAATATTGCGGCCCTCGACGCCAGCCAGCTGACCGGTCTGTGCAGTGGTCACAGTAGCGAAACGCATCATCTCGCCAAAGAGATCAAAGAGACCAAACATGTAGTCGTTTTCGGTGATTGAGACATTAGCTGGAACTGCTGCTGCTGTCTCTTCCTGGCTGATGAGGGTCTGGTTTCGAAGGTAGTGGGAGAAGGAGAGGGCTTCGACGAGCTCCTCCAGGCAGCGGAGTGAGTGGGCGTAGCGGTAGCGGTTGATTCCTTGGATGTCCTTCTCAATTGCGGTCAGGTGGTTCTTAATCTCGCCCATGCGCGTTTCGATCTCCTTGTTGGCGAAGTTGGGAAGGTCGCCCAGCTTGTTGACTCTACCACGGTATTAGTAGATGGCGCTAGAACAATGTGCGGTTGGTAGAAATTACCTCTGGCAGGTGAAGATACTGCATCCAGATTAGTCAGAGTCAAGAATACACTAGCAGTCGAAAGCTCACATCTTCTTGCTCAACGCGGTTACATCCCTTGATGCTTTCACAATACGCTCCCTCCGGTCGTGGTGCTGGTCCAGCTCATCGCGAAATTTCATGAACATGGGGGTGAATTGGGACTCGGGCGCAGCCGGCTTCTGCTTGGGCTCATGAGTCCGCATGTTGCCATTCCGATCGCGCTTAGACATCCTGGATTATGCAACAATTGGGCGGTGTTGGTGAGATGAAATGCGAGGTCGGCAATAAGTGAGGCCGTCGATGAAGTCAGCGACCTGGATGGGAGTGATGTTGGTGTGAGGTCGTGCAGGGTCAGAATTAAATTTAGTGGGGTCGGCAGTTGGAGCACCCGGGGTGTGGGCCCAGCACACCCGTGTCCAGGGGCTGGCCGTTTTTGCCCACGTCACTCAAATTTCCCATCATGGCAATATGGGGATTTGAAGCTTCAACTCCCGAAACTCACATTCGCTCCAGAGCATCGTGTCTTCCAGGGCTTACTCAATGGCTTTCTGTATAATCTCTTCCAAATAGGACTATCTGATTTGGTAGCCGACAATCTCGCGAGGAAATACATCTCTCCCGAGTCATACTCCAGCATGGCCGGCCTGGACGCGTTCTTCCGGCCCGTGCCGCTTTTCGGCGCCGCCGCGCTCCTCCGTGTGGCGATGCTGTACTACGGACTATGGCAGGACGCCATCTCCGCCGTCAAGTACACCGACATTGACTATCTGGTCTTCACCGATGCCGCTCGCTTCACTGCTCAAGGGCGTTCGCCCTACGACCGCGAAACTTACCGCTACACGCCACTTTTGGCGTGGATGCTCGTGCCTACGGCGTGGCAAGGATGGTTCTCCTTCGGCAAGGTCGTTTTCGCGGTCGCTGATTTGCTGGCCGGGTTCTTGATTGTGCGCATTCTCGAGAGGCGCGGCGTGGAGATGGGTAGAGCATTGAAGTTTGCCAGTATCTGGCTGCTGAACCCCATGGTCGCAACGATCAGCACTCGTGGAAGCTCCGAGGGACTCCTGGGTATATTGGTCATGGCGCTGCTTTGGTCCGTGCTAGAGAGACGGACGACGCTGGCTGGGCTATTGCTTGGCTTTGGAGTCCACTTCAAAATCTATCCTTTCATCTATGCGCCAGCTATTGTATGGTGGATGGATGATGAGACGCTCGGTCGAAAGGGGACGGCCTCTGCTCAGGCGCAGACTTTGGGCGAAGCCTTGGTCAAGTTCATCAATGCTGAAAGAGTCAAGTTGGCCATTGTCAGTCTTGCGACCTTCATGGGGCTCAACATTGCCATGTTTTCTATGTAAGAGATTCTGAGATCATGCCATGTTGGACAGTGCTAACCGCCTAATAGCTATGGCACGCCGTTCTTGGTGCATACTTACTTCCACCACGTCACCAGAATCGACCACAGGCATAACTTCAGTCCTTATAACGTCCTGTTGTATCTGACGTCCGCTTTCCCATCCACGGCTACTCTTCGCATCGAATCCGTCGCATTTCTTCCCCAAATCCTGCTGTCAACGGTGCTTATTCCGTTCATCCTAGCCAAGAAGGACCTTGCAACTTCGATGATGGCGCAGACGTTTGCTTTCGTGACCTTCAACAAAGTCTGTACGAGCCAGGTAAGAGCAAACTGCCATTCACTGGATCTCAAAAGCTGTGGCTAACATTCGAGCAGTATTTCCTGTGGTACATGGTCTTCCTGCCCATTTACCTCCCCGGCTCACAGTTCCTCAAAAGTCCGAAGCTTGGAGCTACAGCATTGGGTCTTTGGATCGTGTCTCAGGCTGCTTGGTTACAGCAGGGCTTCAATCTGGAGTTCTTGGGCATTAGCACCTTTTTCCCGGGCTTATTCGCATCATCTGTGGGATTCTTCCTCGTTAATTGTTGGATCTTGGGTATTATGGTCAACGACGGCGAGTCAACAACCATTCAAACAGATGGGAAAGTCAAGCGATAAGACTTGCAAGATTATGTAAATGCTATGCAATGAGGAAAATTGAGTGACTTCAAGGATTTCGCGTTTTGGTGAACCGAACGGGTTACCCGTGTACCCCTGGTCTATTGATGAACGTTGCCCAGCCACGATAGATACCTAAAGAACCAAATTTTGTTTAAGTAATTTTCATATACTTAGCCTAATCTCAAATGCATGCAAGAACTTTTTGATTGAGATCGCGAAGTCCGAGAGAGGCAAAGGGGTTGTGGTTGTTGCCTGAAAGTGGACACGTGATCCGGCGTCACTTTCCCGCGACGGTACGCGCGCGGGCACACGACCTGCGTCCATCTCTGCCTACACCAACTTGATCCTGTCGCATTGCCCAATATTTTAGGCCTCGCAGCCAGCACCCGAACCGCGCGCCAGTCCGCGGTGCTTTTCCCTCCAGACAGGTCGCGATGTGGTTATTAGAGACTGACGGCAATGTCTTCGAAGGTACATCTTAGTTTACCCCGCCAATCGTACAAGATGCTGACGCGATTGATGTCCAGGGCGACGGCTTTGGCTCCGGCCAGGCAAACGATATCTCTTCGGCCGAACGGACTCGGAACGTATGGACTACGACTATGCGACCACCTCGAGCAAACTTGACTGACGGACTGCAGCCGGACAACTGGCCATCTCCCACAAAACCATTTCGCGCAAACATCTGACAATCGAGGTCGATAATGTATCCGACGGCGACAGCGTACGCAGGCGCATAGCGATTCACCAGTACAATTAGCTGAATATCTTCCTAGCAACACCTCACCCGCCGATCGACCGTCACAATCGAAGACTTGGGCACCAAGACCGGAACGACCGTAGACGGGCACAAACACAAGGGCGAGAAGCATGTGGTGGCCGCAGCTTCGGCAGAGATTAAGATGGGCGGCTGCCCTGACCTGTTTCGGTACGGATATTGTTGCTTGAAGTTTCGAAATGCCTGCTGATGGTTTCGTAGCTTGACCTGGCAGCCTGTGGCGCTCACATTCAGCTTCTCGAGCCGGGAAATGCAGTCCGACCCCTTTTCACGACTGCGTGTCGACCTTGAGCAGCTTGATGTCAAGTTACTGGCAGACTATAACATCCAGCACACGACACATGTTGTCACTAAGAAGCGCAACACCTCAAAGGGATTGCAGGCCCTCATCAATGGAAGGTACATCGTGGCCGACTCTTTCGTCGATGCCATTGTCGCAGCAGCGACCCCTTCGGAAGATGACGATATTACTGCCTCTTCTGCTTTAGAAACAGACTTTAATGGCAACTGGCCAGATCCATTGAAGCACCTGCCTCCTCGCGGTGGCGAGCCTGTCGAAAGGCCTCCATCCGCGTATGCCCCGGACGAGGCCCGCTTGGAAATCTTCGAGGGGTACACCTTCATTTTCTATGACAAGGGTCAATTTGACAATCTCTTGGCGCCAATCACCAACGGCAAGGGCAAGGCTCTATTCACCAAGGTCGATCCAAAGTCGACCACAGTGGACGACTTCGTTCTCTACGTCAAAACGGAAGCTGGCGAGAAAGGCCTTGGATCCTTTGACGACGGTAGCGAAGGGCGAGGCGTCGTAGTCGTCCGCTTCGTACCGAACAAGGGCGAAGCTGTGGACTGGTATGCCGATTTCTTCACTCAGGTTTCCCTCCGACTTGATCACAGACCCATTGAACAGAACGAGTTCCTCGAGGCCATCCTCATCAAAGATGCCAGCATATTGCGCCGGCCTTTGGAGATGGACCCCACTCAGGGTCCGGCAAGCACAGCTCTGCAACAGGAGGTGGCACGGGTTGACTCCAACTCGATGGATATAGATCAGCCAACGACCTCACAGAACACGCCTCAAGAGTCTGCACCTGCGCCTAAGCCTGCTGTTGCCAGAAGTCGGGTGCGGAGGGCACCGACGAGACGCTTTGCTGGATTTGACGCCGACGATGATGACGATGATGCATTTACTCCTCCAGTGACTGAAAGCAAACCCGCCGAGGCTGAATCTGAAGAAGAGGGTCTGTTCGTTTTTCAAGATGCGAATGCGTCAAACGAGGCAGCCGGACCATCGCCAGATACAAACAGACGATCCCAAAGGAAACGCCCTGCAACACAGGACGATGACATTGAGGACATCATCCCAACAGCGGCTGCAGTCAAACGACGGAGGATCGCAGCCGGAGAAGAGCCCGTTCCACGTACCGAGCCACCTGAACCCGCGAAACCCGAGCCAAAGCCCGCTCCCAAAGTCAAGAAGGTGAAGAAAGAGATTGACGTCCTCGACGTTGCCCGCCAGCAGAGGGAAGCAATGGAGGCTCGTCTCAAGGCAGAGAAGGAAGACTTGGCCAACTTACCCGACGATGTTGATATAGAGCAAATCCGGCGGTTGCACATCGTCGAGGAGATGCCGTTACGTCAACCACCAGCCAACAGAGGTCACGATAAAGATGACGAGAATGGTAGGTGGGATCCACGGTGGAATGGGAGGAAGAACTTCAAGCGCTTCAAGCCGCGGGGCGAACTCACTGGCCGACCTCCCCAGAGGGTCATCGTGCCCTTGACGCAAGTCAAGACCAAGGAGTTTGGAATTGGAGACGATTACTGGCTAGAGGACGACAGTCAGCGTAAGAAGAAGGGTAATGACAGCCAGAAGAGCGGTACAGCTCAGGACGAGTCCGCTCCTCCGCCACCCCCGCCGCCGCCGCCTGCGTCTCGGCCTGCATCGCGACAACAGCGTATCGTTCTAAGCGACGACAGTGAAGAGGACGACATACCCGATACCCAGGCTGAGCCAGAACCAGAACCAGAACCGACGCCAGCATCACGGTCGAGGAGTACCCGCGCCACGACGGCGACACAGTCACAAAACACCACACAGAGTCAATTATCAAGACAAACTCGCGGGAAGAGGTCCGCGCCAGAACCAGCCAAGGAGCCGCAGGCGAAGAAGCCGAGAGCCTCGCGGAAAGTCATCGAGGTTGCGGACAGTGACGACAGCGAAGATGAGCTCAAGTTCAAGTTTGGCCGACGGCGATGAGGGGACACGGCGAGGGAGAGTGGTAATGATGATGTATGACTTGCATTCGCGACGGGCGCTGCTTCTATTGTTGGGGGGTATCTCTCTATCCGTATTCTGCATGCAGGCTCGTCCTGTTGAAATACAGGCCTCTGCTGCCGCATCTTGCTTATATGTGCCTCTCAGTACCATTTTCTTCTATGTGAACCCGAAAATCCAAACCATGTACATCAGTCCATCTCATCCATCGCACTTGGCTTCGAGCCCTCTTCCTCATCTACCAACAGCCCCACGAGGCACGCGGAGAGCATAGTCTCGTAGTTCACCCAGGGATGAATCTCCCCAAACAGTTTCGTCCCATCACGCCCCGCACCGCGCAGCAACTCGGGCTCACCGGCCGGGTGATATGGCAGGTACGGCGTGATATTGTACACCCTCCCACCCAGCGCCATCCAGGCATCTTTCCCCTTCCTACCCGTCATCTTCTTCAGCATCGACGGCGTGACTTTGAGGTAGGGCGTCGAGGGCGGGAGGTTGCGCAGGTCCGCGTTGGGACCTGAGATGCGCGCCCAGTCGAGGGGCGAGTGGCCCGGTGTGAGGATGACTTTGCGTGTTGGCTTGGGGGCCTTTGCGGAGTGTGTTGGCGGCGGCGCGAGAGAGGAGCCGAGGGAGGAGCCTCCGGATGCTGGGCCACGGTTCGGTACGGGGCCGCGGGCGCGTTGGGGGGAGTTTATTGCTGGGAAAGCGGCAAGGCGAGGGGGGACTGGGCCGCGAGGTGTTGGGGCTGGTGGCGGCATCATGTTGGTCGAAGATGTTGAAGGCGGAGGAGGAGGGGGCATGCTTCCTTTGCCGAGCATGGGTCCTGAAGGTGAAGAGAGTGGTGCGCCGAGGGATGGGGCTGCGGGTGCCTTTGAGGGTTCTTCGAGGGTGAAGGATGGTACGGGTGCGATGGGAGCGGCGGGGGTTGCCTTTGGTGTTGTTTGTTCTTCGGCCTCTGGCTCGGTTACCAAGGGCGGCGCGGGAGTGGGAGGATTTGGGGAGGAGCGGCGGATGACCGGCGGAGGAGGAGGAGGCATAGCGACGGCGGCGGTATTGCGCAGCGCGGGTGCCGGTGCGGCGACGGGGTCTTCGGGGAGGTTGATCGTTGGCGGGGGAGGGGCATCGCGCGGCTGTTCCGTGGTAGAGGGCTCAGATGCGTGCCCGTTGGTCGTTGTCGAGGAGGCCGTCGACTTTGAGTCATGTTGGTTGCTTGGCGGTGGAGGAGAAGAGGACTTTGACCGCGTAGAAGGCGGTAGGAGCTTTGCGTCGTTTCGCCAGGCGAGGAGGAAAGGCGGCATGAAGGGGTGAATCCATGGCGGAGGGGCAACGATGACCCAGACGAAGGAGGCGAGGATGAGGGAGACGCCGATGTAGCCCATGTTTGCGACCCGGTGATGGTCCGTTGGCCGCGACGGGGGATGATGGGGTGGGAGGAAGAGAGGTTGAGGGAAAGGAGAAGAATGGAAATGTCGAAGTGTGGTTGTGATGCGGCTGAATACCTCTGGGAAGCTGCGGTTGTGTGAGTGTCACTTTCCCTTGGAGGGTCTGCGCAAGATGGGAAATCTTTGTCAGCTTGCAGCGGTTGCAACATCGATTTGTGCTTTCCGAGGCCGCTGAGTGGTGCAAGCTTTAGCTCGCGGGCTGCTAAGCGACAAGGGGGGTGCACGGGGTTCACTGGCGGGGTTCGAGCCTTCCCAGGCTGTTCAGCGGCATGACGCGCTGCAGTCTCAGTGCACCTCAGTCAACGGATAAGATAAGGTACAGAAGCAGCGCACTCCAGGACCTTGAGGGAAGCGAGGATGATGAGGTAAGCGGTGCAGAAGGATACGTACTCGGCGCTAAGGTGATTTGAGCCGGGCAACCAGCCAGACCCCCGGGACACGGGCTGACGGGTAGAAAAAAGAAAATAAACGAGATGGAACCAACCGGACCCCGACGCCGACCAAAACAAAAATAACAGACACCACACCAAGGGAGGGGAGGAGAAAAAAGAGAAAAAAGCAAAGATGATCGAAAGGTGACATGTCACCGCCGGGTCCACTACTTCCTACTAACCACTCACCATTTGCAGGCTAGAGGAACCTACTGGCCACCCCTCCACGCCCTCCATGCCCTGCTCGAATCCTCACCGATCACAGCCTACAGGGACTGGGTGCCGAGGCAGACAAGGCAGGGTTGGTGGGTTTGATGGTCGTCCTTTGTGCAGGATGCCGTTGTGTTGAAGCTGCAACGCATGAATAAACAAATGCCAATCGAGATGAATGATGGGGAAGGATGGCGACACGGAGAGCACGAATGCATGGTCAATGGATGCAGGAACAACCACACACAGTCTCTACACCACAAGTTGAAGGCGACAAGACGCGCACAATAATAGAAGCGTGGGCCATGGTCGTGAACGTGGTTCCTGTGGTTCCCGTGGTTCTACGGATACCAAATCGAGGCGAGTCCGAGCTGGGGGTGTTTCTGTCAACGATGAAGAATAACGATGTCAGTTTGCATTTCTGCATCTCTCGTAATTATCGTCTCGTTCCGGACAGGCATCATATGGTTCCTTGTCTCTATTCATTGCCTTACCTTTTGAATGACATTCATTCTTCAACTCGCGCCTCTTCTCCCCCTCTCCTCCATTCCCGCGTTTCTTTTTAACCTGAACGCGTCTACTCTTCTTTTAGGCTTGAGCACCTGACGGCACATGTCTCAAATCCGGCATTGCTCCTGTTGATCACAACTGCATGTTTCAATCGCAACGACGTTTGACATCGAGTCTATTCGTTTGAAGACACCCAGAGCGAAACAAGGCGCAAAGACACACAACACACACAACGTATACGAACCAAGAAAGAAAGAGAGGCAGAGACGGACACACGACAGCCTCATTCTCGGGCCCTCCTATCCTCACCGAGCAACTCTGACCGATCGAGCTCTCCCTCCCACTTCCGGGCCACACACGAAAAGAGCACACGAAATCCAAAAGAGACATCAGAACCAGTAGCGACATTCGACACACACCGCATCGTGGATTCGTGCCTCGTACCGGAATTACAGGCTCTTCAACAACCCTCGCTCAACCTTGACTTCGAAAAGGGACCCCCTCAAAACAACCCCACTGCACACACCGCAGACAAGATTGGCCTTGCGCAGGCCCCCTTCTTCAGGTTTATTTCCAGAATTTCCAAGGGACAGCCCGGGCCAGGGGTGGACACCGGGAGACAAGACTCCAAGAGTGGAAGAGAGAGAGACACAGACTGCCAGGGACGAAGCCAAGAACCGCCAGGGACTTCCCAGCACAGAGGCCTTTTCGTCCAATGTCTCGAGTATCACAATCAAGTACCTTTCCCCGAACCACCACCTCCTTTTCGCAGCGCTCCCTAGTGGAGGTACTTCCGCACCTTTAGCACCAGCATCTGCAACCGCACCCGCACACCCGCACCTGCAGGTACGTACCCGCTTGCAGGTTAGTTGCTGCCCCCTCAGAAGATGCGAGCGCTCTCCTCCGTGGGCGTTGGCGGCGGTGGTGGCAGCGACACCAGCAACAACAGCAGAAGGAGCAACAACACGCCGGCTGGCTGCAACAATCTTTCGACTGCTCCCTCGGCCCCGTCTCCCTCACCTTCACCAAGGCACGCCGGCGATTCATTGACATCGCCGCCACCGAAAGGCACTCAGTCACACACCACCACCAACCGTCCCCAGCAGGGCAATACTAAGCTACACCCAAATCACCAACAACACCAAAAACACCTCGTCGTTCAGCAGGGAAAGCAGACGCCCGACTCGTCCCGAACTAGGAGAAACATCAGGCCATCCATCTCACCCGCCACCCGCATCAACCCCGCCGCATCTGCTCCTCGTACATCATCCAACTCTTCCAGACCACCTGGGACGACGACGACATCATCATCCCGTCCATCGGCTGCTCCCTCGGGTTCCTCTGGCTCGGGTGCTTCTGCTGGTCCAACCTCCGCAACATCGCCCGCCGCCGTCGCTGTCGACCGCAAACCCACGGCGGCCCAGCTCCGAACCACAAATAATCCCACTTCGACTAATAACACCAATCCCGCCGCCGCCGATCACTCGCCCACCCCTACTGCTGCTACTCCTACCACCACCACACGCCCACCACGGCCACTTACCGCTGCTGCCACTGGCCCACCAACGATAAACGGGCCCCGACGCATCACAGCTGCTGCCACCAGTGCCAGCACCACCAAAACAACCACCACCACCGTCGGCCCAAACACAACATCGTCACCCTCACCTCCCACCACCACCACTTCGTCAACGCCGACAACAACTCCAACACCACACCCAACAACGACCCCATCGTCAACTCCATCCACTACCTCGAGACGACAGCCACCAGCCCTGTCCTCCAGCTTGCGCACACCCCTCCGCACACGAGACCAAAATGTCCTGAACCCCTCTCGACCTGCAAACGCCGCGCGAGCGAAGCCTTCGCCTACCCCATCACCCACCACTGGCACATCTCCAGCGTCCGCTTCCGCTTCCTCCACGCCCACCATGCCCCCCTACGAGAAAGGGGGCAGCACCACCACTCGTCAGCCTGCGATGCCTTCGCTCAGCGCAAAGGCAATCGGCCGAGCTCCTCTGACCCCGAAAGTCGCTGCGAAACCTTCTCCCCCGGTCGTCACCCCCATGGGTCGTCGCCGCAACGACAACACAAGTAGTAACAACACAAATTACCCCACACAACCGCACATAAATGGCGGAGGTGCGAGGGACGATCTCACGAGTCCTGCACCCTTCCTGGCTGCGAATAACATCACTCCTCGCACTGGGAGTCGCCAGAGCCGTGTCAGCAGTACCAACACAACCCCGAATGGCACTCCGGATCCGGACAGGAACGAATGGGATCGCCAGCCGACACTTGAGCCCCCGAGGCGGCAGGTCGTCACCTTCAGCCCGCCTTCGAGCGTCAGTAGCAGGAACGACGCGAACGATTCCAAGTTCTTCTACGCCAGCGAGGCAAAACCGTCGCAAGCTTCCCAGCCGAAAGCTCAGCCTCTCAAAGCCCAGCCCAGACCTCTAGCTCCCCAGCAGCGAAATTCGACTTTCATGTATGCCAATGGCGGTGCTGTCGATAAGAACAGGCCTACATCACCCGGCATTGGTTTCACGCCCGTCCTGGCGCCGTCGCTTGCACCGTCCCTCTCTCCGCAACTCGCGCCGGCGCCGGAGCCGCCATCGAGCAAATTCTTCTACGCCAATGGAGCTCCCAATCTACAGCCTGGCTTCCGGCCCTCGTCTGCAGCATCGATGACGGGTTCAGTCACTTCGGCATCGAGCAAGCTGCATAGGACATCAGCAGGCTCGGCGAATGGCTTCCCTATGGCCCAGCGACCGCTGTCGCCCAACAAGCCAGCTCAACTTCCGACGTCCGCGCCGTTAGTCAAGAGCAATAGCATGCCGCCTCACACCGTTGGCCGGGCCCAGATGACTAGTCCTCCGCCGTCACATAAGCGTAGGACGAGTACCGATACGCTCTCGCAGGTGGCAAGTCATGTTGGATCAGAGGCTCCAGCAACAGATGTCATGATCATGTCGAGGTTCATGGCCTCCCAAACATCGACACCCTCCGAGCTGCCGTCGCCAACGGTACCGAGTTTCTTTGCGCAACAACCAATCACGATTGCATCGATAATACAAGCAGCAGACGATCTGGAAGAAGAGGACGAGGAGCACTCGGCTGATGAGGATAATGACCCAGAGGATCTACACAGCCCGACCAAGTCATCCCATGGAGATCCGCTGAACGACATGGTCCTGAACGCGAGAAGAGAGCGCAAGGTTCAGGATCTGGAAATTACCAACGCATCTCTCGAGGCAATCAACAGGTCGCTGGAGAAGCAATTACGCAAGCAGACTGCAGAACTCAGGAGGTACAAGAGGCTGTCAAGGTCTGGGCGTCTATCTGTCCCTCCTTCGGCCGGGTCGAGCCGGATGACTTCCGCCGAATCTACCCCTGCAGGCCTGGGCATCGAAGGACTGGACTTATCGGATCTCAGCGAGGAGGAGGCGGAGGGAGAGATGGATGATTCCATGTTTGAATCATCAGAGCTTTCCGAAACGGATTCCATGTCGATATCAAGTCCCAAGGAAGATCCGGAACGAGACGAACGCCGCCGGACTCGGGATGAGAAGCGCCTCCGATTGGATCTCTCCAAGCATAGAGAACTGCTTGTCGACAGCCAAAAGATCAACGTGAGCATCAAGAGATGCTTGAATTGGACGGAGGAGCTTATCAAGGAGGGCAAGAAGGCCCTCGAGTACAGCGTTCGCCCTAGCGACGTGGAGCTGCCCCCGCGGGTGCTCCGCCCGGCATATCTTGAAGAGAACGAAGATGGAGAGAAGGGGCAGAAGGATGAGTTCACAACCTCCTTACCGAGCAGCCCGTTAAATTCACCGAGGAGTCTGTCGCCCCACTGGAGTAACCCGCAGGACCGCGATAGCGGCATCGAGCTCCCTGCAGACGAAAAGAGGTACAACATAACATAATCTACAAAGCAGACCGGATCTCACCGTCGCGGCCTGGACGTTGCGGCGGCATCGCACAACATCACCACTCACGGAATATACACATTTCCTACAAAACATTTGAGTTTTCTTGCATGGCACGGGGATGGGTTTGGGATAAGTCGGAACTACGGCGTTTTCTTTTGTTTTCCATGAGAAGCCTTTGAGACAGAAAGGGAAAAGGTTTCATCCCAATCGGCGAGGCATAGTCTCTTACCCCTTCAGAGGGGGGCTATGAAAAGGGGCCTGCCGCATACACACACTGCTTTTATTATACCTACTTTTTTACTGGTTCTCTCCTTTGTCACACTGTTTTTTGTGTACCAACAGATACCCCAAAGCACTTTACATATAAACAACGGAACATAAAGGGGCGGGCCGAATGAAGGATGTCTTCATGGCTGCGCTTAGGTTTGGTTTGGGAAACTTTTGTTGACTCTTGCCCAGAATTAGGGAGCAAGAGCACAAAAAGACGAGACAGTGGGAGGAAGATGTGAGGGTTCCAAAGACCCAAGCAGTGGCGAGCCGATTTGTATCATAGCAAATTCAAGCTAAGAAGGGCCGGTTAAAGACCTGGCTGAGATTTCAAAACTTTTGTGCCTTTACAATGTGATGTGTTTCCGTGTTGACATGGTAGAATAAGTGTGTTATGGTGTGACTGAGGTTGACTTGGACGTCCAACGTCTCTTCAGCCACGTCTTCTGGTGATGATTACATCAGAGGCTGCAAACCGTGTCACTGTCACGGGTGTTACGGGAAGGAGAATTTGAGGAACTGTGAGACATGAGGCTGCCAGTGTCCGAAGGGATGGGCCGAGGCCTTTTTTTATTTCAATGTCTTGGCGTTCCAGCTCTAAAGGGGGCGGCGAATTTCTCAACGGTCTCACTGAAGAGTCAGTATTAAGAGTCAAGTTTCCCTTTGTGATCACTTTTCAAGACGTTTCGGCATCGACTGGGTTGTAGACTAAGGAGGAGCCGAAGTAAGAACCTCGAGAATCAGGTGGCTTGGAGGGGTTTGGGAGCTTGGCTTGGTGTGAGGTTTTGCTGTCTGGTCTGGTTCTGCCTTTTCTTGTCCATCCTGGGCTGCTTGTAACGCTCCATGGTGAATCAGTGATGAAGCCCCGGTTCATGAAGTATACTTGCCACATAGGAGCCGCTGTAGAATCTCCTATATAATGGATCGATGGCGACGTTTGTAACAGCCATGCAAAAATTGCTATTGTGTCTTGACTGGGTTCTCATAGGTGAAATGGTGCCTTCTTTCCTTCATTGGGACCCATGAATTTGCGTTCAGTCTCAGTCCATATACTAAACTGGCGAGGGCAGACTGGGTCAAGCATGGCAATGATTCATGTCCTCTGATAAGTTTTCTTGCTTCTGTGTGCTATTTGTCTGGGAATATACAGACGATAAGTAGGGATGATGTTGCTAGGTAGATCTTGTTGATGCTTAGGATTCATCGCTGGTTTGCTTGCCGACGACCAAGGTGAAGTCTCATGCTGATTAGGGAGTTCCTGATCCCCAGCCATTTGAACTGACTTCTAGCCGGCTTCTAGGCCAATTCATGGTTGGTTTACTTCAATTGTCTGCGAGTTTGCGGCGCTTATCATATGGAAAGGTGCTTCGGACTTTGTTAAGCACACTTTCCTTTTGAGCCTAGCTTCAACCCGCTCCTTCCTATTTACATGAAGAATGCTTTCCTCCTGCCTCGGCTTTCTTTAAGAAATCAGATGTATTAATGAGGGTCACGATACATTGACTGGCGAGCAACGTCGGTTCAAGCTTCCATATCAGTATTTTGATTGTGCTGGTTGAACTACCGTCTACTTACTCGACATACGGAGGCAGTATTTTGCCTAAAGGTACAATTGGCTGGCAGATCAGCAGGATAACTGCGCTCCGTTGGACACCGGTAGTGTGGTATTAAGTTCAACTGGTACCTAGTGACCCTGAATACAAATCTTATCTGTTGTTTTGTTCTGCCACTAGCCCCCTGCGTAAGTCATTCACTCCCCATTCGTTCAGAGAGCCAACAGCCAACATCCTCCATCACCCAGAGAACTCCCTTGGGGACATGCATTCTCAGGTGGCCACAAGGCCGCTGCCCGAAATAGTCTGCTATTTCAGTTCATCTTATTGATCGTCAATGTGACATGTGTGCATGGCTACCGCTTGAACACCGCCATGTGGCTGCTCCGGAATCAGTCACTTCTGCGTTTCCATGGAGTTACCATTGCTGCGCCGCAGGAGGACCTAAGCGCCGGCGAGACGACGAGAGTTTATCTCGGGACTCGATAGCGGTTCTTGGCGCAGCTGTGAACTCCAGATGCGACGCTCTTACTAATGGGCGAATCACAGCTACCGCACTTGGGCTTCCTTGGCCCCCGGCGAGAGAGGCCATACCAACATGAAACTGCAACTTCTTGTTGGTTGGGGTGATTATCATCTCCAATCCCTCATATTAGGCAGTTTCGCCGGACACCTCGATGTCGGACATTCTGGATTTTACAGGATACGCGAATCTTCCACACTACCGTTCTGCCTCGAAGTCATTTCCACCAAGACTGAAGTCTCTGCAGTGCATCCATTTCATCATCACTCTAGAAGTGGACGAGTATTGTGATCTTCTCTAATGGCCGAATCAAACAAGCGCAAACGCGCCAAAAAACTAGTCCGGGCCATTGCCAAAGAGCATGGCTATCTGGATGGCGAGTTTTTGCGACGTCTTGATCCGGAGACACGCCGCGAAATCGAGGAGGCTCTACTCGAGAAGGATCAGATGATCGGCTCCAGTGTGATCACGTATGTTTCCGAGTCACATGGGTTCTAGGGCGATAGACTAATATCACTGGCCTAGACTTGCGAAGAATTTGTACTCGAGCAAGGCTCGTTTTGTATTCGAGCTCCTCCAGAACGCCGACGACAATGATTGCACGAAGGCAAAACAGGCTGGCTCTGTGCCATTTGTATCCTTTCGAGTTTTTCCAGGGAAAATCGTCCTTGAATGCAATGAGGATAGGTTCAGTTCCAAGAATCTTACGGCGATTTGTTCTGTGGGGAAGAGCTCCAAGAACAGCGCCCAAGGCTACATAGGAGAAAAGGGCATCGGCTTCAAGTCTGTCTTCATGGTAGCCTAGAAAGTGGTCATACAGTCAAATGCCTTCTCCTTCTCTTTCACGCACAAGAAAGGGGACTCAGGAATGGGTATGATATCTCCAGTATGGGAAGATACCCTTGAAGAGCTGAAGCCGCCATTGACGCGCATCACCCTACATCTTCACGAAGCTAGCGACGAAGCTGCGAGGATCCGTGAATCGATTCGCTCTCAATTCGAAGAGTTCCAAGCAAAGATGCTCTTGTTCTTCAAGAACATCCGAAAAATCCAGGTTGAGTTCTGCGGCGGCGAAGGTCAACGAAAGTCTTTGGTGACTTACAGCATCACTGAATCGAAGGCAGGCCTTGCAACACTGACGAAGATCAAGACAACGAACAAAATATCCAAAACGGAGACCATTTACTTTCGGTTCATGCGTCACGCCGCAAAGAACATGGCGCGAAACGAGAATAGGACTTATTCAGAGTCTGAAGAGGCCACTCGAGCGTACTCGAAGTTCGAGGTTATACTCGCGTTTCCCGTCTCAGAAACATCAATTCCTATCATCGAGCCCCAAGAGATCTTTGCCTTCCTCCCCGTAAGGCCAGTCGGGTTCAACTTCCTTATTCAAGCCGACTTTGTCACGGACGCAAGCAGGCAGGACATTGTTAAGGACTCTCTTCGCAACGCAAACCTCTTGAATGCTATCGCTGAGGCGTTTGTCGCCGCGGCGTTGGGAATCTGCGAACATGGGCCCTTGCGGTATTCGTGGACTAAGTTTCTGCCAGACAAAGAGCATTTTCTCATGTTTCATTCTGGCGTAGTTTAGTAACCAAGATCGAGAAAACTCTCCAGAAGGCGCCTGCTTTCTACGACCACAAAGGCTCTGGTGGAAGATTGCTTAGCGAGCTAGTCCGAGTCACTCCTGACACGGTTGACGAAAATGAACAGCCTCTGCTAGATGACGGTGAACCAGCAGAGATCATTTCCCGGCGTTATGAAGATGCAGATCTTGCTGTTCTAGAATCATATGGGCTACAGCGCACCAAGTTCACTCACTTCTTGCGGTGGTTGAATGCAGATCTCGACGACGAAGATACGTCGCGAATTATGTCTGGAAGCATGACCAAACATTGGCACGAGAAGATGGCAAAAAAGCCGTTACAAGCTTTCACCAAACAATACACTTCACACATGGAGGATATCAAGGAGATAGACCTCATACCCCTCGAAGATGGCACATGGGTCTCCACAGACTCGGAGCCAGTCTATTTTCCCCGCTTTGAGGACCTGGAAATTCCTGTCGACATTGGTATTAATCTTCTCTCACCGGCAGTGAAGAATTCAAGTAGGCTTCGTCTTTTCGAATTTCTGAGGGTGAAAGATGCCACACTCAAATTGGTGCAACAGGCTATCGCAGATCTATACGAGGACGACGAAAGTCTGGAGGAACTTTCCTTGAAAGCTTCAAAACAGCACCTCGAGTTTCTGTACATGACTGATCACTTGAAAGGCGGAACTTGCGTCGTTGACCTTCCAGTTTTCGACTATGACGGCATTCTTCAGACTTGGACAACGGATGAATTGTACCTTGCGGACGACGACATTTGCAATCTTTGGGAAGTCTTCGAGGAGACTGACCCAGGTCCAAACCCCGGCGACGGTGCACCGGGCTACGGTGTCTCATTTCTCGACGACCATTACTTCAATGACGAGCCAGCCACACCGAAAGGTCAAACAAAGTCGTGGAGTACTTGGCTTATCAAATATGCGCACGTTCGAGAGTACGTGGATTTTCGTCCAGAGGCAGGTACCCTCAGTCTGGAGTATGACGCACAGTACATTCAGAAACACAGACCAGATAAGTTCATGGAGTGTCTGCTCCAATTAAACGGAGCTCAAGATGAGGTCCTCTCATCCGACACCATCACTTGTCTCAGGGAAACGAAGGTACTTTGCCGAGGAAACCGCCAGATTCCTCTAAAGAAAGCCTACTTCCCTGTAAAAAGACTTGAGAGACGCGTTGTACAGTTTCTTGAGGAAAACATATTCTTTCCCTGGATTTGGGTCAAAGAAACCGAGGTTGTCGAGGAGATTACGCCAAAGTGGAAACCATTACTTTCAGATCTCAACGTCGGCCGTCCTAACAGCGACCTCGAGTTTGCTCTCACTATGCTCAAGTATTCAAAAGAAGCCTTCTCGCCCTCTCTGAATTCGACAAGTGTCGCTAGGTTATTTGAATTGTATCAACACATTCAGATGCAGTACACAGAAAGCAAGAACCGAGTCGCCGCGGCGGAAAGTATACGATTCGTAAGACAAGAAGCTGCCACTTGACAGAGAGCCTAACACCCGCAGAAACGTCTTTCGACGGAAACAGTGCGTCTTCGTTCCAGTTTCGAGTAAGAAAGTCTTATGGGTGTCGCCAGACAAGTGTGTCTGGAATGCTCCGCAACCCATGGAGAGCAAGTTTGATCTAGAACGGCTCTATCAGCCCTGGCTCAGTGGCGACGATGTGGACAGCTCTATTCTCACGTAACTGTTCACGAGCACACTCAACATTGGGAATTGCACGTGGAACAATCTTATTGAAGAGCTGTATCTGTTGGTATTCCTTTCACAGGGAAGTTGGTTCGAACCGTAGGGTCTTGTGGTTGACGAAGTATCAATATCTCTGTATTGATTGATTCTGCGTAAGGAGTAGAAGGGAGATTCCAACCGGAGGTTGGGTGGGTAGTCGAGGTCTAAGTGTACCCCCTCGAGGTGGCCCATGCTCTGCCCCTACTCGCGGTCGAATTGGACTTCCAATCCGACAGTATCAGTATAGGATGTTGGAAATCGAAGACGTCGACGTAGCCGGCACCATATATTGTGCTTTGCATAGATTGGCCTCAAGCAGTGAAGCTACTGATAGAGATGAGCACAGGTATCCTTTTATTTTAACACTTTCTCTCCTCAGGGCGACTACTAAACTCTTACGTACTTACTCTAGGGCACAATTCGAGAATGAGGCACTGATCTACTTTTATTCAGTCGATGAGGCATCTTGGTTCGATACGTCGGAATGTGTATGGTCTAGGGCGACCAAGTTGAGAGGGAAAGTGTCTGTCGCCGACGACTATGAAGATCTTGAAGAGTTTTTCGTCGATTACCTAGGTGTCAAAGAAGTGGATCTCTCGATGGCCATTGAGGAGTTGGAAGACGCAGCTTCCTCGGGATCTGAAGCGGTAATAACGGAAATCAAGGAATCGATTTGGGTTGTCAACTCGCTACTCTCGTCGGTTTCAATTCCTCCTAGCCCCAAGAGTCTATCAAAGTCTCCGATATTCCCCGTCAGGTGTCCAGACGGGAATGTTAAAACCGAAAGCGTAAGCACGGAGTTCTGCATTATCGATCGGGAGCCGCTCGAGGCCTCATTTAAGAGCAAGGTGAAGCTTCTTGACTTTACGTTGAAGGAGGTCGCTCAGCTGCGTCCCTTCATCGAATGGATACGCCTGCAAGATCGATTCATTTCACGCTGCGTCAAGGAAATCACCTCTTTCGACTGCGGAACGTCCACGCCAACTCCAACGTTGAACCCAGAGCGGCAAATTCGAAATCGAGCACACGCTCTCCTCAGGTCAGCAAATCCCATCTCTACTAATGCGTTTGTATACTGAAATCAACCAATAGAGTCGCTGCGCACTTTGACAGCCCTCGTTGCCAAAGCAAAAAAGACACAGACTCGTTCTATGATATCCTATTATCAGCACAAATATTTGAGACGGATAGGATCTCTTCAGACCTGCGCCTAGTTCAAGATGGCACTCCCCATGTGGTCAAGGGCAAAAAGACAACCCTGCACATTGACGAAGAGAACTCGAGCTTGAAGGTCTACCTTCCTCGAGACAGAGAAGATCATAAGTACATGTTTTCCAACGTCTTACCGCAAAAGCTTCTAGAATGGATGATGAGACACCCGGTCACACACATTTCCCAAGATGTCACGAACGGCAGCTTAGATGCGATCAAAAACATTATGCTGGCGCCGCTATCCTTGATCACCAGAGCTCTCCAAGATAGCGGTATAGCTCAGATTGAAGTTGCAAACCGCGACGAGGCCATGGCATCAGAAATGGTGTTTTCGGAACCGACGGCCTCGATTTCCCGTAGCGGAGACAACACCGGCTCGGTTTATAATGGACCACACCCATCGAACTTCAGCCGACTATATTCCCTCGATTCCACCAGCTCAGAGGACTTGATCAACCGGGAGGTCTCGGTGACAGTCATTTCTTCCTCGCAGCGGCGTTCCAACGCCTCGCCCCCTAGACTCGTCCAGCGTGTACTGCCGATGCCTTCGCCTGGGGGAATCCAGAATGATACCACCAACAACACCCGCTACGTTTCTCTCTTGGACAATGTCATTTCCGCAGGGCGTAGAAGACGGGTCAACGGGCTGCCAGTCTGTGGGACGTTCAACATGAGCCAGCTGCAAGACAATCTGCCAGCCTCTCGTGGAGACACAGATTTTGGTTTACGCTCGGCGCCTCAGATCGAAAGGGACTGCAAGATTGGCGCAGCGGGTGAACTCTTCGTACGTGACATTCGTGATTCGTGTGCCAGCGCGTAGCTAACCGTAACAACAACAGGTCTATGAGCTCTTGTCCCATTTGTATGAGGACAACTCTCCTCTGCCGCAGCTGCCTGGCTTCTCAAGAAGCAGCTGGCAGAGCACTATCCGCAAGTATGTGACAGTACATCCAGAGTATGCAAATATGTCGCCATGGAGTGGCCGAGAGACCTCGGATATTGTATATCAGGACACCAGCAACAGGTTGACGGCCCTCTTCATCGACAAGGGCTACCTCCAGGAGCAACCGCGGGGCTCGATTGGTGGTGGTCTCAATTACTTCATCGAGGTTAAGACAACTACCATGGCGTGTGAGACACCATTCTACATGAGCAAAGCTCAGTATCAAAGAGTGCGTCCCCCAACCCCTCTGTCGTGTCGCAACGCAGCGTCTTTCCCACTGAGAAACTAGGCACGAGAGGCTGACAACCGGCAGATGAGAGATCAAGTCATCACAGAAAACAGCGACACGGTCTACGTCATCTTCAGAGTCTACAACCTCGGACAAGTAAACATGGGTTACAAGGTGTACCTGGATCCAGAGACATTGAGAAGGTCTGAGCAGTTGAAGTTCACCGCCGAGACTTGGTCTGTTATTCCGGGCTGAGGCTGCGTTGAATGTCGGGGTACTTGACTTCAATACCGGACGGACTCAAGAGATTTCTCAAACTTGAGTTGAGTTGTTGGTCTAAGCAAAACGAGTTTGACAACTTGTTCATCTGCATGTATGTTTTGAATGCAACACAGAATGTTCAAGTTCAACGACTGGTAAAAGTCGATTATTGAGGACTACTTATCAATGCTGCATATATTTTGTACTTTGAATCATATGCTACCCAATATCTCCGTCAACACGTTCTCGGTACTGACAACCTTTGCAAACTCCCCATCCAGACTAGCCAAATTAACAGCATGCACAGTCTCGGCATCAAAACCACTCTTTTCATAAGTCGCAACCGCATCCCGAACTAATATCACCCCACTCCCGTCTACCCCTCCAGCCTCGCCCAGAACCTGAAGGTTGGCCGCCATCCGCACCGTGGTGCTCACGCAGTGATCCGTCGTAAGGCCAGCCACAATAAGCTGCCGGACACCGGTGGCCCTCAGCGTCGCCTCAAGCTCGGTACCGATAAATGCGCTGTTAAAATTCTTCGTAAAGATGGGCTCTGAACCCGAGGCGAGGGGCGCTGCGAATGGCAAAGGCGCAACGGACGGCGTTGATGATCCTTCTAGATAGTGTGATGGGTGGAGGGCTGAGGTAGGTGATAGGGAATGATGGTGGACATGAAGGACGAGTACTGGACGACGCTCTTGGGAAGCCGGGCTTGACTTGATGGTGTTGTTGTATTTGCGTACAGTTGCGAGAAGTTTCTCAACGTTGGATTCGAATGTCGGCGTGCTGCGTGACGACCCCCAGTGGGTAGGATGTTTGAAGCCCGCTTGGATATCAATCAGGGCGAGCGCCGTTGGTGTGCTGGATGCGTGACGCATGGTGACGGACGAGCTGCGACAGCCGTTGGGAATCTCCTTGACAACAATAATTATTATCTGTGATCAATGATTCTGTTACTCGAATAACACCGATGAGCGATGGATTTAAGTACTTGCTATTTACCGCGCTTACATATCAAGACAACGGACGCCCTTATTATCAATTCGGCTAGTCATTAAAAGGGCGTTCAATGGACCCCCGCCCGTACGGCTGGGTGTGCCGGCCCCGTCTTTGGCATTCATTGGTATGACTCAAGAGGAAAAAAGCGTGGAAGAAACAAGTGTGGCCGCACGTCAGGCTGGCCCGCGGCATGTGTGTTATTAAGAGCAATTATTGTGAGTTCTAAGCAGAAAGCCAATCCATATCCCGATGCTGAACGGCGTTGGTGAAAAGACATGCGGGGTAAAGCGAACTGTCTGATGTTCCGAATTTATTTCCACTATACGCGTCAATCCAAAAATTTAAGCCAGATTTGGAGAAAAGGTAAAAATGAATTAGGTCATATTTATAGACGCCATTCAGCGCTCGATGGGATTTGTGTAGAACGTCAAAAATGCAGTTTCTGCAAAAGAGATCGTCGCTCCCGTGAAGGGTCTACGCTTGTATGCCTCGTGGCGGAATCGAACCGCCGATCTTCTCATGTCACTAGATACTAGTGAGACGCTATACCACTTAGCCAACAAGGCGATGTGTTTCGAGGGCATGTAGCAGGCTCAAGGACCGCTGCGGCGGATCCTCCCCACCAGCTTATAACCCCAACAAGCGACTTGGGAGAGCCAAACGGCATCGAGTTCTCGAGACGCCATAGACATTTCCTTTCTCTCAAGGCAACCCTCGAAAATCAGCCAAAGACATGGAGTTGCGGAAGCGTGTGGCATGAGCTAATTCAACAGTCAGAATCTTCGTCTTTCGAAAGGGCTGACCTGGTTGATCTCTCAAGCGGTTTCTAGTTGAGGACCATGACAGCACCCACCACAACTCATCTGAGTATTGGAAGTCCTTCGACACACATATTGCACGGTGCAAATCCACGGAGAAAAGGTCACGAGAGCCAGAGCTTTCAACCAAGTCCATCATAAAAGTATACTTTGTATTCGCTGATAATATCAGTCACCCATGCTGAATGGTGAGTGGGGAGCCAACTCCAACAACAAACAACCGTCAAGTAGTAGCCTCGCCCAAAAGTTCCGTCTATTCGCTCAAGTAGCCCAAGGTTGTAACAATCAGGTAGGCAAGCTCAGCCCAAAGAAGAATCGAAGTTCAAACGGTTGTGGTATCTAAAGCGCACTTATTCCCCTTTCCCGAAGCACTTCATGCATTCTCGGGCTTGGGGACATTAGGCGCATCCTCAGCAACCTCCGCTGACGGATGCTTCTTGCCCTTCTTCTTGGACTCTTTATCCTTCTTGATGGCTGCCTCGGCGACGAGCTGCTCGAAGACGAGGTAGTCCCCTTCCTCCTCTGGGGATCTCGCGGCCTGGAACAACACGTTAGTACTATGAACAGAATAGCAACTCTAGAGAGCAGAATTACCTTGGAGAAGATCTCAGCGATGATGACCAGCGCCTCAGCGCGCTCAAGTCTCTTGGCCAGGGGAACCTTCTTGTCGTTCAGGACAGAGTCGCACACCTCACGCAGCACACTCTGAATCTCGAACTTGGAGCCGCGCCATGCGGCAGTAAGGATCTTGCCTGTGACGCGGCGCTCGTACTCAGCCTTGCGATCCTCGGACCACTCCTCGCCGCCCTTCTCCTCCATGCGCGCCATCTCCTCGATGGTCTGCTGTGCGTCGATGGCGGAGCTGATGGTGTTCCAAGTCTCCTTCACGATCGTGCCCTTGTCCTTGACTCGGCTGAAGAAACCGCCAATGCCCAGGAACTTCTGACTCTTCAGCAAGCCGGTGGCCTTGGCCAAGTACGTCTGGCCGATGGCGTGGAGGATATCCAAACCAAAAGACTCCATCTTCATGTTCTCCATCTCGAGACGAGTCTTCTCTTGGAAAGACTTGGTGACGTCAGGGCCCTTGTCGGTCTCGGTCCATACGCTTATCCGGTCGAGGAGCTTGCTGGCGAGGGTGTCGACACGCTCCTGGCGGACGCGGGCGCGCTCCTTGTCGTAGGCGGCGAGCTGATCGCGCTGCTCCTTGGTCAAGCTGCCCTTCTTCTTCTCCTTCTTCCGCAGCGACTCCTCCGACTCGGGCTGGCCTGCGACTTCTTCCGAGGGTCTGTCCATAAGCGCAGGCCGGAGAGGGATCTGAGTGCGCTTTGCGGTACCAGAGGTACCGGACGGGCTCGGTGAAGGTGTTCTAGCCTCGGCGGCAGCATATGCTGGAGGGGGCGCGTCGGCGGTGCCGGTAGCGGCAGATTCGGGTGCCTTGTGAGCCTCCTTCTCATCTTCGACGACAATAGTTGGCGGGGGAGCAGCTGCGCCGGCGGCGGGGGCGGCGCCAGTCTTGTCTGCTTCTCCAGAGGCCTTCATGCTCTCCTTCGTAGCCTCCTCAGTACCGGGGAACTCGCCGTCGGCACCCTCGGCACCCTCTTCGCCCTCCTGCATGGTAATATCCATCGTCGCCGTCAGATCCTTCATCAGACTAATCTCACCGATCCAGTCGACGAAGGCATCGCCGCCAAAGATGGAGCTGAAGAACTCGGCCGGGTCGGCAAAGCCCTCAGAAGGCTTCGCGCTATCCTTTCCATACTTGTCGTAGGCTGCTCGAAGGTCCTTGTCGGAGAGGACTTGGTAGGCTTCGCCAATCTCTTGGAACTTTTCGTGGGCAGAGGGGTCGTTGGGGTTCTTGTCTGGAGGGGTCAAGTCAGTTTCCGTCACGCTGTAGAGAGCAGCGAAAAATCAAGACGAGTAGCAATGCGCGGGGACTTTTGCATACCCGGGTGGTGAACGATGGCAAGCTTTCGGTAAGCCTTCTTGATCTCGACGTCTGTGGCGGTGGGCTGGACACCGAGAGTGTCGTAGTATGCGGTATCGACGACCATGGTCGCAAGGAATGAGGGGTATTAGGTAGAAGGAAATCTAGGTATTGAAACGGCGCAGGTATTTTCTTGGCCGGAAAACAAGAGGAAAGGGTTGAATGAGGGAGTAAGAGGTCCTCTGCAGGAAAGATCGCGGGGTGTTGAGGGTAGGGATGGACCTGCGAATCGTGATTCAAGCGAGAATTACAAGGAATCGGACGTAACGGCGGTGGTCGAGCTGGGCGGTGCCACACCAACAAATGACCTAACTGCAAGGTGCCCACGCTGATTATTTTTGGGTGGATTTACGTTTTCGCGGTGCCCCGCCAGATTACGTCGTTGGGCGAGACCTGTGGGTGGTGGGCGGTCGCCAGTGTGGTCACTGTGGTGGGTTTCAGTGAGCATTGTGGTGACTTTTTGGTGAGTACCGGTAACCATGCACTGCCATGGAACTGCCAGGCTGAATTACGGTACCTACCTCTGAGCCTTACGGCTGGTAACTTGCTTTGCCTCCACCAGCTGCTGGCAAGGTGCCATCCTCCTTCCCGGCCTTCCATAGGCTGCATGGACGATGGCGATGTCCACTGCGGCCTTGGAGATTACGCGGACAGGGTCCTGCTGGCAGGGATGAAGTTGCACGGTCCAGCCCATCTGCCGCTCTCTGTCTTTGCATTACAAAGACTTGGCATTTCAAGATACAAATTCTAACCACCTCAAGACAGTATCATTCGGGAGTTCTTTGGAAGCTCGGTTGGAGCAAGCGTGTGGCTGGTATCAGGCTGGTATCACAGTCTCTACCGCCTCAGTTATCATATCACGACCGCTGTATCTGTAGCTCATGGCTGCATCGCGACATTTCTAGGCCTCCAAAGTGATCGACAATAGTTGGCGATCCGCTTCACAAGCTTTCAGAGCTTAAGTCAACCGGACAACGCCGAGATGACTCTTCTCCACCCCGGCTGCACCGATTCTCACACAAAGGACACCGTTCAACCTTCAGTGCCTGACATTAGCCTGATGAAACCTGGAATGATGCTATGCTCACTGCATCAATCTGGACACTTTCAGCGTTTCAAACTGCAATTTTCCTAGTTCATTCCAGTCTCTATATCTTGCTAGAGCAGCCAGGTTCCCATATGCGCCAAATCCGGTTTTCTTTTTTGTCTCTTCTATTTACACAACACCGTTGGCCTTCATGCGCTCGAAGCATCCCCGGTAAGCATCGTGAACCTCGGGCACCGTGTAGTTGTACTCCTTAAGCTTCTTCTCCAACTTAGTGGTGTCGAGCTTGCAGTTGCTGCGGCCGGCCTTGATGACCTTGGCCTGCTCCTCGAGCGAGAAGTTCTTCCATGTGAAGTCGGGGCGGACAATCTCCTTGAAGAGGGAGAGCACCTCGTTGTGGGAAATGGCTCCAGGGTTGGTGAAGTTGTAGATACCCGTGTCCTTGTGCTCCGCCATGAGGATGGAGGCCGGCAGGAGATCGGTAAGGATGGTGTTGGAGTTGGGGATATCAACGACACGGTCGTACTTGGCAATCTTGGTAACAAAGTTGCGGGGGTTGAGGTCGTCGCTGACGGGCATGCGGAGACGGAGGATGAGGCAGTTCTTGTAGTGCTTCATGATCTGCAGAGTATTCAATGAGTAATTGGTTCATCTGCCAGTGGGTTGTGGATTGTAACGTACCTCCTCAACGTGGCCCTTGGTGTCCGAGTAGAAGCTGTCCTTGAAGTTGGCAGAGTCGGTCTCGAGGTAGCCGGCACCGTCAATGGGGTGAGCATCATCGTACTGGTAGATGCAGCCAGTGGCGAAGACGGTGCAGTGGATGCCCTTGAGGAAGCAGGCGTCGGTGAGGTTAAGGGTGCCAACAACGTTGGATCGTATCGTAGCCTCCTTGTTGTCCTCACACCAGTCGACATTGGGGCGACCGGTGCAGCCAGCGCAGTTGAGGACATGGGTAGGCTTGACTTTCTCGAGCTCGGCGAGGACGCCCTCACGGTTCTCCATGCGGACGGTGGTGGTGTAGACCTCCTTGCCCTGTCCCTCGAGGAGGACCTTGAGGTGGTTCGCGACCCAACCCTCGCCACCCCAGATGAGGAACTTGTTCGCGGAGTGTCCGTTGGTAGCCATTGTGGATGATGGATTTGCTGTTTGTCCCGTTGGGCTTATAGTTTGGATTATCGGAGGGTTGTCGGAGGGTTGTCGGAGGGTTGTCGGAGAGGGGTCGGGCGGGATTTTGTCAGGATTCGACTCGCTGCTGGGATGGTGTAAGTTGACCGAGTCGGGTGGGATGTCGATTCGGACGTCTTATATGCTTGAGTCTGGCAAGGGAGAAAAACAGCTGGGAGGGTGAGGAAAGAAGAAGAAAAGGACAAATTGAGTAATTAGTAAGACAAGCCACTCGAACAGAGAGGGAAAGGGGAGAAAGAGTGTGAGACGAATTATTTATCTGGGGTAAGCGTGGCAGGTACGAGGCCAGGGAGAGTTAAAAAAAAAAAAAGAAAAAAAAAGACTCAAGCTCGAGTCTGCGGGGAGAACATAAAGTTTGGGTTCAGGTACGAGTCGTACTATCTGCCAATCTGCCACTCTACCCTTTCAGCTGTGCGGTCTCGACCCTCTTGACCCTCCCGTCTTCCGGTATGCTGGTCTGTCTAGATACCTCCAGCTACTGCATAGCAGTAGTAGAAGCAGCACAGCCGGCAATAATTAGTCGCAGCGACTTACATTGGATAGATGGTGTGTTCAATGTCGTTCCCACCCCCACCTTCGGGAGGTACCACGGTCAAAGGTGCGACCCCGTAGCGAAACTTACGTACCTCGAGTACGAAGCTTACCAGGAGCTACGTTCCATATTGATAGCTGCTGTTATCGGAGAGAGTAGTGGACAACTATTTACGTCCTGGCGTCCCCTAGCTTTGTCATGAGCTCTGGTGAAGTGGACTCCGTGGAGGATAGTTACCAGTAGTGGCAGGACATAATTAAGCAGGCTAGGAAAAAGCCATGATGTTAGCAAGAGACAAAAGGAAAAAGTAGCTACTTGGCTACATGGTGTCGCGGCAGCTCCAAGACAAGTATCGCAGAAGTGATGCGGCCTAGAATGAAGGAGGCTAGACGGATGGAAAGCCTCCTAAGGGAGATGCAGGCAGTGAGACATTGCCGTCCGATGGCTCACCGCATTATGCTCCCTTGGAGGTAATAGCGGTGGTGGTGGCAATGGCGGGCGGCGGCATGCCAGCGAGGGTCGAGTGCCGCGTCGGCCGTGGTGGAGACCAAAGGCCCGGAGCCGCAAAGAAACGTCCATCTCGGAAATCCTCAAGGGTCTCGGCCATGTGCTGCTGCGATGCCACCGTGGGATATCCAAAGGATCAGACGACGGGATGAGTTGCGCGCTGTTCGCATAGTCGGGCCATGAAGGGGGAGGCTGAGCCATGAGAACAATTGGACTGCTGCCGTGTCGGGGGGCTGACATGCGTGGAATTGCTGCTGCTCTCCACCCACACCTCGATTGGCGTATGCAGCAGAGTCGATAAATCATCTGTTATCGCCCTTCTTTCTTTCGCGGTGTGAAGAGGAGGAACAACAGCAGCAGCAGCAGTAGCAGAAGTGCGACGAAGATGCCAAGGGAAATTGTCGCTAAATGAAAGTCATGTGAGTTGGTGTTGGTTGCTAACCAGACGAGAAAGAGACGACGGACACTTCGTTCGAAAAATCGTTCGAAAAAGGCAGGAAGGCAGACCCTGAAATAACGAATTCCTTCCATTCCCAGCATGGAAGGAACCGCCATCTGTGCCCCGCACCTGCTGAGAATGAGAAGCAAAGGACCGGAAGGCAGGGACCTGCCCCGCCGTCACCTGCCACTTGCCAATCAGATCTAGTCCTCTATCCCATTGGTTCGCTTAGCTTTTAGCTGAACTGGTTGTGCCAGTGCGTTCGTGACGCCAATTTCAGTGACTGGATTAGGTGATGTTCAGCGGATGAGCTGCCATGCACAGGCGGGGCCACTGTATGACGGCGCTGTCTGCCACCCGCTGGCTGTCACTAGACCACCAAACAGCGCTGAGGCCAAGCCCGAGATGCCCTAGAAGCTTACCTAAGTGCCACTGTACCCTGAAATGAGGTGAGTGTGACGGGGAAACGGTCCCCGGGTTGCATTTTGCATGGCAATTTGGAGAAAAGGAGCTGGGGTCAGCTGCACTTTCCCCCGTTTTTGCGCCTTCCTGCCGGGTGAATTGAATTGGTCACTTTTTTGGACTTTTGATTTGATGACAGCGGAGAACTTCTTTCCCTCCTATTCTTCCGCGGTCTTGTTGTTGAATCCCCGTCTGCCGTTCATCCAAGGTCAACAAACCAGTTTGCTTGTCGAATCTTCTTCACGCAACAGCCCGTGTCCTCCTTGCTATAAAACGCACGCGAACTTAAGGTCATTGATTGGAACGTGAACAAACACGAAGAAGCTGAGACCACCTGCCAACGACTGCGCGCGCAAACCTTCAATTCGCAGCCCACGAAGAACCCGCACACTGCCAGTCAACTCCACGACCGTCCGGGAACTGACATAGCCTTGCCGCCTCCTCTACGACACTTGACTTCATTCTGTCATTGACGTCTCCTTGAGCCTCTGCGCTACTGTCCGAATTCGCCCTTCAACCTACCGTCCCCTGCGACGACTGACCGCCATCATGGGTGTCGTCTACTACCTCCTCCACCCGAACCAGCTTCGCTCCATCATTCAATGGTATGCTGCTTGACCTTCCCTCACCCGACACGCGCGCGCAGTGTGCCGCTGCTCCTGTATGGCACGTCTGCTCACACACTTCTAGGAAGGTCTGGCACGATCCCGTCCACCACCGCGATCCCTCCAAGGAAGACCCTACGCTGAAGTCATGCTTCGAATTCCTCAACAAGACGAGCCGCAGCTTCTCCGCCGTCATTCAGGAGCTCAACCCCGAACTCCTGGTTCCCGTTTGCTTGTTCTACCTTGTGCTGCGCGGCCTCGACACTATCGAAGATGATATGACACTGGATATCAAAGAGAAGGAGCCTCTGCTGCGCCAGTTTGACAAGTACATGGAGACGGACGGTTGGACGTTCACCAAGAACGGACCCAACGAGAAGGACCGCGAGCTTCTGGTGCACTTTGACGATGTCGTAACTGAGCTGAAGAAGATCAAGAAGCCCTACTACGAGATTATCAAGGATATCACGATCAAGATGGGCAACGGTATGGCCGACTACGCTCTCAATGCCGAGCACAACGAGAACGGCGTTGCGACTATCAAGGAGTACGAGCTTTACTGCCACTACGTCGCCGGCCTTGTCGGTGACGGCCTGACCCGCCTCTTCGTCGAGGGCAACATGGCCAACCCCAAGCTTCTCGAGCGCCCCGCGCTCACCGAGTCCATGGGACAGTTTCTCCAAAAGACCAACATCATTCGCGACGTCCACGAGGACTACCTCGACAAGCGCCGCTTCTGGCCCAAGGAGATCTGGAGCAAGCACGTTGACACCTGGGACGATCTCTTCAAGCCTGAGAACCTGCCCAAGGCTCTCGAGTGCAGCTCCGAGATGTTGCTCAATGCCCTCAAGCACACCGAGGAGTGCTTGTTCTACATGGCTGGTATCAAGGATCAGAGTGTCTTCAACTTCGTCGCCATCCCCCAGAGCATGGCTATTGCGACGCTGGAGCTAGTCTTCCGTAACCCTGCCATCTTCAACAGCCACATTAAGATCACCAAGGGCGACGCATGCTACCTCATGACCAAGTCAACACAGAACCTCCAAATTGTGTGTGAGGTTTTCAGGGACTACACCCGTCGGATACACAAGAAGAACGACCCGCGCGATCCCAACTACGTGCAGATTAGCGTGCAATGCGGCAAGGTATGTGGTGGTGTTTTTTTGTCTGAAGACACAATTGTCTCGCGTCAGAAAGTCAATTGCTAACCGTTGACCACCCTCCAGATTGAGCAATTCATCGACTCTCTGTTCCCGAGACAGGACCCCAAGCAGCTCGGAGAAGCGGCGAAACCGAAAGAGCGGGGCCAGCCGGGTATGGATGCAGGCGAAGCCTTCGTATTGGGTGGCATGGTTCTTCTGACCCTCTTTTTCGTATCTGGTCTTATGGTGAGTAGCTCTGAAATTTTCTTCTTCATTTCCCTTCTCTCTCTTTCAACATCAACATTCGCCTTCTGGCTTGTCTTTTCTACCCTCAACTCTCAACTAACCACCACCCTCAGATTGGAACTGCCTGGTTCTTTGGCGCACGCTTCGACTCGCTGTGGAAGACGGACAGCATTTACTGGCCTGGAAGCGAGACCGGCGCGGCGACGCCGATCGAGCACATGGAGCTGTAACTCTACCAGACAGACGAGAACAAAAGCTGTTCTTTGACTGCTACGTTGCATCTGACTGTTGACGGTACATATTGACGAGGAGTCTTCGGTTGCTCTCCGCCGGCATGGCTAGGAAATATTGAGGAGCCCATACTAATCTTGCTAATACACACCATCCTCGTGATGGGTTTTTCGCGACGCATCTTGTCGTTTTGCTGTTTTCATGGCGATTTTTCGTTCGGCAGCATCCCAACGTGACATGCTCCCTCTACAAACCTCTCAAACCAAGCACGGATGTCAAATTGCAATTCAGTCCCACCGCAAGGTGGTTATGACTGTAGTTGTGCCGAAGAAGTGCTGATATCAAAACCCACCGGCAAAGACCCCGTCCATCACGCGTCGGGTACGGGGCGGGCGTGTCTTCCAATGTTCTCGGGACGCGCTCTTCTGCTCCGGCTTGCAAACATTTCTTCACCGTATTCCACTGTTGTATGTGTCTCATTTTGTGCGACGGCCTCTTGAGTAGCCATAAGGCTAGGTCAACAGGAAGCCTTTTCACCCTCGTCTGATCTCCGGGTCTATGGCGATGAGGTGACAAGCGCTGTCATGGCTTCATGTTGATAAGCCTGCCGCCAAGGTTGACATGGTGTCTCTCTTGAGTCTCCCCCGGATTTCCGATACGCGAGGAACGTCCTGAGAAGAGCCAGAGGGACGATGAACGAAATCAAATCATCTTGTGTCTAGGGAACCGTTGTAATAAGTGTCAATAATCTAGGCTATCGTCTCAAAGGCCCTTGACTCGGCGAATTGGTCATCAGTGCTATGCAGAGAGCACTTGGCCTGCTTGACTTGGCTTCTATCGAGCATGGACTTGCAAGTCGCGTATAATCAGATGAAGCATGCGGCGCCGCGGTGCCTCTATGTATCTCATCCATTTGAACCCATTGAGCGCCCAAGCTCGTCAGGTTGCTGCGTGTGGTCTGCTATCGGTTTGCAGGCCCGCCACCGAATTTCTTCATCTGATGTTACTCGTGTCCGTTGCAGGAGACAGTGCGCGTGTTGCAAGCGAGGGTGCCGAGATCTCGTCAGACAAGTCAGCGAAGGCTCGGGAGGGGGGGCGCAAGATGCGGCTCTTGAAAGACTTCCCGGCGTTTATGCGCAGGGCTGAACCCGGGTTATGTACGAAGTACTGCACACAGTCTCTTTTGCCTCTTTTTACCTTTTCGCCTCTTCCCTGACACCTGGGTCAAGTCTGGGGGATTCATGAAACGTGGGAGTTTAGCTTCAGCCTTTCCAGCTCTGAGCTGTGACCACAGCCCTTTCTCTCGGCTCGGGTCAGAGACAACAGGCCGGAAACCACGAAACCACGTGAGTTGCGCGCAACCTTGGCACTACATAGATATCCCTTCCCCGTCCTGTCTCTCTCTCTCTCTCACCCTCTCTCGCTCTCGTCCGCTGCGCGCTGCGCGCGGGTGGCGTGTGGCGTGTGGCGGGGCACGGCGCGCGCGAGGACGGGAATCCCGGGCTGCCTGGCCGTTGCTGGTTCCCCCCCTTTGACGCCAAGACTTGAGATCTGCCGTTTTACATAGCAGTGCCAGCGCCAGATTGATGGGGGACGTTCAAGGGGAAGAAGGGAGACCGTTAGAGACGAGGCCAGGGGTCTTTTTTTCTTTCTTGCTGGATCATGCTTCAGCCAAGTCCTGGGCTGACTTATTTGTTGTATTCCAGGCTCTTGGTCACTTTTTTTGTCATGTGGGGTATTGTTACACATCTAGGTCTGGCCAAGATGTCTGTCTGCATATATTCTGGTATTTGTCAATACTATAGCTTTAGATGCCTGTTTCTTGGCTTGTCTTTCTTGTGTTTGTGAGAGCGGTCGATCACCATGCAAACGCACCTAGGTGGTCTTCAGGTTTCGAAGAATAGATTTCAGCTTTCCTTACCGTTCTCTCTCTCTCTCTCTCGTTCTCGTATTCGACTTTCCCCAGCTCGTCGGATCTCCATCTCCTAATCCTTTCCCAACCGTCCCCGAAACGTATCCTCGAAACGTGACCGTACGGTAGATAATCGTATTCAGGTGGCCAAGTAGGAAAACAGTCTCTTTCCTATTCTGTTTCCCTCGCCTTTCCCCCTTCGGACGCCGGACTAAGCAAGGACGCATCTCTATTCCTGCTTCCCGTGCGTATGTGTTGGAGACGAGACGAATCCGCGGTGCGTTGTCGATAGTCGGTCCTTTCAGCTGACCACATGCTTTTCCCCTCGCATTCCTACCTCATGCCACGGTCATCAGCGAAGAGCGTGTGTGTGAGTGGTATATTCTGAGGCACTCGCACCTCCATCCAATCTTCACCCATCCTCGCCAACTCTATTCGGTCTCCAACACCCAAAAAAAGAAGGTTAAGAAGGAAGGGGGAGGGAAGTCCATGGAACCTAGTTTCGGAACCCGTCATCCGCGCAGATGCCAACGCACCTTCTTGCTGACCGGAGGGGAAGACATCATACCGTCTAATAATGTGCGACATCAACCTTCTTCCTTCATCGTGGTTCCATGGATGACTTTCCAAACGGGGCCCTCGGCTAACGGATAACGGCACGCAAAGAAGTTGCCTTGGTCGCTAGCTGGAGAGGAAACAACATAGAGTCAAGTGCGAGAGAGAGCACTACGTCAAGTTCATCCCATCCTTCGTATACCTTGATCTCCAAAACACCAGAAACACTAACCTTCACACACACACCACCACCACCACGACAATTCTCGCCCAAGTTTCTTGTCCGGCCTCCCCAGGTAATCCCATTCTTTCCCTTCCTTCCTTCCTTCCACCCATCGGGGAGTTGCGAATACTCTTTCCCTTCTACTTTTCCCCAAGTGTCCGAAATCTGTCATGACGTCATTCGCGTTTTGGGTTTTCCACCGGTCTTTTGTGTCGCGAAGAGCAGGCCGAACAACACGCCACCCACGCCAGTCATGAGCAGAAGCCTATTACCGTTGAGTTTGCCTTCGTTTGCCTTGGTTAGGAAGGAACAGGCAACGTAGCTACTGTCTCCGTATATAGTATTGGAGAAAAATAAAAGATTACCACCTAAAATCGTGCCATCTGGTAGGTCGCGCAGATTAGGTTTCCCACTGTTGGCGTGTAGACTGATGAAGTAAGTATACCACTCACTGCCAACACATTTTCATTTCGGCGTCAGCTGGATGGTGTATACCTCCTAAAAACAAAAAAAAGACAGGTGACATAATCAAGTCGGCAAGGCTGAGGTCATGCAGTCATTGAACAGACCCAGGTGGTATTGTCAAGGCCAGCGTAGGACATCATCATCCGACATTTCAATGGATGTATTTCTGAGCGCAAGGCAGCGTCATGTCACATGGCAAAGGAAGAGTGATTGTAGTTGAACTTGAAAGTGAATAGTCCGTAGCTGTCTACTCTCATTACCGAGATCTCATTTCGAGAATATCTGTCTTTAAATACAATGTGGTTGTTGTTTTTTTTGCTTCAGACTAAAAAAATAAAATGTTCAAGAAAACCAGGGTTAGAGAAAAAATGAGAGAAGGAAAAGAGTTGAAAACCCAAGACAGAATGAATTTTCGAGTCCTGATGAAGTGATACGAGGGAACCAGCCCGTCGAGGGTCTTTTTACTCTTTTGGGGGTGTCTTTTTTCTTTGTTGAACCTGTTTGTTTTCCTTGAAATGCGGGTTTGAAGACCCTTCTCTGTCTTGCTTTGTCTTCTCTCCCTCTCCTTTTACATACAATTGAAACCATCCGACAGACACCCGGAAACCCCAGGTATCCCATCTTGGATGGTGAAGGCTTGTGCTTTGCTTGCTTGCTGGTCCAGGCCGCGCGCCAATGCAGTGATGTGTGCGAATGACTGGGTATCCTCTAAAATGCCGTGAATTTGTGTTCATCCCCCCCTCGGATATAAAACACATGGGGGAGAATCACTTATTAAACCAAGGAAAACGTGTCGAAAAAGCCAACGTGACGCCATCATGCCTTTGAGGTTTCCAATGAAAGAAACGCTAAAAGAATCCCAACTTAACTCACGTGGAGTCCTTTGGGAGCATTAACAACATGACAGAGCTTCTAGAGCTGTCCGTTGTTGGCAATCAAGTTGGTGGTGCCAGCGGTGTTGCGCTGGACAGAGGCACCAGAGGCCTCAGCAAGAGCGAGCATGCGGTCGGTGACAGCCTTGACGGTGTTAAGGCCCTCAAGACCCATCAGGTAGGCGGCAAGGCCAGCAACGTGAGGGGAGGCCATGGAGGTACCGGACAGGGTGTTGGTGGCGGTGTCGGAGGTGATGCCAACAGAGAGAATGTTGACACCGGGGGCAAAGATGTCGACAACAGTGCCGAAGTTGGAGAAGGAAGCCTTGCGATCGTTGCGAGCGTCAATGGCACCGACAGTGATGGCGTTGGCGGCAGAGGCAGGCGAGGTGTTGGCCGCATCCTGGTTCTCGTTTCCGGCAGCGACGACGGGGACGATGCCAGCGTTGTTGAGAGCCTGGATAGCGCGGTTGACGGCAGCGGAAGCAGAGCCACCAAGGGACATGTTCATGACAGCCTTGCCAGTGAGGTTCTTCTTGGCGACGTCGTCAATGACTTTGGGTGATGTTAGTTTCGGAAATTTGCGTAGGTTAAACTGTGGGGCTTCTGAAACTTACCGAACTGCATGCCATCGAGAACACCAGAGTTGGAGCCAGCACCATCGCCATCAAGAACCTTGACGCCAATGAGGTTGACGTTCTTGGCAACACCGAAAGTCTGGCCACCAATGGTACCAGCGACGTGGGAGCCGTGTCCGTTCTCATCAGTGTCCTACGATTCTCATTAGCCTCTCATCTCACGCACTCACTCTCAAGATGACTCCAAGTACTTACAACGCTGTTGATGAAGTTGGCGCCAAAGGTGGCGCGGCTCTGGAACTCGGAGTGGGTGGTAAGGATACCGGTGTCGACGATGTAAGCGGTGATGCCGTCGCCTCCTGTCTGATCGAAGACGTAGCCAGCCTCACCAGCAGCGGCATGAGACATGCGGACAAGGCCGGGGGGAGCGTTTGTCTGGGAGACAGTGGCGGAAATCTGGACCTTGGCATCCTGCTCGACGTAGGCGACCTCATCAGCGTTCATGACGCTCATGATCATGGAGTCGTCGGCCTCCATGACAGTGGCGCGCCACGCGTTCATCTTGAAGTTGCGAG